CAAATGAATAGAGGGAGGGACTTTCCTTTGACTCAAAAGAGCTTAATTTCTTTGGCGTACTTAGTAAGCATTTCTTACCTGGGCTATGAATTCCCACTCTGAAAGCTTGCTTGTTTGATAGCAACTGTAGTATTTCTAGCTTTAAAAAAGAAAAAGAAAACAGGATGACACAGAAGCTTAAAGACAAAAGGGATTTGCTTGGCAGTTGTTTAGTGCAACTGCCTTCTCTGAAATTGGTAGATATAAATCCATGCTACATAAGAGCCACACAACTGCATTCAAATCTGCATCGTTTGATATGAATATATAAGCCACAATTTATCACATCTACAGTCCAATAATATGCATGTTGACACTGCTTTCTGTACCAGGGCTTACTCCCAATTCCTCACAGCACCACCTGGGACCATGTTTTGAAGCCCTATTACCCAATGCTTTCCAAAGGCCAGCCCAACCAGGAGGTTGACTGAAGCAGTTTTGAGGAAAGGAAGGAATCAGTGGAAAGGGTTGGCTGCTGCTGGGGGAAGAATGGGAAAAGAGCCAGTATAACACTACTAAAGTACCCTTCCTTCCTTACACTACTAATGGAATCATCAGGAAAACAACAGGGTCAATTAAAATTTCAGCTTGAATTGCCAGCAGATGCCTTCTAGATGTACCCAATTTAAATGTATCCCATCCAGAATCACAGAGGTGATCTACACAGAGTCAACCGGTTTTCAGAAACAACACATTTTCAGGAGTGTTCTTCTGAGGAGCAACCTCACATTGGGGCTATGACTCAGCTAGCCATTGAAACTGTTTTTTAAAAAGGTCTCTACCAACATATTGTTACAAAAGTTGGGTGCCACCCACACACTTTGCCATGTGATAGCAAGATATCAGGGGGTTCCAGGTACTCACCCAAGGTCTGTGTTCCTTTGGAGACTTGAGACACAGCTGAGGCTATTGTAGGTTTAAGAAAATGACTTATTCACCTATTTACACCTTCAGTCTGCAGGGAGGGAGTCCAGAACTCATTTCAAGAGAGGCTTGTCCCCCACAACAGTGCAGCCAGCTTTCAGCCATTCTGCCTAAAATGGATCTATCTTCTTACTTCTTCTTCCCATAATGCCTTGCTAAAAAGCCTCTGTATTGTTTCTTGATGGGCCTAGCTTGACCAAGTCATTTTGCATAGGCTTCATCAGGAATTCCTCTGCAGCTTGTCTTTCTCCCTTCACATCCCAAATAATCAAAATCCTACCATTTATTAAATTTCTGGGGTTTAGGGAGTCCCCTCCAAATCTATAACACCATGTAGATAGGATAGGCTAGGAAACTAAGCACTGTTTGGTTTGGATGCACAAAAAGTTTAAAAAAAAGCACAACCCATATATTTGATTTAACTAGTTCCATCATTAATAAGGAAATATTTCCAGCTCTTCAAAACATTCTACCTTGCAATATCTCTAGCTAATGATATATATCCTTGTGAAAAAGCTCTCATGCCCCAAGCTGTGATGTAATTTTTAAAGTCATTCCCCATGTTAGTATGTTGAGAGCCGATATGCATTCTACAGTACTTTTTCCCAGCTAAATGCATTATTCATCGACGAAGAAACTTTGCTTAATGCATGCTAAGGTTGAAAGTATTCACAGACTCTTTTATCAGACAGCAACAAGAATAAATTATCCAGTTAGAGGCTATCCTAAGCTACCTGTCCAGCAGTCACAGATTTATGTCTGCTTTCACAAACAGCGTAACTATGTAGCATAAATCTTATCATCAAAGCCACAAATACATACATGAGCAAATGCTAGCCTAAAGCCTGGAAGTTGTCAAGCAGATCATGTACCCTACAGATCATGTACCATTTCCTGGAGGAGGGGGGAATCTCTCAATTTCTATTCTCCAAGTTTCTGATTTCCCTAATCTTAAATGCAGTTTTCCACATTTACACAACAATTTGCAATTTTGAAAAAAGATCCTCATGAAAATTCATCAGGATATTTGTGCAAATTCATCCCAATTTTTTTTATTTCCCTTTTGACTAATGCACATATTATTGCAAGCAGTTTCTCCTAGTATAATGCATTGTTGTATGTTATTTTCACTAATATGTGCATTTGTTTGTTTGTTATTTTGCAAACTTTACCTCAGTATGCATTTTTGCACATACTGCTTGCTGGAGAACTGAACTACAAAATTCAGAGAAGTGTGAATTTCAAATGTTGGGTGTTCCTTAGATTGTGAATTGTTTCAGAAAGTGCAGATTTTGTGTGTTCACATTTAAATGCAAACTGAATCACATTTCTTCCCCCCTCCCTATTCCCTCCTGGTGCCTGATGCCCTTTCCACACTGTCTTTCTTATGACTGGGTGCACATTTTGTTTCCTTAGGATTATAGAAAGTGTACCCAAGACTTTTCTTCAAACTATACATATTTAAAAATAGGTTTCTCTGGCATTTGCAAAGCTGAGTGACTAAAGCAAACTAATGTATTAAATGCATTAAAAAAACACCTTTAGTAATGCTTGTGGGATACCTAGTTCAGTAACTTTTAACTGTATAGTGACACATTGTCTGAAAAAGAATAATGCAGGCACGTGTATCAAGTTGTATCCTTCTATGTTATAGTCAGAGTTTACCCAAAATACTTTTAGATACTTCTAGTAAATCATTTGGCCTGCTAGTAATGGTCTTAAGCTTGTTCAATGATTGTTTCAGCTGAGCGCCCCTGTGTCATAATAGATGTTACGGTTTTCTATAACTCTACCACGTTCAGAAATGTTCACAAACCTAGACAGCATCCTAAAAAGCAGAGAAATCACCTTGTCAACAAAGGTCCGTATAGTTAAAGCTATGGTTTTCCCAGTAGTGATGTATGGAAGTGAGAGCTGGACCATAAAGAAGGCTGATTGCTGAAGAATTGATGCTTTTGAATTATGGTGCTGGAGGAGACTCTTGAGAGTCCCATGGACTGCAATAAGATCAAACCTATCCATTCTTAAGGAAATCAGCCCTGAGTGCTCACTGGAAGGACAGATCGTGAAGCTGAGGCTCCAATACTTTGGCCACCTCATGAGAAGAGAAGACTCCCTGGAAAAGACCCTGATGTTGGGAAAGATGGAGGGCACAAGAAGAAGGGGATGACAGAGGACGAGATGGTAGAGGATGAGAAGCTACCAGCATGAGTTTGACCAAACTGCGGGAGGCAGTGGAAGACCAGAGTGCCTGGCGTGCTCTGGTCTATGGGGTCACGAAGAGTGGACACAACTAAACGACTAAACAACAACAACACCACGTTCAGAAATGTGCTGCATAAGGATTATTGCATCTTCAGTGTATTGTGGGGACAGTATGATGGGCCTCCCACAAATTCTCTATAAAGGGCACCAACAGTTAAGAAAGGAATCTCCTGCCAATGTGCATTTACTGAAAATCGTGCCAGATGAATTAGTAGTACCCAGGTTTGGATTTTATTCCATTTCAGTTTTTCATAATGCACATAAAGATCAGGATAATAAAGAAGAGACACGGCAAAATCATTTTCCCCCTACGCGTCCTCTAGCCATTTGCACCATTCCTGTCAGTTGCAATAAAAGAACATGGAACAGAATGTCAGTGTTAAGGGGAATACTTAGTTCCACTTTGTTTCTTGTAGTGTTCCTGTTGAGAAACCTCAAGAGAGTGAATCACTGTTGTCCAGTAGATGTTTGCAAAAAAGAAAAAAAAAAGCCAGAAATAAAAGGAAGAGGAGAGCTATTTTCCAACGTACAGTGGTACCTTGGGTTAAGAACTTGATTCGTTCTGGAGGTCTGTTCTTAACCTGAAACTGTTCTTAACCTGAAGCACCACTTTAGCTAATGGGGCCTCCTGCTGCAGCTGTGCCGCCGCCGCGCGATTTCTGTTCTCATCCTGAAGCAAAGTTCTTAACCTGAGGTACTATTTCTGGGTTAGCGGAGTCTGTAACCTGAAGCGTATGTAACCTGAAGCGTATGTAACCCAAGGTACCACTGTATTAGCAGGGTGGCCTGTCCCATTTTGCTACATACAGTGAAACAGGAATTGCCACCTCCTGTCTCCCTCCCGCTGCCGTGCTCCAGACCCCACCACTTCCACACCCCAGCTCTTGCCAAGCTCGGTGAGAGCTAGGCATTAACAAAGCCACTCGCCTTCTCTGTCTGGGGTGGGGAAGCTGAGCAGCAACATGGCACACACAAACTCCCTGGTTCTCACTGGTTGGATGGAGGCAATCTGGTGTTGGCAGAAGCGGCAGGGGGTGGAGCACCACCTCTTGCGCTTCTGCTGCCTGAGGTGGGTGCTTCACCCTACCTCATGAGTGGGCTGGCTCAGCTAATATTATCATTTATGTGTAGCTGATTCTTTCATTGAAATATTCATCAGTCATTGATTATCTCATCAAATGATATCTTCAATGTGTGAGTCAACTATAGCAGAATAAGCAGGACTTTTACTGATTAGACAAGACTTCCTCAAACTCAGCCCTCCAGATGTTTTTGGCCTACAACTCCCATGATCCCTAGCTAGGACCAGTGGTCAGGGATGATGGGTATTGTAGTCTCAAAACATCTGGAGGGCCGAGTTTGAGGAAACCTGGATTAGACTGTGTCCTTAAATTTAAGAGATAAAAGTAGGAACTGGTTTATTGATTTGTTTATATTGTGTCCTTAGATCAGTGTTTCCCAAACTTGTATCTCCAGCTGTTTTTAGACTACAGTTCCTATAATTCCTGCTAGCTATGGATGATGGGAGTTGTAGTCCAAAAAAAGCTGGAGATACAAGTTTAGTGAACGCTGCATTAGACCATCACAAAACAAAAGTTTAGCACTATGAAAGCAACACAAGGTAACACCAACAGATGTTCACTCAGACTACAACATAAACAAACTGAAAAGTCTGAACCATCCTGACAAGAAACAACATTGTCTCTTCAGAATGTTATTCCTTTATCTGCTTTCATTTAGTTCTCTGCTCATCAGTCAATGTTTGTCCATCACGCCCAATCTGAAAGGCAGCATCTCTCCAGAGACTTGGGTAGATATTTCGCACCAACTGCTACGTGATCCTTCCATCTGGAGGTGTCAGGGGTTGAAATTGTAACTTCTGCATGAAACTGCTTCTGCTGTTACAAAGTTCCGGCCCCTCTTTTTTTCCTAGAAAAATAGCACTGCAAATAATAAATGTGATTCTTCTAAAGCCACAGAAACTGTATTTTCTAATTTCAGAATTATTGCCTTCCTTGGAAATGCCTAATTAAAATTTTGACACATTCCTTACCATACCTAGAAGCTGACTGAACTCTTTATGCAAGAATACCACCAAGCTCTGCTTTCTGCTCTATGCGCAATCTGCTCTCATTCAACATACCGCTAACCTTGGCAGAGGGGGGGTGGGGGGACTCAGATGGGAAATATTTTAAATATGCAAAAGAAATGTGAAGACAAGGGACCAGCTCTGCTGTCTTTTACACAGTAGTTCTAAAGTTTTTCAAGATTACAACATTCAAGCAGCATGGGTCTCTAGACACAGCAGCTCAGTGAAGCATAGTAGGATAGCAATATAAAGATAAAACATCCAGCTTAATTAATTTTTAATTTCCTACATTCCCAAATTAGGAGTAAAAACTGATTAAATATCTTCCATTTTCTTGAAAGCTTTTTTTAAAAAGTGCTCTGAAGACCTATGAATTCAACCGCGGTTTTTGTAATTTAGGGGAACTTCTACATCCACGTTCTTTTTTCTCAAAAAAAAAATTAACAGGAGTAAAATAAATGGATTTAACATGAATTGCTCTGTTAAGATGTGTACACGAATGGCTGACTGAACATTAAGATTCATAAGAGATGAACGTAAAAGAAAAATGAATCCTTTGTATCCAAGTCTGTAATTATGTGAATGGGGATGATGTTAATGAAGCAAAGGGAAAAATGAGACACAAATTGACCTTTCCAGAACATAAGGGAGGGAAAATGCAATAGGTCTCCCTCATAAACTGCACATTTCTGCTGGTTTTATAATTTCACTAATATGAATAAAAGTGCACTCTCTCTCTCTCTCTCTCTATATATATATCTGAACACTATATGGGGGTGGAAGTAGTTGATCTTTTTATTCTCTACTGTAGGGTTGCCATATTTCAAAAAGTAAAAACCAGGACACCCCAAAAATGCCCAAAAACTGTGATTTATTTTTTTTACTGACTTGTCTAAGATCCAGGACAAAATGCCACATTTCAGAAATTCTCCCTGGACATCAAGTCTGCCTTTGAAATCTCATTAATGTCTGGGATTCTCTAGATGTATGGCAGCCCTACACTACTGTAATGGCAGAATGACCTGGTAGTAATCCTTGGCTGGCAAAGGAAAGCTGAACTACAATTATGGAAAAGATAAGACTATTGATCCAAGCTATAACTAAGTTTTAATCATTGTGGACCAGATGTTCCCTATTTCTCACCCAGAAATTAATCTAGTATACATAGCACCTGGACAAACTGTGTATATACACACATGAACGCACACACTGGCTGCCATAATTACAACATCCTTCCCAAACCTGGTCGCCTCCAGTTGTTTTTAACTACACTCCCATTTGTCCCAGACAGCATGGCCAACGGACAGGGATGATGTGAGCTCCAACCCAAAACCTCCAGTGGACATCAGGTTGAGAAAATCTGCATTACAATACTTTCTTCCACATTGGGCCCCAAGTGCCCACCCCCTCTTTAACTGTAATTGGCCATAATGGGCAAGGATCAAGCTCGCTTGTGCTTTGTAACCCCTTTCTAGTCATCCTGTCCACATTTTGCATCTCTCCTTGCCTTAATTAGGGACACAGGTGGCGCTGTGGGTTAAACCAGAGCCTAGGATTTGCTGATCAGAAGGTCCGCAGTTCAAATCCCCGTGACGTTGCTCGGTCCCTGCTCCAGCCAACCTAGCAGTTCAAAAGCACGTCAAAGTGCAAGTAGATAAATAGGTACCGCTCTGGCGGGAAGGTAAACGGCGTTTCCGTGCGCTGCTCTGGTTCGCCAGAAGCGGCTTAGTCATGCTGGCCACATGACCCAGAAGCTGTCTGCGGACAAACCCTCGGCCAATAAAGCGAGATGAGCGCCGCAACCCCATAGTCGGCCACGACTGGACCTAATGGTCAGGGGTCCCTTTACCTTTACCTTGCCTTAATTGCTTATGGGGGTTCCATTTGGAAGGGGGTTTCCATTGCCCAAACAGAAATCCTTGCGCTAATGGAACTATTTTGCGGGATACTGTCCCTGGCCCCCATTTTGGCATCAAAATAAAACTAGAAAGCTATCCCAATTGTCAGGATTCAGCTTTCCTTGCCGGGAAAGTTAAGGTTGGCGTCTCTCATCAGCTTCATACTCAACAGAGAGCATGGGGCAAATGACCTAATGGAAGTAGCAGAAACTGAATGATGGCAACATGTATTACATCTGTGGTTGTCTAACATACAGAACTAGTGGGAATATTTTGGCATGAGGGTGAGGCCTGGTTAGACATTTAAACCCAGAGGAATGCAAGATACCCACCTCATTTGACACCATAATGTTATAGTTTGAGTGTCAAGATTTCCACCCACTGGCAACTTCCTAAAAGAACAAACAAGAAGCAGAGTAATACAAAACACAGTTTATGTAAAAATAATTGTAACAATGCTTCGCATAGGAGCCAACTGGCCTCCAGTTCTGTCCATTTTCTAAGAGAACATGTACACTATTAAAGTAAACTTACAGCATGACTTCATAGAACTTAATTCTTATCTATACCCATGTTTCAGTATTAAAATGAGCTTTTTCATCACTTAGAAATCTGAACAATTGAGCAGTATATAAATGTACATAAATAAATTTAGCAAGACATCACGACACTTACTACTCGAGCTATAGTTAAGAACTGTGAGACACGAAAAGAATAAGGTAATTCCTTTCAATGAGCCAAATGACAGTTTCCAAAATATGAAGGTATGTTTTGCTCTTAGTGTAGCCTTCACTGGGACAAGCATGCGAACAGCATTCCAAAAGATGGATGAGAAAGGTGACCCATTGCCAAATTATTTTCTGGAATAATTCTCCCCTGCTTTTTTAACATCTGCAAACTGAAGTAAACTTGGGGCACACCAGCTTTTGTCAGCTAAAATTAACAACTAAAAATGAGACGTAGCATTAATTTTCACCAGTCAATTATCATCCCTCTAACAGTGAACTCCGCTGGTGAGTGCTAACAGGTTTGAAGCTGAAACAGAGCCACTGGGAAACAAAAAGAGGCATCAACATGCTCAGGAAGGTGGGGAAAATCCAAAGGTTTGCAGAGGTAAAAAAAATTGTTTTTAAACCTAAGGGTCAAATCCCTACCCCACCACAAAAAGAAGATGAATCAGTAGATAGATGACGTAGCATGCCCAGTAGCCATGGAATATTCTGTGTCAATTTGAAAGGGAAACTGGTAAACAGGAGAGTCAAATAATCATGGCTGGCTGGCACCCAGAACTGTTAGAGCAGATAGACTGCAAGATTTTGCTGCAGGTCCCACCTGTCATTCAATAACAGCAGAGGTTTCACATCTTAGCATGCAGTGCATATGCCCTTTTCTAAATGTTCTCTGTGCTATATAGTAGGAGCTGCAGTGAGGAGAGTAAAGGATGCATTACATTTTTAGAGTTCGCTCTTTTAGCAGCTGGGGATGCTAAGTTCTGAAATGTCAGCCTATGCCAAAACAGAAGATGAGGGATGAGGAAACTGGCGCCCTCCAGATGTTACTGAACTCCAGCTCTGATCTGCTCCAGAGATCAGGGTTTTTAGGTACTGTACTCCAGTAAAATCTGGATGATCCCAGGTGTCTCACACCTGCAAGAAAGCTAGATCCAGTTAGACAAGGAGGGATAACTTCCATGTTCCGATATGACCAACTTCATTCTCACTATATATATAATATTATAATAATTAAGTACTGTAATGAAAATAGCATTTTATGAAGTAAAATATTTTGCAGTCATTAATTACTATTGCTATAGCAAACATATTAATTCCAAACCAACATTATAACGAAAGCGCCATATTATGAAATCAGACATTTGTAACAGCACAGATTCTGGCCAATCGTTTTAAAGCTTTGTTGCAAAATATACAATAACTATTTGGTAAGCAAACAACTGTCAAATCAGGATGAGTAACAGCCCATCCACACATCATTATTTTATGACTAAGCCTACTGTACGTGGAGCTGAGTGAATAAAATATTTTCATAATAAACTATAGTATATTTCACAACATGTTTTTTTCCTTCTTCCAGAAGGGCCAGTAAGAATATATAAAAATCTTATTCAAATTTAATAAAAACTATATAAAATCTATATCATATTTTGCCTTAGTAAATCTAGCCATATTATTTTGGCGTTTAGTTCAACCATGTTAATATGTTAGTTGGGACCCAAAGAATCACACTAGTAGTGGACTTGTAAAGGGACTCTGGAAAAGGACTTCTCAAACCACAGCCTTCATGCCATGTTGCAAACTGCGTCTGATGCTGTTAAGGCTTCCAAAACTGGTTTGGGATATGGAAACGAGGTCCACTGTTCAAGGGGTTGAGGACAAAGAAGTCTAACTGGGCCAAGCTCTTTAGCATGCCTATGTAGATCTTTGGATCCCAGCTTTTGTTTATAGCAGGAGTGGGGAACCTGTTGCCTTCCAGATGTTGTTGGATCCCAGTTGTCATCAGCCCCATCTAGCATGGCCAACGCTCATATGGACAGCAGCCACAGATTCCCCAATCCTGGTTTACGCCAATATATTATTAACTACATATGACACTAGCTTTGCTTCCACTAGGAATTTATTTCTAGAGTGGAAGTCCTGTTATTAGGTGCAGCTTACATCTAAAAAAAGTAAAACATGATTGTCAAAATATTGTAAAATACAAGAGATGAAGACAAAAGGCACATATAGATTGTCATCAGTCATAACACATTCCTCTGAAAACGGAATAACTTCTGAGATTTGTAAACAATTGGTTCTCATGCTTTTAAAGTGAGGTTAGTGCTGACTCCGTTACGGCAATGTTCACAGTTTTATCAGAATTTGAGATTAGGAATGACAAAGTGTACAGTCATTTATACAGTATAAAGACCTTCATTTGTATCTGACGCATTTGAGGTTATAAAGAAACTGAATTATATTATATAGAGGGAAAAACCTGAATACAAAACTCTGCAACACTTGACTTAGTTACAATTCACCGTTGTGAAAATGTGTACTAACTGAACTTCAAACAGTTCTCTGCAGTGTGCTTTTCTTCCTGCAGAGAATTCTTCAAGAAGAACGGCATCTTCATTTTGTCCACACTGGGAGATAGTTCTCAGCATACTTCTCGACATAACAACTGATTAGAGCAATGTGCTGTTTCTTTCATGAATATCCTTCAGGCATCATATATTCTCTCACATCTGTGTTGTTTAATTCAAAAGTTTGGGGAGCCTATGATGATCACCTTCCTTTAGATCTTCTATCGCAAATGTCCCTTATGCTTTTGGTTAGCTGCTTTGTGAATACTTTGTATATTCTTCCACAGTAAGTGTGCTGTGTCTTTTGTAGCTCCAGTTCAAGGGGTAGCAACAAGGCATGTACCAAGTCATCACCAAATGAATACTGGGGGGAGAGGAAATTATAAATGCTGTATTAACAAGTCACAGTTAGCAACCCAACCCAAACAGTACTACTTTGGCCAAAACAATTCTAAAACGGCTTTCCATTGTTGCACTAAATATTCAGTTTTACAAAAGTCTCCCTAAATACGAGTCGTACTTAAGACAAGAACTAGCGAAAAGGTGGCAATATTCTTAACACAGTGTAATACGTAAAGACCTCTGGCAAGTTTGCAATATATTTTGATTACTCAAAACATCCAATTACTGTCAGCTTAAATGAATGCAAAATGGTTTTTGCACAGGAAACAAGCCTCAAAAAAAAAAAAAAAAAATCAACGTAACTGTTCAGGCAAACAAATCTGAAAATGAATGTCAGGCACCTAAATTAATGGGTTAATTTACATGATCACATGCCTGCCACGTTGTAGCTTTGGCCTGAAATGTGTATAATTATCTCAGTATGACATTCTTTAAAATAATATATGGCTCTTATTGAGTTGAAACAGTAGAAAAAGAGTAATCTATAGTACCATTAAAGATGGGGCAGCTTCATTAAACTGAATTATGTACAAGCATACACAGTATTTAATGGAAACCTGAAGTAAAAACAGTCATTAATCCAGAGTTACAGGTTATTTTACTACATTAGAAACCAAGTAATATGCTAACTTAACATTTCAAAATAAAATAATTTTGCTAATCTTGCTGGCATCAGGTCAGTATTGATCTACATCTTTTCTATGTGTTATGCATAAACAAAAACTGATCATAAATAAAGCTGAGAGATTTTCCTTTCTTAATATTTTTCTGGCAATACTCAAAGGAACAAAGAAATTGTATTTTTATGAGACCACATTTTCTTTCGGTGTAGTGCATTCTAAGGCCCCCAATAGTACTTTTCTTCATTTTTATACCTATATGACAACATGCAACAAAGCACCATTAAAATATACTATTGATCTTTGAAGGTTATATACAAGATAGGATGAACATTAAAATAAGCAACATTGCTACGTTTTACAGCTCTTCAGTGAGTATGCTGATATACTGATAAATAGTTTATTAGAAACCTTATTTGCAGAACAAGAAAGCCGAACAGTTATGCCAAGCATGAAAGACTTGCACGTGCATTTATATATTACAAACTGCACAAATTAAAGTAACTAAATTATACAGATATGAGACAGGAATAAGAGTTTGGAGAGAGAATAAAATGGAGCTTTACAGTATCGAAGCACTGCTTACTAATTTCAACAATAAAATGGGAACAGAAGAATTGTCTAAGGCACTTCTGGTAACGCCTCCATTGTGGTTTGTCAGTGAACTTCTGGAAGCTACCGGCATTTACTAAAGCAATATGTAATGAGTATGAGTTACTCGTGCGTAAACTGGTGCCTCTCTAGGCTAATTTGCCTTGTTAAACCTTTCTGACTGCACAGCCCTTTCTCATTGTGGCTGCCTCAGTCGCTGGCAGAATCCGTCAGTGGGCGTTTCTTGAACCTCTTCCAACATAAAAGTTGTTTGACACCCAGTCTCCTCCTCCTCTCACTGCGCGGGAGTCTTCTGCGCAGGGAGGGCGTGGGTAGCGGAGGACCTGTCCCCTCCTCACTGAGGTGCAGTGAAGAGTCCTGGAGCCCTCTCTCCGATTCCCCACCTGCCCCCCTTTCTCCCTGGTGGTGCGCTGATTTGCTTCCCCCTCTACTGAGCTGTTTCTCCCCCTGCTGCTGGGTCCTTCGCCAGCATCATCTAGGAGCCTCCCCTTCGCCTCTCGCTCCGATGTCAGTTCCCTGACACAGTATACCAAACTGAACTTCTGTTTATTTTTTAATGCAGTTAACAACATTTATATATCACTTGACTGAGGTAAAACCTCTAAGCAGTTTACAAGAAATATTAAAATTATCGATAAAGAACAGTTGAGAACAAATAGAAATTATTATTTTTTTAAATTAACAGTAAAAGAGATAAAAACACAATGACATCTATATGTCTGGATAGGCTTGCTTTAGCAAAAATGTTTTAACCAGGCACCAAACAGAGCACAGTAGTACCTTGGAAGTCGAACAGAATCCATTCTGGAACTCCATTAGACTTCCAAAACATTCGGAAACCAAAGTGCAGCTTCTGATTGGCTGCAGGAAAATCCTGCAGCCAATTGGAAGCCGCAGAAGCCCCGTCGGACATTCCAAAAATAGTTCGCAAACCGGAACAGTCACTTCCGGGTTTGCGGCTTTCGGGAGCCAAAACGTTCGAGAACTAAACTGTTCGAAAACCAAGGTACGACTGTACAGCAAAGAGGCCTGTGTGTGATGTCAGTAGACAGAGACTTCCAAGCCATAGGTGACACCACACTAAAAGACTGATTTCTTATAACTGCAGAATGAGAATTATGAGCCACCTGAAACAGTGCAAGTTCCTTAGATCAAAGTGGTCAAGCAGGCATATATGGGGAAAGGAGATGCTGCCATGTTTTAGAGCCCAATGTTGTGCTTCATCATGCTGAAGTTTAAATTCAAGCTTAGCACCATTCAGGATTGCAGCCAAAGGTTGCAACCCTTAAGACCAGAGGGGGTCTCTCTCCTCTTTTGCAGATACTGGAAGCCAATACGTTCAAAACCTAAATCGATAGACTCCGAACTTCAAGAAGTCCACAATATCTCTTTCTTTCAAAACTTAGATCTAACTTTATGTGCTTATGCTACTCTTAGATATTAAGATCTTTTATAGAAAGCGTTCCTGAAACTTCAGTATAAAGTTCTCAAAATGTGCACTTTGCAGGTTATTTAATAATTATTGGTCAAATGAAGTTTGAGGACCTGGTTGCGTTCATATTAACTGGAAAGTTAAAAAGGGAGATGCATAAAAAAAGGACAGAGTAAGATTTCAACCATTTGTTCTTAATTCTAGAAGTTAACAATAGTAGAGATGTCAATTCATATAACAGATTGGAGATTAAAAAGCTTACATTTCTTATTGCATCGTACACAGCTCGAAAAGCTGGCTGTTTATCATCATGGTAAACCCCTCTGTTTCCGTGGAGGATGAATATTCCTTCTTGATCGACCTGCTGACAGTTGCTTCCATAAATACAGTGGTCAGGCCGATAGTTCCATTGGCAAGGAAAAACAAAAAGGCTTTCTGTGCAAAAACAACAACATTGCAGTGATTACAGGCAAACCATTAATTAGTTTCAAGTTCCTTTTTAACTTTTGGTGGCTTATACAACAGAAGACAATAGTAATCATACAATGATATCTACCTGCTTGCACAAGGGAAATCTGTTTGTGAAATGAAACATCTGGTTTCTTTTCTCCCCTCCCTCCAACCCTCAACTCTCCAGAAATTGGGGTATATGGGGGCCTGTGAGGGTGGAAGAGAGGAGAAGCCCACTCATACTATGATGGATCTCTCCCAATGTTTTAATTAAATATATGGTATAAACCACTAACAAGCCAGCCATGCATACAGTCACTTTACCCTTATTAATCTGACTTCTACTAGCCAATTGTAATTTCACTAAACGTAATCAGTCTTATTCAAAAGATGGAAGATCTTACTTTAGAGATCAAGCTATCCCAACTATTCATTTGTATGCCACCTTTCTGCCAAGACACCAAATTTCAATACACTGGTATAAAATACTCTCAGACCTACTTCAGAAGCTGATGCTAGGGTCCACAGCTCTTACACAACCCCAGGGAAAGTGGGGCTGCCCCAACAGTCACCTCAGGCTGTTGACGTTCCTTTTCAGAAGGTGTTGGTTATGTGTTCCTTTGGCCTGGATTTCTTGGCTTCTGACTTCCCTTGGGGCACATAGGTCTTAAGGAGCCCCAAGGGAAATGTGATTTTAACACAACTCTAGGTAGTGGGCAAGTCAACAAAAAATGGCACAGAATACTACATCCATGTCACTGGAGCCCCAAAATGAACTTGTCTGTACAATGTTTCAAGAACTACCGTATTAACCGAAGCCTAACCCATGTTGAAAGCTCTTTGGAGCTCAACAAACGCTCTCTATTTATCAAATAGTTTCCCAGCCCTTGTTTTCACTCAGTCACATGAAAGAAAGTAAATTAGAAATAAGTGAAATTCTGTGGGGAAATCCTGGCTTATATCGTGAACCAGAAACGACCGAGATTCCTATTAGCCCCACTCCAATTCAAATGAGATCTCAACCACACAAGCAAAACCACACCAAATCAGTTTCTTGGGTAGAATTTGATAGCAGCCATTCTACAGCAGCTGTAGTACAAACTGAAACTTGGTTAGTATGGAAGTGCTCTTACAGAAAAAGCTCATAGGAGATTAATTTCAAATAAAGATGTTCTGTGATAGAGATGAGAAGGCATAGGGAAAATAACCAGACACATTTTGAGGAGGGAACCATACCCATCTCTATTGCGTGATAGCAGTAGCATATGGATAGGCAAGATTCGAACGGCATTCTAAAACGAAGCAGCTTACCTGGATTATGAAAAAACATAATGTTCAGAAGATCCTGATCGCCCCATGTTATGTTCAACTTATATTTTTTCAGCAACGGCATCAGAATTTCTTCCCACCGTAACCGTGCTGTGGTCATATCATTCTTCAATATCAAACACAAATGACCAATATTAGAGCCAAGATAGGAATATAATAGGTTTTGACATCTATCTTTTGGAACTCTGTTTTAATTAAGAGCCACTTTACACAATCTCTCCAGTCCCTTTTAGGATTCAGCTTATGGTCTGAAGGCAAAGTAGGCTGCCACCTTGCTAAAGCTAAGCAGATCTGGGTCTGGTCAGTGCCTGGATGAGTGACAGCCTGGGAACCATGTACATAGTGCCTTGGGTTCCGGGATGAAATTAAGTTAAAGTTAAAGGCGTTCACATTTAGGCAGACTTTGAGGCTTGGTTGACCACTCACCTGCCTTTGTGTGTTTCATTTCACTATACATGACGATAACAATGATAATAAAAAGATTCAGCTTTACAACGTGCCCCTGAAAATTTACTTAATGGACTATTGTAATGCACTTTATATGTTCTGTCCCAGAAGAAGCTGCAACCGGTGCAGAATGTGGCAGCCGCTGTACTGACAGGTGCCACGGACCAGATGCACATTACACCAGTCTAAAAGGGTAGATACACTGCTTGCCAGTTTGCTTCTGGGTCCAATTCAAGGTGCTCTTATTAATGTATAAAAATCTTAGATGGTTTTGGCCCCAAATATCTGAAGGAATGTCTCCACCAATATTGGCTTGATAGTTTTGGTAGGCTTGGAAAGCCCTGCTTTCAGCAGCAGCACCAATTGTGGTTGAAGGGTCAGTGGCCCATGGAAGGGCCTTTTCAGCAGTAGCCCCTAGATAACAGAATGCTCTTGCCTCCAAGGTGCATCCTGCCCTGGCTTATAGCTTTAATCAGTAGGTCAAGATGCACCTTTTTGTCCAGGTTTTTGGAAGTGTGGGACGAGGTGGCATTTTAGTTTCCTCCATGCCTACTATTATGCGCAGCTGCTGATTTTACTGTGATTTTGAGGTTCTGGTTTTTTTAATAATAAGAAGAAAATCACATAAATCGCCCTAGGACCTTTGGTTCAAGGGCAGGTAATAAGAACACTAAATACATGGGTAACTGAATAAATGTGACATATATACCATGACTAGCTAAATTCAGTTTTAAAACTGTGATTATTATTTTTTAAAGTCAACAAGCCTCAGCTACTACAGTACATATCTGTGGCTAATCATACAAAACAAGGAAAAAATTCATTCAGCTGCTGCAAGAAGCCCAAAGATACTAGGACTAATGAACAGAAATACAAGAAGGGTAAGGAATATAAATAGTGAAATAGCAAGAAATAAGAATGCAGTACTCTCTTTTGTGGCATTCAAATTTTTTTTTAGTAAAGACTATTTTTCAAATAAAAGCGAATCCCATTTGTGGTTGTAAGTCACTGATACTAACATAGCCCTTTGCTTTGGGTATGATGTGTAAACAAAATAGTGCTCAGTTTGTATTCCGATAAAATAAAATAGTTTTAGGTAAAATATTCAGAATTAATGTCTCCTTTCCGTTCTCACAGGTGTTCCCTGTGCTCCTTAATCAGGCAGGTGTAAAGGAGCAGATGACAGGACATGGTTGGAAAGCATATTTTCCTCCCCTCCAGGAAACCTTCTCTGGCAACATATGAAATGTGTCTGAACAGGCTGAGCTGTGTTTGTCTTGTTTAAAATTCAAGGAATTTTTTTGGGGGGTTTCCTTTTTCAAAGTAGCCAACTCTAAGCCTAGCAGGAAAACACAGCCTCTCCCTGGAAGGAAGAATGAAGCTAAATGGAGTACAGCACCTTTCCTGCAATTACATGAGTGGGTTTTTAAGAAGTAAATGCCTAGTGTAGAAGGCCTGATCCAGATCAGACCTTGGCTTGTGGGGTAAGAAGGTCTTAGCTCTTTGTACCCGCAATACAGATTGGGGCCTCACACTTGCTGTTTGCATTGGAAGAAAAGTTTCAAATGGTGTGAACGGGAGTTCCGCCCCGATCTGGATTGGGGTGCGATGGGAGCAAATTAGGCGTCTTCTTACCCCATCCACCAGGGTCATGATCCACAATGGGTCACCTGTGCCTGCTATTTCCTTTTTTAAATGGTTCCACATCCAGTTCAACCCTGATATTTGGTTCTCCTTTAGGGCTACATAAAGAGCACTTCCTGTTCAAGACAGTTCTCCTGCAAAGCTTTACTCAGCGTAGGCCCATTAAAATTAACAAACACGACTAAGTTAGGCGCGTTAATTTCAATGGATCTACTCTGAGTGAAACATAGCTGAACACCATCCTTAAAGTTTTAAAGTTTGCACTGTGAACACCAAAGCAACTCTGAGCAGACCACAAAAGCATTTTAAGAGCACTTTTCAAGCACACCAAGCAAGCAAATACAATGGCTATCAATTCTCCATGGTTGAAACAATGGAAAGGCAAAACCCATGACATTTTCAAGGGTGACTATTTCAGTCAGAGTTTCCCAAACTTGGGGGTCTCCAGCTGTTTTTGGACTACAATTCCCACCACCCCTGACTAGCTAGGGATGATGGGAGTTGTAGTTCAAAAAGCAGCTGGAGACACACATTTGGGAAACCCGGAGTGAAGTGATAACGATGAGACTGGAGGGCTATACTAAATTTTCTGCAAATGTGTCTGTCAAACAAGAACAGAGTGCCCCATTTGCCACCAGTGCATTGCTTCCCATAAGCAAAAAATCCCTGCAAAACTGTTAGGTACACCACCGATTTTAATACTTATCCCAGCGTCTCTGAGTATTCTTTTAATAATGTCAAGAGCTGCAGTACAGCAGCAGTTAATATAATTTTTCTAATTTAAACATGGGCTTATGTGCAGGTTATATGAACTGATTAAACAAGAGGCTTTAAGAACAACATGCACTAAAGCAAGCAGTGTTTTTACAGAAGTGGGAAGGTTGTAGTAAGCAGTGTAGCAGCGCCACCTTCTGGTTAGATCAGCATCTACACTATAATAGGCTGTTCCCATTATTTCTTTAGCAGGATAGTAATTCACAGTAAGAAGACAGATACCATATTCTATTTGAGAGGCATGTGAAGAAATGCCATAAGGAAGAAGCTGCAGGAAAGATCCTATCTTGAAAACCAGGAATAAACCAAAAGGCTTCCATTAGGGAAAATTAAGCAGGATGATCTTCCTTGCAGGATGAGGAAAAACAACGTATGGGGAAATTGGGAGGTCAGTGAAACTGCATTCATTCGGTGGAGAGAGTAAGCTGACCCTGGAAATGAGAGAACCAAAAGACGTACCTTGAAATGTTTTCTTCTTATGCGGGTCATATTCATTAACATTACTCCAGAATTGACTCCAGTCTTTCCATAATACGGGTGCCTGGCAAAACGGTTATACCACCCGATGCGAGGTTCTTCATGTTCAGGTGCCATTGCAGCAATTTGAGTGGAATTAAATTTTTTCAAGAAGGACCAAATATCATCAACAGGTCTTAGGAACAAGATGTCCGTGTCAACATAGAGCAGAGAGTCCACATCTTTGAGGATTAACTGTGAAGGAAAGGGGTTTTTAGAAACAGGGTTTAAGTCAAACCCTAACCATGCTACTACTCATCTTGACCAATAAGCCGCTGAGGAAGATCAGTATCAATAGCAGTATCAATTCCTCACCAATAGACAAACTTCTCTCTATGCTGCAGCTAGACTGTTGGAGGGGACATATTAGCACTAGCACATAACTCCAGTGCTCAAAAGCTTGCGCTGGCTGTTCATACACTACAAGGTCAGGTATTAATTTATAAGGCCCTTGACAAGTTGCATCCAGGATACCTGAAGAACCACCCAATCCCTTATATTCCTGCCTCATTGCTGAGGTCTTTGGGGGAGTCAACTGTTTGTGGCGTCACATGACACAGAGGCATGTCTCCTGCACACAAGGAGCTGTGCAGTCAGGATTGTAGACCCTGTTTTAAGGAATTCCCTTCTACCTGAGGTCAGACAGGACCCCTTCCCTGCTGAACTACTGAAGTCTATTTTATTCCAGCAGGTATTTTAATTGAATTCTGATTTAATAGTTTCAACTGATTTTTATTTTCATTGTGTTGAATCCCTTGTACGCCACTTGGGAGAGACAACAGTAATTAAGTGACATGTTTGATTTTAATTTATATCCCACCCAGGGCTTTTTTTTTTTCAGCTGGAACTCCCTGGAACTCAATGAGCACCATTGCTATTCTAAGAGAATGGTGAGTTCTGGCAATACTTTTTTCTAGAAAAATAGAACTGATCCCACTCAGAGCAATAATAAAACTTGAAAAGTCATCAACAACTAAAAACAGTATTAAAATATTTATTATTATTATTATTATTATTATCAAAAGTTTAAAATATTCTAAAACACATTCTAAAAAACTGAGATCCCAGGACTGCCAAGAACAGTATCTTTCAGTCATCAAATGCAACTTCGGCAGCCAAGGCTATTTGTGTGCCAAAAAACAGACTGAAATTAATCTAGATCAGGGAGGTCCAACTTTCCCTACCAATTGGGACGCAAGAGTACTTCAACATGGAGCCCACCAGCTATACAATGCCTTATCAGGTGGGGAGGGGGACAAGGCCAAAATTTGACACCCGGCCCTCACACCACCTTCCCAAAGCTGGATAAACAAGGTGCTGGGCTCTAGGACCCTGTTAGAGCCCTCACACCTCCTTCCCAAAGCCCAGCAACTCGCTTACCTGGATTTGGGAAGGCAGCACAAGTGTGAAGACATCAAATGTTGCCAAGGGACCACCCTGTTCTAATCTAGATAATCTGCTTCCTCTAGTTGTGGCTGTAGCTGGCTTGGCCACAACCTTCTCCATCACCTTGCCCAGGAAAGGAATATTAGAGACCGGATGGTAATTTCCAAAACCTCTGGATCCAGGGAGTGCTTCTTCAAGATGGGTTGCACCAGCAGCTATTTCAAGTCACTGGGGTACCCATGTGAGGTACTGACCACTCCCTGAAACTATCCAGTCCATCCCCTTCTATTAAGATTTTAGGTAAAGGTAAAGGATCCCAGTCCAGTCAAAGGCGACTATGGGGTTGCGGCACTCCTCTCGCTTTCAGACTGAGGGAGCCAGCTTTTGTCTGCAGACAGCTGTCCGGGTCATGTGGGCAGGGGGACATGGGTGGCGTTGTGGTCTAAACCACTGAGCCTCTTGGGCTTGCCGATCGGAAAGTCGGCAGTTCGAATCCCTGCAATGGGGTGAGCTCCCGTTGCTCTGTCCCAGCTCCTGCCAACCTAGCAGTTCAAAGGCATGCCAGTGCAAATAAATGGGTACTGCTGTGGTGGGAAGGTAAACGGCATTTCCATGCGCTCTGGCTTCCAGCATGGTGTTCCGTTGCGCCAGAAACAGTTTAGTGATGCTGGCCACATGACCCAGAAAGCTGACTGTGGACAAACGCTGGCTCCCTCGGCCTGAAAGCGAGATGAGTGCCACAGCCCATAGTCGCCTCTGACTGGACTTAACCATCCAGTTGTCATTTACCCTTACCTCTTTTTTTTTATTAAGATTTTACTAGCTATGATAGCCAGGGATCAAAAGGATGTGTTGTGTAAACAAATACAAACAAACAGCCTATAATTATTTTTTCACATCTGTGAATTGACTGCACAGCATAGAAAATAAGAGTCTAATAATGTAAGCAGGTTCAGCTGGTGATTCACCACAGGCTAAAATTTAGTGCTACCCATGGGCTAAAAACATGGATATATTTTTTTATGTTGTTAAATTAAATGGCGACGTTTTAGGGTATTTTATACTGCTAGAGATTTTAGAACTTTTTGTGTTTTAATGCTTTTAATTTTGGAAGCTGCTAGGAGCTCCTAGCATAAATAGAGAAGTGCACTTTTCTGAAGTCCTATTCAGGCTTTCTAAAGTGGTATCCGTGGAGGGGCTGCGTAAGTTGGTCCCGAGGGAACTGCAAGCATGTACAGCTGAATGCATTTACAGCAGCCAAAGCAAAACGGAGCAATGGCAATAGGAATGTGATCGCCGAGAGGGATTAGCAATATGTAATTAAAGTCTTTGTCCCCCCAAAGTGGCTTGAAAAGAATAAAATGTTTTTGTAGCTTGGGGTGTCAATGCAGATGTATAAAAGAGTAGAATGATTAGTGGGTATGTCCCACACATGCTACCCACCCCCTTAACGCCTGGACCATATGGTTGGTTACTATTTCAGAGATACAGGGAAGAGGCTTGAGGCAGGGTACCAGCTTATATGGCAATACAAAGCACACCCGGCTTGCCTATGGAGAAAAACACCAGGTGTTCTAACCTAGCGAGAGAGCAAGAAGTAGGTGAGATTGGGGGAATACAAAAGATACAGTCGAAAACACTGGGGTTAGAGAAATGAACAGCTGAATTTCCATCACAGCCTAGGACTCCATGGTCACTAGCGGGCGCTGGGTTCCTAGCAGCGGCGGCATCGTTGATTTGGGTGTGGATAAAATTTAAGACAAACAGAACCAGATCAATCTGCTTCCTGCTGCAGGCTCCAATCTGGCTCCGCATTCCCTCTGCTCTGATAAAGTTAAAAGTTACGTATTTTGCCACAGCCACCATCACTTACTGGCAAGAAAAGCCTCTGAGATGCACAGGGCTTGAACAGTTTCTTCCATTCAGCTGCATTCTCAGCTGGAAACGAGATGGGGTATAAAGTATAATTAAATTTTCCTTGATACGCCAAACCATCAAGCTGGGGAAAAGAAATTACAAAATTTTATTAAAGTCATACAACAAGAATAATTTTTTTAAAAAAATCACAAGCAACTCTCCAGCTTGAGAGGCACCCTAAGTTTCAGAGTGGTCTCAGCACATACTACTGTACTTCCCAATCTGGATACAAAACAGCAAAAAAAAATTTAACAGAGTAAAGTACCGTATTTTTCGCCCTATAGGACGCACTTTTTCCCCTCCAAAAATGAAGGGGAAATGTGTGTGCGTCCTATGGGGCGAATGCAGGCTTTCGCTGAAGCTTGGATTGCGCGAGGGGTCGGTGCGCACCGACCCTCTCGCTCTCCAGGCTTCAGGAACACATCCGCAGCCTAGGCAGCCCTGCGGGAGGTCCCGCAGGGCTGTCTAGGCTGCGGATAGCAGCCTGCTTCCCGGAGCGTCAGGCGCCCTGAAAGCAGAGCGCAGGGGCTTCAGGAACACATCCGCAGCCTAGGCAGCCCTGTGGGAGGTCCCGCAGGGCTGTCTAGGCTGCGGATAGCAGCCTGCTTCCCGGAGCGTCGGGCGCCCTGAAAGCAGAGCGCCCGGCGCTTCGGGAACACATCCACAGCCTAGGCAGCCCTGCAGGAGTTCCCGCAGGGCTCCCCACGCTGCGGATAGCAGCCTGCCGCCCGGCGCAAAAAACGCCCTGAAGCAGAGCGCCCCGCCCGCCAGGCAGACATCCGCAGCATGTTGGAGCCCTGCGGGAGTTCCCCGCAGGGCTCCCCACGCTGCGGATAGCAGCCTGCCGCCCGGTGCGCCCCGCACACCGGACAGACATCGGCCAGCCCCACAAGCTCGGGGGACAGCAAGGAGGCGCAGCGCCGCCATCCCGCTGTTCCTCGACCTGGTTCGGTTTCCCCGACCTGGTTTTGGGGGGGAAATAAAGGGGGGGAAATTTCCTTTATTTCCCCCCCCAAAAAAACTAGGTGCGTCCTATGGGATGGAGCGTCCTATGGGACGAAAAATACGGTAAATCAAATTGGATAAAGCAGGGATGGGCCTTCCTTATATTATTAGATTCCCAGGAGACATAGCAGCCTCTCCCTCTATGCAGGTGGACAAGAGAGGTCCTCCCTTGCAATCCACCCCACGTAGGACCACCACCATTGCCCAACCTCTATCTGTGCTCAGATGGCAGAGGGCAAAAAGGCAGTCTCTACAACCGACAGAGCCAAAACCTTTTTCTCCCAACATGAGGAGCAGGGATATGCTTGTCAGTTTGCATTTCTTAGTACAGAAAGTATTGATCATTCTGATGTGTAGAGATCTTTCCTATTCTAATTAATTTAAGAGGGTTCTGGAAGCTTCTCTGCATGAAAGAAACAAGCAGAAGGTTCATGATGTTTGAGTTATTCCTTCAGAGAAGCTGAGTACGGCTGGCTTAAACTGGTTCTCTTATCTCTTCTAATTAAGTTCATGTTGACTATAAATATAGGCCAGAAGGAGCCTGGTTTCACTTTCTCTTTCTATCTCTTTTCCTTCTAGTGTTGTGTTCTGTGCATACTGTATTTTCTGTGTATAACACACCCCCATGTATAAGACACCCCCTATTTTAGGGGACTCAAATTTTAAAAAAAAGGGGGGGGGAGATGGCACAAACTTGTTGAGCTTTTTAGGGGGAAGATTGCCCAGAGTGGTTGAGCTTCTTTTGGGGAGGATTGCCCACCCACACATGCCGATAAATCTGCCTCTCGTCTGTCCCATCACCGGCAGAAGCTGCCAATCGCCCGCCCAAATGCCTCAGTGTTGGCCAATCAACACCACCCATTGACACAATAACCAATAACACGGACAGTAGCAGCTGACAGCCACGGCAACAACCAATCAAATGTCCACCCTATGCACTACCCATGTATAAGACGACCCCCACTTTTTGGCATGAATTTTTTTAAAAGCAAACAAACCTGTCTTATACACGGAAAAGTACGGTAGTATGCTTAGTGTTAAGGTTTAGACTTTGTAAGTTTAAGTTAAGTCTGCTGCAACTGGATTTCTTATGGACAGGGCCAATCCTGAATGGATTGGATTTGTGACCATTATGCTCATTTGCCTTCAGTAGCAGTAAAGCTCTGCTAGATGAAGTACAATTGCCTCTGGTCTATTTTTTGGGAATCCTACAACGTGTTTAAGTTTTTGCTCTGCTAACTATACGTTGGGAGTTCTGCACTGGATCAATATTGAGTAGAATTTCATGACAATGCCTGCCCCTGAAATGGCATACACTTCCTTCTTCTCCAGCTGCCCCAGATTCTCTCACTCCTGCCCTCACTTGAACTATTGCAAAGTATAGCAACAGTAACGATGCCCAATCAAAACCCCGGAAATAGGTGGTAAGGAATACTTACTATTTCTCTGAACTCGGTGTGTAATGGGTCCTCTGCAAAAATATGAAAGTGCAGGGGTGTGATGCTAAAAATAATGGCTGATTTCAACATGGTAACCGTCTCTTCCAACCTTTCGCCACAGGCTACTACGGCCAGGTGCATCTTCTCCAAAGGTTGCTTTTTCACAAAATCATATCTAAGGAAAAACAAGAAGAAGAAATAGTTGCAGGTGAAACCAACATAAACATGTTTACACTGCAGCATTTTCATGGGAAGATTTATGCGTGCAAGTGGCACATGTTTTATGTTGAACATGCTTAAAAATCTAATATATTGTTTATTATTTGAGTGGAGTATACCTCCGGGTATAGGGTAGTATATAAATTCAATAAAGAAGTAATAAAACTAAAATTTGGGGAATTGGCATTATGACCATGGTACAGACAAATGAGATGTTTCCAACTTTCAATCCAGTTCTTATAAGATATTTTCTTTAAAAATCATAATATATTTTAATTCCTGGATTACATGCTTTTATACTATTTATAGAAGGGTATTTTTCATTTTCCTTAAAGGACCTGAACTCTTGCATAATTGTTTTGTTTAGAATATAGCCCATTTTTACACTGCCATGTTACAACAACTCCTATCCTCTGCCCCCCAAATTATACTTGAGCAGACCTTATCGGTAATCAGCTAGGCACTCTTTTGTTGTAAGGGTAATATCACTGGCCACTGACTCTGGTTCAATAAAATGGTGCTGCAACAGTAATCTGGACAGATGGCCTATATAAAATGAGCATTAACACTAGGCCAGGTTACTGGTTGCAAACAGAATCCAGGTGAGGCAGCTTCTTTGCAATTTCAGAGACAAAGTCAATTGCTAGACCCATACGATGTAAATGAAATGAAGTTATATTATATTAACAGTGGGTAAAATGCATTTATCTGTCCCAAGGTTCGTCAGACTCCAGACCTATCAACTCACTAATATTTGAGCACCAGAAGTTAGTACAGAACTCAGTGCAAGAGGTTTGGTAGCAAATATCACTCAATCACTTTAAATGAAGAAAGGCATCCTTCAGACTTTCATTATTGTTTTGCCACATGTTTTATTTTGTGACGTTTCGACTTTTCCTTCCAGTAATCAGTTCCCCTTCCAAACATTGCATCCTCTACCAATGCCAGATGGAAGATCATTTGGACCCATTACAGTTGTGTTGGAGCCCATCCAAAAACAAATGGTGATCTCGCATAGCAAAAAAAAAAAAGTTGTGCTAGTTTTTGCTCTATTGTTCAAACTCTTGTTATCTTCCCTGTTTAGATAACAGAAGTCTTAGGAATGGCTCAACAATGGAAATCCTGCAGGCACAGGATGTACCGTATTTTTCGCTCTATAGGACGTACTTTTTCCCCTCCAAAAATTAAGGGGAAATGTGTGTGCATCCTATGGAGCGAATGCAGGCTCCTTGGCTTCAGTGATAGCAACGCGAAGCCTCCGAAGCGCAGAGGGAGTGCTCCCTCCGCGCTCCGGAGGCTTCGCGTTGCTTTCGTTGAAGCCTGGAGAGCGAGAGGGGTTGATGCGCACCGACCCCTCTCGCTCTCCAGACTTCAGGGATAGCCGCCTGAAGCCTTTGGAGTGCAGCGGGAACTCGCGCTGCGCTCCGAAGGCTTCGGGTGCCTTTTGCTGAAGCCGGGAGAGCAAGACTCTCCCGGCTTCAGCAGAGATGGAGAGCTGCGCAGCGCCCCTTCAGCGAAGCGGGAGGAGAAATGGAAGGGGCTCCGTTTCTCCTCCCGCTTCGCTGAAGGGGCGCTGAGCAAAGAGGGGGAGAAATTTTTTTTCTTGTTCTCCCCCTCTAAAACAAGGTGCGTCCTATGGTCAGGTGTGTCCTATAGAGCAAAAAATACGGTAACACATTGGCAACAAGAAGAGCACACGTGAACAGGAGCAAGTGCAGTTTGCTCTCATTTTACACATAAAAGAGGAGTTAAGCTAAGTAGTGCCTTGATCCTGTTCATTTCCTTGCTACTCACATCCCAACCCTGCCTGTGTTGCATGCCAGACTCCTTCCTGTTAAAGATGCTACTGCCCCAAATAAAGGGCAACCTGGAAAGTTCACTGGAGTGGCAAGGATAGGGCTAACAGGATAACTTAGGCTGGATCTAGTCACGTCAAAGAAGCAATTCAGCTAAATGCGTTGCAAACTCATACAGGGAAATCCGGCAGGGAAAGACTAGACTCCACAGCGCCATCTGGTGTCACAGTGTTATATTGCATAAACAACGCATATAAAAAGCACTTTTTCTTTACCAATCTAGCTGAGTCCCAAGATGCAGCATAGAAAAAATAATATATGGTTATGTCCTCTGATCCACTCCTTTTGCTGTATCTGCTACACTCCATATAGGTCAAATATAGGACGTACAATAAAGGCTTGGTCAAAGGATAATATTTCATCTTGCAGTATCACCTGCACTTTGAAGGAAATAGTATCCATAGGAAGCCATAACTCTCATAGCTGCCTTTCGAAAAGCTATTCTACTCATTCCCCACCCCTGCATACTGCTACTTCCAGGGAGAAGCATATTTTAACCTTTAAAACAGAGTAAACAACCAAAATCAATGAAACAGTTCATAATATAACACAATGAGACAGCAGGACCAAACAACAGTGTTTTATAGATTAGAGTTGTATGCATGGGTTGTTCCCCTTACACCCCCCATGTTCATCTGCAAATAAGCAGGTGTAACACGCCCCCCCCCCCCATGGTGATATCCAACCCAGTCGTACTAAGAATAGACCCACTAAAACTTAATGGGCTTAAGTTACTTAAGCCTATGATATCAGTGATTTTGCTCTAAGTATGACTGATGTTGGATAGTATCCCTAAGTCTGAAGTGTGCACTTCTCACAAGGAAATGGACACTGTAGTGGGCTGCCTTTGAAATTTCCAACCATTTGGGTAAGTCACGAGACTCCTCTCAGCTATTTATTTATTTATTTGTGTGTGTATGTGTGTACATACACATACAAACTTACGTATTATTTATGTACACCTCAATTAAGAGTCCCTGTGCACATCAGGTTTCCCTTCTGCCATAAGAGAAAACACTCATAAAACACACAACTCTTCATTGAATGGGCCATGTATTTCTTCTAAAAGAGACAGAATTCTATCTCAAAAGTGACTAGCACATTCTTCAGTATATTGAAGACAGAATTATTGTTTTATACATTTAAAAATCAGTTTTTTATATAAAAAAACACAATTGAAAAAGAAAGACTACCTGAGCTGTAAACGATCTTAACTATGATTTACCGAAACAGCAGAAGACAGGTGGGAACAAATAAGCAAGCACAAAGCTCAGGTACACAGAATAACAGTTTAGTGTTGTGTGTCCAAACCAGGCCCATTAGTCAAGAATTGTATTTATTGCTGCAATGCATTATACGTAGGGCTGCCTCTGAAGACGGCTGGGAAACCTCAGCTGGTGCAGAATTCAGCAGCCAGGTTCCTCACTGGAGCAAGACGGTTTGAGCACGATACACTGATCCTGGTCCAACTGCGCTGGCTACCAATTAGTTTCCCAGCCTAATTCAAAGCGCTGGCTTTGACCTATAAATCCTTAAACGGCTCAGGACCACAATACCTCAAGGACCGCCTCTTTCCATATGAACCTACCCTGACCCTGAGATCATCGTCTTAGGCCCTCCTTCGTGTGCCCCCTCCTCGAGAGGTCTGGAGGGTGGCAATACAAGAACGGGCCTTCTCTGCAGTGGCTCCCCATCTGTGGAATGCTCTCCCCAAAGAAGTCCGCCTGGCGCCTTCATTATACACCTTTAGGTGCCAGGCAAAAACATGCCTCTTTAACCAGGCATTTGGTTGATCTGATTTACATCCTATGCCCTTTAAAAAAAAATTTGGGAGGGGTGGTATTGGGCTGCGGTTTTTATTTTTATTAGGTATTTTGTGGTTTTATATCTTGATTTTATTCTGTGAACCACCCTGAGACCCCCGGGTATAGGGCAGTATATAAATTCAATTTATTATTATTATTATTATTATTAGTGGGAAAATGGACTATTTAGTCATCAAAGACCCTATGATTCAGGTGATGCTTTCCTGCATCTCTCCACAATAATCCACAAAGCCCATCTTGTACATATTTTTTTATGTCACAATTACTTGTGGTCTGCCGTGCTCACAAAATTATTAGTCTTTATTATTCTACTAATCAAACAGTAAGGACAAACACCATTTTGTACTGTAACTATCAGTCTTGCTTATGTAAAGTTCTGGACATTTATATTCCAATCTTGTGTGTGTTCCCTTGCAAGTAAATCCCACTTTGTTCAATGAAGCATGCACAGGATTACAACCTTTAAACCAGACTGCACAGTACACATGGTTTTGTGATTCTCCCCTCACCTGCCCCACAATTCTGTTTTGACAAGGTTACAAGACTGCACGAATGTAGGATTCGTGCAGCTTAGCTTACTTGCCAAGACTTTTTATGTCCTCCCTACCAATTCTTCAGGCCCACTAGCAAGCACGGAGGGCTTCAGATATAGGACATTGCCTTGTGTGGAAATACCAGGAGAACAGATGTTTGCTTGCTCAAAGTCACTCCTCTCCCACTGGGAACGGGGGAGAGTTCTTGTACCCTTTTCTCCCAAACAGACCCTTCTCCACACAAGATTTCCCACAGCAAGTCACCTACAGCACCTTTGCATTAAAAAAAAAGTTAGGGAAAGCAACCACCAAAGTAAAGGCAAGCTTCAGTTTGACTCTTCACTCTCAAGTCACGTTGCTTAGTATCCATGGGCGTAGCTAGGATTTATGTTATGTTAAAAAGGTAAAGGGACCCCTGACCATTAGGTCCAGTCATGACCAACTCTGGGGTTGCGGCGCTCATGTCGCTTTATTGGCCAAGGGAGCCGGCGTACAGCTTCCGGGTCATGTGGCCAGCATGACTAAGCCACTTCGGCGAACCAGAGCAGCGCATGAAAACACTGTTTACCTTTCCACCAGAGCAGTACCTATTTATCTACTTGCACTTTGACGTGCTTTCGAACTGCTAGGTTGGCAAGAGCTGGGACCGAGCAATGGGAGCTCACCCCATCACGGGGATTTGAACCGCTGACCTTCTGATCGGCAAGTCCTAGGCTCTGTGGTTTAACCCACAGTGCCACCCGCGTTATGTTAGGCAGGCACAAAACCTACATGTCATCATTCTATCTCTGGGTCTGTCTATCACTGAGTTGGGTTGCCAACTGCATCACTAGAATGCGCCACAACATCACCCAAGTGACCTCAGTGAGCATTGCAGTTTCAAATACAGTGGTACCTTGGTTGTCAAACTTAATCAGTTCCGGGAGTCCATTCAACTCCCGGAACAGTTCCAAAACCAAGGTGTGGCTTCTGATTGGCTGCAGGAGCTTCCTGCACTCAATCAGAAGCTGCATATGCCGTGTTGGACGTTCAGCTTCCAAAAAACGTTCACAAACCGGAACACTCACTTCCGGGTTTGCGGCTTTTGGGAGCCAAAAGGTCCGAGTGCCAAGGCATTTGACAACCAAGGTACGACTGTATTCTGATTATTTCTACTTTTGTTATGTATTTTTATTTATTTACTTGATTTCATGGGGGAGGTAGCTGCCTCCTTCTGCGACACCCTGGTTAGTATCTCTGTACAGTTGTACCTTGGTTGTCAAAAGCCTTGGGACTTGGACATTTTGGCTCCTGAATGCCGCAAACCCAGAAGTGAGTGTTCTGGTTTGTGAACGTTTTTCGGAAGCCAAACGTCCGACGTGGCTTCTGCGGCTTCCGACTGAGTGCGGGAAGCTCCTGCAGCCAATTGGAAACCGCGCCTTAGTTTTTGAACCGTTTTGTGAGTCGAATGGATTACGTTTGACAACCAAGGTATGACTGTATATGTAAAGAGAAGACCAGCAGAAATCTACCTCTACGACTCTGGTGCAAGACCCAAAGTTTGGGATCATAATCCTAGGTTGCATAAAGGTTCGATTTAGTTGCAAACCAGCATGTTTTAACATGCCTGCTTGTTCAAGAAGTGTATATGAATTTCAAAACGAGAAACATGTTTTATTTAATGAGTTAGATCATGACTGAAATCTAGTAAGACTGTGAGTGCTAGAAAGTGAGGGGGGAACCAAACTTTTTATAACTGCTTCAACACTTTTTAATAGACTCAAGTATGTATGATTATACCTAAAATTAGCTAATTGAGCAATCAAATCTCTGTCAAAGCCTACCTACGAGCAGCTTCCCAAAAGCAGTTCCTTCCACAAACATCAGAGGGCAGCATCCAATAGGAATTCCAATAGGATACAGACACATTCTTACACCTAACAGGATAAGACAGAAACAATCCTGTGTGAATGTTACTTGTTTTATTTAGCGGTTGCAGTGGAGCATTCCTGCTTGCGCATTTAAACAAAACTAAAAAAAAACACCGCCAGCTACTAATTGCAGATAAACGGCTGAATGTGGAGCTTCATGTGTTGTGAGTGATATTAGTTTATATTATATAAGGATGTATTGTAACCAGGATCCTGAGCATAAAGCCCAAGAGCAATTCTACTGATAAGTGAAATGCAGAGTAATCCTTTGTAGGAAGTAAATACCACCCTGTTCAATGGGCTGTACTGACATTGTGACATTTCTGAAACACATCTAGTGACATTTCTGAAACGCATCTGATGATTTCATGGTAGCAAGGCATATTTTAAAACAATTTTATGTTTATTTGCACAAGGCAGGCACTTCTGGGCTACAAGTAAACATGTGAAAGCATGGGGGGGAAGAGTGGGCCTGCTTCCTTCCTCCTCTCCCCCCCCCCAATTTTTTGCTGAAACAAAAATAGTAAAAAGTAAAAAAATAAATAAATCCCAGTTTCGACCAGAGCTTCAAATTTCTAGCTAGAAATTTATGCTAACCATTATTTTCTGCTTGCTCTACTGCATGTTTCCATGTTATAAATCATTATATCTATTCACAAAGCTGAGTATGGTTCCTTGTTTAGCAAAGGTGGGGCAATCTACACACAAGGCGGAGGTTTCCACAGGCTTATGTGAAGCCCAGGTTTGAAGAAATAGCACAATTATTTGCAGGGTGAACCTTAAGTGGTTGCATAATTGCTGACTGAGCATTGGTGAAAAAGAGGGGAAACATTGAGAAGAGCTATGGAATGGAATATCATGAGCTTAGCCATCAAGTAAATAAATAAAATTACAGTCATACCTTGGAAGTCGAACGAAATCCATTCCAGAAGTCCATTTGACTTGCAAATACTTGCCAAAGTGTGGCTTCTGATTGGCTGCAGGAAGCTCTTGCGGCCAATCAGAAGCCGTGCAAGCCCCGTCGAATGTTCGGCTTCCAAAAGAACGTTCAAAAACCAGAACACTCATTTCCGGGTTTCGATCGTTCGGGAGCCAATTTGTTCGGGAGCCAAGGCATTTGAGATCCAAGGTACAACTGTACTTAACTAACTGACCAATTGTGTCACAGATAACTGGGTTCTGCCTCCCAACATAAAGCCTGCCCACCGGAGGGGGGGGGAATCCTGGCTACACCCATGAAAGGTATAGCTAACTGTCTGGAACACTGAAGAACAGCAGAGCACAGTGTTATAGGCCTGCATACAATATATTTTAAATGAAGCAGAAACTTGTATGCACAACTTACTAAAAAATACAATGAGATATATTCGAATATGTAATTTGAAAAAGGAAAATATGCAATGAGGAATGTGAAGATGCTCAGCAAAAGCTAACTAATAATCTGCTTTAGCCCCAATGACGCTGGCCCTTGGGAACGCAATCCATCAGGCATGGTAAGTTCCTATGCTCCCTGGCAGCTGGTTACCATATTGGCTTGCTGAAGTCCACTTTAGTTGTTTAGCATTTTCAAGTGAAAATGCTGTCACAATGGTTCAGAACATCAAGTCTCATTGCGAACCCAGGCAACCAAAGAGAAAGATAAAACTAAGATCCATATTGTGACGGTATTGTTAACCAGCTTTTAAGATTCAGCCCTATGAATCGAAAGCTGCAGCAATATAGTTGATCTGATACAGCAGCGTCACTAATGCTGAACTGGGTGCTTTCACAAGCTAATTTCAAAGCCTGTGATCTCCACACAAAATACTGCTGAGAGGTCAAAAAAGGATCTAATCCCTTCTCCTCCCTTCTGCAGTTTAACTACACTAATATAAAGAGACCAGACAGCATTTGCACATATCATCCAATTAAGGTGTGTGCCTCATAAGACAATTAATGTATATTAAACTGAAACTCCCTTTAATAATAAAAATAGCTGCTGCTGCAACACTTGCACTAGAGCCAAGGAAGTTGAGACTTCACATATCCAGTCTTAGGAGCTGCCATGCCCAAGGAGCATCTCCTGAAATCAAGCTGTTGGTTTAAAAGCAACAACAGCTTTCCTATTTAGAGCAAACTCTCCATCCCTTTTTAATTACACAGCTCCAACAAGTCAATACGAGGCTGGTTTAAAATAGACAACTGTGGAGGCGGTGCAATGGCAGAAGTGTGTTTTATATCTTTTACACAGCGCACCGTGTAGCGTCACAACCACCTCAGGCAAGAATCCTACTCTCATTTGAATGTTTCTGGTTTACTCCTTTCCGCTAAAAGAACTGGAACAGCAATTACCGGTAGGTAGTTCATTGCATCATAGCTTTCATCTAGTAAGAAGCAACCAGAAAGATATGTACAGGCATGAACAGTGATCTTAGCAAGTAAATCGAATTATCAATCCTTGCTTTACCTATGGATATTTAAATGATCAATTATCTTAAGATACAGATTCACTTTGATGTACTGTGTGATTCACTCTTTAAAGTGCATCAACAGGAAAGCGCAACCTGATCACGACCAGCAGTACTGGAAAGAAGTGGTTTCTCCTTTACATAATTAACCATCACCCGCTCCCACATGTTCAGCTTTGATGTAGCAGTTAAGTACAAAAGTAATATGTATATATGCAAGGGAGTACCCAGGGGTTGGCTAGGCTGGCCCTCGCCAAAGGTGCAGGTGCAGGTAGGAGAGAGAAGTGTAAAAACCACACCTTTCTATTCTGGCTTGGAGTGGCTAGGAGCCAGCTCCTTTGGGTGCATTGGCAGAAGAGTCCAATTGGTAATGTGGGCCATCGCAGCAACCCTCGCAGGTTCAGAGGGAAGAAAGACAGAGAGACCTGGGGAGGGTTGCAGGAGGAGGAAAAAGGAAGGGATGGAGAAAGGAGGCAGAAGGGAAAGTGGCGAGTAGAGGGGAGAGAGAAAGGCAGGAAAGCAGGTAGATGGACCAACTGACAAGGAGGAGGAGAGGAAGAAGTGTGGAGTGGAGCAGACCCAACCTCGATGGCCCCAGAGGAAGTCACTGGCAGAGGGTAAAAGCCAACGAAAAGCAAACTTTTTGAGTTTTTGGTCTATAGTCTTACCGACTTTGGAGGCACTGATACAGCTCCTTGCAATGGAGGTACAGAGGAGGTACACCTCTGTATATATGTCTTTGATTTTGACCTTCTTTATAACAAGGAACCAATAAGGATCCCTCCAGACTGGTGTGTATCATTGACATAATGATATTCCATTAACGGCAGGTTTATACGGGACTGTCACCACATCATTCCACTTCTGTGATATGAAAAGTTACCGAATTTCAGCAGGAAGCTGCAGGACACACACATGGCAACTGGAAATGAAGCAGTACAGCCACTCTAAAATGTCTGCAGGCATAAACAATGCTGAAACCAGCATCACGTATAACCACCCCAATACCATCACAAGCACATTAATATCCTTTAAGAGAAAACTTTCGTCTTTACCCAGGCATTTTGATGGTGGAAAGATACTGTTCCTGGTAGCACTGATAGTATTAGTTGTGGGAGTACATATGTGATTGTTTCACATATTTTTAGAAGCTTTAATCGTTTTTACATATGTTCTTTTGTTTTTATTTGTTTTGTTACAGTTCTGCTTGCCACCCTCGGCTACTTTGGGAAGAAGGGCAGGATATAAATGTGATGAAGAAGTAAAATCATCATGACTGCACAATTGGAGGAGTCCTAAGCATCTGAAATCATAGTGCTTAGTTAGTACAACACAGTGCTAAGTCTAGCATGAACTGGAAAAGCACTGCATTCAAATTGGTATTTACAAATGCATTGGCTTTTACCCACTAGCACAACTTTTTAGACATTTGTGAAGTTTAACAGCCTGCCACTGAACTAATCTCAATAGGAATTCTCAAAGTCTCAATGAAATAAAAGGGTGAGAAGCCAGACAGGCACAAACTATAAGCAGTGTCTTCCAAGAACCACTAAAAGTCCAAGACTACCAACCATTCCACATTCTCACTCCCAGAATGGAAGAGCAGATGGAGGGGAAACGGGTAGCCCAGAGTTATTTGTTTAACAAGCACAGGAAAGCTGCCTGGCATACCACCGGGTGAAGTATTGACAATACTAGCAGGCAATGGTGCTTACTTCTGCTGGTGGTCTTTACTGGCTAAGATGGAGAGGGATGCAAACAGCAGCTCATCACCTTTATTCCTGGTCAATATCAATTGCAACCTGCGTGTGAAAACCCGACAAGGTAAGCCTCCCATACCCTGAAGCTGAGAGAGCTGTCTGTCTATAAGAAAAGGTGCCTGAAGAATACAAACCATGAAGTTTCCCAAATCATTTCAGGAACAAATAACTTCTCCATTCTGCTTTCCTGTACTCCTGCTACAGGAAATGGGAAGAGAATGTAACAATACCATGGAGACCTAGACTCTTTTCCGGGAGTCAATGCCTTCCATACTAATCACTGTCCTCCCTGCAAGCCCTAGACACAGAGGTCGGGAGAGGAAAACTGAATAATGAAGAGAAATGGGGGCAAATGATCACTGCCCTGATAACGCTGCTATCTCCTACTCTCCAAGCCACAAATTCCTACTTGGGAGGGGCTCAAAATAACCTTGTTTCTCAAGAGCAGCAAAGTGACGTTTATCAGAGGTAAGGAGAATGCATACAATGTTAGATTGATAAATATTTTAAGTCAGGAATAATATGGACTGCATATTTTATTTTATTTTAAAACAAGGTCCTAGATTCAATTTTTATGACAGAATTCATCCAGGCAAAAAACAGAATCATTTCTGGGCAGAGACAGTGTGTGAGCTGTCAGGAAAAAAATATCAAGGGACAGTTTACAAAACAACTAATAACACAATTTTACATGTGCATGCATTTGTCTGTAGTGGTTCCCAAAAATATAACCCTAACCAATCATCTGAGAGAGTCTGGAATGCCTGCAGAGGCTTTTCTGCTCATTGTCAAAGCCATCAATGACTCATAAAACCTGCAGAGTTTCTGCCAGGTCATTAGTTTCATTAGAAACCAACTAAGTTTGTTACTGGTATGAGCTTTTGTGTGCATGCACTTCTTCAGATATCAGGTATCAGATATCAGGTATCTGAAGAAGTGTGCATGCACACAAAAGCTCATACCAATAACAAACTTAGCTGGTCTCTAAGGTGCTATTGGAATGACTTTTTTTTATTTTATTTCGACTACGGCAGACCAACACGGCTACCTACCTGTAATTAGTTTCATTGTTAGGATACAAAGGGATGTGAAAATTGCATATGATTAAATTCTCTCCCCCCCCCCCACTTTTCCAAATAAATAGTTTTTAGATAAAGCCTATTATATAATTCTGGGATTGCCCATAGCTGCAAAGGCACCTTTCAGTACTTCCCTTGGAATCACTACCGCATTCATTGTGAAGTGATAAGGGTGGTTCTCTTATCTCCCCTTGAGAAAAGCAAAAGGAGAAAAGATGAAAGAGCAATATTCTTTCCCACTTCCTCTTTCAGATCTATGTTCTTTTCAAGTCTCATACTGGCACCCTGAGTCTTGATGCCAAACCACAGTCACAACCACTCCTGACTAACGTGGGGCTCGAGCTCTGTGCTGAACTTAAAATTCCTTGCCAACTGCAAGTCCTGCTTCTGGCAATGACATGTTCCACTGGGGAACTCCCAAATGGAACCAACACACATGGGGCTTGCAAGTGATGCCAACTTAAGAGGCCCAAATCTAAGTCCTGCTTGCCAAGGAACTATTAAGAGTGTTCCAAATTGCTCCTTTACAGCCATGGCTTTCCCTACCCCATGTCACATGGTATCAGTTGGGTGTGGCTTGAGAAAAATGATCTCACAAGCCAAATTGAGACCTAAGGGCATGGGAGTAAATCTGGCCTGCTGAGTAGAGCTTCCCGAAGCCTGATTTAGGGCATCAGAAGACTTTCTAATTTTCCAGTACTGTATACCCATATCTCTGACAAAGAAGTGTATATTATCACAGGTTCACACCGGTATCAGTATTAAATTGCATAATAGAATCATGGAACGGACCCCGACAATCATCTAGTCCAATCCCCTACAATGCAGGAAAGTGCAGCTGTCCCATACGGGCACCAAACTTGCAACCTTGGCATTATCAGCACCAGGCTCTAACCAACTGAGCTATCCTGGCTGACAAGATTTAAATGCCAGACTAAATACTTCTCTTGTAACACATGGTCCTCTATTCACTTCTTATTATTATTTGGAGATCACTCGTAGCTGAATAAGATTGTCTTCCATGAACACAGTCTTAACAGTGAGTCCGTAAGTGACTGTGGAGGCCAATTCCGGATACACACATCCTTCCACAGTGAGGACATACGTTTCCAGACAGGAGTTGATCATGGTGAAGGTTTGCCAAAAGTGCCTTTCTCTTAGCATGTTTCTCCCTTTCGTTCTGACTTTAAGCATCTTCAAAGTCCATGACACCTTTGGTAAAGGCTGTTCTCCAATTGGAGCGCTCACAGTCCAGTGTTTCCCAGTTGCTGGTGTTTATACTATTTTTTTTTAGATTTGCCTTGAGAGAGCCTTTAAACCTCTTTTGTTGACCACCAGCATTGCACTTTCCGTTTTTAAGTTCAGAATAGAGTAGTTGCTTTGGAAGATGATAATCAGGCATCCGAACATGACCAGTCCTACGAAGTTGATGTTGAAGAATCATTGCTTCAACACTGGTGATCTTTGCTTATTCCAGCATTAGTTCGCCTGTCTTCCCAAGTGATATGTCTATTCACTATGGTATGCCAAAGAAGTGTCTTAGCTGCACATGCGTACCCAAACAATTCAGATGAAGATTTTTTGTTTAGAAATGATGTTATCAATAGTATGTGTGATCAGTTGTTTTTTTTAATGTTCAGTAAAAGAATCACTGGAGAGTACACCAATTTCTCAGCAGTTTATGGAGAAATTTGTCAACTCTCATTTGCACTGCCAAAATTACATTCAGGCAAATTCATGCATAACCTAGGTGATCTAGAAACCAACAGAAATCCTCTTGCATGTAGTCAGGTTCTGCATTACTGTAACAGCATGTACAAGAACTCGTTTATGGCAGTGCCTCAGTCCAACTATGTTATTAAAATGAGGTTCTCAATCTGGGACTGCTCCTACACCTCACAAGAGGCCAAAGTAGCCTCTGTGGCATAAGGTGATTTCAGTTGTGGCTGCTGCTCCAGCTGCAGCATCTGGACAGATATAGCCTAGCCTAGCCACTGCAATCTATCCTCTGACAGCATTCACAACCGATATGTGCAATGGCCAAAAGCTCTTTCCTGAATCCCCCCTGCCCTCTAACCTCATGGAAAGCAAGGTCTGAGTAATTGTACCCCATTTGTGTCATTCCTTTGCTTGGCCTTGATATCCTTCTGATGTGGAGCAAAAAAATATTTGTTCTCCCAGGCTTTTAAAAATTTTACTATAATCTGCTGTTTTAATCACTGGTCTTACTGCTTTTTGTGTATGTTTCATATTGATTTTATTATGGCAGGCATCCCCAAATTCGGCCCTCCAGCTGTTTTGGGACTACAATTCCCATCATCCCTGACCACTGGTCCTGTTAGCTAGGGATAATGAGAGTTGTAGTCCCAAAGCAGCTGGAGGGCCGAGTTGGGGGGTGCCTGTATTATGGTATTTTCTTTTCTTATAAAGCCATTGTGGAAAAGTTTGGCTGAAAGTCAACAAACAAATAACAACAACAATAATAAGCAACATAAGCAATAAAATAAAAAGCCCAATTATGGTCACACTTTTACCAAATATGTATGAATTTGCTTCCAGACCAGTCCTATGCTTCTCCTGTGTTTGCTCTATTGCTTGCACGGCACTTCTGCTTGTAGGCTACGCTTCAATCTGATCAGTTGCTATCCTGTTCTACACTCAGTGTGTGTTCCTTTTACACCATTATGGTGATAGGGGCAATTCTGGGAACAGGAAAAAGTAGTGGCATTCAAGGACCCAAACTCACTAGCATCATGTTACGATAGCCCAGCAAATTGCCCGTTGCCCTGCCCTGTTAATCTCTGCCAGGCAGCAGCCCAAGTTTGGATTAAGTCATAAATTTCTTACACAGATAAAGGAAGGAGGAACTTCTGTCTGCACAAGTGGAAATCTGCCTTGCACTAGGGAATAAGGTCAAAACTACTGTATCGGTTAATCCTTTTAATAAATTAAACAAACTGGATATTGAGTGTACAGATGTGCAGGATGCAGCCAGGAAGAAGCAGGATTTGCTTCTACTTAATAAGAGTAATTCCCCCTTCCAGAAAGCTTCATCCAAGCCATGGAGATATGATGGCTGTGCTGTCACTATCACCTACTGCCAGGAAACCTTGACAGTATATAAAGCAATATGCAGGCACAAGCATTCAAGTGTCGCTACTGACTGACTAGCCTGAATTTTTTTTATCGTCTGAAAGCAGGGGATGGGGGAAGGATGGGAAGAGATTTTTAGAGGAAATGTCTCAAGCCCAGTCTCCCCAACTTGGTTCCTTTAAGCTAAGAAGACAACTGCCAGTCATGGCTTATGAGCAGGTAGGAAAAGGGGCAACTGCCCCATTTGTGTTGTCAAAATCCCATTTCTCCACTTTAAGCTTCTGTAATATAGATACATATATATGTATATGAACACTGATTTTCAACAGTAACACCACAAGTGTAACATAAAAAGAAAAAGAACACAGGAAGTACATATTATTGGGCAGCCAGTTACAAAAAGTAACAGTAAGGGACGTACATAATAGGTTCTCGGATTAATTACCAGTAGTCCTTTCCATAGAGATACATGGGTTATAAGGGGTTTCCATAGAGATACATGGATTATACGGGGTTGCAATAACTGCACGGGCTTATTGATGTGATCAATAAACTAAGACGCACGTGCCTAAAATTCTCCACCTCTCTCCACCTGTCCATTCATAACTCCCCTGTGTTGGGCCAAGCGTTCAGAAAGTGCTATTTCCCCCCATATACGCGCATACCAGGATGAGCGCAAAGTTCAGACGGGTCTCCTGTTTCCCACCTGGCAGCACCTGGGAGAAAAGCGACTTGCTAGAGGCTCCTTTGAAGCTGCACGGTGGCAGCCCTTAAGCGACAGGGGAAGCGGGGTGGCCGGCGGCGGCACAAAAAACGCAGCCGAGGGAGGATTACGCACGCTTGGTAGCCACGGAATGCTTGACCAACAAGATGGGGAGGGAGGGAGGGAATCTGGGGGGAAGCAACCAGACTGGAGTAAACTCCGTCTGAACACCCGGCCCTCCGCCCTGGAAGTGCCTCCTTGCAAATTCAACTTTGTCCCAATATATCTCTTGAGACTGTGAGCCTGGAACTACCTGAGGCGCGGGCGCTCCTGGCTTCCCTCCCCCTCCCGCCTGGAGCAAAGGCACAGGCACCCCCACCCCGCGCTACTAATACTCAGGCGCTCCTTCCTCGCAGGAAGCGCAGGCCCCGGCGTCCCCAGACGGTACCTTTCCGGCGGCTCTCGCTGGCTGCAGCCTGCGCTTCTCGCCGCGGCCCTCCAGGCGCCGCCGCTGCCGCCGCCGCCGAGCTGCCTGCGCACGGGCAAGGCAGAGTCCCCCTGGCGCCGGGCCGCCTCCTGCTCCAGCGACAGAGCCAGCTGGCTGAAGGCGTAGAGCAAGGAGCACAAGCCGCAGCCCAGGCACAGCAAGACCACCTGCACCAGCCGGCGGCTCATCCTCCGGCGGCCCCGGCTGCACCGCGCAGCAGCCGGGGCCTAACCGGGAGCGGGAGCGCCAGCGGCGGAGGCGGCGGCGGCAGCAACAAAAGCAACGCGGCGACCGCAGCGAGCAAGTCAGCCAAGGCGGCGGCAGCGGCGAGTGCAGCAAAGGCGGCGGCGACGCCGCTGAGGTAGTAGCAGGAGAGCTGCCCCGAGAGCAGGAGGAGGAGGAGGAGGAAGAAGGCGGAGGCGAAGAGGCCCGGGCTCTCAGGGCGGAGCCAGGCGGCGGGGAGGCGGCGAGGGGTGGGGTGAGAGGCGTGTTGTGGGCGCCTGACGATGGTGGAGGCACGAGAGCGGCGGGAGGCCTGTCCTGGCGGCGGCTGGGAGCGCTGCAGCGTCGAGCGAGGGAGGGAGGCGAAGGGCAGAAGTCGGTGGCCGCCCCCCCCCCCCCGTTCCACCTTTGCTAGGACAGAGCTCTCGACTGGTGTGTCTCCACACGTTAGTGTGTCGGCTGCAGGGCGACAGGCGAACTAATATCAGTGTACTGGAAGAAGCAAAGATCACCAGTGTCGAAGCGATGATTCTTCAACATCAACTTCGTTGGACTGGTCATGTTGTGCAGATGCCAGATTATCGTCTTCCAAAGCAACTACAGTGGTACCTCGGGTTAAGAACTTAATTCCTTCCGGAGGTCCGTTCTTAACCTGAAATTGTTTTTAACCTGAAGCACCACTTTAGCTAATGGGGCCTCCTGCTGCCGCCACACCGCTAGAGCACGATTTCTGTTCTCATCCTGAAGCAAAGTTCTTAACCTGAAGCACTATTTCTGGGTTAGCAGAGTCTGTAACCTGAAGCATATGTAACCTGAAGCGTATGTAACCCGATGTACCACTGTACTCTATTCCAAACTTAAAAATGGAAAGCACAATGCTGGTGGTCAACAGAAGAGGTTTAAAGACCGTCTCAAGGCAAATCTTAAAAATTGTAGTATAAACACTGACAACTGGGAAACACTGGCTTGCAAGCGCTCCAGTTGGAGAACAACTTTTACCAAAGGTGTCATGGGCTTTGAAGACACTTGAACTCAGGACACAAGGGAGAAATGTGCTAACAAGAAGGCACGCTTGGCAAATCCACACCGTGATCAACTCCAGCCTGGAAACCAATGTCCCCACTGTGGAAGGACGTGTGGATCCAGAAATGGCCTCCATAGTCACTTATGGACTCACTGTTAAAACCATGTTTATGGAAGACAATCTTACTCGGCTACGAGTGATCACCAAAGAAGAAGTAGGTGTTTTGTGTGAACGCTTCCCCACGGGTTGGAAATAATAATAATAATTTGTTATTTATAACCCGCCCGCCCGCCTGGCTGTATGTATGTATGTATGTATAAATAAATGAATAAAATCATCATCATCAGAATACTTGTGCAGACCCAAATCATGTTGTGGAGTGGCCAACCCCCAAGTACTTGCCTTCTATGGTCTTTACAGTGTCAGCAAGTATGATAATTTTGGTTAAAACTATTCTAGAGCTCAAGAGTGGGACTCTCCTGATCATAGCAGTAGATGATATGGGGTATGCCAAAGCTTATTTGGGAGTTCAGGATATATAAACTTTATTTGGGGACATTAAATCTTTCCTTTTAGAACTTAAAAGCAAATAAGGCACAGGGAACTAATAACAAACTTCTGCACTGGGGTTGAATATGTACTGGTGGTATGTAGCAGCCACAATTCTTGGGACCCTTAACAGACTACAGTTCCCAGAATTCTTGGTTGTGGAAGAAGGTGGACTTTTTATATGCAAGCTGTGTAAGATTATAGCCATGATATCCAGTAACATGAAAGTTCTTTGCTCTAAACACAAAGTGGCAAGTTTTTTGTGTGAAGCAGTTATTCTATTGACATGAAAAGTATCTGAAAAATAGAGCTTGTTTTAACATTTCATGAAATTGCATATACTGTATCCAGTCTTTTGTTATGGCACCCAGGTCACTTACCGTGGCTAGTCTGCTGTTCCAGAGATGGCTATATTGTGTCATCACAAGCTACCCTCCCTAGGATTAGTAGCATTGATCACAAATAATAAGATAAACAACCTTTTTTAGCATTATGTACGGTATTTAAGAAACTTTCAAGGGGAGGAATGCAAATGCTTTATCTTTTTGGGGGGATGTCTTACCTGGTGGGGGTAATCTGAAAAGCAGTGGTTCCCAACCATTTTTTTTACGGTGATCGACAAGTCCAAATTTACTTGGTAGGGTGACACAATTTATTATCACATGAGTTTTGAACTTTAGGTCTTCAACAGCTGTCAGTTTTGTGTATTTTAACTGCACATTTGCCTATTTTATAACCATTACTTAAAAGCATCCGAGCAAAAATTTACTTAATGCATAACTTGTTGAAATATTTATAGTAGTTACAAGGCTATTCAGAGTTTTGCTTATGGGAATGTCAGAACACCAACCATCAAGTTGCAGGATTTAAGCTATAAAATATATATTCTAAAAACATAGCATTTACACAACCAGTGTTAGATATAATGAAACTTAGAAATATTCACATTTTAACGATAAAGCCCACTTTGGAAAGACTCGGGAGGATGGCTGAACTTGTAGTTTGCCAACAGGTTAGTCAATGCGGGGTTTGAAGATTATAGTCTCAGACAATTATTGATACATAACCTGCTTCTGTATTTCATCTTCATAGCAATCATTGCTGAAAAACCCAACTACCCTTACTGGCAGATGGTCATACAGGGAGTTGCTTTGAGTGACTATTACATATTGCTTCTGAAGTACAGGCACTGTCTTTGGTATCTATGATTAAGAGTCAGGCTGCTTATAAAGCCCATAGCTCACTTGTGAGTTGCAAGCCACAGGCTAGAAAAAGTGTCCTCTAAGTAGATAAATAGGTACCGCTCTGGCAGGAAGGTAAACGGCGTTTCCGTGTGCTGCTCTGGTTCGCCAGAAGCAGCTTAGTCATGCTGGCCACATGACCTGGAAGCTGTACGCCGACTCCCTCGGCCAATAAAGCGAGATGAGCGCCACAACCCCAGAGTCATCTGCGACTGAATCTAATGGTCAGGGGTACCTTTACCTTTACCTTAAGGTACCTCCAGCTCAAGTTCCTAAGGGGGAAATGATGGTACAAATGGAGCAGGCATACTATTACCAAACACTGATAGTTGTTTAAATAAACATATTTGCTGGAATATAAGAATCACCTAGTAATTACCTCTTGGAATGTGCCACGAAATAGTTTTGTTCCGGAAACATTTATAAATCTGACCAGAGTTTTGCTTATTAAAAGGAAACACAGTTCAGTGGGTGAAATTGTTCCCTTTCCAGTAAATCCAGAATTGCATCATCACATCAGACTTTCATGGTGCAGCAATTAGTCAGAGGTATAATTATTGGGGAATTGCAAAACCGCTCTTTCCCCATGTCCTTACTCCACAGAAAATTAAATTGCTCACAAACACATTCAATAATTATTTTTTTTTTAAAAATTCTCTTTATATACTATACCGTATGCTAGGTGAACAGTGTTTCTTGTATCATCCATCAGAGCAGATATATTCTACAGTTTTCCTTCCATTTTCCCAACACTGCAATTGTTTCTTCAAAAATAAGGGATTCAGCATGGATGCGCAATCTGCTGCTGTCAGAGGTAGCAAGGATACGTTTGTGGGCTGTAATGGACTGCTGCTGAAGGATTTCCTGCCTGGTTAACTTGTATAAGGGTCATCTCAAACAAGTACGCCTTTTTCTCTGATCTATTCAGAATTAATGTTCCAAGCTTCCCAGGGAAAGACAACCCCCCTCACCAAAATGAATACACATATTCCCTGCGTCTTGTATAAGCAGAATTTTTCAGATATATTGTCCAATGGCCAACTATCATTCTCTTGGTTACCAAACTTTCAACAGCGAAAAACACAAGAAGCTAAAATGAGTCTGTATATATACTTCACTAAACAACTATCCAATTAATGAACCTTACATGTTTCCAATTGATGGGTGGAGTATTTGGCTTATACTGGTGTTGTTGGCATCCTTCTGTCTCAGGAGACAATGCAGTGTGCCTCCAGGGGTGAAGTCAAACAGATGGAGAATCACAGCACCTGGTGCGGCTGCAGATTCCCATAACCCATAACTGCTGCTTCCTGCATTGTTTTTGCTGCATTAGCAGCACTTAAGTGACCTCTTTTCCTCTTCAAGCACTAGCCACTGGATGCAGGATTCCCCCCCGTTTTGTAATACTTGCTTGCAAACTGCTTAAAAGTGACACCTTAACCATGCAATTAATGGAGGTTTATTTAGAATGTATTCTGTAACATTTCAACTTGGTTGGTAACAGTATTTCGTATGCATCAGTATATCTAAGCAGCATGTTACTGAACCACACTCCTCCAAATTTCTCAGAGTAATAGTGGGTTCCACCTGATTTTATATTATTTTAACTCTTGTGCTTCTTTAAAACATCCATGCCAACATTAGCTCCACAGTCTGTAAAAAGGATAAAACAATACAGCAAAGGTCTCTTAAATGTACTTATTTTTAAGAATTATGGCATTACTCATTTTATTACTCTTCCGAAATGTTAGCTATGAAATGCCTTTTTTTTAAAGAGTATTTTTCTCTTCTTGCTTAAAACATGAATTACAGTCTCATTACTGCTTCTATTTCATCATAATTTGTCTCTTAAGGTTGACAACTGGATGATATCCCACAGCATGAGTTAAGCAAATGTGTTATACAAATACGAATTGGCTCTAATAGAAGGGGCCCTGAGGAAATAATGTGTTTATGGTCACTTTCAAATGTCGTAACACCCATGAAGTTGCTCAGGTAAGATTCATGATTACGGAGTGCGGTGGGAAAGGAAATTTCTGAAATTATGGAATACCTACGATAGAGGATATGATTACATCAAAAGGCCGTAGGCTCAATCCCCAGCAACTCCAGGTAGGGCTGATATACCTGAAACCCTGGAGAACCACTGCTAGCCATTGTTGACAATTGTTGAGCTAGCAGGACTAAGGCAGCTTCCTACCTACATCTGTGTGCCTATAGAAAATGTAATCTTAATAACTAAATATGCCAATTACTGTTTCACCAGCATAGCATGTATATTTTGTTTTAACTAGAATTTTTTCAAACACTTAAGTAGCTATCATACTACTTATTTTACCTTTTACCATGAACATTATCTAACACAATTTATATATACAGTCGTTCCTTGGATGGATTCTGTTTGACTTCCAAAATATTCGAAAACCAAATCACAGCTTCTGATTGACTGCAGGAAGCTCCTGCAGCCAATCAGAAGCTGCGGAAGCCCCATTGGACATTTGGGTTCCAGAAGAACATTCACTAACTGGAACAATCACTTCCGGGTTTGGGAGCCAAAATGTTCGAGTTCCAGGAAGTTTGAAAACCAAGGTACGACTGTATAAAAAAAACACCTTTGCCAATATTTAGGAGGAAAAGAATTGTTTACATTGCTCCCACATAAAAAAACCACCAATATTTTTTACCTGTACTTTAAAGCCATTAAAACCCAAGCAGAGAATGCCTGTTTCATAGCACAGTATTATAACCAACAGTCCATGTCAGCAGTAGTCCATTTGAAAACAACAACACCCTGTTATTAAAATTAGATTTTAAGACAGCAACACCAAGAAATGAGTTATGCAAGTTTTAGATATCACATCAGACTTTCATTTTATGCAACTAACTATATTTCACAACTAACATTGTACAAAATAGATAGTACCATTGTGCCTGTAGAAGTACTGCAGTTAAAAACAGAAATAAAATACAATACTACAAGAAACCAGCAAACATCACAATTGTCAGGGGCTACAAAATTCCATTGTTCTAGCTGAAATGATATTAAGCATACGTATTTAATATTTTGGAGTTAGATTTACTACCAAATATCCCATCTAATTTTTCACATTGGTTCACAAAATAAATATTTTCAATTAATGATGGTTTCCCCTGTAACAATACTCCAATGGATTTTGTACCAAATCTGATCCAACAACAATAAAAACGCTAACAACCTAATCCTATGTATATCTTCTCAGAAGTAACTTCCACTGAGCTGAAATCGGCTTACTCCCAGCTAAGTGTGCACAGGATTACATCTTAAAATATGCCAGACATCCTCTTGTAACTTTGTTCTTCCAGGACACTTACTGCTGTAAGCCCCAAAGTAAAGCAATATATGGGGTGGGAGTTTTTGCTGTTGAATCAGTCTATTAAGCTTTTGCAGATGCAGAGCCCTGAGCACAACATGTTTGGAGAGGTACAAGCTAGGATGTTTTCACAACTGATGCCAAAACACCTTCACCTTTGTAAAGTGCAATTCTAAGTATGTTTACTCCAAAGTAAATTCCACTCAATATAATGGTCCTTACTCCTTAATAACTACAGTCTCAGATAAGTATAAATGCTCAAGATTGTGCTCATGGGTTTTAATCCTATAAATACTTACCTGGGAGTAAGTCCCATTGAATTCAGTGGGACATGTCTAAGTTGACATGCACAGGATCCCACTGTCAATTTATAATGCATCACTTCCAAATAGTTAGTACGCCATACAAGTGGGAAAGAATCAGAATGTACATTGTCATCAGTGGATGTCCATTTGATGGGCAAAGTCATGAATAAAAACACCCTTAGAATTACAAACCATGTCCCCTCCCATTCTACAGTTCTAATGCAAGAATTATTAATTAATTTGTGCACCAAAACACTTAACTGATCGTAAACAAAATGGCAAAACCTATACTCATAAAAATATTTTATTGGAAAGTTTACATAATACCGACTGGGACTGTAAATCTTGTTCTGTATCTATATATTGCTAAATGCATAAATGTTCACAACTATGTCAAAAACAAAGAACTGCATTTTTCCTATGATTTGCTCTATAATATTTAATAAAGGATTTTTGTTTTTCAAAGCAAAAGGCTGATATAGGAACAAATGTTATATATACACACTACTTGCTTATTTATTCACTCTGGTGCAACGTTTAATATCACTGGCTTGGATCCAAAAGGCTGCACAGGGAGTATCCACCACACACATACACAGAATGGCTTCCAAGGCTTACCACCTTTCATCTACAGTCCCCTGCACCACCCACTCCCAAGGCTCCAAAGAACTTTGGGAAAGGGATCCGTTGCAGTGCAATGAGCTATGGCTGGAGAAGAAAATGGAAACTGCAAGCCTGCATTAAAACTCTTCTATAAACTTAAGGCTGCAATCTTATATGCACTATCTGGAAGTAAGTCTCACTGAACTCATTGGGATTTACTTCTGAGTAGACATGTACAGGATTGCAATGTAAAAGCCTCTTTGGATCCCAGCCTCTAGCTGAACTGATATATCACTATAACACTGAGCAAGTCTGGGAGAAGGAAAGAATAAGCCAAATGAGAACATTATCACGTTTTGGATGTATCAACAGCAGTTAGATATTAAAATCTAGATTTAAAAAGAAAACAAAACAGAAAATGCCTAATAATTTGAGAACAAATTTCTGTTCAATAACATAGAATACCAGTGTATAAGGACAAGGTAGTACTATACTTGAGTTATAAAGCTAAACAATTAATGCTTGTAACAGATTTACTTATTTTTCCCTTGTAAACATTACAATAAATGTTCTAAATGTGTGAGGAAAATATTGGAGAAGCCAGCAACATAATTCAGTAACAGTAATCTAGTAAAATGTGTCAGACATTGGCAAAAATTCATACAAATGTTTTTTTTTTTTATTTAATAACATTTTTCCTATTCAACCACACCAAGTACCAGCAGGTGTTTTAAAGATAATCATTACGAAAAGTCTTTTGCAGCAATAGTTGATTAAGTTGATCTTTGACTTGCATACATATAACTATGTTTCACAATTCTCAAATAATACATATTTAGGCAGCTTGAACTATGTTATAAAAAAATTCAATTCAGTACATGCCAATAGTATAGAATCCAAGAGTTGTGTTAGAATTCACTAAACTAAAGGTGAAAATGGACTTACCAGTAACACTGCATCAAGAACATTCAAACCACATTTTCATGGCACCTTTGTATATGAAGATTAAAAAGTCATCTGAAAAGGTTTTGTAGATTGCAATGAAATTTAATTTCACTGCTGCACTTGTTTTGTATAAAACTGCATAAATCATATTTGAGTAAACATACAAATCGTGCACTGTGGATAACAAGTCATGAAAATGTGGTAACTGTTGGCAGAAGTTGTGTACATTTGCAAGTTTGGAGAGGAAAGACTAAAGAAACTGGAGTAAATAAACTTTAATGAGATTCTCCATTCAGTGATGAGGCTTCTCCTCTCGGTGAAGACGACCTGGACATTCCTCTCTCTGTATTGTCAGAACTAGAACCGCTCTGGCTGTGCTGATCTGCAGAAGCTGCACTGGAAGCAGGTGGTGACTTTGTTTTTTCCTTAAAGTCTGTAATAATGACTGTCAGATCACCAACAGTAACTTCCAAGTGTTGGGCGCTACTTCGATCCACATTTTTCAACCTGGGCCTAGAGTAATATAAATAATCAAGGAGGTCATTCAGAAATCATCTGAATCTTTTATGTTAAGGTTATATTTGAAGCCCAAACATATGTAAGAAGCTGCCATATTCTGAATTGTATCATTGGTCTACTCTAGGATGACATTTTTTAAACTTAATCTGACAGCAGTTTTCCAAGATAATAGATGGTTTTTCCCAACACAGTTCCCAGAGACCTTGGATTGTATCCAACACTGAACAAGTGGCATTCCACTTGCTCAGTGGGACTTCCCTTTCCTTTCCGCGTATTCCCCCAAAGTCTATTCCAGAGGGTCCCCCAAAATCCTCTATGAATTTAAAGGACCAACACCCACACTTCATATAGGTGATGTATGCTCCCTTTGGCAAGCTCCAGAGAAGAGTCTGGCCACTGCATTCTGGACCAGCTGAGGTTCCATGGAACTCATCAAAGTCAGCTTACATAGAGTGTATTACTGTGCTTCAAATGAGTTATGGCAACACCATAGTGGCAAAATCCTCATTGTGTAGGAAATTTTGAAGCCAGTACATTATGTCTAGCTGGAAAAGAATGCTCCTCTCTACTATCACAACCTGCAATTCAAGCTACAGCAATTGGGGGAGTGCAATCCTGTTCCCAACAAACTGCACACCTATTCTCAGATCAATGTCTCATCTGGATGGAGTTTCATTCCCTTCATATGACCTCTCTTGGTGGCCTCAGACAGAGAAGGGGTGATAAGATGGGCTAATTTCAAATTCTAATTAAATAGTAATGGTGTCTATCATAATGGTTACTTTTATTGAAGATAATGTGGGCAGCAGAAATTTACACCCCAACACATGGGGATGGGGTGGTTTCATAGTTGGGAGTAATTGTTCAACCATGTTTAATCAACTGGCAAAGCTGCCCTATATTATAAGACAATTGACCCTGGTTATATTACATATATAACAACCATCTGACTGTATTAGCATATACTAATAAATATAGTTTAGATTCTGTAAAAATATACAGGTTTCTGCTGCCAGTAGAAATTCATTCCACCATCTGAACCTTTCTAAAGTGCACAAGTGCAGTGTGCATATAGTTTGTCCAATTTTCAGACACTTTATTGACTGACTGCAAATTTCCTTTTCTCAATCTGAGGCCAATTAAAATGTCTAAAAGGTGAAATCTCTGAATTTTGTTCCCTTTCTATCTTACTTTCCACTTTGCTGAAATGCTTCTCACTATTAAAAGACAGACTTTCATGACCAGAATTTTGAGAGGAGGTAAAAATGCTGGTACCAGATTTTTCTAGAAATCAGGGTATATAATTATTATTATTATTTATTAAATTTATATCCTGGTCTTCATCTGAAGATCTCAGGTGCCATTTTAAAAAATATAGATACATGAACGATGTGCTCAGCAACATATGAACATAGATACAGGTATATATTAGGCCCTTTCTGAAGATACACACTTTCCTGTGGTTTGATTCAATCTAACAGCGGAGTACGTAAACATTGCAACTATGTGGGTAGGGATCATTGTGAGACTCTTTACCCTTTTCTAAGAATTTTGCAGAGATTATCTCATTTTGTTCTCTAAGTAACAGAAAAAGTACCAAAGTTTACCTTGTTTTCTTGTGACTGTTCTTTTTGCTAGTCGTTTCCTTTTCACTTTTTTCTTTTTCTACTTTGTCTTTTTTCTCTTTCTTTGATTGTGTAGGGGGCACAAATTGCTGCGTAACCTGTTGTGCAACCAGTTGAGAGACAGGTCGAGGTTTCCTGTGTGTAAATGGATGAGAGAAATTAAACTCCCTGGCATCAGTAAATGCAGTAAAATTTCTGCACGAAAATATTTTTTTTGTAAATTGATCACAGTTAACAATACACCCACTCCACACAGAACCCTATTTAGATTTGTGAATGTAGGCTTCATTTTCTAAAGAACAACTAAATACACTTTGAAGTTCTTGAAACAGTGAAGCCTCTCCTCCCCAACAACTTCCACTGGCACAAAAGTGTGTAGCACAAAAGTATTTTTAGTCTAACTAGACTAAAATATAATGCACATAGGAAGAAAGGAAGATGTGTTGTATCAGTCAGACCATGATTTAGCTCTGCATTTTCAAGACAGGATACAGCTCTCTAGAGGTTTCAGGCATGAGCCATTTCCAGCCCTATCCAAACAAAAAACAAAAAAACCCAGGGATTGAATCGGGGACTCTTTGCATTCGAAGCATGTATTCTATCCACTGAGCTATGGCCCTTCCCCAAGTCCCAGGAAAATTCCTAAAAAGAAAATATTATCCCATCAGTGACCTTAAGATTTCTATTGAAGGGTACCCAGTTGCGAAACTCTAAGGCTTTTTTTGATAAAACCTCTGTGTGCTAAAGTGGATATGGCAACTTCACAATCTCATGCACACACATGGGATACATGCACACACAGCCCCCTTCTACAGCTGATCCATGCAGATAAGATAAGGATGGGTTTTCCATCAAATGGCTGATTGATGACTAGATAGGGGATAGTCTGCATGCCTGCTGGGCAGAAAGATCTTAAGACTTCTCCACCCACTTCTATGGCAGTGTGTACTACTGTGTCTACTACTATTAGATTTACCTGGAAATTATTTTTATTACAATATGTAAAAATATTTGCAGAAATGACAACTCAGTAACATTCAGGTACAGCAAGCTGTTAACACACTAATTTTAAAATTCCTAAGGAACCATGTATGACATACATACATCCTAAGAACAATCATCTGAAAATTGTTAATGACAACTTTTAAACTGCTCAAATTGACTGGTATTTTATCCATATCAGTTGTACTTATTTATTAACTGCAATTATATAGCTACCATATAACAGGTGTTCTTTGGGCAGCTCACAAACAAATAAGTAATATAAAACTATAGGGTTGTATAAACTGAGTGCTACTCAAAATAGCTGAACTGAAACCAGTAGTCTGCATCCAATGGTGTTGCTCAACTGACAGTAAAGTTTTCATGGAGGGATGAGGATGGAAAGCATTTTCAGCAACGCCGCTTCCCACTGTACTCCCCTCCTGCCCTAGCCTTCTCTAAATCTGTTCCAGAAAGTTAGGAGACCATTCAGAGCAGAGTAAGAGAAGACAGAAGGCTGCAGAGAATTTCTGAAAATTGCATGCATTGGTAAGAGCTTAAATGCCAGCTGACAACACCTTTCATACAACACTAAGGATTTTAGTTTGTCATTTTCACTGATTTCAATACAACCTATCACAGGTTAATTTTAAAAGACAACTCAAATGATACGTCTTACATATTTTTTGGAAATTCATTTTTTTACATAAAATTTCACTGAATTAAAAAAGCAAACTACAAAAAGTTGCCGAAGTATTTCTTAGAAACTAGTCATTTAAGCTTACTTAACACGGGTGGCACTGTGGTCTAAACCACTGAGCCTCTTGGGCTTGCCGATCGGAAGGTCGGCGGTTCGAATCCCCGCAACGGAGTGAGCTTCCGTTGCTCTGTCTCAGCTCCTGCCAACCTAGTAGTTCGAAAGCAAGATAAATAGGTACTGCTGTGGCAGGAAGGTAAATGGTGTTTCCATACACTCTGGTTTCTGTCATAGTGTTCCGTTGTGCCAGAAGTGGTTTAGTCATGCTGGCCACATGACACGGAAAGCTGTCTGTGGACAAACGCCGGCTCCCTCGTTCTGAAAGCGAGATGAGCGCTGCAACCCCATAGTCGCCTTTGACTGAACTTAACCGTCCAGGGATCCTTTACCTTTTACTTAACACAGATTCTCTAACCAACAAAACTGAAGTAAAGAGTATTCTAATTTGTAGGTTCACACTTTTAGGCATACAGTGATAAATTCATTCATGCCCTGGACAAGATAAAGTAATTGGCAAATTTAAAAAATAAAATAAAATCATCATTGAGGCAGTGAAGACTGCCCCAATCCTAAACAAGCAAACTAGCATGTTTGCTTGGAAAACCAGAGGAACATTGTTGCAATCCCAGCAAAATATAATTTTTCTCAACAATAGTGTAAAATTTAGGTTCATCCTATCTAAATAATGTATGTATTGCCACAGCATGATTTAAGATTGGGCTATGGCTTTCCTGTAAAGGAGAAAGAAAAGAATAAAACATTATCTAGCAAATTAAAAGACTTCAATCAATATGCATATATAAAAGGAATACTTATCACAAATGTACAATAGTAATGTATTCTAAATAGCATCATAAAAAACTGTATGTGCTCAAATGTTTTATTAAATATCTAAAAGGATGATGGAATAAATTATTAATAACTGAATGATAGCAAAATAGACCTTGTGAACAATATTTGTATTACACCTCTTTTTACCAATCTTATTCAAAACAAAAGAAGCAAAATTTTGGCAAAATTGCTGTTTTACTCCAGATGTGTTAATGTGGGGCATGGAAAGCAGTTCTTAGGGTTAAGATCCATTTTTATATATAATATTTTTTATTATTTTTCAAAATTAAACATTATCATCGCATAAATATAAAAAGAGAAAATAAACCAAAAAAGGAAGATAATAAAAGACAGAAAAAAGGGAAATAAAACATTTTCACACCGTAATAAATTCAAATTTTGGGATTACTTAGATCCCTCAACTTCCCCCCACTCCCTCCCCTGGTTCTTTTGTATTATCTTAATTTAAACATGTCAAAAATTTCTTTATCTTTAATAATTTCTGAATTTAAACATTCTCCTTAATATTACAAGTATTTTTTTTAAAAAAAACCTGCTACTGTATTAACTTCCTTACAATGCTTTTGTAAATATGCAATAAACATTTTCCATTCTTTTTTATATTTGTTGTTGTCTTGATTTCTAAGTCTTCCAGTTAATTTAGCCATTTTGGCATATTCCATTAATTTAAGTTGCCAATCTTCTTTAGCAGGGACTTGTTCTTCTTTCCAGTGTTGGGCTAACAATATCCGTGGGGCCGGTTGCATACATGAACAAATTATTGTATTCTTTCGGTATATTCATTCCTGTAATACCTATTAAAAATGCTTCTGGTTTTTTAACAAAAGTTATTTTAAACATTTTTTTCAATTCATTGTAAATCATCAGTATAAAAGGTTTTGGGGAAATGATTTACAGGGTTAAGATCAATTTAAAGCGAAAATTGAACACAAGTTTAATTTTCTAAACAATGGAATACAAACTGAATCTATTAATAGAGCATAAGATGTTACTGCTAAGTGACCCTTGCAAAAAAAAATTTAAAAGCCCTTTCACCCTCAAATTAATTCACATGAAGAACCACAATCACCCACTATTCTTCTGCAAGCTCCAATAATTAATAATTATTTGGAAAAAATCTGAGGCTAGAAAATTCATATGCGATCAAAAGAGATTGTCAATTCATTAAATACACCAGGCATAAACGAATACAGTAATGGTAATATTATGGAGGTAACAGGTCACATGTCATCCCTGTGCAAGATCCACTGAAGTGAATAGCATAGGGCTTGTAAGTATTCCTTGCTAGACTACACCTTGTATCTACTGACATTTAATTAAAGTTGATTATGTATATGACTGTAATTAATAAACATCAGACTTCCTCACCCATGAGACTGGACCGTTATTACTGATTTTTTTCCAAATTTAGTTTTAATGATACTGATTTTTATGTTGTATCTGTTTTTATTATACTGCTTTATTGCTTTATGTTCTATTTTTGTAATCCACTTACGACTTTAGAGATGGTTTTACATAAGGCTATAAACCTGTAGTTTGAAGGCTTAAACTCACATATCTAAACAGGGCTAAATATATGTAACTGTCTATTGGATCCCAGCCTAAAATTACTCAAGTACTGTATGGATTGTATCCCTTGGTGATGGTAAGGATTCCATCAGCAGAATGGAGAAGGGTGCAATTCTCAGCAATCCCCCTTACCACTTTCTGCTCTGTCCTGGAAGGTCCCCCACCCTCTGCAGAAGACTTAGGGGTCTACAAGCTACAAGTGAAATAGCTGAAAATTGCTTCTCTATTAAACTGATTGAAACCTTGCCACCAGCTGACTGACAGCATAAGATAAAACATGTTATTTCAATTTCTATGGAAAAGCCAGTTCTAATTTCTGAAAGCCGCTTTGCCATTTATCTATTTATTTGTTTTTGGCACTATGCAGACTACTTTCTGAAATTTTTATTGGCATGCTAAAAATTGCTATACGTCAGTTCTTAGCCAAACATGTGGGACTAAGTTCATTTCATTAGTCTTAAGGAAACTTAATCATATTTAAAGATTGTAAGAATCATTATTATTGAAATTAGCTACCTTGCACAAGCTGCTGTGAAGATGTGTGGAAATATGTATGGACTGTATTATGCGATTTCCACCACTGAAAACCAACCAGAGGAGAAATGGTCTGGGTTACTAGCAGATATTTGCAGGCACCTATGGTGGGAAAAAGAGAAGGCTGAACAGAGCTGGTGTTTCCACACTGCATCTGCTGAAAAGCTTCTGACAACCAGTGCAAACTGATTACAGTTCACATTCATTGCCAATGCCTACTGCACTAAACGACTATAGCAGGATGTATACGGCTTTCTGTACTATTGCTCAGCAGTGCTTGCCAGTACAGATTCTAGAATACTGCTAATTGGAAGGACAGGCTTTGCATGCACAACCACTGGATTTTAGTTTCTTTTTTAAATCATTTTATTAATCAGATTTATATATACAGACATTTTTCTTGTAATTGTAAAAGTGAGCTAAAGCACCTGAATAACCAGATTTGAAGTTGGCTGAAAAGCAAATGACATACATGTCACCTTTGATCCCTGGGCCCAGAGTGTCCCTTGTTTAAAGCTCCACTTTAAAACAGCTTGAAAAACAAGCTATGTCCTTGATTTACTCTGTTTCCCAGAAAAGCAGTTAAGGATACATTCTCATTATTACATGTTTATTGTAGTTATCACTAGCAAGAGCTGCAGCTTGCAAAGTTTTAATAATGTGTTTTATTTCTCACTCTAATGTTCAGTAAGTTTGTCTAAATGAACCCACATTATAAAATGAGGCACTATCTTGTACTCCATTACCTTGTAAAAGTACAGCAGCATGACCTTGGTCAAAAACAAGAGTGGTGATATGTATAGGAAGCACACCAGTGGAAATGAGATTCAGTTACTTCCTCTGCCTCACTCAGGGAACATTGCCCTAGGACAGACTAACAGACACACACATACACACACACAGAATATGCCTGGTCAGTTTAATTGCTAACAGTCATTTCGGCTGTTCTTAGCATAAATTAAAAGAATGAGAAAAATGACTAAGCTGCTAGGAAAACACAGAATAGCAAAAGACAGTTAAGGAAAAGAAAACATAGTAAGAGCTAGCAAGAGGTTTGTATTTGTGATCTGAATTACTTGGAGTAAGTGTTAGGTAACAACTGAATACAGCTGTAGGGTGTTAAAATAAAATAACCAATTTGGAAGCTAGTGCACAGGATTATTTCTTGGCAACTTGCACAGAAAACTCAAGTTCTATTTAGAACTTTGTTCTGATATCTTCTAAGTCCTAAAACATAATCCACTTTTTATTGCTGAACACTTTGAAAATGTAGAGCAATTTCCTTTCTATATTCCTCAAGTCTTAAATTTTGAGTATCTTCCTGGAAGCCTCATTGCAGAATAACACAAATAATGTAGACTTTAACTGCAATATTCTGGAAATCTGTAACTAACTCTTTATTTTTCAAAACAATGAATACTAGCTGGCTACAATGGTATCTCGGATTAAGTACCTAATTCATTCCGGAGGCCCGTTCTTAACCTGAATCTGTTCTTAACCTGAAGCACCACTTTAGCTAATGGGTCTTCTGCTGCCGCCGCGCCACTGAAGCACGATTTCTGTTCTCATCCTGAAGCAAAGTTCTTAACCCGAGGTACTATTTCTGGGTTAGCGGAGTCTGTAACCTAAAGCATATGTAACCTGAAGCATATGTAACCCGAGGTACCTCTGTATATGCATTCAGCAGCTGAGTTGTTTAGTAGCCTGTAATGCCTATGGGGCATAAAAACACAGCAACACCTACTTAATGCCATGCTATTACACAATCTAAGAGACTATCAGCAGAGATCCTGTAGAGGAGACTAATTCAGCACAGGGCCACTAGAAGGATACTAAAGAATAGCACATCTGAAAGAGGGCTATAAAGTGCAGCACTGTCCTATTTTCTTGCCTTCTGAGGAAAAAGCCCAGGAACCTCCCAATTTACATGATATAAGTGGGTTAGAAACTCAAGAAGCACACCCTTCAACTAGAACCGTGCCTATGACCCCTTCATATTATTATATAATGCCTATCCCTATTTCCAGGGATGAAGGCATGCCATTTTTTACCTTGTTACCCTTGCCTTTAGTTTCCTAAAGTGGGAATTTCAGATGTGGTGGCTTACAATATCTTACAAAGCATATTGTGTGTGTGGATGTTTCTGCTTTTAGGCCAGTCTTTCCTTGTATTTGTAGTTAATTTCTCTCCCCCTGCTCCCTTTCTTTGCATTACTAACAATACTTATTCATTTATTTGCAAGATAGCTGATACTTCCTGCGTGTGGTAAGGTCTGATTGCACCCTAAAATCAGAGTTCAATTTTCATTCCTGGGAAAATCTAGGGCACAGTTCACCAACCCGGCCCCCAAAGGCTTTCATTGTTGTCCCTAAGCAGGTGCCCCGACTCCCTGAATTTTTTTTAAAGGTAGATCTCTAGCCTGCTTAGGAAGAAAGTTATGGGGCAAGACGGTCAGGACCTTTCAAGCAATTTCTGTGAAGTGAGTGTGAGCATGGTGTGGCCACCTTTGTATTTTCTCTGATTCTGAGGAACACTCGCTGTTGCTATTAGGCAGCATCACCATCAGAGTGTGAGTGTGTGTGTGTGTTATTTTATAACAATATTGTGTTATCTCTACAATCAGAAACAGTAACACATAGCTCACTTCCCATGGTACGCATAAGATGGTTTGGGCCATCTTTCTCTCTAAGTTTGTATTATGCCACACTCCCCTTATCAACCATTTTGTGTTATCACAAACACCCAGCAGCTTTTTTCGTGACTGTCACCCCACAGCACTCTATCAAACTTCAAGATGCACCCACTGATCCAAAAAGGTTGGCTACGCCCAGGTTTAGGGCTTGTGTGGTCTGCCTATGAAACTGGTGTGATTAAGAATGTGGTTCATCAGTTTAGCTAGTGCTGTTTTAACTCCTATCCGGAAGGAAGGCAGCAGGTAGACTCAGGTTATCAGTCATCCAGATTGTGATATAACTAGTTTCATCACATGGTGACTCACCATATGGTCCTGAAAGAAAACTGATACATGATTATGACTTCTTTAACAAGCCAGCTAAAACCACCTGGCCAACATGAGACTCAATAGAGCAATGCCAGAACACAGAACCAACTCAGGATCCTGCATCTACTGACTGGTGTTACAGTTCCTTTCATTCTAGTATTGTGTATACAGAGTCTGAACTAGAATGATTATATTGAGGACATAAAACAATTGACCAAATGGTATCTTAACTCTAAACAGTATACACAAGATAGCAGAAACAGTTAAACCTATACCCTAAACTTAAATTGCCAGTTTAGGTTTAAAACCTACTTGTTACTTTGGCTGTCTCTTGCTGCAGCAAAAACAGCAAACAAGGCTCTGGTAAGCCACACAGCTCTTTCCTTTCTTTGGATTGCAGCCAAAAGCAAGTTACATGAGCAGTAGTTCCTGTTAGTGTTAAAAGCAAGCAGTGTGAAAATACAGCATCAAACATCCTTTTATTGTCTTCTAAATGGTACCCAGAAACTAGTTTTTAGCTCCTTATTCACAGCTCCCTAGCTCCATTTTACTTTTCTTTCAAATAAAAGAAATGACTTTCTGAAGTGTGAGACAAAAAAGACTTTCATTTATATTTCCAAAATTTAGCCGCATTAAAGATCTAACATCAAAACTGTAAGATAAAAACATCTGTAGCATATGTAATATACCATGTATATTTGTTATTTGAATATTCCAGAAAATAATTTCACCAATGATTAACTAAAAGAAAAAGATTGACATTTAACAGTGCGTTAGAATCCTAAAGTTGAGTAATTCTGTAGTGACCAATGTAACATTGGTAAGCTTCTTTACCTAGTTTGTATTTTAGCTAATATTACTGAGCTCCAACTAACATTAAACTTTTTGTTAACTGCCTTGATCATCCCTACAAAAATAAGCAAAGAGTATGCCACAAATTAAATGCTTTATTTTTATTGTGTTTCAAAAGCTGTGACCAATGTAACAATTTTACAACCTGAAGAATTTATAACTTAGGTGTTTTCTCTAAAAGTGGGAATCAGGATTTTTCCATTTGCATCAATATACATAAAGAGCAATTATTTTATGGGCAAGTGTCAAATTTATGGTAGTGCTTATTGGAAACTGTCAAAAAAATGTTTTCTGGGAAATGAACTGTGTTCAATTTTAAGATGACCAATGTAAGATGTGAAAATTCATTGATAGCCAAGCCATCTACAAATAAATGCCTCCAAAGCAAGATTCTGTGCATCTCACACTTTACTAGGCATTCATAAGTTGCATGTCAGCATCAAGCCCATGTGGAAAGTCAAAATGCTCACAGCAACTTAGGCTTGTTTTTTGTTTCTGTTCAACCTAACCTCTGTCATTTGCAGGGAAGACAAATGCCACAGAAGCCCTCCTATTTAAAAAGATGATTTCATACTAATGAATATCATATTCCATCACTTGGCTAACTAATTGCCTTTTCAATTTACCAGGATCAAACTCAACAACTTTGCCAGATGACTCCAGCACATCAGTGACTGCTTCTGCGCTTTATTTCAGCATAATCACATTTCCCATAGGGACATTATTCCCTGATTATTAAATAGTGTTGTGAGTTGGGGGGGAGGGGTAGGCTGCATGCTGAAACCCTTCTAATTCCTGGGCCCAGCAAGTGTTAAAATCTAACCTAGGATTCAAATTCCTTGGATAGCGAGGCTAACTTCCTGGTGAAATAATGGGCCATTAAAGTAACAAAGGAAGTGGCTTCGTGCCAGACAATAAATGGGTTGGCCCTTCTCCCCCAACTTGCTGATATAAAGACACAAGGGTAGAATGGAAAATTTAATTATGTGAGATAGAAGCTAGAAGCAATAGTCTGGGAAACGAGAGAGAGAAAGAGGGAGAGAGAGAAATGATGATGATGATGATGATGATGATGATAATTTATTTATACCCCACCCATCTGGCTGGGCTTCCCCAGCTACTCTGGGCGGCTTCCAACAAAATATTAAAATACAGTAATGCATCAAACATTAAAAGCTTCCCTAAACAAGGCTGCCTTCAGATGTCTTCTAAAAGTCTGGTAGTTGTTTTTCTCTTTGACATCTGGTGGGAGGGCGTTCCACAGGGCGGGTACCACTACCGAGAAGGCCCTCTGCCTGGTTCCCTGTAGTTTGGCTTCTCGCAATGCTTGATTTCTGCTTGAATCTCAGGCTGCAGCTTTGAAAGTAGCAAGACTCCCTTGGGGTCTTAATGCTGTGAACTCCTCCATTGTAGGCTCAGGTTGTATATATGTGTAAATTAACCATATATCATAAAGACACCGCAGTCTCCACTGTACCTCATTCTGAAGGAAACACAACCCCTGGGTAAGTGCCTGGAACCCTCCGGAACTTGCACCGCTCAGAGATTGGGATGACATGCAACAATATATTGACACATAATTATATTATCTTTCTTCTAAAAGCAGTAACATATGTTCACTCCACCCTTGCCAGATCTGTCTTTCAGACCGTAAGCTTTTTGAGGGCAGGCACCTTTTTTGTGTAAAACTCTGTAAGATGCTCTACATTGCTTTGGGGGCAATCCTATGTCAAGAACCACTGTAATGAGCAACTTTGGATGCATCAGATCTCCAATGGCATTAAGCTGCCAACATTAGTTCATCCAAACATATACTTGCTTAACTTGCTCATTCTGACTCAGCTGAGGCTCAAGCCCGCTCAGCTCAACCACATGCCCTGGCTACTGGTGTACAACACTATTTTAAAGGCTTGTTTTCCCTGTGACAGACCTAGGGAGAGCAACAGCAGCAGCCCCGCTGCTGAACAAAGTCTGGATCTGGTGTAACTGTACTTCAGCTTAATTTACACCAGCTTGCTTTGGGCCAGTTTCTTCTGCATAGGAATGCTCTCCTAATCATTACTACCATTTCAGAGAATAAAAGATGACAGTCCTAAAAAGAGGTTTAAATGACACCCATGTCAACACATTTATGCTAGGTAAGTTGCACCATTGTGGTGTTACATCACAAAAAAAAAATGTTATACATAAAACACATTTCAGTTAATATCACGTTTTCTTAATACGAAGAACATCAAAGTGGAGAAAAAAGTTAAAACATAGTTTTTCCTTTTCAATTGTTGGTGGAGAATGTATGTGCTGTGTGACTAATCCAACACACTCAACCAATTTAAGTTTTATTGGCCTTAGCTAGTATGATTTTGTTTGAAACATAAAATTTATAGTTATTACACCAATGAAAAAGCAATACTATCAATGCAATCAAGTATCATTAACCTTTTCTCTGTTGTCTTGGGAGAGGTCTTTCACTGAACTTTAGGGAAGGGGGAAAGAAAGATTTTGAGTCGTACATGGCACTGCTGTTGTTTTACTCACATGTAAAATGTCATTTTGAAAAACTGTTGCCAGATAATGAAACTTTCTGAAATGATATTTAAAATGATATAGAACACATTAACTATACATGAAAATGAAAAATGAGTCTGCAGGTTGCCATTATCATGGAACTTCGCAGTTGTATTCTGATTTGCATTATTGTAAAATGGAGATGTAATGCAGTCACGTTTAAGGAGTTATTTCTTGATCACTATGTTTTTTAATGGATATAAAAGTCATGGCTAGTAGCCCTCATCTTTGACCATGTATTACAACCAAGCCATAACAGCTACTGTTATTTCAACTGATCCCTAGAAGAGAATATGCTAAAACTAAGTAACAGCATAAAAATAATCCACCAGTTTCTGTCAATACGTCTGTGGTTTATATGCATAATAGACGGGACATGGGAAGTTATGCTGACATAAGCCACATTCATAGGATTGCTTGGCCCATTAAAGATATCTGAAAGACCCTGGTCAGAAAAAAATAATTATCTTGATAAAGAAAGTATAAAGAATTTCATCAAACATTCTTTACCAAATTATGGAGCCTTGTCAAAGTGTGGTGACACCTTATTTCTCCAATGCATCAGTATGTTGTTGGCTAGTAAAGCTATTTTGAATGATTAGAGGCTAATTAATGTATATCTTGAGGCAAAGACTGTAGAAGAAGAAGAAGAAGAAGAAGAAGAATAATAATAATAATAATAATAGTAATTTATTATTTGTATCCCACCCATCAGGCTGGGTTTCCCCAGCCACTCTGGGCGGCTTCCAACAAAGATTAAAAATACATTAAAATGTCCTAAATGTTATTTGACTGCAGCTCCCATCAACTATGTCAGTTGGTCACATTGGCTGGGGCTGTAGGCAGTTGGGAGTCCAGCATCTGGAGTGCCACAGATTAGCCATTCTTCTAAAGCCCATCCTTTCCCCCCCCTCCTGCCCACCACAAATATCTAAAGTGTGACTTTCACTCACATACATGTGTGCATGTGGAGCTTTGCGGGTGGGGGGAGAATTCATTCTGCCAATGGTGTCTGTTCCACTGGTGGATGGGCACCATTCAATTTCACCCAATTTAAAACTGTAAGCTTAGTAGCAGAATAAATTAAACTGCCTTGACTCTTCTGCCAGTAATGTATATCTTTGGAAGCAAAGAAAACTTAAAGCAACTGTCAAAATATGCACCAATATTTTCAATGTTATTTTTTAAAATTGGGTATAAATAATGCTAAACCATAATATTCCTGGTTTCGTTGCAGGCATTGCTTCGATGTTAAAACAAAGGGAAAGTACCACCAGCTGAAATAATTTCTTGCAAAAATGAGTATTTTATTGTAGATGTATCACATCTCACAGTCTACCAAACAAAATAGAATTGCCTGAAATATAGTGTTAACGAAATATATTCCAGTGTTCCAATCTACAGGAGATGTGCAAGCCCAAATGGTTTCTGGCTGCAGATCTTCTTCAATGATTCTCAACTATGGACATAAATTAGATGAGCATCAAATACTAGATGCACTGCATTACTTTCAACAGAATGCACATCCAGATATACATCCTGTCAACATTCTGGAGCAAGTACAGCTGATGAAGGCATAAATGTTATATGAAAATTAAAAATCACTTGATTAGATTTTTCGTAACTCCCATGTTTTCATAGAACATGAGGAGAACTCTGCTGGCTTGTATCAATAGTCTTATCAAGTCCAGTGCTCTGTTCTCAACAGATGGCTTTATACAGACAACAAGCAGTGAAATCTAAAAAGGCCCCAACATGATTATCACTGTTATTGCTGCACCTTAGATTTATTTTGTGAAAACATGAAATTACTTTATTTCTCTTCATTGATAATTATTATTGAATTTTCATGCACAAATGTTTTTACTTTTGAAAGCATACAGGGACTTTCACAATTAATCTTTATTTTACAATATTATGCAGTAAATTTCATAGTATTCATATCTGTCATATAATCTAGAACAGAGTAAATGAACACTCATAATCAGTAAGCACATATATATTAATAAATACATAATAAACTGAAACTGCAAATTTCTGAGGACTTAATTACTAACATTTCTCACCACTGAACATTTAACAGATTGCTGTGTAGCCTACTGCAATATTTGGCAGTGGTTTTACAATGCAAAGCAATGCCCTTTGGGAACCATCTGAGGCTATCACTTCCACACAGAAGGCACTTATCCTCAAAAGCACAATAGCAAGGGAATTTGTTCACTGTATCACCTGGCAGTTATGACACCATACATTTTACAGAATACCGATCTTCTCAAATCTGAACACCAAATATGGTTTCAGACCTGCAAAATCTATTTGCATTTCATTTTATTTGAATGGATAGCATGTAATGTCTTTCAAGTGCAAATTTAGAAAACGGTGTCAACATAGCTGCTAGAAACCTGATATTACATCTGTATACAGATTCACCCTAGAGCAATGCATGGCTGCCTATGTATGAATGTGAGAAGACTGTTATATATAGTTGCATGACTGACATGGACAAAAACCGGTCTTTTTGTATAAAATAGCAGCACAAGTTCTAAATGTTTTGCTTGCTTCTGAATTTACCCCTTAACATTTTATGCAAAAATTATCAATACTGTATATCTGACCATTTCTATTATTACTAAGCAAATTCCCTCCAAATTAATGAGTTTACTGAAACTCTAGGTATCACGAGTTGATATCAAATTCTATCTATATCAAAATGTATGTATCAAATTGAAATCTCTGATATTCTAAGGACTCTGGTGACTACATAATAGTTTATCACAACTGGAATCAGTCTCACAACTCTAATGCTGCTAAATTAGAGTTTTAAAAGGAAATGATTATTGGTATCTGTCAATAATTTAAAGATGTTGCTTTTTGCATCTCTATCTAGGGAAGGATAAAGTCAGACACATATTCCTGATGTAAACAAAATTCCTGATGAAGAGCAATATACAAATTAAATAAATAAATAATATTTGTTAAATACTCTAAACCTAGGTGAGGTATAAGATAGACCACACCCACCACTTTTCAGAGTCCCACCATCCCCTACCAACTAGATGACTAGAAGTACAAGGAGTTTCCACTGAATCCTCCTTTCTGAAAAAGAAAGTGAATGGGACTTCATGATCTCTGTACTTGGACTATTTAGCAAATGTGTAACCAGAACATTCAGGTTTCAATGCCAGATTGGTGCCAACAGCCTTTCTTGGATAAAGTTTGGTGTGTAAGGAAGTATCAAATCATTTCCATACAGTATAAGTAAATGCTAGAGGCAGCCAATGCTCATTTTCTCTCTTTCTAGATCCCTGACCTCTCATACTCTTTTCACCCACAAAACCACATTTCCTCTACCTCTTCTACTGAGGCCATTGCAGCAAGAGATATACTCCTGTGCCCACCAATCTGAGAGCAAATATGCATGACCTTACTATACTGTATCTGTAGTTTACAAAAATATTTTTCATGCCTGTTAAGCTCTAGCTGAGTTCATGGCCATAATTTAATGTTTAATTCACTATTACAAGTTAAGGTGATGGCCATGAACTCAGCTAGAGCTTAACAGGGAACAGAAAAATTGGTCTGTTAATTAGCCATGATAAATAAATGGAACATTCATATTCAGTGGCAGTATATCTCTGCTTATCAGACACTTGAGACAAAACTAAAAGAAATGATTGTAACTTAATACCTTGCTTGTAAGCTTTCAGAGGCATCTGGCTAGCTGCTGTTGGAAACAACATGCTGAACTAGATGAATCTTGATCTAATCCAGCAAGGCAGTTCTTCAAAATCTGTCACTTATTCAAATATTTTAATACAGTGGTGCCCCGCAAGACGAATGCCTCGCAAGACGGAAAAACCGCTAGACGAAAGGGTTTTCCGTTTTGAAGTTGCTTCGCAGGACGAATTCCCCTATGGGCTTGCTTCGCAAGACGAAAATACCTTGCGAGTCTTGAGATTTTTTTTCGCTTTTCCCCCCCTTTATCTAATCTGCTAAGCCTTTAATAGCCTTTAATAGCCTTTTAGCAGCTAATCCCCTTAGCCTTTAAGCCTTTAATAGCCGCTAAACCGCTAATAGCGCTAATAGCGCTAATCCGTCAATGGGCTTGCTTCGCAAGACGAAAAAACCGCTAGACGAAGACTCTCGCGGAACGGATTAATTTCGTCTTGCGAGGCACCACTGTATCTCCAAGGACATAATGGGAGGAAAAGAAAAACCACTTGTGATGCAGCTGAATAGTACCAAAGGCAAGGAGGAAGCACTGTAGAATACCAGGCAGGTTTCCAGTAACCAGAAAAAAATAGTCCTTGATGCCAAAACTGCTTTATTTATGTATTTATTTTACACAGTGAGCTGCCAGCTATGATAATGGTGGAAAACATTAAGCATAGGGAAGCCAACAGAGTATACAGGTTAGAAAGATCAGGCAAACTGATGTTTTACTGAAAATTCATAATATGGTATCCAACTAAGTCATAATCAGATTAGACCCACTGAAATGAGTGGACTTAAGTTACTCATGGCTGAGCTAAGTCCATTGATTTCATTGTTCTACTCCAAGTATGGCTAGAACAGTGTTGGCCAAACGTGGGTCTCCAGCTGTTTTTGGACTACAACTCCCATCATCCCTAGCTAACAGGGTCAGTGGTCATGGATGATGGGGATTGTAGTCCCAAAACAGCTGGAAACCCAAGTTTGGCCAACACTGGGCTAGAACCACTGAAATTAGTGAATACTAATTATGCCTAAACAAGGTACAAAAAATAGTAAGAGAAGGCATATAATATAAGCAGTATTAGCAAGATTATTATGAAGACATCAACCTGAATAATTTTTTTGCTAAATCTCCACTCATTAATTTGATACACTTTGGCACAAATATTCAATATAACAATGTATGAATAAAGACATAGCTTTTATTATAAAACTGCATCCTGAAAGCCTTGATTAGTGGATGAAATCCTATGCCTTCTTACTTGAAATTAAAACCCATTAAACTCCATGCGATTTGTACAGGATCAAGATGCAGAACTGCAAGCCTGCACAGACATGTATCTCTCTCTCCGCCCCCCCCCCTCACACACACACGCAGGGTTCTCCTATGACTTTTTCAATCTGGGGGTATCAGTTCAGCATTATGGGAATTGGGCAGGGGTGGCTAACCTCTTTTGTCCCAAGGAAGCCCTCTGGCAACTGCATGCCAGTGATGGGTGTGACCATCCCACTCTCTCACAAATACAGACACAGGATGCAGACCCTCCTGTTGATCCATGCTGACCAGCTGTTCAGAAGGGGTTATCACCCCCTGCCTGCTTATCAACTGATCAATCTGATGACTGATGAGAGGTTGGGTGGAGAGGTTTAAAACACGCTGTCTACCCTAGTGCTGTATCTTTCTCTCCCCCCCCTTTTCCCCCCTTTTTTGGTCATTGCCAAAATTGGCAGGTCTTGGGAGAGACAAAAAATGACTGTGCCAGGAAACAGACACCCCTGATCTAGAGCTTTGGGGTTGAGTGTAATCAATGTACACATCCAGAAGATGCTCGTAAATAAGTGTATGGAGGCTAAGGACAAATGGATGGTATTAAAGAGGGCAAGACGGCTTTGGAAGGGGTTAGTATGCCTGTGATAGATGGAGTTGAAACATCCCTATCTCCTCATTTTTGGATACACCAGTAATAGCAGTAGCTAGGAAGCCATTTTTATCGTCTTCCTAGGCCTAGTCTCTTCTTGGAGAACTGAGACCTGGCTATGCTGATGCATTTTCTTGTTATGTCCAGGATTGATTACATGTAATGTATGCTACATTGGGACTACAATGTAGACTTTTTGCAGCTGATGTAGAATGCCACCACCTGCCTCTTACTGAACATTGGAAGGTGAGAGCCTATTCAGCCAGTGCTGCAGCAACTGTACCACTGCTAGCACATTCCTGGCTCAGTTCAAGGTGATGATGCTTAACTCTAAAGATCTTTGGGGCCTAAGATCCAGAGAGACTGTCTTCCCCTATATCAGCCAATGTTGCACGTACACTTAAGCGACAAGACCTTGTATACTTTCACTTCACCAATAACAGCAGCTACCAAGAGGGGGCTTTTAGCACAATTGCCCTGAGGTCCCCCCTGTTGATAGCAGAAGGTGTTATTCTATCTCTGCCCTGCATAAGGTTTAGAAGATATATTGTCTCTTATTATGCCTAGGTGTATTGTTTTACATTGGTTATAAATATTGTTGCTTTAAAATTATGTTTTATTTGCTCTGTGAGCCACCATGGGCAAAAGTAAAGCAGCATATAAATATTCAGTTAGTAAATATGTAATCATTCATGCATATGCTTCAGTGCATTAAATCTCAGTCACTGAGGTTTAATAAACCTGTGACTTACTGGACTCATAAGTACAATACTTCCACATTTTTCCTGTAATGCTGCTGCACAAAAGACTTATTTTGGATTGTACAGAATTTTCCAAGCAATGGAATGCATCTAACCTATAAGGGGTATGTAATAACCTAAAAAGGGTATATAATTAATTTTAAGTGGGCAAACAATATTGCTGTGAGTAAAATAAACATTTCTACATAAATAAGCCATCTCCTAACTGTTTGTCACAATTCAGTGTGACCGAAAAAGAGAAATCATGACACAGTTGTGCAGATAGGACCAATCTTCATTATTAATGTCCAGGAATCACCATGGGTGGGGAATGGATTTACCTTTTCCCTCAGGAGTATCTCTGACTATAACCTTTTACATCCACTTAAATCTATGTAAATGGATTTTATTTTCCTCCAGGAAAATAAGTGTTGTATGGAGACAAAAACCTGACATCTGCCTATGTGTGGCCCAGTCCCAGAAACAGCTGCTGGGGTGGTCCTCTGACGTGAAGCATCTGCCACCACTGGAGGAAGATGAAGAGCACAGGAAAATGTGTAACTTTACCAATATCTGTTGGAAGGTAAAGGCAGAATGTGGGAGGTGAGGATGAGAAGTGGAAAATATGTATGCTTTAAGTTCCTAGACCTCACATGTAACCAATGGAAGGCCAGTGTGGAAGCAAGAGTTATCTTCTTATTCAGCACTGTGGCTCCTGTAGTCATCAACACCCTATATGCCAGGAGCTCCTGCGCAGATAGCAACTATGCTTTCAAGGTGCTGACTGAAACAGCTCCTGCCTCAGTCACTGCCTCCCAAAAATTACCAGTAAAGGCGTGTTCCCCCACCATGGTAACCCCAAAACAGTAACTGGCAACTAATCAGCTGCCATTCTACACTCCTCATTGGCAGGTACCTCCCAGGGATTCTTCCTCTCTCCTCACACATATCCCACCCAACATTAGGAAGGGCATTTTGCTATTAAGACAAGACATGACAATGGCCCTCACTTCAGCAAAATATCAGCAAGTATGAAACAGACACGAACAACCAAGAGACTGTTTGTTGACACCCCCCTCTTGAAGTATTCTAATCCACCATGAAAATTAATTACAAAAGTCATCTTTTAAATGAGCTAACAGGGCTACACAGTGGACTATAAGCAGGTCTCAAAAAGAAAATCCAAGCCCTTATCCATTTCTGTCCTACCTTCAACAGAAGACGACTTATTTTTGCACAACAGGACAGCATTCACATTTAGTCAGTTTAAGGTTTTTTTTATTTTTTATGTACATAGGGAATGCTACATCACCATGAGCAGGATTAAAAACAAACAGCAAACACTCCAGACATCTGCACTGTTTGTGTGATCACAGCAAAGCAAAGCAAAGCAAAATAAAGCTGAGGAGGGAAAGGAGCTTATTTTCTATCCCATTCCAGACTGCATGACTGGCAAATCGAACCATTGAGGGTGGTGCGAGAGGACGTGTGCCTTTAAGTTCACAGGAAAGAAATTATCTCTAAGCCTTTGGGGGGGGTTGAGAAAGAGACCATGTTTACTGGGCAAGGGCGGGGAGAGGAGAGGAGGAAAGGAAAGCAGACGGAGGAGGAGAGCGGAACGGAGGAGAGAGCTGGTGCCTGCAGCGCATCCACTCCCTCTCCTGTCACCCTCTCCTGAGGAAGAAGAAGGAGGGAGAGCAATAAATAATAAAAAGCCTGCCCTGGTGGCTATGATGGTGGCGGCGGCGGCGGCAGCAGCCTCCGGGCTCTGCTCTTCTTCCCAGCCGGCGGCCCCCGGACGCCTCTCCTCGGCCAGCCCCGCTCCCTCCCTCCCTCCTTCCTTGGGGATGCGGGTGTCACCAGCGCAGGCCTCTCTGGGCCGCTCACTCACCGGGTGGAGGTGCCCTTCCTCACATCGCACATCATGCACTTGAAGGCCTCGGCGCTGTTCCGGAAGGTGCACACGCTGCAGTCCCAATAGCCCTCGTCGGAGGACGGCTTCGGCTGCCGCTTCGGCCTAAACACCCCCCAAAAAGAGGGGGCGGCGAGAAGGAGGAGGAGAAGGAAGAGGAGGAGGAGGAGGAGAGAGAAGGAGGTTTAAGGCACAAAACAAGACATCGCTCCCTTCCCTCTCTCCCTCCCACTCGCTCGGGGCCTCGCTTCGCCCCGCCGCTTGCCAGCTACCTCTTCGCCGCCGCCCCCAGCGCCCGCTCACCGCCATTCGCTGCGCTGAGGGGACGCCGCCGGAGGCTTTGGCAGCAGAGGGGAGGGGGGAGAAGCGGCGGCGGCGAACGGCAACGGCAGCCCCCCTCACAGCGCCGCCGCCGCCGCTTCTCCCCCTCAGCAGCAGCGGCCTGTTGCGAGTCGGCGCCCGCTTCCCCTCCTCCCTGGCTCCTCACCTTGTGGGGCTCTTCTTGTCTCCCATGCCGGCTCCACAGACGCGTCTCCAGCCCGGCGCGGCCCTTTGTGTATTTGTCAATAAGGAGGAGCGAGCCGAGGAAGCGGGGGGTTGGCTCTCGAGCCCAGGCAACCAAGCGAGGAGGAGGAGGAGCCGCCGCCGCCGCCGCGCACAGCGCGCGCCGCCGCCAACAACAACGGCCGTCCGCTGCTTTACTGCGGCCGACACCGCCGACTACCGCAGCCTCCAGCTGTCGGGGGAACTCCTGCCGCCGCCGCCGCCGCTTCTCCTCTCCACTCCTCTCCCTTCCACCCGCCCTAACCTCACGCCTCTTTCTTCTCCCTCACGTGTCCCCCCGTCGCCAACCAGCGGCAGCCCGCAAGCCAGGCCAAGGCCGAGGCGCCCCAGACGGCGGTGGTGACAACCCTGAAGTCGCTCCGACTGCGGCGGGATGAGGGGGGAGGCGAGCGAGAGGAGGCTCCGGTGCTTTGACAAGACGACTTCGCGGGCAGGCGGCCTTCCTCGCTTGCGCGCGCACAGATAACGCCTTAGGAGTATTCCATGGCCCAAGCACAGCCAGAGAAATCCTAACCTTCCCTGTGTGCCGCATTCATTAGCACCGAAGGAACGGCAGCGTCCCACTTCCAACCTCAGCCGCAATCGCTGAGGTTGGAATTCGGATTGGGAATCCCCACACTTGGCTCACCATGTAAACTCAAGGTGCCTCATACCTTTGGATTCCGTGTTTTTACACTCTTCCCCCGCCCGTGGAAACTGCAGTCTTCCAGCGAGGGTTTAAGTGGCGGAGGCCATCGCCTCCCCCCCCCCGGTGGCTTACAGTGGATAAACATATTAAAAGGAAGCATTAAAACGTACAATTTAAACCGAGGAAGCATTATAACGTACAATTTAAAGCCGCAGTTTAAGCTAAGTAATAGCACATTCGTTTAATAACGACTGAAGACTCCCGACGCTAAAACATTTTGGTAGAAATCCAAGGAAAGCTCTTAAAAAGCTAGCATATACATCCATATCTCTCACAGACAATATATAGGATAGAAGCTCACAAATAATAACTACAGTCACTACTGCCCACCAGCCTTACAGTACTGATCTTAAAGGTGGGCACAGGAGTAGCAGCTGTATTTTAAACAGGGCCGCTTCATATACGTGTAAAGGTAAAGGGACCCCTGACCATTAGGTCCAGTCGTGACCGACTCTGGGGTTGCGGCGCTCATCTCTCTTTACTGGCCGAGGGAGCCGGCATACAGCTTTCGGGTCATGTGGCCAGCATGACTAAGCCGCTTCTGGCGAACCAGAGCAGCACACGGAAACACCGTTTACCTTCCCGCCACAGCGGTTCCTATTTATCTACTTGCACTTTGACGTGCTTTTGAACTGCTAGGTTGGCAGGGGCTGGGATCGAGCAACAGGAGCTCACCCTGTCACAGGGATTCGAACTGCCGACCTTCTGATCGGCAAGTCCTAGGCTCTGTGGTTTAACCCACAGCGCCACCTGCATCCCTCTCATATACGTGTAGGTGGCCCAAATAAAGTCAAAGCCCCTCTTAACACCCATGTTAGCGTTTCAGTCCAGATCAGGTGCCCTGCACTGGCAATGGGGAGTGAGGCCTTGAATTCAAAAGACAAGCTACAAAGTAAATGTGTAGTTTGCTCCAATGCCACCTTCCATGCCAACAGTGAGGATTAGAGAATCCTTACTTTAGTCATGCTTATTTCCTTAGGCACCAAAACAGCTGAAAATACCCCCTTCCATTTGGTATATGGCTGTGGCTATGTCATGATTAAGGGATGACCAATCTGTATTAACAGCACAGTCTTATACACGTTTACTCAGAAGTGAATCCCAATACTGTAAGATCAGTGGGGCATATACACCCAGGCAAAGGACTGCAGGCCTTAGTGATGTCCTCAGTATACACCCAGCATTAAGGGATGAAAATCACCCTGAATGTGATTGTGAAATAGTGTTGAAGTAACTGCACTGTTATTAATATGTAAGAACGCCGTGTACTGCTTGCTCACCCAACTTTATTACCCTGGAAGAACGCCTGGAATGTTAGAGCTAATACTGGCTGATACCCATTATTGCAAAGAACCTCGTATTTTGAGCACTTCAATTTGCAAACCATTTGCACTGTTTTTGCATTTTCTTGGGAGTAACTTCAGTTGGGTTAAAATATGCCAATAGCCCAAGCACAGTGCCTGACACTGCATGCCAACAAAGATAAAAAAACACATCTATTAGTATAAGTCACATCTCTAGTCCATCCATCTAACATACGTACGTACACCTTGACATTTTTAAACTCCAGCAGCACAGTGCCACAGTCCTGCCACAGCAAAGCACATTTAAATCCTATCATTATTCCATTAATATCAATGGAATGAAAAGTCCTTCCTTTGGCTGAAGCATGCCCTAGGAATGCCTCACCCTGGCAGCAGTCCTTTTGCCACCTATGCACTCTGAGAGGTCTATTCCCTCAAAATCCAAGGGACTTGATGGTGGAGAGGCCTCTGTCCCCCGATACGTCACCCCTTGGGGCCAGCATACAGCAAGGGGTGGGATGGACCCTCTGCTTGTGGGAGAGTGGCCTCGGAGACCAGAGAGAGGCATAGAGAATTATGAGGAGTAACTAGCAGCTAGAGCCCCAGATGCACAGTAGGTGTTTGTGAGGGAACAAGAGAGGTGAGCAGGTGGGGTCTTCTGAATGCTGTCTTGGCCTCCCTCATCTCATTGAGAGGAGGGGAGGGCTGCAGGCACTGGGAGTTTATTTCCTTCTTGAGCATTGAAATAAAAGGAGCATGGTGACATTTTCTCCATGCATCCCAAATTCCTTTATTTTGTGACTTCCTGCAATCAGAAAGGATTTGTGCTGGCGCTGTTGTTCATCGGCACTCACTGTCCACACAGCCAACACAACGCCCAATTGGTGGGCTGTGCCAGCTGTTTGCAGAGGGTGTACAAGGGCACCTTAAACTGGATGACAATATGGTTCAAGTGGGAGAACTGCTGAGGTTTTGGAAATTATCTACATAAAGCAGCATTGTAAGTAATATTTTTTATGCTGGTCTATGACCATAATAAAGTTTTGCTTATGATGATGTAATATTTCTGTTCATGCCTAATTAAATGAAAATAGAAATTTTTATCTATTTATTTATTTACAATTTAAACATGTAGGGATGTACCCATACATACGGACACACAACATTCATGGGTTCATTAAGAGTGTCTTGGTGCTTTTCATAGGGCAAATTTTGTCCTTGATAATGTGAACATTTATAACCATATAGAAGTGATCAGAATGCGGCCTATGTGGATTGTCTTGAAAATCTTTCTATGTAGAGATGAAAGGGATATAGAGGGTAAAATATGCCAGCATCACTGTTTAATTAATTTGATTAATCGGCTCAGTTTTTCGTAGGAAAGCTGTGGGGAGGGGTCTGTGGACAATTAAAAATGAGCATATATTGCTACATTAGTCTTGTCACACATCATATCATGACCAATTCTTAAAGAAACTCCTGCGGAAGTAGAAAAAATCTGTATGCAAATTCATTTTTCAGAGTACTGAAAACTTAAGTTCCTGGCTACAATCCTATCTATACGTATTTCGGAGTGAGGCCCATTGAACACAGTGGGATTTACTTCAAAGTAAATATGCATAGGATTGAATGCATTGAAGATAATATACAGTTCTTTTATTTCTGCAATCTCATATGACCAGTATTTTTTTTAAAAAAAATACATATTTTCTGCCTGATTGGAGCTTTACTGAGCACGTTGCTAACACATTTTTTTAAATTAAACAGAGAAAACAAGAATATAGAAAATAATAGTTGCAGACAATGAGTCTGGGACAGATTTTGGGAGTTTGCAGTAGGAATTGCCAAAAATCTCCCCATTCTACTGTAGAAAGTCTAAGCTGGACTGCTGTCAGTAGAGGAACTTGAATTTGAATTGGATATAACCCAGTTAACATACTTCTGGGAGAGACAGATGATGGTGATTAAATTTATAAACCGCTTAATATATTAAAAAATATCTCTAAGCAGTGTACAAAAAACTGAAGATATCTATCTGTCATCTATCCATCTATCTCAGTTCATTTTCCTTCTGACGTGCCCTTCCTCTTGGCCTCCGGGTTTTCATCCAGGGTCCAAACAAACTCTCAGCTCACCTGCAAAGGTCTCACAACGAGAAGACGCTCCGGGAAAACGCAGACATCGCCCTAGTTTCTCGCTTGAGGCTTGCTTTTTATGGACAGGCCAAAGGTAGGTGGTACTTCCTCAGGCTGCCCACAGCTGTGTCCCATTTAACTTTCCTCTCCACACGCAGTTCCAAGTACAGCAGGTTTGTTGAGTTTCCCAGGGGGTCTAAAGGGCAGGAGAAGGGTTCCCTTCCATTCATAGCTCTTTCTTCACACCCTCTGTCCTCTCCTCCTCCTCCAGCTGATTTGAGAAGAAATCAAAATAATCTGAACTTCTTTCACACATCCAGATGCCAATTCTGTCCCCATGTCTACTCATCTAACAATGTCATCCACAACATTCATTCACCTGCTCATCTTGCAATGTGATATATGCCAACATTTGCCAGCAGTACCCTTCCACATTCTACCCAGGACAAGCAGACCAGTCTCCGCTCCAAAGAAAAGATGGACGCACATCTGACATCAGAAATGGCAATATTCATAAGCCAGTTCTTGGCAATCTGTAAGTGATCTTGAGAGAGGCAGCCTTGGAGCAAGGGGTTTGATGCTATCACTTATGGACTGAAGTGAAGCCAAAGATTTTTAGCACATTATATGAGTTGATTGATTACCAATGCCAGAGTTCCTGAGTCATCAACAGCAGTTTTGTGAATTACCGTTATTAATAATGATTTTTTTTTTTTACATAATTAGCAATGGTAATTTTATTTCCCTCAGACCTCAGTGTTTACAAATCCATCCCCAAACCATATATGTATTCCTGTACTTCAGGATAACACTTCAAGATTCTGAAGAGGACTGTAGTCCATGAAAATTCATGCCATAATTAAATATGTCAGGCTTAAAGAGCCACACGACTCTTTGACCTTTTTTCTGCACAAGGCTACCGCAGCTGCTCCTCTGGAAAGTGCTGTAATGGTACAGTGGTGAGTAATTTGAAACGTTGCAGTGGGGAATAAGATCTGCCACCACAATAATGCTGTTTTTGGCCGCATCTCTGTGGCAAAAGTGACATGTTTGTGTGAACCTGTATTTCCATGTGGGTTGTGTATTTGTGTAACCACAAATATTTACATGGTGGCATCAGCACTTCCCCGTGGAAATTGTGATAGCCACAAAATGAACTGCCCACATGGAATCCCCAGTTTAAACGAAGAACTGACATCCTGCAAGCACGATCTGTTGTGCTCCGAGGGAGTGGGCAATTGTGTGGGAGAAACTGTTTTGCGTGAATTGGCCCAAAGACAAACCATGTGAGGTTGAACAGATCTCCAGTTGAGTGTTATTGACATAAAACTTCAAGCCTGTGTCATGCATCTTCCAGGCTGCTCGCAAAAATGGCTGAATGAATGTATTCCAGCTGCAAAGGAAATACTGTTTCGAGAGGGGTCATGGAATGCAAAGCAGAGGGGACACAAAAGATAGGACAACTGCAGAAAGCATGATTAAGGACCATATAGCAGGGCAAAAGCCACACAACTTAATGACACAGGGAAACTGAAGCAAATAACGGAAGGTAAATCTAAAACAAAGGGGGGGACCCTATAATTTTATTTTACTCTGCTCCAGTACACCTTCTATCTCTGAAAAAGAAAGGATAACATTTAAATGGAAATTTACCCAACAGAATATTGCTTTTGTATGCTGTTTATGAATATTAGCTTTCAGAACTAGCTATGTACTCAATGTGTTCCTCCACAGGTTTATTATAACAAGCAGTAAAGACTGTGTTGCCTCATGCTTAAGAAACTGGGCTTTTATCAGGTATTATAAATGGCACCCCTAAGCTGTTGTCTAACAACCCTAAATAATCTTACATGAGTTTTGGTCTGAAGAATTACAGTACTGCAAATTCCTGTCCCTTACTGGTAGGCAGGATTGGAAACATTTCAAGTGTCATGTTGCCCAAGGGCCAAAAAGTTTAATCCTGGTGCTAAGAAACTTGAAATATTTCCATTCCTTTTGAGGTCAGGGTCTAAATACTTGATTCTGCCCAAAATTATATGGAAGATGAATTAACAGTATATCCACAAGAAATAGTAACAAGGTGAAGCACAGCCAGAAATGTTGACATGATGGGTTGCCATGTGTCCTCTTTTTCCTGGACATGCCCTCCTTTTCATGGGTAGAGTCATCATAAGCGATCTATAGTTAAAAATAGAAGTTGGCAAATGTGTCCTTCTTTTTGCTCTTTAAAATATGGGAACCCAAATTTTTGTGCTCACATCTGCCAGAAAGTGGGTCCAGATTCTAATCGCTGAAGGTGCTTTCAATTGATATGTTTTTTCAAAATCTCTCTGGAACGACTGCCAAAGGAGTGTTGCGACAGCAACCTGCTTGCGAATGAAGTGCCTATGTTATGTTGGTTCATTTTGACCTGTGACGGTTTGTTCTGACGTACTCAACAACCCAATCTTCTTTACAAAACTCAAACTACATGCTTGACGCCTGCATGCACAGGGAGGTGCTTTTAGAATATATTTTTGTTGTTGTTCCAGCAACAGCTGCCAAAGCAGGACCGCTTTTTAACTCAAGAAACATTTAAAGTGTAGACTCTGGTCAAGAGTTTGAAATAACTATTTCAGCTCATTCAATAACATTATCATGAATGGTACTGCACTGGGGAAGCAACCTTGAAAAGTTTTGTTTTTGATTATTTCAGAGAAAGGGAGAATTGCGAAATGAAATGTGCTTTCAGTGAATAGTTGATGGACATCACAAGTGCAGCAATTATGGGAACAAGCTTTATCTCTGTTGGCACATCGGAAATGTCAAGTTGTTTTAAGGACGAAACTGGTACTTTCTGAATGGGAAGGCAGTGCTGCTCCATTGTTCCCTTTTTAGCTGGGTGGGAAGAATAGAAAAGCAGTCACAGTTGTGATGCAAAGACTCAAGAGGTTGTCTGTAAATACATAAGGAGAGCCCTGGTGGGTCAGAACAAGCTCATCTAGTTTGGCATTCTGTTAACACAGTGGTCACCCTAGTGACTATGGGAAGCCCTCAAGCAGACATTAGTACAGCATCATTCTCCATCTTTTGTCCCCCAAGAACTGATGTTTAGAGGCAATAATTATAGCCATCATGACTAGTAGCCATGATTACATCCTTCTGAGAATCACAGACATAACTCTACTGCTGCATGTATAATGATTGAAATAGAAGACTTCTTCCATAACCAAAAAGTTCTTCCATTCACAGAACTGAGCCTTTGGAAACAACCCAGGACTACTATAAGCCACTCTTATAAGAAACAATGGGCCACATTCAGCCAAACAAAACTTTTCCTTCCATTCTCTCCCCCCTGGTACCCTCCACAATCGGCTGAGCTGGGGTTTGGGAGCACTCCCAGAACAGTACCGGGGGAAGGAAACGGGAGATCATTCCATCTGACAAGAGCAGAAATGTTTGGGAAGCCTTAGTGTGACACTGAATTCCCACCACCATTTTGATGTTACAGCAATGCTGTGGAAGCCATTTTCTGCAGCCCCACCCTATAGTGCTCTGTAACATTTAAAGGACCAGCACCAGGTCTCCACTAGGTGATGACTGCTTAGACAGGGCCAGTGTGATTGAACCCACCCGCATGGTGTTGGGACTTAAGTATTACAGCAGTGGTGTGGGGTTAGACCAGAAAAAGTGGCTCCTACAGCACTGTTTTAACCTGTAAAATACGCCTAAACGTGGGAGATATTCAGAATTCAGTACAAGTATATATTGACCCAGTTCTCACATCACATCACACCAATCTTGAACCATGGATTTATTGAACGAACCATGCTTAAGCCAATGATGATCAAAGTAACTATGGTTTCTTTCATCCTACTCTGCACTCCTTCCACTCTGAATTCTTCCTGCCTAAGCTGTTTCTCTGCCTGACATCCCAGCTGCTAGCATTTCCTTGCAGCATCGCCATTTCCCTTTCTGCTGGTCAGCTGCAAAAGAGCAAGGATGTGACTTTTCATCAAACAATTGCTCTTCCCTTCCATGGCAGCCATTTTGTGTCATTCTACACCCCTATGGCTGCCTTTTTGTGACTCCTGTTTTATTGCAATGCAATGTACTTCGTGGGTTTTTGCCCTGAAACCCCATACCCACCTGCCAGGTTTTTAATGTGATATTTCAATGGAATTACATAGTAGGGATTTCTTTTTCTCTTTCATTCCTGGCTTTCTTGCAAATAGGTTCAAGCGTAAAACATAGAACGGTATTCTAAGCATGCACACTATAACTCCGCAATGAGAATAATCAAAGGGCATATTGCAATGCGGTATGTTTTATATGTTTCCTGAAGCCATTGAAAATGAACACAGATGCCAAGCTGGGGTTTGAGCTTAAAACACAGGATGGTCCCATTATTGTGTGTGTGCATGCCTCCTTCAAAGATGCCTCATTATTCACGGCACCTTTGAAAATGGACATAGCAACATCTCATGATAACACTTCATGCAGCTAATGAAGTCCACAAAACCTTATACCATAATAAACATGTTTAGTCTTTAAGGCGCCACGAGACTCTTTGTTGATTTTGCTTGTTATTACTTTGGTGTTAGCAATGATAACAATGGCCTGGCTGGTCCATACATCATGTTAAGCCACAATATGGCTTAACGTGACTGTGCTTGCACCCATTTTGTTTCTTCCTGGGTTTTCAAGGTCAATGCAGGATGGTAGCCACGTTTGGCTTGGCGTCTTGTGTGAACCCAAAATTGTGGTTAAGGTCTTCCCTATTTAACCATGACCTGTAATTGTAGGGCAAAGCTTGGCTATAGAGTGTGGTTAAGGAGTAGTAGAGACCTTAACCACGATCCAAAGTTCAGATAACTTGCTAAGCCAAATTTTGGCTTTGTTGCCATGCAATCTCCTGGGAAGCTAGCATGTTTGAAAAAAGCCAAAATTTGGCTTAGTGTAAAAGAGAAACGCAACCAATGAATGAAACAGTGAATGAGGATACAGACAGAATGAAATGCTGGTATCTCCCGATAATATAACTTAATATTGTGCCGTTCTGTTTTGCAAATATTATCAAATGAATTCTCCTTAAACATTTTACAGAAGTCGCACCCCCTGCACAGGCATAATAATGAATTGGCTCTACTATAAAAGCAGGCAAGTAGAATCTGTGTTATTAAATTCAAAAAAAGAATGCACTTATCATTTTTTATAATAAAAGTGTCATAGCTTTTAAGTTCTCTGCTAAAATCATTTGTAAAAGCAACAAGATGTATTATGGGATCTTAATGTTTGAGACAAATGTCGACTCATTCTCCTCACCGTATCTTTGTATGCTTTTGGAAAGCAGTCTGGGTTCGCTATTATTTCAGCATTTCATTTCTGCCTTGTGAAGATACCAAAGCCTGCTTACCAAGCCACCAAGAAAAGTCAGCCTCATCAAAGCTATCACATTAGCTTCCCTACACAACTGAGGTTTTCTTCTGGGAGACAAACGTTTCTTACTGCACATATGTGCACTTACAGTTCCATGGCCAGCTTTGAAAATCTCATTCAGTCTGAAATATAGTATTTGGATCTCATTGTCAGGAAATAATACACTCTACAAGTCCATTATTTCCGCCATTGTCATATAGACAAAAGATAGTTTCAAGCACTTTCCCCCCTGCTAAAACTTAAGTTGTTGCCACTTCCTTTGATGACAATAATTAGCCCAGACTATCCTGCATTTATATAAACCCAAGAGAGCAAAGGGAGTCAATGAGGCCTCTTTTAAGTTCCTTCCTGCCTTATCTATTGTGGCAGGTTGGTATTCTACAGAATGATAGGCACAGTCTACAAATGAGTTGGTGACTGTGTGATTGCTTGCACAGGTTTTACATCTTCAAAAGGATATATGGAAAGTTGCATTTTGGTGGGAATATGGGATTGCTTAAATTACACTAAAGTGGAAGATACTGCATTTTTTTTTTTTTGATCCACAAAACTGATGTGGAAAACATAAAATTGTATTTAGCATAAATGAAATTTATTTTTTTTTATCTATTATTTAGTTGAAATGATCTGTTTACCAATTAAGTACATCAGCAGGGAGACATCGTCTTTGCATCTCACACATCCATTCATCCTCTGATGTAGCCTGAAGCGATGATGATCAATTATTCAGCAAGGCATTTTAAGCTGCATCCATCCTTTCATAGCATGTCATCAGCTAAATTGCAAGCCACAGCAAAAGAAAGAAAACAAATATGATATTTCCTAAGCCTCTCTGAAACTTCAGTTGCTAGAGGAGGGTTTCAACGGAGTCATCAGCGTCGCTAGAAGAGAATGTATTCCCAGTTTTTACGTGCTATTCTCAGAATGAAACGCTGTTTCCAGTTGTCCAAACATGCAGCCTTATTAATTAAAAGAAACAAAAAACCCATCAGTCACACTGCATTATCTCATATCTTTGCCTCCAGACAGAACTGACGGCATACCAATAGGACTAGAAGGAATGGATTTGAGAATGATTGCTGGTCTGATTTGAACAAGGAACAGTAATAATCCGTCCACCTTCTAATGTTACAGACCTTGACCTTGTAGGGAAAACTGTGCTCTGATTGTACAAAAGGCAACATCTTAAAGTCAAGTAAGCTGCATTGATTTTTTTTTTTGAATCTGACCTCCTTCAACAATTACATATTGCGCTAGACTTGGTTTAGTTTCTGTTTGCATTAATAAATAAAAAAAAATGTATGCAAGATTAAAATTAGCCAGCATATAAATGGAAACCGACAGCTACAGATAGGTAAAAGGTAAAGGACCCTTGAAGTCAGCCTTCAAGGGTATATGAAAAATGGGTTGTTAATAGGTAAAAATCTAACGTTACTAATTTAAGACCAAAGATTAGGATAAACAAAGAGGGTAAGGATTTGCTGAACCAACAAATTGAACTGGAATACAAAAAAGGGAGGTATGAGGAGGTCCGGGAAACAAGCTAAGGAAAAATAAGTAATGGAAAAATTGAGTGGTTTTTAATCATTTTTATTTTGTATTTTGTACTTTTTCTTTTTTTTCTTTTTCTTTTCTTTTTTATATTGTAACATTTGGAAAATCTTAATAAATATCTTATATATATATATATATATATATAAAGGTAAAGGACCCTTGGACGGTTAAGTTCTGACAAAGGCGGCTATGGGGTTGTGGCCCTCATCTTGTTTTCAGGCCAAGGGAGCCTGTTTTTCTCCAGAGACAGCTTTCTAGGTCATGTGGCCAGCATGACTAAACCGCTTCTGGCACAACGGGACACCGTGATGGAAACCCGAGCGCACAAACACTGTTTACCTTCCCCTGCTGCAGCGATACCTATTTATCTACTTGCACTGTCATGTTTTTGAACTGCTAGTTTGGCAGGAGTTGGGACAGAGCAACGGGAGCTCACCCCGTCGCGGAGATTCAAATTGCCGACCGCCTGATCAGCAAGCCCAAGAGGCTCAGTGGTTTAGACCACAGTGCCACCTCATCCTTATCTCTAACCCAGGGTGGGGCCAGAAAACCATCATCCCTGTGCATTGGCTGTGCTGCCTACGTTGATGGAAGGCCAACAGCATCTGGGGTTGTTTAATGTCTCTGCCACTAACACCCTGCCTTAAAAAAAAAAGTATTTTTCCCTATTTCTCTGGAAGATGCTCAGAATAAAACTATAAGGAGCTAGGGAGCTGCCACAACAAATGTCTCTAAGAACACTGACCATTTGCTCAGTGGCTCTGCTTCTTTCTGCTTGTATATGATGTTCTACTTTGACTTTCAGTACAATGAAACGATAATAAAATCAATTATGGGATTCTTTTGATTAAAAGCAAATCATCTGCTGTCGAGAAGTAATGTAATCTGGGATGTTAGCTTGTGCAATTGTTTTCTGTACCCTCTCCTTGCCAGTTTCTGTTGCCCTTGTTTTTATTGGTAATTTGTGAGAGTTCCCAAATACTCCAGAAGCAGCTAATGAATCTCCTGAAATACTTTTACAATTGCTTATTGCAGAGGTTTTCAACCTTTCTGAGTCTGCAGCTCCCTTGACCAGCTACATTCTTTCTGTGGCACCCTTGTGGGGCTCAGGAGTTATGTCATCCCATGGCTGCAGAGCTGGCAGCCCCTCACCCCTTTTTGAACACCCTCCTTAGTGGAGTGTTCCCTCCGCCTCCTCTCCTATCCCCTCTCCTTGGGAGGCCTCTGGGAAGCCACTGCTGCCATCCCAGTCTCTGAGTTACCCCCCCTTGCCCCAAAGAGGGGTGCCTCCTCACACTGCCCCACAGGTGTCTGGAAAGAGGATGCCCCCAGCCTTAGTGGCCCAATGGAGACTGGCCAAAGGTGAACATGAGGCCAGCACCTTACCTTGGGAAGCAGCAGTGGCAGCAACAGGCGCTGCCAGGCTTGCATGGTGGAAAGGCTCCCCTTTGGTGTTGGACACTCAGCTCCCAGGCAGGCATTGCGCACAACAAGCACAAGAAAGGCCAGCACAGTGTCACAGTCTGGTCTACGGGTGATCGAAGTCCCGGCTGAGGACGTCAGGACCGGGGTAAGATGGCGGAGTAGGAGCAGGAACGAGAGTCCAGAAGCCAGGGGTCCGAGGGTCAGGAAGCAAGAAGTCACGAAGTCAAGGGTCTGAGGGTCAAGAAGCAAGGAGTCAAGAAGCTGAGGTCTGAGGATCAGGAAGCAAGAAGCCCAAGGCAGGAAACGAGTTGCTGTGGCAAAGAGCCGAAGGGAAATGCTGACCTTATATCCCTTCCCGGCTCTTGCCACCAGGTGCAGTGAGTTACCGAGCGGCCTCACCTGTGCGGCCATGCCTTGCCTCTCCAGAACAAACTTAGGAAGGCCCCAGTCCTGCGAAGCCCTACTGGTCACAGGGCCTGGCTCCTGCATGCACTCCTGACACACAGTGCCCGTCTGCCTGCCTGCCCTCCCACTTGTCTGTCCGTTCCCAACAACAAGGGCTGGTAGACTGGCTGGCTGGGCTCCCTCACTTGCTTACTCCAAGGCCGCCTCAGCTCCTAGCAACCAGCACCCCTTGACCAGCCCCAGAGACACCATTCGCTTGGGGAGCTTGTAGCCAGGGCTGCTGCAACAAACAGCTGTGCAAGCCTTTGGGAGGCAGAGACTCAAGAGCGCATCAGAGGAGGGAGGGAAGGAAGAAGGACAGAGGCCAGTGTTTCCCAGCGGCACCGCTCCCCATCATTCAAGGCACCCCAGGGTGCCACAGTACACTGGTTGAAAACCACTGGCTTACTGCACAATCCTATAAATTTCTACTCATTGGGGCTTATTTTGAGGTAAATGGGTATGAATCCACCTAACCTCTATTGAGCTCAATGGAACTTTCTTCTGAGTGGGTATTTATAGGATTGCGCTGTTAATTTGAGTTCACATAGTTGTTGTTATTTATAAAGTGGCATCAACGTCCATGGCACTTTCTAGAGTGTCATAAACAAACAATCAAACAAAAACCAGCCCCCCCAAGGAATTTACAATCTAAACATCAATTAATTCTTTTTGTGGAATTTCATAAAACAGTTAAAATCCACCTTCCTAATAATAAATCATCACCCATACAAACCTAGCCACAATGCTTAATCAGTAGCAAAAAATACAGTTGAAAAATATATGTATAAACATTTGTTCAAGCTGTATTTCACAGCCTTTCAATATAATGTGAATTCTATATACCAGTTATTAGCCACAATTATTATTATTTTGCAAGAAAAACACACTAAAGGCATAAAAGGCTCAGGATCCTTCACAATGATAGATCTCTTTTTCTCTTGCAGAGCCAAATTGCTCTTCTCTACCTTTGAGGCATCAGTATTTTTCATAAGTTTAATACAGATCTCTGACACACTTTCCCCCACCCCTTTCATGTATTATGTTGCCATGGGTGTTCTCGTCTTTTGCCTGAAATGTCAATGTGGATAAGTGGCTATTATCTTCCTAAATTTATTCACTTTAGTAATAAACTCTGCTTGAGCTGTTACAGGTCAGCCAGCCTCTTTAAAAGCTATTAATATGTGACAGGCATTAAATTAACCTTTAGAGTAAGGGGTGGCTAGCATGCAGCCTCCCAGATGTTGTTGAACTCCATCTCCCATCAGCCCCAGCCAGCATGGCCCATGGAGTCCGCAGTAACATCTGGAGAGAGACAGGTTAGCCATCTCTACTTTAGGGTGAAAAATCTTATTGACTCTTAATGGAACAAATACTGCCACAGGTACATTTTCAGGAAGTCAGCTGTGAATTACATCTTGCAAATACTGATGGGAAAAAGATTGCTCTGTGTAAAATCCTGTGAGGAAGCCAGGAGAGCTCACTATATGTCAAGAGCCGCTCCAAGGCCAATACAAGCATATCCAGTCAAGCGTGCCTCCTCTTGAATGAATAACCTGGGATAAGGAAAGTGATAAAGGTGTCCAACCCACTGAGTTTGCTTAGCCAGGACTGTGGGGCTGGCCAGGGCTGGCCAAAACACACAGCTAGAAACAAGATGGCGGCTAGAGCATTAAACTAGGCTCACATCAACAACATATATTTAAAACCCAGTTATATCACTTCAGCACTTGTGACAGGGCAGATAGTCAAAGCTGGGGGAAAATATGGGAGAATCATACACTGAAAATGCTGTCTATAAGAATAAAAGAAAATGATTATAAATTAATTTGGAGACGGTATTTAACACCAGTCAGATTAAATCAAGTAAACAAGGAATATTCGGGGTTATGTTGGAGGGGATCCCAGGAAACGGGGAATTAGGTTCACATGTGGTGGGGGTGTAAATATGTACAATTTTTTTTGGCAAGGGGTGTTTAAGGAGATAACAGAAATCACTGGGTTAAAGCTGACCAAAAGTCCAGAGGTAGCGTTATTATCAATTTACGATGGACGGAAGGTTCACAGCCCATGAAGGACTTGCTCACAAATTCATTGACAGCTGCATGAATTATTATAGCTTGAAAGTGGGGCAAGCAGAATATAAAATGGAAGAATGGTATAAAGAGGTGTGGGATATAGCTATTTATGATAAATTAACATGCGCCATTAAAGGAGAAATGATTTTGAGCAGATATGGAGGATGTTTGTAGAATTTGTCCTGTTAAAACGGAAAGGGTTCAAACCATCGCAAGAGGGGTTGAAATTTTGGGAGTTTGGATAGTTACAATGGAATGGTCTTGGTGGCGGGGTGCACATTTTTATTCTTATTGATTTATGATTATTACTTTGTCAAAATAATAATAATAAAAACACTCATGGCTTTCCCCCAAATAATCCTGGGAACTGTATTTTAACCCTCATAGAGCTACCATTCCCTGTCCCCTCAATAAACTAGTTCCCAGGATTATTGGTGGGGAAGCCAAGACTGTTAAGATGATAGATGAGTGCTTTAAATGTATGGTGCAAGGACCTGGGAGACATAAGGTCATAAGGTGAACCAGGATTCCTCCATGGCCCTGGTGCAGTGTCTCTCTCTCTCTCTCTCTCTCTCTCTCTCTCTCTCTCTCTCTCTCTCTCTCACACACACACACACACACACACACACATGCCTGTTGTGAAAATAAATGTTATTCAGGGCTTTTTTCAGCCAGAACTTGCCGGAACTCAGTTGTGGCACCTCTCAGGTGGGTGGGGAGAACTCTGTATGCTGCTTTGAGCTGCCTGGGGGTAAAAATGGGAAATAAATTATAGCTACACTTTGAGCTGCAGAAAAATCAGTGTAAAGAACGTCTGACCTGTAAGCTTGGTATTCAAAGAAATAATTCTAGTGAACTCTAAAAACCCTGTGCTACCTAAGGGTCTCGCATCCTCCCCGCTAACAACTTTCACAGTTCACCTCAGCCTCTATGTATGGGGACACTGGAGATGACATCAGTTGGGTAAGGACTGACGGTTGTGTGGGCACATTATTTGTGTCTGCTGAGACACAGAAAAAATTGTTTGGGCTCTGTCAAACTCCTGAAACTGCTTGTGACCTGTTTTACTACAAAAGTATGCACATACTCATCCCTTCTAATCATATGCATGACGAATGAACTGAATATTTGAGAGTAAGTTTTGACTAAACCAGATGATTCGTGCGAAAAGATGGAGAAATGTAAGCAAAAGTTGAGCTTAAGTAAATGGATAACAGGGAAACAAAACAAAACATTTAAGGAGGCTCAAAGGGTAAGAAACATGACTGTGCTCTTAACAATGTTAAAATAGAAATATAATAATAATAATAATAATAATAATAATAATAATAATAATAATTTATTTATTTATAACCCGCCCATCTGGCTGGGCTTCTCCAGCCACTCAATATTAACAAAATATTAAAATACAGTAATGCATCAAACATTCAAAGCTTTCCTAAACAGGGCTGCCTTCAGATGTCTTCTAAAAGTCTGGTAGTTGTTTTTCTTTTTGACATTTGGCGGGAGGGCATTCCACAGGGCGGGTGCCACTACCGAGAAGGCCCTCTGCCTGGTTCTCTGTAACTTGGCTTCTCGCAGTGAGGGAACCGCCTGAAGGCCTTCGGCGCTGTACCTCAAGTGTCCGGGTAGAACGATGGGGGTGGAGACGCTCCTTTAGGTATACTGGGCCGAGGCCATTTAGGGCTTTAAAGGTCAGCACCAACACTTTGAATTGTGCTCAGAAACGTACTGGGAGCCAATGTAGGTCTTTCAAGTCCGGTATTATGTGGTCTCAGCGGCTGCTCCCAGTCACCAGTCTAGCTGCTGCATTCTGGATTAGTTGTAATTAATAATGCTCCATAAATTATACCATTCTCATTTACCATATCAGGGATCAGAAGACAGCAGATAATCAGTTTCATGTGGACATTGGAGATTAGGACTATTGTCTGAAGTGCTATTTTGGCATGTCTAAAAGCTGGCACATAATTCCCACCCACCCGGTAGAAGAAAATTCTCCTATGTCATGCCACCTTGTCATGCAAAACAAGTGGTTGGTGTGAGTTCTTTGTAATCCAGGCCTATAGACCTGCCTTTCTTTCAAACATCCTGCATTAGGTGTAGCATTCAATCTTATAACCATACAGTAATAGTTGCTTATTTAGCAGAAACAGGGCTTCCGCTTAGAATAAGGAATGGCAATGTAGTAGCCTAGAAAGCTGGCCCTAGGGGCAAAATAGGAGCAGAGTTCTTCTATATTCATGCTTGCTTAGGCAAAGCCATACATAGAATTTGCATACACACATAAAAAACCATACATACATACAGGGGTGACTTGTAGTCCTCCAGCATTCATTGACTCCAACTCCCATCAGTCCCAGCCAATGGTCAGGGATGATGTGAGCTGGATTTCAGCAACATCTGGAAGTTCCCCATCCCTGCCTTAAAAATTTGGCCCTAATCATTTGCTTACATAAGCAGTACAGGGCTTATGCATTTATTTAGCCCCCGATGGATTATTCCAAAGTGCAGCAGCTTGCAGAACTGAATCTTTTATCTGCTGCCTTGTGAATTATAATAAACGCAGTTAGTTCCAGGAAGTCACGTGATCGCTTGCAACGTATCACTGTTGCTATGATGTCTAAACTTGGATGTCCTCTAACTTCCCTTAGCTGAATACTGATAAGAAAGGGCTACAGGGGATTGGTTCACTCCGGTGCAGGATTCTTTCCCCACTCCCCACTTCCAAACAGTTGCCTTTGATGGTCTTATAACCTTGGTGATGCATTTGATCTGAAACTCTCCCGAGGAATCATCATATTAATCAGACAGGAAGATTCCTACATTGATGTCTCAGGAATTGCTTCAAGCTAGTATGACCTCTATGTCTCACCAGGGACTAAGCCTTTCATATATGCTTTTATCTCATCCTGTTGACCTAATTGCTATAACTCGCTGCTTGCTGGTTTACTGACTTCATCTCTCACTCTTTTTGGGGGGAGGGGAAGGACAGGAGAAATACACCTGTGCAAAAACACAGCTGCTAAGAACACATCAGAGAGCCAGGATATCTAACAATTTGGCATAGTAGAATATTAGTTTTCAAGCTACTATAATTTTATGAAGCAGGAGCCCCTCTTAGTACCGCTGCTGATACCTACAGAGGAGAGTATGGGAAACCCAATAGAATGCAGTCGTTTTACAGTTGTGCAAGTTATCCAGCATCAGTCCTGAGCCTTCTTTGTCTTGTTTTCTGTCGCCTTCTAATAGGAGTATGGAATCTGTGGCCATCCAGATGTAAATGGGGGTTTATAGAGCAGTAAATTCAAGGGCATCAGGTTGAAGCCTTTTTGGCTCACAACTCACACAGCACCACAGAAGTTTGAATTGGGCCCTTTGATCTCTTTTATTTCCCATTACAGTTGATCTAGGATCAACTGGAAACACATCCTTCACTTTGGCTGGGATCCAAACAATGCACAAGTATGGCAAACTACTCAGTATGTGAATTAATGTCCACCTCCTTTTCGGTCCCCTTGCTATCACTGTCTCCTTACGCTACCGAAGGCCACTTCCAACCCCTTCCCCATTTAGGAGAAGCTTGCCAAAGTGACAGGGGTCAACTTCCACAAGAGAGGGGTTTGTCTGTCGAGCTGACACATTGCTACATAAAAATCCCAACAAGACGTCTTCACCCTGGTATGGCTCCCCTTTATCACATACACAGCCCAACAGGACAATGACAATAATCCACCAACAGCATACAAATCAATATGGCTAACCTGATCCAAAACACCCACCCACCTCACTCACACACGAAAACAAAGATCACCACAGCCAATCACAAGCAGACAATCACACCCTAGGCCAACCCCAACCTCTCTCACCACCAAAGGAACACAAGTGAACAACACAAGCAACGCTGACACCAAACTCTACATACATTAAACATAATAGAAACACCGCCACCCGACCCCACCCCCATCCATCTTCCCTCTCTCCACCCCCCCTTTCTTTTTTGTTTTTTTTCTTCTCCCCCGAAAGCCGCAACAAATGAAATGGATTTGTAAAAAAGTTACATGAAAAAAATATATATACGAGGCAGTACACTTACTTCTGTAAAACAAGAAAATCCTTAATAAAATATTTAATAAAAAAAAAAAAAATCCCAACAACAAAAACAACAAAACTGTAAGGGGTAAACAAAAGATAAAAACCAGCAAAAGCAAATGTACACAACTAAATGCCTGGATAGACTTGCTAGAACAAAAAAGTTTTCAGCAGGCATTTAAGATAGTACTGTTAATAGGCAGGAAGTTCCAATGCATAGGTACTGCCACATCTAAATGTTGGCTTCTCACAGACGGGGGACAAGCATTATGCAACATCTGCAAAAGTGCAAGCTTTGCTGATTGCAGAAGTCGAGTATTGAACTTGAATTAATTTGATGTTAATTTGTTGTTGTTTTTTTGAAAAGCCATAAAAATTAATTGGCAAAAATATAAAAAATTAATTTGGCTCTTATTTTAAATGCCTTGATTTGGAAGTGCTGTCTCCTTCTGAATCTTCTTATTTCAAGCTATATGCGAAAGGGGTATAGATCTCACCAGCAGAAAAGTTTGCACGCTGCAAAGAGCTTCCAGGCTAACAGCTTGCTTGGGTAAGGACCCATATCTATGCACATTTATTTTAAATCAAGGGTGCACACAACTTTCACAGTGTCAACTGTGGAGAGGAAATTTACTGCAGTTGTAACTATTTCGAAAGCTGTTCTATTGACCTCTTTTCTCTCTGCAGTTTACTCTTCCCTTTATATGAAAGATCTCCCAAATTCCTCCCTTAATCCTCTTGCCTTTTCTCTCATCCCATCCACAGTGTTCTTGTACTTCTTAGTTTGCATTCTTTATTCTATAATGCAAGTTCCTGTTTCCCCACTTTCATTTCACCACCAGACATCCTTTGCCTCTGCACCCCATGTTACCTTCTTATGCATTATTGCCGACTTTTTCTTCCTTCGGTGTATTTTTGCTCTGTCTCCACCAACCATATTTCCTCACTGATTTCAGGGGCAACTGATTTCAGAGCGGCTTTCACTCTCACACCACAAGGAGCCTGCATACTGTTTAGAGAATTATACTGTACACTCTGCTTTAAATATTTAGAAAAAATGTGAAATTCTGAGTCTGCTTCTTTAAAACAATGCCCAGCTCGCATGAAGATTTCTATACCATTCACCACGCACACTCACATGTTTCTGGTTCTTGTGAATAACTATGAGGATTCTTTTTTTAAAGTGAAAGCAGGTTTTCAATATGACCATGAACACTTAAATCTGCTTTAGAGCCAGCAACGCCACAAGACACATGGGCCGCTTAGCACACCACACACTTTAAAATCCACGGATTTGTTAAGTCCAAAAATTCTGACATCCATGCCCTATATTAAAGAGGAATTAGAAAATACAGATAATTGTTCAAGGCAAAACAATTCAATGGGTTATTGTCCTGTACAAATCCCGAAAAATAAACTGATCTTTCTGCTCACCTTGTGTCATCACAACCCTTCCTCGTTAGATTTCCTTTTTAATTTGATGCTTCCAACAGATGGGTGGTCAACCAAGTGTTAACCTATTGTACTACAGTCGGGGGGGGCGTAGTTCCTCCGAGAACCCCCCCCCCTAAATTATAGGTTTACAGAACACCACTCTCAAGGCCAAAGGATGGGTTGGGGAGATCAATGACTGAAACTCCTATTGTCTTTTCTTTGGGGGGGGCGGGTTGTAAAAGCAACCGTGAGTTGCCCACTTGGTTTATGACTGCACCACTGAGGAAGGAGTGATGGTTAACACTTTGCCCCAGGCTGTGGCTCTGTTCCTAGTTATCTCCCACCTGGTGCTATTAGCTTTAGATGTGGGGAGGGAGGGGCAAAGGGGAGAAAGACACATGGCTGGTTTTATTATTCAAAGAGGAAGACACTGTGACATCCATCCCACCTGTCATATTTAGTTCGGCCCTCAGATTTCATGTACCATGTCCAAACTATAACAAAGAACTGATCTAGATGTATATTGCGACACAGATCTACAGCATAATTTCAGAGTTATGCGATTGTAGCCAACTAAGCCCTACTCAGAGCAGACCTACTGAAATTAATGGGCCTAACTTAGTTGTGTCTATTTATGTCAACAGGTCTACTCTGAATAGGACTAAGACTGGATGCAACTGGAGTTCAGCTGCTATTTACATTGTCTCCAAGAGGGAAATTCTCTAGGTATGCCTTCCTTAAGAGCTTGGAGCTGCTTCTTCTAGAAATAAATGCTGTGTTTACTGTAGTATGTTTGAGGATGACATGGAAACAATTTAGTTCATGATTTTAAAATAAGATTACAAAAACTGATAAAATGCTGTGCTTTTCATCAGAATTTACAAAACAAGAAATATCTGATGTCCTCAAATTACTGTTATTTTTATTTACAATAGAAGAGAAGTCTTCATAGCATCACAAACGTGTGTAGAATAAAAGAAGCCTACATTTTATAAATGTACATGGTATATGAATCAATCACTAAGTTCTTCCTCGTCACTAAAATATGCACTTTTTTTGATCCGCGGTCGTCTTGAATCAGAGGTTGAGGCCTCTTCTTCTGCCTGCACCAATTTTTGCTGCTCTTCCTCAATTTTGGCTTGCTGCATGACAATTGAAGACAGAGAGTTACATGAAATTATGTAATGCGAAATATACTTATTGACGGGCCAGTCCTTTTCTTGGTACTACATTGCTTGAATCTGCGCCACTGCCTCGCCTGCAACACTGAACCATTTCCTCTTATGCAATCTTCCTTTTGGAAGGATTAGAAAAATTACTTCCCTGGCCATGGAAAGATTTTTAGTGCAAGATGAATTACTGTTGACATGTATTGTAAATAACTAACACAAAATAGATCCCACTATGAAGGCAGATGGCCTCCTGCTTGTATATGATGAATGTCTGCCGCTTACTTCCCACCCTGAAGAGCTGCTGTAGATGGTCCCTTGGCCATTTGGAGTTGCTTTTCGGGAGATGATGAAGGAAGATGCTACTCCACTTTCTATGTGAGAAGAAGCATCTCTCACTAGCATAGCAGGATATTTGGACTGAAATCACTGTTCTGAAGTCACACAGTTTAACAGAAATGTGGGATTTGTATCTTGGCTTCTGAATCTTTATTGCTAACACTATAATGATAATGGTTTCTCCAGGAACGCAACGAAGCAGAATACAGTGTTTTCTAAAACAGCAACCCACACCGAACTAAACAAAACCCCATTACACCCAAATGTCAGGTTTTAAAACCATAGGATAGAGTCAGGGCACTTGATCAAACTCTAGTCCCGGGCAACTGGTGATGCATAAGAATTGTTGACCTCCAATGGGAAAGAGAGAGAAAAGAAGGAGAAACTAGTTCTCAAGGAGTGCCAGCTATTACCGTATTTTTCGCCCTATAGGACGCACTTTTTCCCCTCCAAAAATGAAGGGGAAATGGGTGTGCGTCCTATGGGGCGAATGCAGGCTTTCGCTGAAGCCTGGAGAGTGAGCGGCGTCGGTGCGCACCGATCCCTCTCGCTCTCCAGGCTTCAGGAAGCTATCCGCAAGCCTTGCAAGCCCGGAGGGAGTTCCCGCGGGCTCGCAAGGCTTGCGGGCAGCAGCCTGCAGCCCGGAGGGCGCCCCGTGCTTCGCGCAGGTGTCCGCAAGCCTTGCGAGCCCCGCGGGAGTTGCCGCCGGGCTCGCAAGGCTTGCGGCTAGCAGCCTGTTCTGGGTGCTGGGGTCGGGGGAAATATATATTTTTAATTCATTTCCCCCCCCCCCAATAAAACGAGGTGCGTCCTATGGGCCAGTGCGTCCTATAGGGCGAAAAATACGGTATGTTTTACTGCACCTTGTGGCATTATGGAACTGAAGTTCCTTTTTCAGAAGCTATCTTAGACTTTCTGTAGTGGCTTACACAAATATCTGAAGCAGTTTGCACAAGCACCATGAGGAAAAATTTGGGAAAGCCACTTCAGAAAAGAAATCTGCTTCAGGAAGTCCAGGATTGCTCCCAAAGAAAGAAGTTCAGTTCCAAAACATGTTGAGAACTACAATAAACCTTAATGGCTGGCACTTTTCCAAACTAGTTTCTCTTTGTGTTTTTTCTTGTAACTAGCCATTTAACCAGGGACAAGATGAGCATCATGATGTGAATCGTGAGAAATCCCCAGTTGTCCATTGGCTACATCTACAGATCATCCTGGAGAGCATAGAAGAGTTTGGATTTGATGTCCCGCTTTATCACTACCTGAAGGAGTCCCATAGCTTTGGAAAAGAGACTAGCACCAATTATGACACTGAACAGAAGCGAGCAGAACAATCCCTTCCTGTACATTCTGAATCTCTACAGCTTTCCTTTAAAAATTAGAATGCTAACATTTAATTAGAATCAAAATAGGTATTTTTAGTACCTGGAAAGCTATAGCTTGACTGAGGCTATCAAGGGCAGGGTCTTCTCCCTCCTCTTCACTTTCTGGTTCTCCCTCACTGAGCAGCAAAGAAATAAACAAAGGAGAGGGGAGACATCCAAATATATCTTATAAACTCACAAGAAAAAAATGGGGAAATGAAAGCTGCTTCATACATCTCCTTGCACTTACATTTCTTCTTCTTCCTCTTCTTCTTCTTCTATCGCTTTCTTTCTTTTCTTCTTTTCTTTCTTTTTAGGTGGCTCACGCTCCCCTAGCATGTTCTTAGGACATGCATAGCTTAAATGCCCCGTTTCCTTAAGAGAAAAGGTATACATATTTGTGAACAGAATTCACAGAAAAGCACAACAGCTTTGAGAATCAATATACAAACAAACCACTATGCTAACTAATTATTTATTAATTCTTGAAGTGCAAAGAGATTCTAGGGTTTCCCTGTTAGGAAGTCATTCATCCAGGAACAGGGAGAAGATTCCAGAACAGTCGTATATAAGTGGGAAAGGCACTCTGAGCACGTGCAGCTTCAGCTGGAAGGGCCAATAAAAGGAGAACTTTCATTTTCACTTTTTGCAGACGACTGACCACCAAATGCTATCTGCAAACTGATGCGTCATGACTGCCTATAGACTGTGTTTGCCTACATCGTTACTAAAAAGAAACAGGAACTGAAACTTAAGTATGCCATTACAGCTATTGCTATAATGATTATAAATAGTGCTACCATGATGCGTTTATGACCAGTCAAGCAATAAATCACTTGACTGAGTTTTATGGTGTCTGTGAGTGTTTCTTCTCAAAGTGTAGCTTCAATTGCTGACCACTGCTTTCAGAAACTCTGCTAAATGGAAAGCTTCTAACAAGGTGCCTACACACGAGTATACTCAAGCAGCAAAAGTGTGAAGGACTGTGAACTTTAACATTCCCCACCTCACAAATGCATATTTTGAGAAAGTGGGCCTATACAGTGGTACCCCGCAAGACGAACGCCTCGCAAGACGGAAAACCCGCTAGACGAAAGGGTTTTCCGTTTTGGAGGCGCTTCATAAAGCAATTTCCTATGGGCTTGCTTCGCAAGACGACAGCCCATAGGGAAATCTCAGGGACAGCGGGAAGCGCAGCGCGTCTTCCCCACTGTCCTCGGACCTCCTCCGAAGCCTGGCGGCGGGGCGGGGACACCTCCTCCCGCCGCCGCCGGGCTCGGAAGGCTCCTCCGAAGCCGGGCGGGGGAGGGACACCTGCCGCCGCCGCCCGGCCCGGGCGGTGCTCCGAGCCGGGCGGGGGAGGGAACACCTGCCGCCGCCGCCCGGCCGGAGCGGTGCTCCGAGCCGGGCGGGGGGAGGAAGACCTCCCCCGCCGCCCGGCCCGGACGGTGCTCCGAGCCGGGCGGTGGGGAGGAAGACCTCCCCCGCCGCCCGGCCCGGGCGGTGCTCCGAGCCGGGCGGGGAGGGAACACCTCCGCCGCCGCCCGGCCGGACGGTGCTCCGAGCCGGGCGGGGGAGGGAAGACCTCCCGCCGCCGCCCGGCCGGACGGTGCTCCGAGCCGGGCGGGGGAGGGAAGACCTTCTGAAGGCGGGCGGGGCGAAGTCTTTGCTCCCCCTGCCTGCCTGTCCCGGAGGGCTTTGAAGGCGGGGAGCAAAGACTTCGCCCCCGCCCGCCTTCAGAAGAGGTCCAGGACCTCTTCTGAAGGCTGGCGAGGGCGAAAGTCTTTGTCCCCCCTGCCTGCCTTCCCAGGGGCTTTTAAATTGCCCCGGACAGCGGAGAAGTCCTCCGCTGTCCCGGGGTGATTTTAAAATGCCGCCCGCCAGCATTTTAAGATCGCCCGGACAGCGGAGGACTTCTCCGCTGTCCGGGGTTTTTTAATGCTGGGGGTGGGAAGAAAAGCCCTTGCCCCCCAGCCTTCAGAAGAGGTCCGGGGACAGACTGTCCCCGGACCTGGTCTGAAGGCGGTTTCCTAGGAACGCATTAATTGATTTTCACTGCATTCCTATGGGAAACCGTGCATCGCAAGACGAAAAACTCGCAAGACGAAGAGACTTGCGGAACGAATTAATTTCGTCTTGCGAGGCACCACTGTACCTCAGGTATGTGTTACTCTTTGGAAGAGACAGTGTAGTATTTGCAAACACTTAAAAACAGAAGCATGAACTAGAGTGCATGTGAATATTAGCATACGAATTGTGATAAAGCAAGAAGGAATTGCCATCTGCAAGTTGACTTTTGAAAGTTATATATATGCTGGAAAATAATTCTAACAATTTATCTAGCAATTTAATAGTTGGTAATCCAGAAGTGTGCTTCAAGCTGAACTGGTTTAAGAATAAGAGCGTGACCAAAAATAGATACTTCTGCTAGAGCCCTTATAAATATACTCACTCCACATTCATAGCACTTTGATTTGTCGTAGTAGTTTCGCCTGCGGATGAATTCTGCAGCTCTTCCATTGTCAATAGCAATACTTGCTTTTATTACTCTTCCAAACAGCTAAATGCAAGTGGCAAGAAAAGCAAATACAACCTTAAGTTTTCTGAACAAATCAAAAGCTTCCTCATAACAATGTATGCTGTTGTCACTCACTTGTTTATTGTTAAGCGTCCGAGAACAGTTCTGTGCTGATTCTTTATCCAAGAACAAAATAAAAGCAACCCCTTTGCTCTTTCGTGTGTCTTTGTCTTTCATAATTGTCACTCTGAAACACAAGCAAGTTACTGATATGAACAAAAGAACAGTGTGTTTATATATCACTCAGGATAAAAATGCACTTTTTGAATTATTTGCTCTTTGACGCGTTTTATATGTAACAATTATTACAATACAAAGCTTGTTAACAGTTCATATATCATTGAAGTCCTAAGTGGTTTGAGACCAGGTTATATGAAGTATCACCTTCAATAGTATCAGCTGGCTGAAGCTTTAAAGCAGGGAGAGGAAATCTGTGCCCCCCCCCCCAGATGTTGTTGAACTCCCATCAGCCCCAGCAAGCATAGCCAATGGTCAGAGATAATGGGAGTCAGGGTCCATCATCGCTTGAAGGATCACAGTTTCCATATGTAAAAAAAAAATGAATTTTAGCCATCTAAAATATGTCTGGATGAGAAATAGAACTGCTCATGTTTCTCTAGCAGGACAAAAAAAATCATTATCAGATTGCTCATGAATGCATAAATTCCCATTCCCATTCAGAAATAATGCTGCTGGCTTGTAAATTTTAAACGGGCTACTCTAAATGTTACATGTGAACTAGCTCCATATGTTAATTGTCACAAACCATAATTAAAAATATGCAATATATGTCAAATCTTTACTCACTTAACCACTTTGCCATATTTGGAAAAAATCTGAAAAAGACATAAAAAGGGATTTTAGCTGTTTAGGTAAGGCAATGTGTAACAAGAATGCAAATACCGTATTTTTCGCCCCATAGGACGCACCGCCCCATAGGACGCACCTAGTTTTTTTTGGGGGGGGGAAATAAAGAAAAAAATTTATTTCCCCCCCAGGCGTGGGGGAAGCCCGAGCTTCCCCCGACCCCAGCCCCAAGAACAGCCTGCTATCCGCAAGCCTAGGGAGCCCGGTGGGAAGTTGCCCCGGTCTCCCCAGGTTTGCGGAGAGCGGTGCGAAGCCCGGGACTGCAGGCAGCTCTGTGCAGCTCTTGGGAGCCCGGCGCGAAGTTGCACCGGTCTCCCGAGGGTTGCGCAGAGCTTCCTGAAGCCTGGAGAGTGAGAGGGGTCGGTGTGCACCGACGCCTCTTGCTCTCCAGGCTTCAGCGAAAGCCTGCATTCGCCCCCTAGGACGCACACACATTTCCCCTTCATTTTTGGAGGGGAAAAAGTGTGTCCTATAGGGCGAAAAATACGGTAAGTGTTTTTCCGTAAGACAAGAGAAACAATGTAACATGCAACCTACGGCTATGCACAAAGTAGCTAAAACTTGATATTTATTTATTAAATCTCTATACCACCCTTCATCGAAAGATCCACAGGGTGGCTCACAACATAAAAATACAAAATGCAAAGACAAAATACATGAAAAACAAAAACGAATCAATAACCCCCCTCCCACAAATACATTTAAAATGCCACAGATTGTTTAATTGGCCGAAGGCTTCATTATAGAGAAATGCCTAAAGATATGTAATGAAGGAGCCAGGCAAGCATCCTTGGGGAGAGCATTCCACAAATGGGGAACCACTGCAGAAAAGCCCTGTTCTCGTGTTGCCACAGTCTGGACCTCTTGCAGAGGAGGCACACAAAGAACGGCTTCAGATGATGATCACAGGGTCCTGGCCAGTTCATATGGGTAGAGGCAGTCCTTGAGGTACTGTAGTCCTGAGCTGCCTAAGGCTTTATATATCATACTTAAAATTCATACATAATTTCAAAGTATTCATGCTTACTCTGTATAAGTCACTGTTTGTCAAAGAGAAGGGCAAATTGGACACGTAAACTGTGCTTTTGCTTGGTGCTAACCCTCCACTCATTTTTTTCTAGAGATCAAAAAGAAAAAGAAAAAATTAGTTAACTTTAACTAAGCTAATTAACACACCATTTTATAAACTATAGTCATGTACAAAATTATAGACAGCAAAGACTTTGTTTTTTAAAAAATATATATTTACATGCTTAACCACCCAGACCAACTATCATTCCAGAAAGTGGTCAGGAAAGCAGGCAGGAGATAGGCATCTATCCTGTCCAGACACCTCCAAGTGAGAATCCTGATCCCCAGCAAGCCAACTACAATTCTGGCTGCAGCAACATCTAGGAGCAGAAAGGTAACAAACCAGTTTTTCATTCTTTTCACCATGGTGGTATGAGGAAAGATTTGGGCTTCTTAGTTTAGAAAGAAGGCAAGTGGTGGGGATGTGATGAAAGCTTATGAAATTATGAAGAGCATAAAGAAAGTGGATAGAGGGAAGTTTTTCTCCCTCCCATAATACTAGAACAGGGGTGGGGAACCAGTGATGCACCAATCCATTCTGAACAGCCCATCAATCTCCTGTTTTTATTGGTGGCAGCAACATAAACATCCACCCACACAAACCAGCGTCCAGCATTCTCTGCAAGTCCTCTTTTTCCTGCTTTTATGAGCAGCAGTGGCAATATAAAAACTTTTTAAAAAACCACAAACCTATCCAGTCAACAGGGAATGTTCAATGGTTGGCAACTTCCAGTGTTCTCAGCAGTCTAAATTAAGACATGGACGGAATCTTCTGAAATGAATAGACAGCAGTGTCACTGCTTGGAGAACATCAGAGAGCTCAGCCAACACTGGAGATTCTGTTCTGTCCAACCCTGCCTTTGCTCCCTTTGAGATGGGGCCTGGTAGGTCAGCTTGGTTTCCCTAACATTCTGTTGGGAAAGGTGATGGCCTCTGTTTCAGCTGAGCGGGGGAGAGATCAGGGTGATGATCACAGTAATCTCTCCACCCTGAAGAGGGATTGTGTTTTGACCTATTCATATGCATAGTATGCCTGCAGACTTTGGGTGACCATGCCCACTGTTAGCATGCAGTCCCTAGAAGCTTGCCAAGTTTCAAAAAACCCTGTTCTGGAACCTTGAGTTGTTCAATGAAGCCGAGTGGTAGAAAGGAAATATTTCCGCACACAACATATTGCTATGCTCTTAAAATTGCTGATGGTCACCAACTTAGTTGGCTTTAAAAATGAATTAGACAAACTCATGGAAGTAGTCAAAATTGCTATAAGCATGCCTCTAAATTCTAGTTGCTGGGAAACTACACTTATGCTCTGTGGTTGGATTCCTATAGACATCTGGGTGACCACTGTGGGAAATTGGACGTCATCCACCAAGCAGAACTTTTTCCACAGCTTCATGAAGACGACATGAGAGCATGCGGCAAGTAAATATTCACCCCCATTTGCGCCACAAATAGTATGCAACTGATCTGTTAACAAAGTCCATTCAAAGCTACGAGCAGTACCGTTTGGCAATATCATGGGTAAATCGAATGGCTTGATTTTGTTACATATTTCAGCAGTTTTAAGTGAGTAGTTAAAAGTCTGAACCCTACCCCTGGAAGCGATAGGCGGGCTTCATTAATCTCTGCTTCATTGGACAGCAGACTTGACAAGGCTGTCACGAGGTGGAATTGACGGCTCGATTAGGTCTTGCTTCCTCAGATGTCAAGTCCCTCGCAGGGTTTTCGATGGGAATGAAGACTTGAGGGGGACGCGCTCTGCAGGGCTACTGCGCCTGAAGGGCTTTTAAGAGATGGGGCGACTGGTCTCTACTCCAAGTAAACCCGGAAGCAGGAGGGGCCGAAGCACCCACTGGGGATGCGAAGGGTTAAGGACGCCGCCGCACACCTCCGAAGGTAGGAACTGAGGGACTCCCTGCAGCCCAGAGAAGCCGCTCAGTCGGGCCAAACCATCGCCCTCGCTTCCTCTGGAGCCGACTCCCCCTCCTGTGGTCCCGAACGTCGACTTCCCTCTAGGACGCCTCACGCCTGGGCGCCTTTTTGATGACGTAATAAGCACGAGACTCCGTTAGGGTATCGGCGCGGGGGGGGGGCGGAGCGGACAAACTCGGCCACCCCAAGTCTATTCGTTTTAAAGGACCCTCGTTTCCGGGTCCCCTTTGAACGCCGCCCTATGCGAGGAAGCCGCTCCTTTCTCGCAACTCTATGGCCGCTCCTCTTTGCAAAGCTCTATTGCGGGAGGTCTATTGGCAGGGCTCTCTATGGTAAACTTCTCGGTTTGGGACGGGCGTTGGAGGGACGCGCAATGGACGCGCGTTTCCGGTGACGTCACCTAACGCGCCGGAAGTGGCTTAGGGAGAAGCTCCGTGTTGTGGCGGTGTTGACTGGCGGCGGGTGAGTTGGTTGGTACGGTACAAGGGATTATAGAGGGTGGGTGGGGGGTAGGCGGGAGAGAAAAAAAAGGAGCCCCCCCTCCCAATTTCCCATGGCCGCCCTCCTCTTTTGGGAGGCGCACGCGCAGAACGGCATTGCCCGGCGCTTGGGGATCCCTCGGAGCTCACTCCTACTCCTGGATGATGCCTTCGGTTTTCGCCCGGTCCGTTGGCCCGGCGGGGCTAAGGGCGCCTCAGGAGACAAGGGCCAGTTCGGCTGAGGTTATAGCCTTGAGCCAGTCGGTGCAGCCCTGTGCACGTGTCCTCGGAAGGAAGCCCCGCTGAGGGGAATGGGATTTCCTCTTGCGGCAACGTGGCACTTCGGGAGCCGCCTTTGGGCGAGGGGATTCACGCGTCCCTCACTCAGACGTGGTGTCAGGGGCGCAGTACTACACGTCTACTAGCAGCACGTCTTTGAAAAACACGCCGGCTGCACGTTGAGTTCCTTTGCTGCTGATTCCGTTCCTGGGTCTCTTTAACAGGAACCCGCTGCCTAGAAATTTCGATGAGACGTCGAAGGGTTGAGAAATGTTCCACCCGGTGAACTTCTGTTGCAGTCGCGTCTGTGCAGAGTTGCAATAATAGTAATGATTTTTTTTTTAATTTATAAGCCGCCCATCTGGCTGGGTTTCCCCAGCCACTCTGGGCAGCTTCCAGCAAAAATACATGAAACGTGCCTTGCATACGACAACAGAAGTGGAAGAGGGGAGAGCTGCGTTACTCTTAACAGAGCCCAAGTTGCTTCCAATTGCCACCCTCCTCCTTTTCTGCCTTGCTGCAAACTGAACACGCTTGTTGTAAATTAAACACAATTTCTTGTTTGGGTTGGATAATAAATGTGGACCATCCACAAGCCCTTGCCCCATCTAACTAAGGGAATCCACACACAGATCAGGAACCAGAGGTAAAATAGATGAACATGCATGCATTAACTTCTCATGATACTCTGCTTCATGGAGCCAGCATACTGGCTTCCAGCCTTTGGCTTCCGCTTTGTGTGTGTGAGACACACATACCTACATACCTCAGCCTCCTCGCCCTTTTTCCTGCATACCTCAGCCTCCTCGCCCTTGTACGAGCCTATTGGAGCTTTTCTCGACACAACCATCTCATTTTTATATGTGTCATGTTACTATTAGGGGAGTAATACTACTGACCAAAGGGCTCTGCTCCTCAGATGTCTTCTTTTCCTGCATGGGGTAATCAGTGTTATTGTCCACCCACCCCCATCAGCAGCTCCTCAAATTCCTGGAAACTGACTCCAAGAGATAGATGACCGTACAGAATTACTTTTGAGGAATTCTGGAAATGAAATTGTTTTTTGGCTTGTACAGATTTTAGAACCAAATCTTGGTTCTAAATTGTATATATGTGCTGGTATATGAGCTGAAGCAGGCACCATATTAGAAAAGGTATCCCTACTGGTACTGGAGGGTTCTGTCTCCTGACTGTCAGTAGTAGATTTTCAGAAGTACTGGAGAAGGTAAGGGAGAGTGGAAGAGGTAGTAGTAGATTTTCAGAAGTACTGGAGAAGGTAAGGGAGAGTGCACAACTGTCTTCATGTTCATAGTTCTTTGGCCCCAACTTAATGTTATTTTGCTTTTAACTGAGATAAATTCATTCCCCCTTTACATTTGTTTTTAAAATACACAGGAACGAATTTATTGGGATTTAAAACATTGTTGAAGAAAGAACAAAAGTAAGTGATTTCAAATGCTATGTCTGTTGAACTAAAATTAGTTCTGATAACAAAGCTCTTTATTTTACACAGTGGGCAAAAAGTTTTTTGTTTTTTTTAAATAAAAGCTATAATTGTGGTGCGTTTCAGATTTTTTAAAGTTCTGCTAATGTTAAGTGAAGAGTTGGGGACCATCCTGGACAGATTCTGGGGGTGCAGGGGAGAAGAGGAAGGGGAAGTTCTGTTATGTCAATGGAAATCCATTCTACTCGCATACAGATAGCATTGGATTCAACCCACGGCCTCTTAAAAATGTGTTAAGTAAAATTAAATCATACCCAAACATAAACATGTGTGCTTTCATCTGTTAACTGAATTGATGTATTAGCCATCAAAAAATGAGTTAAATACTGCTCTTCTGTGTAAAATATGTAACAACCTTAGTAAATATAATGACACAATAGGTCACTTAGAATTTTCAAGCGAATGTAATATCTATTTACCCAATCAATCATCTTGCATGTCAGATGTATGTAGTATTTGGTCAGATGTGCTTTAATTATTACATAAATTATTATGCGCACCAGGTCAAAAAGTTTATGTGGCTGGATTCAAACGAAGGTGAATCCATGGAAGGAAGAAGTCCTTCTGTGAATTCAAGGGCCTATGATCCAGTTGGGGCATCTACTCACAGAAAGGAGGTAAATTTAACCAGTTCTGCCTCTCTTGTGAACCAGCCACATGTTTCAGAAGACCCCAAGCCCTTGGGAGAAAGCCTTTGGTTTAAAAGATAAGTGAGTGAAAACTGACTTCCTCTCGCCTTTCTTTAGCAGGGATTGAGAACTCTTCTCACAGGTGCTTTGAATAAAACCTATGTACAGTGGTGCCCCGCAAGACGAATGCCTCGCAAGACGGAAAAACCGCTAGACGAAAGGGTTTTCCGTTTTGAAGTTGCTTCGCAGGACGAATTCCCCTATGGGCTTGCTTCGCAAGACGAAAATACCTTGCGAGTCCTGAGATTTTTTTCGCTTCCCCCTTTATCTAATCTGCTAAGCCTTTAATAGCCTTTAATAGCCTTTTAGCAGCTAATCCCCTAAGCCTTTAAGCCTTTAATAGCCGCTAAACAGCTGATAGCGCTAATAGCGCTAATCCGTCAATGGGCTTGCTTCGCAAGACGAAAAAACCGCTAGACGAAGACTCTTGCGGAACGGATTAATTTCGTCTTGCGAGGCACCACTGTAATTACAGGGCAATGTCCCACTTGCATGGGGGTTCTGTTCTAGGCGTGCATCACTGGGACATTGCAAACTAGGATTCCCCTGTTCTGCTCTCCCTGTTCCCTTTTGACATGTGTGTCAGCGGAAACATGCACAAGTGGGGAATTGCCTGTATGATGTTCTGAAATTATTTAAATCACCTATGTGTGCTGAAATAGAAGAGCAGTGAACACAATTGGAAATGTAATATTAGAATTTCACTGTAGGCATTGAAATTAAGATGAGATAAGCCATAATAATGAACAAACCTAAATAATTGTTTGGCTTTTTCATGCCGTCTTCTCTCTTTTCCCATATGGTAGTGCCAACCTGGACAATACAGCTAGATTTGGACTAGCCACAAGGCTGCAAGTTCAGTCAGTGAGCTTTGATTCAGTGTTTTACTACAAGAATGCATACAACAGGTACAACAGTAGTTCTACAGGACAGCTTAAGAGTGGGTTTAAAGCCTACTGACAGCTTATCAAAAGGTAAAGGTAAATTTAGTAAAAGCCTTGTGTAGTGTATAATAACACTTTTAAAACAGGTGAAGTTATTTGACCCTTGGAGTTTATCTCCCCTAGACTGAATAGCAGGTAATAATTTAAATACGGAGGTTGTGGCGTGTCAACTTTTCTAGTTACATTTGGTGAGCCCAATTTAATTTAGCTATCTATAAATTAAAACCGGCCCACTTGTTCCATGAGAGCATACTGATTAGTCACATTGCAGGAAAATGCGGATATGCCCCAAGGATTATTATCAGTTCTCCAAGGCACAGATAATTGCTTGCCCTCATCTTTCACACCTTTGACAAATCCTAGTTTGCATTTATGTCATAAATGAGAAAATTATGGCTTGTGCAAATAGCAGACCATGCTTTAGTATTATAGTATGTGAGCAGGCTTTAGTTTTACAAGCTCCCTCTTTGCCTCATGACACTTTTAGTGGAGTTCAACAAGTCTTAAGCTTGTGTCCTTGCCACTGCTGCACCAAGGAGGAAACAAACCAAAGTCTAGCTTCTTAGGGGAAGTAACCCCCAAGCCAGAATCTGGCTTGTTTTCATCTTTAGCAGCAGCAGGAGAGGAGCTGTGTGAGAACTTTTGAGGAGCATACACTAGCACTCTGCTCATTCACATTAAATCATAGTTTGTTTTAAGCTATAATTTAATGTGCTATGCAAACCAGGCCAAAGCTTTGAGTTAATTATGTGTAAAATGAAAAATTGGCATATTTCAAATATATAAATTGTCTTAAAATTCTGCACCACCAAATCATGTAAAAAAAGAATCCTTGAGGTATACTGTTGAATATTTACAGGGAAATGATTAAAAAAAATGCTAATGGCATTGGGAAAGTTTTATTGAAATCAGTTGACGCTTCCAGATAAATAAGTGTCAACTTGGTGTATTAGAATCTTGGGTTTTCCCAGTATATGACAATGTATCTCATGAAAAGTAGAAGACGTATTCAGGTACTTGTACCATCACCCAAGTTTTGACTTTAGGTAATAAAATCTTTATCTTTAGTGGCATACAGAAGAGATGATGTGTGGTCTGATGAACGATATGATTATGATAGACTTCCGCGAGAGCGGCTTCCTCCACGTCCTGATGTAAGTATAGTGCCATTAATCTGCATTACGTATTTCCTGCTCATAGTTCTTTGTCTTTATCAATTCCTTTTCCCAAATCTTTTATCTTGGACTATGCACTGAGGATTTCTATTAAAGACACCGAACATGTAACCAGGGGATGTGAGTCAAACTCAAGCAGGGTTATATAGAATGATGTTATGAAAATTGGAATAGGAATCTTGATGGCAGTTCAGTGTAAATTTTTCCCAGATATTTGGAAATTCAGTAGTCATGGGTTAATTTAATGCAGGAGCCCCCTTTTAGGGCTCAGGGACACATTTGGAAATCTTAGAAACTGTCGCGAGCACCACAAAATATTTATTTAAACTTTTAATTCTCACAACTTGCCATCAAAAACAGGAGGCAGCCAATCCCCCACCATAGAAAGAAAGAAAGGCGCGAAAGGAGGTGACTGAGGGTACCACATGGGGACGCTAGGTTTTAGGTAAAATGTCCTTTATTGGGCTGTATTGGATCACTGGGGAATACTTTACCTTCTCTACCTCAGTCTACCTTTTGGTGGATGTTAAGAGTAGGCACCAATGAATTGTTTTGGGGGCAAAGTGCTAAAAATTTGGCTAGATTTTGTTAAATTACAAAGATCAGAGTTTTTGTTAAATTCATTCCCAAATACCCGTGTTGGGCATTGTGAGACTTTCAAATGGTAGTGAAGCTGCCACCTAATAATGCGTTCTTTGCGCATAGGTTCTCCCGCTATTTGCTGGTCTGTGAATCTTTCTTCACACCCCACCTTTTTAATGATACGTTTGTAACCTGGAAGACAGGATGTGAACTGAGAAGTTTACAATTGAGACAGTAAAAGGCAACATTGTAAAGTTTATATATATATATATATGTATGTGTGTGAGTGTGTGTGTGTATGGGAGAGAGAGAGAGAATTATTGGGAGTTGTAAAAACTTAAACATAAAGCAATTTTTATTTAACAAAATTTATATACCACTTGAAATCCTGTAAGCAGTTTACAAAATCAATATTACCGTTCTCTTTGAAAACATGGTTTGCCATATTGGATTGAAGAATTCAGAGAGTAGATATTGGCTCTTCAAAAAGCCAATTAAAATCACATTTGCATCCCAGTCCTCGGCAAGTCCATTCAGAAATAAATCCCACTGATTTCCATGAAATGACTCATGAGTATTTTTGCTCCCCAGGCACAAATCCTTTGCAGAAGCAGAGGTCTTTTACCAGTCCTGTCCTGAGGACAAATACAGCCTAGCATAGCTGCAAAACTCATATTGGATCAATAGAGTTCTGAAATAGTTCAGTACTACGCAGTCCATTTCTGAGTTGGTTTTCTCTGGTGCCTTAAATGTAAAATGGCTATGTAACGCAAGGGAGCAAATCATAGAATATCTTAGATGCAAAGGTTGGGTAAGAATACAAGTCTGATTAAAAAAACACCTGTGTGATGGTTTAGGAACCTTGCCAGTTTTATATGGCAGACTTGAACATTTGGATGGTTCAAAGACTCCTGCCTTTAGACCTCACTTGCCTCCCCAGTTACATCTTTATCTGTGTAGAAAAAAAGTAATGTCAGAATTGGCCTTTATAGGGAGAGAAATTGGAGCAGCAATGGAAACTTAGAATATTTCCATGTTTTGCCCCTAGTCAAGATACAGTTTTGACATACTATATCTTAGACTTGAATAAAATGTCAAAACTGTTCAGTATGAATTTCTTCTATGAAGAAATTAAAATTAAATTAAAAAGGGCATTGTTAAGCAAATCCCAGCCCATTTCCAATGACAATTCAAAGTGGTGGTTCTTCCTTTTTAATGCCCTACATGGCTTTTCTAGCTGAACAAAGGAGTGTCTGTTCTGACATCTGTCCATGCCATGAGGTCATCTATAGATGTCCGTGTTTAAGAACATTTGACCTCTGATGTAAGATCTCCTGGTTGTGGCACCCTGCCTTTGTAATTCCATCTACAGGAAGGTTTGCCTGGGTGCTTACATTATCATTTCAGTTCCCCATGCCTCTCAAATCATTTAGTTATTTACATGTTGCTTCAATTTCCTGTTTTATCATTGTTTATATGTTATAATTCCCAGAATTGCAATTCCCAGAATTCCCATTTTGAGAACTGTTGTTGAAAACGTGGTATAGAAATATCCTAAATATACGAATTCCTTTAAGCCTTAGTGATAACAAATGGGATTTTTAAAAAAGAAAACTTTCTAATTTTTTTCATTTGCAGTGTTTGACGAAAGTATTTGACAGCGTAGAACACCAGGTATTAGTAACTAGGTTGTCATTCTTTTTAAGTTTTTAAGCTGGCTTTTGGTAAATCTTGATGGTTTTACTTTTGTGCACCTTTTTTCTGGCTTTCACATATGGCACTGTTTGTCATTTCCAAGATAAACTGGTAACTACCATTTGAGCACTCTTCTTTGTCAGGTGCGTTACTCTGGGAGAACTGGGCACTAAGGTTCCTCTGTAACTGTCCAATATATCTGCATGTTGTGACACTTGGCCAGGGGTGAGCAGTGTAGAAAGGCCCATACCTGGAAGAGCGGCTTCTGGCTTCAGTCTCTCCCTCCTTCTTATACATAGGGGAGGGTATAGTGAGACTAATTCCTGAGAGCCCCCAAGGGCAGAGAAGCTGCCCCATCAGCAGTAGCTGGAGTGGGAATTTTGTGGAGACTATATAATTGCAACGCATTAGGGGAAAAGAAATCAAAGGAAGTAAAGGTCAAAATACAAACTCACTGAATTTTCTTCTGGTTTGTGATGCTTCTTAATTCCTTTTACAGGAGTCAGAGTGCTCTTCCCATTTTCAACGGGCTGGAGATTGGATGAGATTGAACGACATATATCTAGTCAGTCAGGTTTTTTTTTTTGTTTTAATAGCTAAGCAGCAGTAGGATGTAAAAATTGGTAGAACTGCTCTTTGACTAACAGTTACTCATTCTATGATGACAGTAATAGTTTACAGAAGCATTTTTTAGCTAAGGATCAGTGCATTTCAATAATTATTAAGTGATTTTGAGGGATCTGCTTTTGGTCCTTTAAATGGTTTTATGTTTCCAATACAGTGTTACCTTGGTTCTGGAACTTAATCCATTCCAGGAGTCCATTCAACTCCTGAAGCTGTTCGAAAACCAAGGCACGGCTTCCAGTTGGCCGCAGGAGGTTCCTGCACTCAAGCGGAAGCTGTGTCGGACATTCGGCTTCCTAAAAACATTCGCAAACCGGAACACTTCAGGAGCCGATTTGTTCTGCAACTAAGCCGTTCTGGAACCAAGGTTCCACTGTACAAGAAATGCACATAATTATCGCTAAGTTCAACCTTATGTATTCCTGAATATTTTCCGTACACAGAATAGTGGATGGGTATCCATCTTTGCTATCAATATAAAAATTTGATGTCATGTGTTTTCTAATTTCTATTCTCCAGTTTCCTTTAAGGCGGAAGTTATATTAGTTTTGAAAAGCTTAGAAAAATCATTCACATTAAAAATGTAAAATGTGTATTACCAAAGGATTGGGTCCAGATTTCCTCCTCTGAAAAATGTAAGAGCTCTTCAGTTTGCAGAGGGAATTGGAATCAAGCAGATGCTCACCTCTGAATGAAAGATGGGGAGAGCCTTTTCATGTATTAGCCTACTTTGCACAGTGTTCAAGAGACCAGGTTTTCAGGACTTTGCAGAGGGGAAAATAAATTTGTGATAGTTTTCTCTCTGCCTGCTTCCTCTACTGCAAGCATAATCTCGCTGAGCACAGTTCTGGATCCAACCCAATATATTTTATTAGTTTGCTGGCCGAATTTTGCACTTCTTTTAGACAAACAATTCCAAAGGATGACGTGCCTTCCATCAGCTTCAGCTGGTGAGCCATCTGCACCCCTATCTGGACAGGAATAACTTTAACTTCTGTGGTCTGTGCTCTTGTAACCTTTAGATTAGATTACTGCAATGTGTTATATATAGGGCTGCCTCTTAAGACTGTTCTGAAACTTCAGCTGGTGCAGAATTTGGTGACCAGGCTGCTAATTGGGGCAAGTCAGTTGGAACATATTATATTGAACCTAGCTCCACTGCACTGGCTGCCAGTCGGTTTCCGGGCCCAATTCAAAGTGCTGGTTTTGACTTATAAAACCTTTAGTGTATCAGGACCGCAATACTTCAAGGACTGCCTCTCCCTATATGAACCAACTCAAACCTTGCAATCATCATCTGAAGTCCTTCTTTGTGTGCTTCCCCCATGCAACGTCTGGAGGGTGGCAACACAAGAACGAGCCTTTCCTGTGGTGGCTCCCTGTTTGTGGAATCCTCTCCCCAGGGAGACTCGCCTGGTGCCTTCATTACATATCTTTAGGCACCAAACGAAAACATTTCTGTATAACCAGGCCTTTGGCTGATTAACATTCTGTGGTCTTTTAAATGTATTTGTGGTGGTAATTGATTTGATTTGATTTTGTTTTATTATCTATTTTGTTTTTCTCATTTATCTTTGGAGGAAGGGCAGTAAACTAAACAAACAAACAAACAGAACAAGTATATAGTAACTTTGAATTATTGAAAAGGAAGTGTGTAATTTTAGATCTCAGGGTGTGAGTTCCTGTATCATGTGAGCAGCGAGGTTCTCCTAAATCTGCCCACAACGTCCCCCGTGCCCTCAGAATCCGCTCTGCTCTGGAGAGTCTTTCACCCCTCCAGAGTAGATTTTGGATGGTATTGGGAAGGCAGAAGGGTGAAGAGGTGACACTGGAAGTCTTATTGTCCCAGTGGATTTCCGTTGTGCAAGCAGATAGATATAATTAGACATTGCCCTAAATATGGGAAGGCAACTGTAAATTAAGTAGTGGTAAAATGTTAATAGAATTGTGGAAGAAACTGGGCTATTTTGGCATAATTACTCTTTATCCTGATCAGGTATGTGTGTTTGTGTGTGAGTGCGAGAGGAGAAGGAGAAAAAGTGGAAATCCCTGTGAGTTGCCTTGGGTGGGCTCTCACTCCCCTGAAGTGGCTTAGAAATAAAACACCATTTCACCTTTTTAGGAAGACTATGCTCGAGAAGTCAACTTTGCAAACAAGAAACCACCACTTCCAGAGAGACCTGGGGAAGGAAGCTACAGTAGATATGAATATAGTCACGCTCCTGTTGGCTATAGAGATTACGGAGACGGCCGCGGTTTTGCCCACGAACGAAGAAGTGGACCACCACACAGAATGGTAAGTTAAATTTTTGCCCCTCGTGGCACACAGCTGGAAATTGCATGCTCCTGATGGGTTTTTTGGGCTTCTATCTTAAATTAACCAGCTCAAAGAAATGATACCTGAATTTGCACCTCAACCACCATGAAACTTGTTATGTAATCATAATAGGAAAGCAACCACAATGCTTTGATTCTATTTCCTAAAATGTAGCACACTAGGTTACCTTTAAAATGGTGCATCAAATCTAGCCTCCTTGTTTGGAGGATGGCTACTACTGTTGTAGAAGTATTGTCTCGGTCTCATCAGTCTATCATTCTGTGTGCCTAATGAAACAAGCTCATCAGCAACATGCAAATTAAGATCTAATCTCTGGATTTAACATTTGATCAGTGCATTCTGCTCCTTGCCCCTTTGAGGGAAATAATTTTGGTTTCATAATACTTAGTAACTTCAGTGACTGTGAAAGACCTATAGTGTTTTATATATTGTTGAGAAAGATTCTCAGCAAAGAACTGCACCAAATATTTGTGAGAGGTGTGGTGAAATTGAGAGCCCTACTACTATGTGGATTGTGTTTAAGGTAAGGTAGAAGACTGATGAAGTTTTAATTCTTCAAACCGTATCTTTCATTATACTCAATTTTGCATTGTACAATTTCACTTTTATAGGATGATCCTGGATATAGATGGCAAAGGGATGACCACCCTGCTGGTCGTCAGCCTGATTATAGGTAACTGTGTTTTTAACATAAAATAATTGTGTTTTAATTGCATACACTTCTGAATTTTTTAGAATTATTTTGTTGATATTAAAAATCAAATTGTGCCTAGCAATTTGAATGCCAGGTCTACAAATCTATCTATCTATCTATCTATCTATCTATCTATCTCATTAGCACTTTAAAGTAAGGGTGGTAGTGTTCATACTGTTCTGCAATGACGCTAGAAGTTCCTGAAACGTCTTTACCGCGAAATACCTTGAATTCTACCCATGTTTCTGTGTCTTTGATAGTATTTTTTTTATTATTTTGATTGTTGGTGTGCCAGGCATGAGTAGTGAGAGCTATTTTTGATATTTGCTTCCCAGCCACAGAGCTTTCCGGGACCTAAATCCAATGTTTGTTTGGATAGGATGGGAACTTTTAATCTGATGGGGCAAATAACTATATTGCTCCTGTTGCTACTGTACTTGATTGCACTCAGCATAGCGGATGATGGGGAGGATCAGATAAGATTGAACACCGCCCCCCCCCCCCCCGTGTGGTGCAATATGGCCTGGATGCCATTGCATGGTAAAATACCTACCTACCATGTCACCTAATTCACCGGGCTCTAGGACCTATGAATGCATAAGCTCTTATGCTGCCTGGAACCTTGATTCTGAAAGCTATGCACACCAGCTATGGCTGCAAGAGTTGGTAAAAGCATTAAAATGGGTTTTAGAAGTATTTTCAAAGGGAGAGGAAGGAAACGGTAGTTCTTCCGCTCAGTAACGATATTATTGGAATGACATTATATGATTATATCCATTCCTGGAAGCCACAGGAGTTCTTGCGGGTTTCCCACAGGCATATGGTTGGCCATTCTTGAGAAATGAATGCTGGACTAGATGGGCCATTGGCCTGATCCAGCAAGCTGCTCTTGTATAAGGATGATGAAATATTAACAGGTAAAAGAGGAAGGGAGATCTCCTATAAGCTGGTGTGAACTGGTGAGAAATCAGGATTGTAGTTCAAGGTTGGTCAGGTAATACCTACCTATCTGCCTTAATTGAGTTCAAGTTCTAGGATTCCCAGTTGGTTAGAGCATGGTGCTGATAATACCAGAGTTGCAGGTTCGATCCCCATATGGGACCACTGCATATCCCTGCATTGCAGGGGGTTAAGTTAGATGCTCCCCAGGGTCCTTTCCAACTCTACAGTTCTATTATTCTAGTGGAATGTGCAGATGTACTTTTGGGACTGCTGTCTATTCTCCTTGAGACATCTTTGACAACGGGTAACTAACCATTGACTTCCAAGTCCAAAGATACTATAATAAATTATAAATCAGTTCGTAAGCATTTTGATCCCAGTGTAGTGATTAGTTGATGGCAGCATGAATTTGTTAAGAATAAATCCTGCCAGGACATCTTTATTTTATTGGGTTCCTACCTCAGTGGATTATTGGCGTGCTGTGGATGTAGTTTATCTGGATTTCAGCAAAGCACTTGGCAGAGTTGCTCATGGCCATTGGGCAGGAAGTGCAGTTGAACAACCGTGAGAGGGCCACAGCTTCGATCAAATCTGTGCGTAGATAAAACTTCACTTTGTTTTCATAGCTTGCCAAGAGATTTCAGCAAGTGTGGCATGCTATTTTTATCTGCAGATCGTCCAAGTGTCTTTGGTTTGTAGTTCAGACTTCAACCTGTGGAGGGCAGTGGTTGACTGACAGAGGGGCAATTCTGTTCTGCCAGTTTTAATATAAGTATCTGCATCAATGTGTGTGTCTACAATGCTTTATAACTCGAGGGTAGGTAGAAGTGGCTGCCTGTGAGCCCCATGTTGAAATGGATGCTGTTAGGATTGCTGAAAAATTAAGGAAGAAATATATCGATCATAATTTTACTAAAATGCATCAATATCGTATATATTTAAATTAAGAAGAGCATTCTATACAACAAACATCCATTGCTCATGATCATGCTTTAAAAAACAGAAAAAGAAATGAACTACTTACTCAAAAGAAGAAACAAAAACATTTATTATGCATATTCTAGAGAATATTAACAGTTATTGTTGTTTAAATGAAAACTGCTCTTTGATTTCTAAAGTAATAGCAATATTTTTCATTCTGTGTCCAATTTTAGTATCTCCACAACAGCTTTACCAGTATTTGTATATTGTTTTACTATGCAGATAATTAATAAACTTGTGCCAAGCTGTCCTTCTGCATTAGAATCCTGTGTTGGTTAGCTTGTTTCCTTTCTTTTATAGGTGGTGCCTTCTGTCGTCGTCTCCCCCCCCCCCCCCCATATTTGGAATTAAAATTATTGTTGCTACAAGTATATTCATTCTGTCACCATAGTTCTTTCTTTTTAAAGCCCTCTCTCTTAGGTTTCCCAGTAGAGTAACAGTAGCGTTTAATTTGAATTTCTGATTTCATCTGCCTTCCTAATTACTTCAATCTAAAAAAAATGGTAAAAGTTTTCTATTCCTTCCACATCTGTAGAATGTTGTGGTCTTTCTTGGTATATAAACGTTTTCCCCAGCTACTTTTGATTCCTGATTTTTTTTCATGTATTTTCGTTAGAACGTTACAGATTTTTGACATTTACGTTGAAATTGTATTTTGAAATTGTATGAGAGGCATGAATTAATTAGAATTACCCTGAAGTGACATTAAGCATCATTTCGTTTGTAAACATGGCCTGTTAAACTCTAGGGAGTATTGTTTTTGTTTGTTAATGTTCTGTATTTTGGTATTTTTATATTATAAACTGCCTTTTGATCTTCGGATGAGTGCAGTATTGAAATTTAACAATCTGACAAACATTTAATAGGTTTTATTGCTTATCTGAATAAATTAGTTGTAAGAAACTGCATTGGTAGGGGGTTTTGGTTTGCTTCTAGGTTCATTCCAGATATAATTGTATCCATGACTATATTGGATGGACTACCCTCTTGGACTTAATCCAATGTCCATTCCTTTAGTGATACCCCTGTTTGCTTTTCTGCCTTGTGGACTTACTGGTGATCAAAACAATGCATCAAAACTTTAAGGACTTAACATCATTATCTATTTCCTAAAACCTGCCACTTCATTAAATGTCATAGACTTGAGTGTTTAAAGAAAAAAAATGGCATGCACTTTAAATCTTTGTCTTTTCTAACTTAAAACTGGATCAAATGGTAGGCAGTGTTTGAAGTGCAGTAGTGACCTCCAATGGCCAAACAGAATAAATATTAAATTTGAGCTTTCCTTGATAACAGGATCAAATCAATAAATACAAAGCAACTTTGAATCAGTGGCTGTGAAGTTACACTTAAGATTCCATAAACCTGATGCATTTCTGCTGCTTCATGTGAACAGAGTGAAGCTTCCTCAGTTTTGACTACTATATTTCTCAGTCGTAAGGACAATCTCTTTTCCCCCCCTCGCCAACACATCATGAGTTCAGATGAGGGTCACTCATTCCAGGTGCATTTTATTTACTTCTGTAATAGCAAAGTACTATATGCTCTTAGCAGGAAGAAATTGGGATGGAGCTGATTAGGATCTTCAGGGAAAGGGTGGCTAATAAATGCCATTGTGTGATTTATTGGCCTGCGGATTGGCCTGCTCTCTCATCAGATGAACAGTTTTAACAAGTCTTGGAGAAGTGTTTTTATGTCTGAAACCTTTTGAGAGAAAGGAGTTTGTGTGTGTGTGTTGCACACGTGAATGCCAAAAATGGTTTTGGTGCTTAGGAAACCAGCGCTTCCTTTCCATCTTTCGCATACTGTCACAATGTCTGGATGTATTCCCTGGGTCTATTCCATGACCTTGCTCTTAAAAGATGTGATTGCATGCAGGCTTGCTTTGTTAGCAATGGCGTAAGAGGCTATAAGCAGTTACTTCTCCTCTTTTTGTGTTTTCTGGATTACTTGACGTGCTTTAAAGACTCTAAAAGCAGTTCCGTTTTTAGGCAAAGAGCTAGCTTATATAGATTTTATTTTGGTAGTGTTTAGCTGGTGAGAAGCCATTTAATATAGATATTAACAGTACATGATATGAATTCTGCTCTTTATTAGTCCAAGGCCACTAATAGTATTTTTATGTTTGAAGGCTAGAACTGAAGAAATAGGCATATTGTTTAGTATTCCTATTCTATGGTTGACACAGTTTTGCAATCCTAAAGATGGATATATCTGCAAAGTTGAAATTCACACTGGAATTTTTTTGGGGGGAGAGAGAATATTAGATTCTGTTAGGCGCTTTTATTTAGAATTTGGCATGCTGCTGCTACATTAGCTGCTTCATAACAAAAAACAACAACTTGTTAATGTAGAATGTTTTAATGCAGTGCATTTAAAAGTAGCACAAAAGGGATCGTTTTCTTCGCTGCCGCCATCAGCAGCTGAAAAAACAAGAGAGTGAGCAAACATTTGGAGATCCAAGTGACTTCTTTAAAGAGACTGTCACTGCTTCCAGAGCATTGGCTCTGGGAAACACAAACCCTCTTTGTGGAATGAGGGAAAGAACAACACATTCAGCACCACAAGCCCGTAAGTTTAAGCAGCTAAGGGGATGTTGAACATCTAAGTAAAGCTATTCCCACCCTGCCAGTAATTTAAAATGCAGTCCCAAGTGTGTTTACTCAGAAGTAGGTCCTATTTGAACCCAGTGGAAGTTGCTTCCTAGAAAGTGGGACCATCGTTTGTCTTGTCTTGATTCTGCTTCTGCCAGCTTGCTGGCATTCCCTTCTGCTTTACTTATTAGAGCAAGCATGTGACGAGGGCTTGAGCTTTGTCGTAAAATGAGTTTATTGATGTTCTGAAACTTAGGTCCCAACTATTTGCTCCAAGAGCTTAGTTGCCTTTTTTTTAAATGCCAAGCTTCCTTTGCTAATTGATGCTTGCCCCTTTAACCAGTTTTTGTTGTTGTTTATTTGCCAACCAGATTTTTCATATGCTAAGAGGTGTTTGTGGTATCTGAGATAACGCATATGGCTCTCATCGACACCTTATAACTCTTGTGAGAGAATGAAACAGACTGTGTGGAAGGTTCGTAGGCAATTTCCTCTTGAGGAAAGTGAGAAATTCGTTTAGTAGGAAATAAAACCAAGATTCTAAGGAGGTGAAGACAAAAGACAGAAGCGATAAGGCACGGAAGTGTGAAGAAAATGCTCCTATGAGCAAGGGACAGCAGGATGTAGGCAGAAAATGGACAGATGGGAGGAGACTTCACTTTGTCTCCCTACCACTGTCTTGGCAGCAAGAGAATGCAACCATTGGTTGCAACCAAAATGTCACAAAATAGTGACCAGGCTTACAGGTCCTTTAGAGCGCATTGGGAAGTGCATGCATACCTGAGACTGAAATTGATAGATACTGGCACAATTATTTTTGAATTAGTGGTGCAGACTGTTCATTGCATTTCTCCCAAGAGCCTAATGCTTGCTTTCAGCATTGAAGGCTCTCTGCAAAGTGTACACTAGAGGGCTCTTTCCCCCCATTTACCAGTAATTTAACTGCTGCATCTACGTGTGGCTCTCTGTGGATCATACACTTAAAGCACAAACTTACAAAGAGACTGAAGTAAAGCAATAAAATAACCCATGTTTCAGTTTGCTTTAAATATCTCCCTTTTATTGCATGGCAATATAACGGTTGTAAAAGCCCAGTGAAGATGTGAAAAAGTTTCAGGTCACTTTAATGTATTTCCTGGCTGGTCCATGGACATTCCTAATCTAGATCTAGTTGGTGTTGGTTTCCACACTTCTAAACTTTATGTGAATCTTCACGGTTTGAAACTTGACTCTAGTTTTTAATGCAGTTTTTTCCTGTACGGTTGAGTTATTGCCCAACTACCCCCCAACTTTTGGCTGTTGGATCTTTTGATGGAATTTTGTTTTCATAATCTTTTTTTAATGATCATCGATCCAAACTAGTGTTTCCCAAACTTGGGTCTCCAGCTGTTTTTGAACTACAACTGCCATCATCCCTGACCACTGGTTCTGCTAGCTTAGGGATGGTGAGAGTTATAGCTTATAAGATATGAAAATTTCATGTTTCTTCCCAAGGTACCTTATTTCTAGGAGGGATACATTAGACTGCCCTATTGGAAACCAACAAAGCTACACCAACCTATGCCAAATGTTGATCTCCCTTTGGATTTTGTCAGTTTAGCCATATGAGAAGATGAATGTCTATTTCAACTTGAGAATGTGAAAAGATCCATGAGTTTGAAAGGAAAGATTTGCAGCTATGACAGATCATGGGCTGTATCCCACTACGTTCTACTCTGAATAGACCTGTTGAAATTAATAAGGTAAAGGTAAAAAAGTAAAGGACTCGTGGACAGTTAAGTCCAGTCAAAGGTGACTATGGGGTTGCAGTGCTCATCTCGCTTCAGGCCGAGGGAGCCAGTGTTTGTCCACAGACAGCTTTCCGGGACATGTAACCAGCATGACTAAACTGCTTCTGGCGCAACGGAACACCGTGACAAGTCCCAGAGCGCATGGAAACACCGTTTACCTTCTCGCCGCAGCGGTACTTATTTATCTACTTGCACTGGTGCACTTTCAAACTGCTAGGTTGGCAGGAGCTGGGACAGAGCAACAGGAACTCACTCGGTTGCAGGGATTCAAACTGCTGACCTTCCGATCGGCAAGTCCAAGAGGCTCAGTGGCTTAGACCACAGCACCACCCACGTCCCTGGCATTGAAATTAATAAACCTAAGTTAGTTGTGTCCATTAATTTCAGTCGGTCTACTCTGAATAGGACCAACATTCATTGCAATCCAATGAAGGTTGCTATTTATCCTTAGAAAGGTAAAGTGAATATGGAGAAGAAACCTCTGAAGATGTGATCTACCAAATAATAATATTTTTTTATTTATATTCCACCCATCTGGCTGGGTTTCCCCAGCCACTCTGGGCGGCTTCCAACCAAATATTAAAAACAATACAGCGTGCTTACGTCTCAGGCTGCCCATTCAGAGTGTTTATCCTGTCTTCTGCACTCAGCTCTGCGCTCTGTGCACTGCACTTGAATCAGCCTCTTGGCTCCCTGAGAATAATTTTCAGCTGAAGAAAATCACAAGTAGAGATGTATAAGACATTAGAGGAAGTTGGAGGAAGAGCTCTGCTGGATCTCACCATCCTGTTCTCACAGTGGCCAACCAGATGCCACGGGGAAGCCCACAAGCCGGACCTGAGTGCAACATTCTCCCCACTTGTTTTCCCCAGCAGCTGATACGCAGAGACACACTGCCTCTTGACAGTGGAGGTTGAGCATAGCCATCGATCCTAATCACCATTGGTAGCCCTACCTCCCACAAATGTATCTAATCCTCTTCTAAGGCCATCCAAGTTGGCAACAATCACCGTGTATTTTACACCGATGCTTTTCCTTCTTGGATAATACTAAATACTTTAAAGCCTAGGACCCTCATACCTATGGGACCGCCTCTCCCGGTATGCCCCGCGGAGGACCTTAAGGTCCATAAATAGCAACACCCTAGAGGTCCTGGGCCCTAAGGAAGTTAAATTAACCTCAACCAGAGCCAGGGCCTTTTCAGCACTGGCTCTGGCCTGGTGGAACGCTCTGTCTCATGAGACCAAGGCCCTGCAGGATCTGATTTCTTTCCGCAGGGCCTGTAAGACAGAGTTGTTCCGCCTGGCCTTTGGCTTGGAATCAACATGTTTCCCTCCCCCTCTTTCCTTTTCCCTTTATCCTTCTGTGATGGAACTCCTTTTGGGGACTTACCTGGCTTTTTTCGGTCCCATGTAGGACCAGTCTGACTAGTTTGCCTTGGTGAAGATTTGACGTTTTCATCCCCAAAAAGTTTTTGATTCGAGTTTCTATTGAAATGAGGCTGCATTTTAATGTTGTCTTTTAATCTTGTTTTTAACTAGGATCTTAATCAATTGTTTTTTATCTGGTGTTAGCCGCCCTGAGCCTGGTCTTGACTGGGGAGGGCGGAGTATAAATAAAATTTATTATTATTATTATTATTATTATTATTATTATTATTATTAATAAACTGATTTCTCTCAGAGGAAAGATTCAATAGAAGATGGGTACTTGCTTCAGGTATTTAGTTATGTGCTCCTAGAATTTTGACATTTATTAAGTAATTTTAATTTCTTTTTATGGGAATTTGAAAGGGACCCGAGAGACGGCATGCGCCGGAAACCCGTCTATCCTCACTATGCGAGAGATCGATCCCCGCATAAGAGAGATTCTCCTTACTTCAGGGAATCGCCGGTCAGCCGAAGGGATTCCCCCCACAGCAGATCTGGGTCCAGCGTCAGCAGCAGAAGTTACTCTCCCGACAGAAGCAAAGCCTATGCCTACCACCAGTCCCAGCATAGCAGAAGTATGTCATCTTTACCTAAAAGAAATATTTCTCAACAAGGTAATAGAGGATGGATGGAAACTAACATTAGTGAGCTGGCACTGACTTCCCCTATATACAAGGTCGCAATGCTAAGTGCTTGAGGGAATTCAGCTCCTCACTCTAAGGTTTGTAGTTAGTTGCATCCCTGCACTTTTTGAGAAGGCTCTTTGATCCACAAGTTTCTATGAGTCCAAAAGAAGGCAGGAGTTGATTTTTGCCCAGTTCCACCTTTCTTCTGCAGTTGCCATGTATTAAAGGTAAAGGGACCCCTGACCATTAGGTCCAGTCGTGACCAACTCTGGGGTTGCGGCGCTCATCTCACTCTATAGGCTGAGGGAGCCGGCGTTTGTCTGCAGACAGCTTCCGAGTCATGTGGCCAGCATGACTAAGCCGCTTCTGGAGAACCAGAGCAGCGCACGGAAACGCCGTTTACCTTCCCGCCGGAGTGGTACCTATTTATCTACTTGCACTTTGACGTGCTTTCAAACTGCTAGGTTGGCAGGAGCAGGGGCCGAGCGACGGGAGCTTACCCCGTTGCAGGGATTCAAACCGCCGACCTTCCAATCGGCAAGTCCTAGGCTCTGTGGTTTAACCCACAGAGCCACCTGCGTCCCATTATATCATTACAAAGGCTCCTCAAACTCCTTTCAGCAAATTTTGGACTGGTGTGTGGTCAGCACAAGGAGAAACTGCCCCAAATTGCCTCCCCTCACCTCTTCTGGTGCAGAGATCGCATATCACATCCTTTCTCTAGAACAGATTTTGGGCTGGTGCAGTGGGAAGGCGAGGAAGATGAAGTCCCATTGTATGAGTGAAGTCTGTCCGACTCATGTGCAAAAACTGCACAGGATAAAAGGACATGTCTATACATCATGGAAGCTTTGGGTTTATGCAGATTGAACCAACCAATTTTGCTAGTATTTTATTATGTGTGATCATGTGATTTATAAAGGCAGTGGAATGCATTAAAGAATCGCTTGATAGCTGAAGAGGTGATCACAGGAAAGCATTCAAAGTCTGGAAGCCTCAAGTAAGGGAAATTTTGAGATCCTTTATTTGTTTTGGGTTTACATTGAAATTGCTTTTCATGCCTAAAAGTAAACTCCTCTGCTGGTTTACCCAGATGCAAGTCTCACCAAATTCAATAAGGCTTACTCACACATAAGTGGGTCTAGTATTACCCAGCTGGTGAAAAGGTGATTCGGAAATATTAATTCACGTTACGTTTATTTTAAAAATAAAGGAACAGTCATGTGCATTAACAATACAAGTCTTCAGTATTTTAGATGTTTTAAGTCTGTGGAGGTCCAAAGTTCTGTCCTCACCCCACCCCAAAATCTGATAAGTGGGCTTGGATGGTGAAAAGTCCATTTCAGGTTTTTACTGAGGAAGGAGAGACAGTCTAATAATCCAGCATATAACTCAAACAGAACCCACTGCCATTAAACAGCTGTGTAATAGTTTCATTTTCAAATGCTTTTCTTCATATGACTAATAAAACATTTATGTTGTTGTCCATTTAGGTAAAGAGAAAAGCGCCTCTCAGTCCTTGAAAACGTCAAGAGATGTCTCTCCCTCAGGAACAGCAGCAGGGCCACCTTCAAAGGTGAATTCATTAGTAGACTTCAATAGTAAAAGATAATAAATTAAATTCAGGAAGTCTCCGTTACATTCTGGCCTCTTTGTTTTAGATTTTTTCAAATACTAGGGAGACCTGCATTTGTTTTTGCCTTTTAAAGTTCCTATTTCTACAACTCTATAGTGTGGATTCTCAAGGCGTAAGTTTGTTGGTTGTGCTAAGGGAGGGCGAATTCCTTCACAGGTCTTAGCAGATGTTCAAAAGTTTGATTAAGCTCTCTCCCTCGTCCTATCTTTTTGCAGTGGTTTTAAGTTCAAAACGTTGGCAAAAGTCCTCTACAACCTGGGACTAGGATAGCTAAAATATAATCTCACCCATTTTATACCCAGCTGATTGCTGCATTCTTTATTGAGAGGGCCTTAACAAACCCTCTTAAGTGGAGATTTTTATCCAAGTCTGTTGGATTTGAAATTGTTTTTATTGCTGATGTTTTTTATTGTTCAATTGCTTTAGGATGTTTCATCGGAAGTGAGTCATAAATGAAATGAAGCAGGCTTAATATTTCAGTAGTTGTTGAAAACATTTCTTTTCTTCCAAGTCTTCCTCAGTTAGTCCTCCCCCCCCTTTCTCTCTGCCATTTTTTAATTTTTGCTGGTTTTTATGTTTTAAATAGTGTTTTTATTATTGGTTTTCTTTTATATTTTATTTCTCTACCTCAATCAGCCATTCTGTAAATATAGTTTATAAATTTTGAAATAAATAAAATGTACTGTTCTCAGCCTCCTAAACATGATAAGTAGATGGATCATGCAGGAGGTCCCTCCCGTGTCTCCTGTACTCTTGTCCTTCCCTTCATTGCTTTGCTTTACAGCTTTATCTTGCTACCCAAGATTGCCCTCTTCATGTGAATATGAAACCAGCTTCCGAAACGGGTTTCAAATTCTGGTTATGAAGGCAACTTGCTGGCATTAACCATAGTCAGCAATATGTTTTTATATTTTGCAGAAAGCCGCCCAAGAGTGGCTGGGGAAACCCAGCCAGATGGGCGAGGTATAAATAATGAAATTGTTATTATTAGGAGTAATAAGGGGAAGGCGCATGCAAGCCAGTTGGATGCTCCTGAGCTCTTAACTGTTCAGGAGATTGGGAATACAATGTCAACTCTGAACCATTATTTGGTACGTTACATTTAATTTATTGCTCATGGGTTGTCCGTGAAAAGTATCATTTTATCTCTGAAAAATTGGACCTTTGGTATCTTTCACAAAGTCCCTTCAGCTGTAAATTTCCTTTTTTTATTTTTATTTTTTAGAGTGTCAATATAGAAGCTACTTTTTGTAACAGTAGCGTTTTGCAAGTATTGGTTCTTTAAAACTTCTCCTTTAAGCTTCTCTGTGTATTTCAGTGCATTTGATGTTGGTGTATTATTATTACATATATTTATCTTCCTTCTGACACACCCTCTCACTTTCTGGGCTCTCACCCAGGATCCAAACAAATTCTCCGCTCCCCCACAAAAGGGAAAGTCCCTAGAAACAGCGGACATCACCCTAGTCTCTCACTCGAGACTTGCTTTTTCTGGGCAGGCTGGTGGCACTTCCCCAGGCTGCCCACAGCTGTGTCCTGTTTTGCTGCCCCTCTCCACACCCAATTCCAGGTATAGCAGGCTTGTTACATTATACAGCCACACTCTGGGCACTGGCGGAGGAAGAGGAGTGCGGGGGGAACACAATCCTGGTAGGGTACCATCGTGGCTGCCCCCCGCCCGCGCTGGTGACCTGCCCCACCTCCAGGACACGTGCCACGCCCCCGGGACATGTGCCACACCCCCAGGACGTGCGCCAGCCCCGCCCCCGCCTGCTCTCCGCCACTGACTCTGGGGTTTCTTTTTTCTCACCAGGCCTTGGACAAAAGTAGCCGATTGTCAGAAAAGGAGCTTGCAGAGGCTGCAAGTAGGTGGGCAGCTGAAAAAGCAGAGAAGACAGACACAAGCAGCGTACCTGAAATTTCAGATTATGAAGTAAGTTAAAAATAATAATTTGCCACTGTGCAGTATTTGGCTGTCTTAAATTTTCATGTACGTCCAAATTAATGACTGAGCAAAACTCCAAACTTGTCTGATAGCAGAGCCATGTAACCAGTAAGTACTACTCAGAATAGAGCCTTTGAAATTAATGGACCTAAGTTTAAGTTTGCCAACTTTATACTATGCCTACCTTTGGGAATCACACTGTTCTGCAAATTTGGGTCTGGGAACTATTGCCTGAATAGTGAGTCAGACTTCTTGAGAGTTCTGATTCAGCAGTTTCACGCTTTGAAATTCTTGTTCCTTTTCTTCAGGAAAGGAATTTCAAAGAGAGATTTTCCTGTCATATTCCATGCGCAGCCTCTCAACCAACACTGTTTGTCAGCTCCCACTGCATCAGATCCAGAACACAAATCCATGCTCATCTGAAAAACTGGTTTCTCTGATATTTATCTCGGAGAGAAAATCTCCAAAATGCTGAGAGCGCTCCTCCATAGCAGGCACAAGACTATAACTCTTTGTCTTTTTGCGTCCTAGATTCAACTGGCTTTTGCTGCATTGTGTCAATTACGTGTTTTCCTTATTCTCTCATTCCTGCCCTTACACAGATTGTACATTAACTGCATAAAATTACTGTACCTTTCTTAAAGGCTGCATCCTCAGAACCGTTATATGCAGAACGCCACGAAGAAACTGGCGCCAGCATACCAGACAATAATGAATTGTTTGAAGACAGCCCACATGTTAGTCGTTCCAAAGCAATTGCAGCAAAGACAAAGGAGATTGAACAGGTAAACTTCACCTCTGGTAGTTGTTGTTCTCTGATTCTTTGTAACTATTGTTTATTTCATTATTAAGTTTATTTAGGATAGAATCCTGAAAATCCATAAGAAGAAAAAATGCTTTTTAAATAGACTTGCATGGTGGCTGCAAGTACTTTAAAACAAAAGTACTTGCATGAAGGCAAGTCTCAGGCTTAAAATATATATATATTTTTAATGACTAAATGAGTCACTGTAGTGGGGCAAACATGGGTGCTGCCATGTGCTTCTGTGGTTTTTGCCAGCTGGTATTTTACCTTTAAAATAAAGCAGATTGTCAGCCGTCAGATCAGGCTTTTTGCAGCATAGCAAGCTAATGAGAGTTTAAAAGTTAAGTGTAGAGTTGGTGCAGATGCGCTTACAGTAAGCTACAGAATAAAGCAATGTAGATCTAGATCAGAGTGTTCGTTGTTTTTATGAAGCTGCGGCAGTAGCTGCTTGGAAGCCGCATCCTTTTTTAGACTGCGATGAAATTGATCATTCTTGAGAATGTGCTGGTTCATTCATAGAGAATACTTGCACAACAGGGTCTGAAGGCTACTCCTATTACTTAACATTTTCAGTAGTTTCATTGATAAAATGAATTTAAAATATTTCCGTTCACATTAAAGAATATGGACAAAAAAGAAATCTGTGATTGATTCAAAGTTGCTTTTCAATCAGTGTATTTTGGGTCTAGTCTACTCCACTCTATAAATTAAGCTTTTCCAATATTCCTGATTTTCTTTAGTATGCATTTGCTTTTGCTGGACAAAATTATATTTCATAGTTTTGCTCCATAGTTTTGCTAGCTAAGAAAAATGACTGGATGTTATTGCTTCTGTTAATTTGGGGGGAAACTGTTTCCATTCCAAAACTACAAAGACCAGAAACTTCTCACAGTGTCTATACAGTAATCTCTTTATCATAGGAGTGAAGCTGCAAACCTCAGATATTTATGCTTCTAGAACAATAAGATGATACTCTTCCACCCCAGTTGTCCAGTCCAGACTGTTCAGCAAATGAGGTGCCTATTCTGAATCCTTAAATGCTTCAGAATTAAGGAAATGATGCAGTCCATTACAGAAAATTAGTAATGACTAGCTTTCACAAACATTGCGTTTGTATTTTGCTCTTTTTAGTTCTAATCTGGTATTTGAGGTGGCTTGCCCCCTAAAGTGGAGTCAAGAGTGCGTGAAATGAGGAAGGAAAAATACAGAGTATATTAAAAGCTAATCATTGTAAGTCTCTATGGCATACGTGTAGTGGTAGGCCTCATAAATATGTGCTAGAATGAATATATGTTGTCAGCAGCAAATTGCATTTCTCCACGTCTGCTAAAAATGGGCTGCTTTTGTTTCCATACAGGCACAATAAACCCCACCCTCACTTAACCTTTGTTCTCCTTAAATGAAGTCTAAATTAAATTTTCTTCCTGTGAGGGGGCTATAAACTTGAAACCAGAATCATTAATGCATTTCTAGCTATCAAATCAATACTAAGCAAACAGTTTTTGTAGATAAACGACACCCTTCCTGTTTTCACAGAGAAGCAAATTTTACTAGGAAACGGCGTTGGTCAGTTTGCTACTTTTAAAATAAACCATTGAAGGGTGGGGTCCTTCCTGCAGTCAAAAGTTTATTACTCCCTAGTTGTATTTTGAAATGTTTTGAGTAAAGCGGTTTGCCCTTTTGAAAATCTTTGGAAATCACTGGAAATGGTTTAATCAACATTTTAAACTGTTGGCTCAAGGATTGCTTCGTGGTAGCGTAAAACACTTTTGTGTGTGCAAGGTGTATTACCAAAACATAGGAGGATGACCTGGGCAGAGTAGATTTGACCTAGTCAGGTACTTGGTGTAGTACAAAGCTGAAGTATGATTGTGTCTTGCCAGGAAACCCCTCTCTTCTGGGCTGGGATAGAAGGCCTATGGGCCAGAGAGAGAGACTAGGGCTGCTATTGGTGTGCTACCCTTCCTGTTTCCCTGGCCGAGGTGGTCTTGGGTATGGTGTTGGACAACCCCAAGTTCATGATAGCTGTAAGAACTGTGAAGCTGTCTTGTTGCTGAACACTGCACTGTTCAGGCTCTGAATTCTTTAATTCAAAGTGTTTTGTATTTTCCGCCAGGCTCCTGTTGGTGGATCTTAGTAGAATCAGCGGAGAAATCAAAACTTAAAAACAGCCATGACTCGCCTTGTAGAGCCAGCTCTAATTAGATCTTTGTAGATCCCAGAAGCCTGAAATCTGTTCACCCCTGGCTTACAACCACCCTGCAGTTACTCATTGCTTTTGCCCTGCATGTTTCAGACCTCCACATTTCAACTTGAGCTGAGAGTAGCTTGAAGCAGGCAGACTAAATATAGACCACAGTTAAATATTGCAAGTCGGGAGAAACTGAAGCGGAGGCTGGTTTGGATTCCTAATCCCTGTCTTCCACATCTCTCAGCTTGCAGCAAATATCAGTTCTCCCCAGACAAATCCAGCACTCAAGTTCCATACAGAAACCTTGTACTCCATTGTCTCACACTTTTTTTTTAACATGTACTAAAATAGGGAGGAAACTGTGTTCAAAGAGCAGGGACTACATTTGAGTTTTTAGGCAGAGTGTCAGGGCACATTGCAACATTTTGTGGCTAGGCACCTTTTATTTGTGTGTAATACAGTTAATTAGCTGCAAACTTCATACAGCTATTTATGTAACTTGTACATATAGATCTTTATATAGATCTGTACATCTTTATAGATGTTTTGAAAGTTGGACTTAACATGTTCTTAATCTGAAATCACCTTCCATTCATCCCGCGGTTTCTGCAGAAGTGTGTTCTTTTTATTTATTTTTAACTAGGTCAAATAAATTCAACTGCTGTACTAAATACGGGCAGATTGCATGCATTCCCATTTTACATATTCAAATTCTGTTGTGTGCCTCAATAGTAAGCAGGTGGGATGGTTGAGATGTGGTGTTTCTGGAAATGGACAAGTAGTGAATCAAACAGACAGGATGAAGGCCAATAAACAAACTAAATCCTGACCACCCAGAGTTTGATTGTGGGTTTATCTGGCCAGAGAGATGTATTTGCATTCCTTCTGAAGGATCAAGTTTGCAGCCCGGGTGCTGAGATACAACTTGTCACAGGAGGCCTAAGCAGCTTCTGTGCCATGGACTTAATTGGCTGCTCCTGGGTACAGGTTTGTGCATGATCTGGAAACCTTCATATTAAGCTATTGCAATGTGTTGTACAATCATGACTTCTCCAGGTTTGGAAACTTGTTAGTTCAAAATACAGTTGCAGGGTTGCAGACTGGAAATAGCTATAGGACATATCTCACCAGTTCAGATCTCTTCAGTGGTTGCTGGTCTCTTTCTCCATGCCACTTATCAGTATTTGCCTTTTTTGCTGGGCCCTAGGTACGCAGGTGGCGCTGTGGGTAAAACCTCAGCGCCTAGGGCTTGCCGATCGCATGGTCGGCGGTTCGAATCACCGCGGCGGGGTGAGCTCCCATCGTTCGGTCCCAGCTCCTGCCCACCTAGCAGTTCGAAAGCACCCTTAAGTGCAAGTAGATAAATAGGTACCGCTTATAGCGGGAAGGTAAACGGCGTTTCCGTGTGCTGCGCTGGTGCCGGCTCGCCAGAGCAGCTTCGTCACGCTGGCCACGTGACCCGGAAGTGTCTCTGGACAGCGCTGGCCCCCGGCCTCTTAAGTGAGATGGGCGCACAACCCTAGAGTCAGACACGACTGGCCCGTACGGGCAGGGGTACCTTTACCTTTACCTTTAGGTAGCTAGATGGAGATTATTCTCCCACCAACTAAGACACTCTTTGGGAGCCCTTTTCTGTCTTCAGAAGTTAAGCTGCTGGTAGCAACCAGAGAAGGTGGCTCAGCAAAGTCCTCAAAGTGGCCTGTCTGATGCAGACGCCTAGTTTTGTTTTTTCAAGGCTAGATGTTTGGCTTTTGTTTTCTTAGGTCTTTGAAAATTACAAATCAGTCTCTTGGGTTTTAGTCTGATGTTGTGATTTTCTGTATGTAATGGGAAAATACTTTATAATTTTATCATTAAGTTGTACTGTTTGGGGAAACTCCAACCATTACTCCTACCTTAAGGGGAAAGGGCACAGAATGACAGCTGCCAGTTTTTGGAAATTGAGATCAATTTTTTGGAGAAAGTCTGTTGTACCAGTTAGCCTACTGTTCTTTAGTGTGGAGGATACATTAATATTGCTGTGTTTCATGAATTTCAAAAAAATCATTTCTAGGTGTACAGACAGGATTGCGAAACCTTTGGTGCTGTAGTGAAAATGCTGATTGAAAAAGACCCTGCGTTAGAAAAACCCATCCAGTTTTCCCTGAGACAGAATTTGCATGAGATTGGTGAGAGATGTATTGAAGAACTTAAGCACTTCATTGCAGAATACGACACCGTCAGGCACGAATTTGAAGAATCGTAAGATCAACTTGGGATTGTCCATATGTAAATTGGAAACTATTTAAAAATTGATTTCCCATCAGCATCTTTACACTTGACTGCATAATTCTTCCTTTGTAGTAATCTATTTTATTATTAACAGTTAAGTAAATTCCTGAAGAAGGCGAAAACATGTTTGAGGTATTGTTATGGTCATTTCTGAATTTCAGTGCAGATGTACATTCCATGTATGCAGTATACATTAGAACATGCTTAACAAAGTGACATGCCCCATTACCAAAGCTAGCTACGTATATACAGTAGTAATGGTGGAGTAAATTTACATATGTGTTTAGGGTAGTTTTTTGTTATGTTGTAAAACTAAACTAAAAAGTAGCCTTTTGTAAACTGAAATTAAACAAAATACTTCTGAATAAGTTGGCAATTTGCATTTTTAAAAGAATTATTTAATCCTAAAAAGAATGGAAGAAAAGGTATGCTGTTCCCCTTCCGGTGTTTTCATTTGTGTACATAAAAACATATTTCAGATTTTGTGTGTGTGTGTTTTTGTGGGGTAGCATAATCACTCTAGAAGTGGTATTATACGGACAACTATTTCCAAAAGTGTCAGGGATGCTTAATGTGTGTGTTTCTCCCCTCCACCGATACGAGAGAGTGAACATGTGTTACCTTGCTCATAGCTTTCACCTGCAATATGAGATTAAGTAAACTACCTCAAAGGATTTGCCAGTGTGACACTTAGTGTGGATGGCATCACATTAGGATCAATTAAGTCATAAGCTGCCTGAGTTATCTCCAAAGTGGACAACATAATAGTTGTCCACATAATCAGTACAGGCAGGTTGAGTATATGCTTATGAACTATTGACATGGTTGTGGTGGATCAACAGCAAATAACAGGTTGCAAATGCTGCTAAGACACAGACTTTCCTTGGGTATTACCATATTTTTGGCTCGATAACACACACCTGACCATAACACGCATGCAGTTTTTAGAGGAGGACAACAAGAAAAAAAATATTCTAAACGAAACAGTGGATGTATAATTTTTGTGGTTCATGCTGTGGCCACAGACATGTGATCTGACAGTGAGTTTGGGGTAGCCCAATGCAAAAATCCTGAGGATCCATGTGGATCTGTGCTTTGTAACCACGTTTTAAGTGGGGAGGGAAAGAAAAGCACTCAAGGGACAAGGAGCACGTGTGGAGCAGGCTCTGCTTCTCTCCCTCCCCCCCCCCTTAAGCAGGTTCTGCTTCTCTCCCTCCTTCCCTCCCTCCCCCCTTAGCGAGCTGAAAATCTTTCCTGCTATTTCCAGCAAAGCTGGAAGAGAGCGATACAGAGAGCCTGCTTGCTTTAAAGGAGCCAACCGGACAGTAGCCACTTAGACTTGTGTAAGCGGCTCCTCTCCCCTCCCGCTTTGCTCCTTTAAAGAAGCAGGCACTCTGTCCCTCTCTCCTCCCCATTCAGCGGCTCTTCTCCCGCTGGAAACCACGGAGGAGGGAAGCATTCACTCCGTAACACGCACAGACATTTCCCCTTACTTTCTAGGAGGAAAAAACTGCGTGTTATGGAGCGAAAAAAACTACGGTAGATAATGAGCTGAAAGATGTCAGTGCCTTTTGTAGGAAGAACATCTGCATTCACACACCCACACAGTCTTCCTTTGACAGCATAGGGGCCATCTTTACTGCCTTTTGGTGGCTTGGTTGCTACTAGGAAACCTGCTGCAGAAAGTGGGACTCTATAGCCCAGCTATCAAGCAGCTTTTAACACTACCATATAGCTGATTTAATTTTCAACTACTTCTATACAACACGGGCCATTTCACCTAGTCACAATGGTCAGATAGTCATTTTAAAGCGAATTATTAGATTCAAGCCTGCCATATGGAAACAGTCGAAATGAAGTGTTTTGTTGTAATGTTGCTTCACACTTAGTTGTCTTAACCCATAAATAATTCCTTTAATATTACGTACCATAGCTTAAACAGTATTTACATAGCTCCTACCATGCAAAACAGAGCTTTTCCGTCAAAAATTAAACATTTCACTACTTTAAACTTATGAACATTTAACAAACCCCTGCCTGACTCAAACTGCTGTTAAACCCTCAAACAAAACTAATGGTATTTTAAACAAATGTCTTGCAATTCAGGGATATAAAAATAGTCTGTTAAATCTCAACTTTACAATATGTACATTATTTGCACTGTTAAGTTACAAATACAGATTTAGCTATGAAATACTACATTATAAATATCAGATGGCTCTAATTTTTGCTTATATGCTACATTTGGAACTTAGGGTAGTGTTTCAAATATACAGGATTCTCAGACTCATTTTCACAAAAGTTTAATATAAGCAGACTCACTGACTTAATGCAATTAACTTCATAAGTAGGGGCTGTAGCTTACACCATATGTTTAAGGGCAAGGAACATCATATATTTAAATTAATTTACCTGAGGGTCACTCAGATACAATGCAAAGCAAATAGAATAGTCAATCTGATACGCCTTTTGCCCTGTACAGAAACAGCATTCTTGCTTAGCATCAAAATGGTTGGGCTACAGTAATATCTATAGGATGAATAGGGTTGCACACTATAATTGAGATACTGTGTCTTAGCTAGGCAACAGAAGTAGCAGGCAAGTTCTAAACCTAAGATACTGACTGGCATTCTTGCTGGTAAGGCCCTCTAAAACCACATCTGACCGGTATTATAAACTCTTTCAATTTATTCTTCTACTACTCCCTCCTGATTCAACTGATTTGATTGCAAGGCCTTTATAGAGAACATGGACAAGAGACTGCCCCGTTACAGGTTACACAAGTTGTTTTAACCATTTATGTACATAACATTTGAAGAAGAGTGAAGAAACAGTTCAAAATTAAGAAATTATACAGTTTTTGCCTTTGGGAGGTTTTCTCTTTTTAGATTTGGTTACCCTCTGTCCAAACTGAGAACTTGGGAGTTCAGCAGTCGGGCTGGAAAGGATATCTGTATAGTAGGGGTATCTGACTGGTCGGGGCTGTGGAATGGGCTGTCCTAAGAAGTACCCTTCTTCTTCAGAATCGGACGAGGAGGATGAAGACGAGCACCAAGAGTCTTCCTCCTCTCCAAAAAATCCGAGAAACTGGTCCCTCTGGTTCTTCATTGTGTAGTCAGAGGCAATATGAGTATATTGGCTGTATGGGTTTGGAGTGTATGCTCGAACGGCATGACCTTTATTCTGAACAAACTTGTCATAATCCTGAGGAGAATAAAAATTAAGTCTTTCCTTTGGCGGAGATTTTCTTTCTGCAACCAAGTGAAGCGCATTATCGGACCTAGACTTCCTACTCCTCCTGCGGCGATGCTGGTGTCTCTTCCCAGGGTCTTCAAACTTATAAACACGCCTACGAGTCCTTTCACTCATAGGAGGCTGGCGGATTTCAAGATTCTCATAACTTCCATTGTCAATGACATCATCTGAAAACTTGACTTGCTGAGGTCTAGTCTGCGATTTGGATCTTCTCAGTACTGGCACGTGCATTGGCTTTTCCTCTGGCAGTGTCTTGCCTTGACATAATTCAGAACTTAAACTTTTTAAAGACTCTGTACTCCTATGAAGCATTGAGGAGTTCAGAGTGCCCATGTTGCTCATTTTCTCACAATCCTCTACTTCCAGCTCTGGGTAGGTTTGTAAGGAATACAAGGAAGGTCTTGGTTTGACTTCTCCATCAACTGAAGCACCTAAGAGGAAGACATTATAATGAAGTAGGTTTAATGAATCCACCACCATTATTTCCCAACAGTTCAGATGCAAATGTTTATACATTTCAGCTCTCGCTAAGTTACTCAAGTATGGGTTATGAAGGATAGTGACACAAGAACGGTTGGTTTAATCCAGCCCCTGTGGCAGTTTATTTCCTGGGGTAAAATCAACAACTTCAACCCTAAAAAAGCTCAACAACTTTGGAGTAAAATCATAACAAAGTTCAACAGCTTCAATCCTAAAAAAAAATGTTAACAACTTTGGTCGGCCCTTCACTTCATCAAATCTGGCCCTCATTGAAAAGGTTTGGACACCACTGTCCTATAGTTAGTAGAAATCGTAGGCCCTTATCTCCCCTACCCAGTTTCCCCTTTGTCAGGCTCAGCTAAGGCAAAAGGGAGGAGGAAAGCAGCAGCGGAAACATATGCAGTGTTCAGCTGGCTAGTAATGGAGAGAGAAGAAACCTGTATCAAAGACTCCTATCTCGTCAAGTCCCTCTTCCGTGATCTTAAATTCCCATGCCTTGACACAGGTGGTATCTATATGACGAGCACAAGAGAAAGAAAGAAAGTCTTGCACAGAGCATACCTCTTGCAGCCTACTAGTAAAAAGCAAATCTATCGGGATGAAGGCATCATTAGGGCTTTCTAAATGGAAGTGCAAATCACATATTACGTTCTCTTGATCCTCTTACCTGTGATATTAGATAAAGCCAGGGAATCCATTGAATCCCGAACACACTGCTCTTGTTTCAGGTTTGACAATCTCTCCAGTGAATCGTCATACCATTGCTTTTGGTCATGTTTGTATCTAGTTGCGGCATGTTCCATGTCCAACTCTTGGATTTTCCTGCTGCTGGCAGGGCCTGGGTGGCTACCATATGCAGAGTCGCCTAGGCCATCTTGGGACTGTGCCCAGTACATATTTGAGTGGTATTTCTTGCTCGCTAGGCTCTGACTGTTTTTCTTCATCTCTGATCTGCCTTTCACCATGCTCTCGCAAATCCACTGCTCGTTTGATCGAACGTCTGCTTCCACTGGCTGCTGAAAAAGGCCTTTGTCGCCAAACTTTAGGAGCAGCTGAGTCATGTAGTCTTCATGCTCAGCCCATTCTTCTGGATCATCAGGCATTTCCTCCCGCCTTCCTTTCCAGAGCTCTTCATCAACAAATCCTACTCCTTGCCTTGAAAGACTTAAGTCATCCAGTTTCCGTGAGAGTGTATCATCGGCAGTGCTAGAAAGGCCAGGGAATTTGTAGTTCAGAGCTGGGGACAAGAGGAGAGACTGCCTGCACTGATCTGCTGAGCGGCTGCTTTTCCCCATGCGAACGCTTCTCCTGGAGTCTCTCGAGCGGGCAGACTGGAAAGCGGAGTCGGAAGAGTCCGAAGCATGAACATCCTCTCCCAGACTGCATGACTTGGAGCAATAAATCTGTCCTTGCTTGGGAAGGAAAGGGCAGCCAAGTAAGGAAACTTTGCAGTGAGCGCAAGAAAAGCATGTTTCTGTGGCATGCCAATGTTGTCCATCATAAGTCATCTGAGCGTGGTCAACCCCTGGTTAAGAAAAGGAGTAGTTGATATTATTAATTTTTTGTGCGTGTCTGCTAGAAGCATGCTGGTGTCAATTAAAAAAGAAAAAATCGGAGCCACCCTGCTGAAGACTAACAGATCTGTTGCAACAAAGCTTTTTGTGGCACCAGAACCCACTTCACAACAGTGGATGGATGAAAAGTTTTCACTTGGCGGTATACCAGTTTTCAGAATGAGCTGTTCTATGCTAATTTAACACAGCTGAAGTAATAAAAGAAACTCATACTTCAAATTAAATCAAATTGAAATTGCCGGCAAACTAGTTCAGCAAACATGCTGGAGCTTCCCCTTGAAGCGTTTCATCAAGTGTGGTGACTTTGAGGTCATCATTCTGAGATTAAAGTCTACTAAATGCTTATTTTTTAAATTAACAGACACAAACTTGGGAGATTAAGCCCTGCCCCCCCCAAAACAAAACCCTAGATGCCAGCTGTCCCCCCCCACAAACAGGCAACACCTTTATCATTCCTTTTCAGAGACCCCTTCATCTACAGATTAGAAACTTGAGCTTCTAGCTTAGTTTGTAGTGTACCCATTTTTCCCCCTGTGTTAACATACACTTACCTATGTGTTCCCCACAAGTCTCACAATACTCTGCATAGAGGGACTCAAAGCAGCCACAACAGAATGGGCGCCCGTCCTTCATAATGTATCTCTGTCCTCCAAGGATGGTTTCACACTCAAGGCAACAAAAGTGTTTCATGTGCCAGTGGCGACCTTCCGCTTCTGTGCATTCATCAGCAAAAATAATCTAGGAGGGGAAAAATAGTTTAGGCAAAGACGTGGATAGCACAGTTGCAGCCACTATATTTAACAATATTCTTTTGCAAGGAACGTTTCTTCAATTTACTGGAGAAGTTAATGTGTGAAAAGTCCAGAGAATCTCAGGGTGGTATTCAACGTGTTTATTTCAGTGGGTCTTAGTCTAAGCAAAAGTTAGTAGAATACAACCCTTAAGTTTTCAGTTGTCTTCAGGAAGCTAGCTGCTTAACTGAGCAAAGAACACAATTCTCATTTCGACCTCCGGCTTTTAAGTGTTATGGGAATGTGGTATTACCTCATCACATGCCGAGCAACGCGGTTTGAGTAGTTCAGCATGGTGCCTTCCACAATGAATTTTTCCATCTTGGTAGAAATAGATTAAGTCAACTAGTAGTTCATTGCATGTGAAACACACAAAGCAGGATGGGTGCCAGCAGACTCCAGGCCCAGCTCTTGAGGCAAATACTGCAACTTCACCTCCGCTGATCTTTGTACCACACTGAAAATAAAATACAAATGAACAGGCAAGTTCAAATTAGTTTTCTGTTGTATGAATGTTGGATCTTCACCATACTTTATAGCCTAATTCCATCCTGCTTTTTTCCAATTAACATAATTAACAGTTTATTCTAGTTCAATATTTACTTGCTCTTTCCATTTTAACAGAGCTGAACTGCATACCTTTTATGCAGCCTTATTAAATTTGTGCAGTTTTCAAGCTTTAGTCCATTAACTTTGGTTCTTATGTAGATTTAAATATCCACAGTTGAGCTTCACACAGGTCCAACACTATTTTTAATTTGGGTAATAAGAACGTTACCTGCTCACAAAGTGCATGCATCACTCCCCTTGAGAGCAACTTCACCGTGCCTCGTCCCAGAGCTTCCTTCTTTCGTTGTGAACTAAATATTTGAAGTTCCTTCTTCTCTTCTTCACTTAGAGACTGACAGTATCGCACCTTCACCAAAAGGAAAGGATAACAACTGTAAGATCTATGCTAGTTATATTGGAAAGAAATGCACTTTTATATATATATATAAAAACCAGTCTGCCTTTCCTCAGAAATCTATCTCAGAAGTGACTATGTCCATCAAAATGGAAGAGAGCTGAAAACAGATTCCTTCTGACATTTTTACTCCTGTTCAATGATTCAGGTCTTTGGTAATGGGAACTGGTACAGTGACATGAGACAACCATCACAAGATGTGTGTGCAGTTCTACTCTATATGCAGACGTTGCTTTTTGGAGATGGTATAAGGATATTTAGTTTTACAAGTTAATACAATATGCTTTAAGCAGAGTTCCTTCCAGGATTTTTTTCTTTTAGACTGTAACAGTGAAGTAAAGGGATGGAAGAGATTAAAACCTGATTAGGTATATACACTGTATGAGCCTCAGGGTTTTGTAATTTAGGGCTGTTTGGGAAAACATTGCACAGTTAACATTACATTCAATTGATACACCCCTGAGACTTAGCAAACAGTACTTGCCCCAAGCCTTGACAGTAGCTTCTTGTCTAGAACCTTTAATGAGATACTACAAACCCAACCTGCCCAGCCCAAACCTCTACTGCATCCAGCACCTATACTCACTGTAGGATATCATTAAGCAAGTACTTTTCAAAGGAAAAAGCTGAGAAGTTTGGTTACTTATATCCAAAGACATTTGCATTCAGTGTACAAGAGAGCTACTTGCCTCAGAGAACTTCACCTCCTGTGTTTCTGTGTGAGTTGGCCTTCCTAGTGTACTCCTTTTCAGGTCATCCTGCTGTGTCTCTGCATCTTTGCACCAGGAATGATGATCACAACAGATGCAGAGATGCAGCAGTATTTACCTGCTATCCGAGTAGTTTGCTGGCACACCAGAGCAGGGAATCATGCAAATACACAGAAGGTAGATTCCTCTGTAGAGGGGAATCTCGTGATCTCTTGCAACACACTTTTATTTACTAAATCTATACAACATTATCTGGTGAAGGGCTTTTGACAAAGTTAAAATATCATAAGCCACACAGTAAAGCAACCAGCACATACTAACAGCCAGCAAGATTGTAAAATGCCAAATGCATTTCAAAAGCCTAGGATGTTTTATTTAATAGCCTGGTGCTGAAAAGATAGCAATACTGGTGCCAGGTAATCCCATAAATTCTAGTGTCACCTACACCCCTAACAGAGGAAGAAACTTCAGGTAGCTATGTCTCAAGTCATTCAAAGTATCAGTGCCCGGCCTCAGAAGTGAACAAGAAGTGGAACTCTTACTACCCGAATAAACTCTGCAGTCAAAATGATGACAGCATTACGTCGTGCATAGGTCTGCCTTTGAAGACAGTATATAGAAGTTTCAGTTGGTACCGAATATAGCTATATTCTGTACCAACTGAACCATCTATATACTGTCTTCAAAGGGAGACCCATGCATGACGTACCACAGTAATCCATTCAGGAGTTTGCCAGCGAATGGAGAACTGTGGCCAGATATAATAGTTCCTTATAACACAGTGCCGTAATTGAGAAATCGCAGGCTTGTTGCACATTCAGCAAATTGGTCCCTCCGCCCGGACTGCAGGACAAGAAATGCTTGACCATATCTACCTCATTATCGTGGGGTGGCAGCTGATACAGAAGCTGCTTAATTCGGTGTTTTTCTCCTGGACTGTTAATGTAAGGGATCTTCTCCTCAGACAAACAAGCAAAGTAGAGCTGTACCTGAACAGAGACCAGAAATATACATAATGACCCATGCGCTCCCTCTTATCTACTGCTGTTATCTTAGGGTTTTGTTGTTTTTTAACAAAAGACACTAGGATTTTCTTCTTTAGATGTTCTGCAAAGTTTGCATTCCTCTTGCTAAGAAGAGCAGGTGAGCCAACTCTGTGAAACTGGATTGCCTCAGATAGCCAGCACCCAGCTGTTGAATTGCTGTTTTGGAATGCTATTTGCAGTGACAATTAGGGGTGCCATAAATTATGCACATCTAATTTCCACATCCTTCAAGGATTGTCAGCAAGTCTGTTAAAATTCCACATTTTCTTTCTGCATTTTATCACCCATCGAGTGAAGATATCCAGAAAAAATAACAGTTATAATCAACAGGCTTTAATCTTACAGGTTAAATAAAGAAACAAACATTGTTTTGTAAATTAATTATTTCCATGTGAACTTTGCTAGAAACTGTTGAATTTTTATCTTTGGAAGAAGGTTGGAAGAAACTCCATTTCCCATCTGATAAAAGTGGAGATCCACTAAGAACTTGTCCTTTTTTTCAGTGTAGGTCTCAAAAAATAAAATTATTCCACCAAAAGTTTATTTTGCTCTGTGGGTGGTATTGTTTTTAAGTTAAGATTAACAAAAATACTGTCAAATCCCCAATATAAAATAAGGTCTTTTGCTTCATCTACACAGTTAAGGTTAAGGAGTTCAAAGTTTGACTATCATTTCCTGCAGAAAATCATGAGAACAGCGCTGCCTAAGTGAGGGGAAATTGGGTTAATCTTTTGCTTTTGGACCACTGACTATGCATGTCAGCACAAAAGGACACTTAAGGGTCAAAGAAGTTAAGGTCCGACAAATAACTTGCTGTAGAAAATGTTTTAAATCAAATTAACAAATAAAAGAACCGCCTCTTTTTGTAAACTTGAAATGAGTAATTTCTGCTCTTACCTGTTCAGGTCTAAGACCTGGAGGAACCCATGCATATTCTTCTAGGGCACAGCCAGAGTCATCATCAGATGTCGAGCTTCGCTGGAAGCCAAATGTCAGGTTGCCTCCTTTTGGCTCCATTTCTAAAACACACACGGTCAGTAGGGAAGTGTCAGGATACTCAGTTGCAGTTCATCAATTAAGAGCTCTGAAAACAAGTTGGAAAGTAAAATGTTACAACAAAAAATCTTGGTTGCCGTTTTCAAAACAAAGAAATGTCAAACTCTCTGGTGTGCATACATATTATGTGATAACAGCCCAAGGGGGTTAAAAAAAACCAAGCCTGTTTTTCAAATAAACAGTTGAGGGTTTTTTAATCACGTGTTTCTAAAAATTTAAAGCCCAAACCCACAAAAACTCTACAGACTGAGCAGTGGTGTAATGGAGAAATACTTCTATAATATAAATAAAGATACAGAATTAGCAAATGGGGGAAAAAATACCAAGAAATGTATGATGTGGTTGGGTCATCATAAACGATCCCAAGGCAATTCTTACATATACTCTGGGACATTTTAGATGCTTATTCACAGCATCTCACGCTCAGTGGCATAATGATAAATATTTGTGCTTCGCTGAACTGCTTGCTCCTGGCTGCATGATTTCAACTTGTAAAATGCACTGGGCTTTAACAAAAGATCTCAAACTAGACGAGACACAACTTTTAGCTTTTAATTAGAAACGCAAACACACTATTGGAAAGAAGTGTCACTATTTAAACCACTAAAATGAACTTCCCCAAGCAAAAATGTGCTTTGGGGTTCTATGGTGGTAGTGATAGCTACTTACAAAAAAGTTACAGACTGCAATTATTTAATAATATGCTGAGTTAGACCCTGAAATATGTGTTAATATGCGAAGCTAATTTGAGAAACATAGGGCTGTATTAAACTAGTTAGTCCCAACTAGCAGAAGCCCACACACGGACTTCCACTAGCGCAAAAAGACTTCCTCTTGCCCCTTCCAAAATTGGCTTGGTTGGGGTTGGGAGAACCCCTAAAACAGGGCACAGACAGGCAGCAGAGGGGAAATGCTGTGTTGAGTAAGCTTACTTTCTGATGGAACGTTTGCCTTAGCGCAATGTTGAATTCCTCTCATACACAAATTTTGAGATCAATAAGAACCATCGCTACTTATAAACAGGGTTATCACTGTGGAAGATGAGTCATCCCCTCCCATCAGATAACTTCTGCAAGTTAAATCTATAGCACAGAGAGACAACTGTTGGAATTATTACAAGGGGCAACTCAATGTGGTTTAAAGTACAAATTTGTTTTAACCCTGGTAAACCAATCAGTGCATGCTTTTCTAGGCAGTGAACTGCACATTTTGGACAGTGAAAATAAGTCAAACTCAATACGTTTGCCAAGATTAAATTTGGTCCATGTGTGAGCTACAAATATACCCCCTATTGTTCTCTCACCTCTGCCCCTCCTTTTCCTTTTGTTGTCTTGAATGAACTTCCTGTCCTTCCTATGCAATCTGATAGCTGTGTGTGGTAGAGGGACCATCTAACAGTTTATCTCCTTCAGTTTCATGTTAGTAGAACAGATTTTGCTAACTCTTATCTCTTGGTGTCATTTGCAAAAATTTAAGGGGGGAAACAAGTAATACTACAGTCCCTTCAGCATTCAAATCTGCCTCTTTTCCTTGAATGCAAAATGCTAGATGAAAAGAAATCAATATTATATGCAACAAATCTTCGCAGTAAGTTTAATTTTATTCAGCACATTGCTGGTAGCAAAAATAATTTGACATTTAGGCCACACTAGTTACGTGTGTGTTAGGAATGCAGTCTCAAAAAAAGAAAGTGCTAATTAATACTTTAATTTATATACTGAAGATCAGCTATGCCATTTTATTGATTACAGTAACTGGAAAGGAGCCATTCCAAGAACATAGAGCACAATGATGGTTCAAAATATCATGAAATATACAGGCATTCATTTGGATCCCAAAGATGCACTTGTAATCATATATATTATCCATAGATGGGCACCTTTTACGTTTTGCCCAAGAGTTTTCTAAGAGTAAACGGAAGCAAAACCCAGATCATACTCTGCTTGTGTATGCTGAAGCAATAGAACTCAAATACAGTTACAAGCACTGGAAATAACTTGTGGAGGTCAGCTCCATGCTCCACAGTAACTCTACAATACAGCCTCTGCTTAAAAGCCACCAATGAAGAAATAGACCACTATTGAGGCGCTTACTGATTGGGGAAAGCTTCCTATGTTTAACCAAAATTTGGTTTCTACCCATTAGCGCCAATGCTGTGCTCTGAAAGTAGAGAAAAAGACTGCTCCATCTTCTGCAAAACAGCCCTTCAGATATCAGGAAACAGTTATTGCTCCCATTAGTCTTTTCCAAGCATGCTTATCTCTTTCAGCCATTCCTCCTGGGACTTGCATTTCCAGAGACCTTACCAATATGGGTTTTGCCAGTTTCCTCCTTAAAATACAGTAGCCAGAACTGGCCACCTCACATGAAGTCTGACCAGTAAGTGCATAATAGAACAGAACTATGACTTTTTTTTGCAGTCTAGACACTTGTAATCTAGACATTATGCTTCTATTTAAGCATCCAAAGACTGCATTAGCTTCAGTACTATACAGAGCTTACCAATTACAGCACTTAACGAACCAAACGTTACTTCCCTGCTGCTCAGTTTCTTTGACCCAATCCACAATTTCAAAAACAGCACTTTAATAATTCTATGTTGTTGTCTTCTTCACTAGGAAACTGCACTGTGCTGAAAATTTCTTCTGCAGTGTTTTCAACCATTCTCTATTAATGAGGGGGAGAAACACTGGATTTTATAATTTTCTAAGGAGAGAAAAATTCTTATGGATGAAGTGCAAGGCATTTACCTTACTATCAAGGTGGACGCTGTTTTTGATGGCTGCCCATTCCTTCACTCCAGTGCTTTTTTTTCTGGGGGGGGGGGGGAGTCGCAGGGGTAAGCATACCCCTAAACATTTTGTGATTTTTTTGTACTTTTGTCCATTTACTGTATTTATTTTTCCCGATTTGAACTATAAAATGGTGATTTTCTTGAGTCAAAATGAGAGTACCCCTAAACACTTTTTAAGAAGGGAGGGCACTGCTTCATTCTACATATTATTGCTCTAGTATTTCCAAGGAATCACTGCCTAAGTTTTTTTAAAGGGGGTAAAATAACACTGGGACTAGGGTGGCACTGTGGGTTAAATCACAGAGCCTAGGACTTGTCGATCAGAAGGACGGTGGTGAGCTCCTGTTGCTCGGTCCCTGCTCCTGCCAGTTTGAAAGCACGTCAAAGTGCAAGTAGATAAATAGGTACCGCTCCAGCGGGAAGGTAAACGGCGTTTCCGTGTGCTGCTCTGGTTCGCCAGAAGCGGCTTAGTCATTCTGGCCACATGACCCGGAAGCTGTATGCCGGCTCCCTCGGCCAATAAAGCGAGATGAGCACCGCAACCCCAGAGTCGGCCATGACTGGACTAATGGTCAGGGGTCCCTTTACCTTTACCTTAAAATAATACTAAAGAGAAACTTGGCAAACACACAGAAATTTAGGAACTTGGTAGCCAATCTCCCCAGGTTCCCACTCTTAATCCCAGAGGAAGATATCTCTCCTCCAACGTGGTTGTTTTTGTTTGTTTTTTAGATCAGGAAACTAATGGGCAGCTGCAGGGAAATGCAGAGCACTGAAGAAATGGTCCGTGGAAAGAAAAGCCATACAAAATGAAACCTCACAAAGATTAAATAAGCTCAATAGCAGGCTTCTTCAACCTCGGCCCTCCAGATGTTTCTGGCCTACAACTCCCATGATCCCTAGCTAGCAGGACCAGTGGTCAGGGATGATGGGACTTGTAGTCTCAAAACATCTGGAGGGCTGAGGTTGAGGAAGCCTGCTCAATACCAACCAAAATTATACATTTTAAAATTATTTATCGAGCAGTCTGCAAATGAGGCAGAGAGAAAAAAGAGGGAGAAGAAGCCTCTCTTTGCAGGGAAAGAAAATTAGAGGACGGGTTTAGGCGGAACACTAAATAAAACTAATTAAGTTACCTTGCTGACTCTCTGGACACAACACATATTTTGGCCAGCATTGCCATTCCTCTAGGTTAGACAGTCCCAATGTAAAAGACTGAGAATTTGCTCAGCCTCCTTCACCAATCTTGTTCAATAAGCCACATTAAATAAGAGAATATTTGAAAAAAAGCAAAAGCCTGCTTTTAAGCCACTAAAACAAAGTGCCACATGAACCGGCCCATTCACAATTTCCATATTTTGAAGCCGTCTTTTGGGTACCCTCACATTCTGCAGTGAGGAAACCGGGAACTGAGCAAAGGGCCTTCCCAGCTGTGTCACCCTAACCTTTGGAATGCTCTTCCGAGGCAGCTTAGCTTGCCTGGAAGCCACCATCTTATATTGGGTTCCCAGCATCAGGATTTCTCCATTTCTCTTAACTTTTATAATCAGGGGTGGAGAACATAAAGGCCATGCAGGTGGTTGCTGACTTCAATTTCCATCAGTTCCAGCCACCATGGAATAATAGGAGCTGGAGTCCAGAAGCATCTGGAGGACCCCAGGCTCCCACCCAGTTATAAATGATGGTTAAGTTAATTTTAGGCTGCATTACAACCCTCAGATTTTACTATTATGTTTAACTGTTGTTGCCTTTTGTTTTGATAGACATTACTGTATTTATCTATTTATATGATTGTTATGTTGCCCTGAGTATATACATATAAAAGGGTGGGAGAAAAATAATTTAACAAAATAAATATAGTCTTAAGAGTATCTTCGTCTGCACTGGAGGAACTGAAGGCTAATGTATAAAATTGCTTATTAAAATGTGTTTTTTAAAAAGAAAAAACCAACTTTGCACACATTCCAGGTACTGTTTCTGCTTAAGCAGCAACAATGCTTGGTACTTATAAGTTAATTTTAAATCAAGTTTTAGAACTAACTATATTCATTAAAAAACCCTTAAAAAAACCTGTACAGTGGTACCTCAGGTTACATACGCTTCAGGTTACATACGCTTCAGGTTACAGACTCCACTAACCCAGAAATAGTACCTCGGGTTAAGAACTTTGCTTCAGGATGAGAACAGAAATCGTGCTCCGGCAGCGCGGCAGCAGCGGGAGGCCCCATTAGCTAAAGTGGTGCTTCAGGTTAAGAACAGATTCAGGTTAAGAACAGACCTCCGGAACAAATTAAGTACTTAACCCAAGGTACCACTGTATTTAATATATGAGTGAAGAACAGGCTGAAAGTTCTCAGCTCATGATACCATTGTAGATTGTGTTAAACATCTACATCTACTGTTGTGATGAAGAATAGAAGAAAATACTATGTGACATCTTCCTGCTCTGTTCTGCAGAACACGAATGACCTTAAGTGCCACCTCTGTATAAGTGCTGGCTAACTACTAAAGCTTACAAAGAGAATCCTTGTACTGGTGAATGAGCAATTATTAACCATGTAATTGGATTAAAGGGTAATTTGATTATGACATTTAGATATACACCAGTGTAAATTTCACCTATTGTCATTTAATAAAAAGCTGTTCTAAAGAACTCTTTGCATAAAAGCTACCAGAGACACCCAGTTTTAAAAGATAGATGTATCCTTGTTCTCTGGGCAACAGTTGAAGCCATGTGTGAAACTAGCCCTTATGTTAAGATTTCCAGCTCCCAGAGTATGTATGCTCTGTGGTCACCTCTGACCAGATCGTAAGAGGTCACAATTCATAAGGCCAGTTACACAAACATCCTTCCCTGCCCCCTGCTGTTTAACTCTGTCCTGCAGGGCAAATTGTTTAACAACTTTTTGTTAAACTGCTTGTTAACAAGGCTATGGGGAATTCAAGATGCATATCACACCCCTAGCTCACAGTACACTGCAACTATAACCCAAAGGGTCAGAACTTGAGGTTAAAAAGCAGGTGTCTTTGTTGCTGTTCTAATGTGCATGATATTAAGAGAGCAAGGAGTGGCAATATTACCAAAGCTGGATATTAACATACATATATTTCAAGTGCAAGAGGAAGGGGTGATAGGGAACCAGACTTATTCAATTCTATATTGAAATCATTTACACTTTAGTAACACTTGAGAAACAAAACAAAAAATAGCAAAAAGATCTTAGATGTTGATTAAAATATTTCAGTTTCTCTTTATCTTCAGATATCACAATACACATTATATTTGTCCCTCTAAATCTCTATAGGCATGATCCAATGTGCCACTGGAATAGATTCAATGGCATAATTCTATATATGTGTCTACTCAGAAGTAAGTCCCATTGAGGTCAATGGGATTTACTCCCAGGAAAAGACCCACAGGAAAGAAATGAGGTTTTAGAAATGCTTGGCTGTATCTTGCAGAGGAAAAGCACTGACATATTAATTAGGATGGAAACACACAAAAGGCTTTGTCTCGATGGAAATTAAGCTCAACAAAACAGTTCAGGGTAGGAAAGCAATATCCCAAAGAAGTAGTTTTTCCTCTAACTTTTTAAAATATCCCTATTGATATATGCTTTACATTTCTCTTTAAACAGCCACCATAGGAAACAGCGGCCAGATTTTACTCCAGTGTAAATATATACTCAGGTTTCACTCCCATCACCTGTTGGCTCTTGAACACCATACTTCTTTGTTAAAACTTACCACTCTAACTTTGGGGAGGGAAATCATTTACAAAGAAAACTGTTCAAGGAAGTAGTAAAGTAAGCAGTAGATTTGCATATAAATTAGCCCCATTCTTTAAAAAATAAAAATAAAAGCCAACATGTGGGGCTTTATTTGGAGTGGGGAGAGAATGCTTTAACTTCACTTTAAAGGGGAATCTTATTTGTGTCTACTAAGAAGACCCAATGGGGGCCTTACTCCCAAAAGTCCACAGGATGCAGTCTATACAAACTACTTGAGTCAGGAATAGTCTCTCTGAAGTGTTTAAGACTCCCTCTACCAAACCTTACTTATGAATGACTTCCTCTTTATGTTATTTTTTTAATGGCTTGAAGATTTCGGCTTTAAACTTGGAAGATCTTTGCTACATTTTGGTCAAAGCTGCCTGCCTTTAAAAAAAAAAAAGTCATTTCCAGCAGGCAGGTCTGATGAATTAAACGTCCTCCATCTGTGGCATGTCTACAGGAGTAAGAGGAGAGAAATTGGCACAACAAAAATGCTCAGGGCTCTGGGGCAGAAATGCCAGGATGCCCTTCTTCCTCAGAGGTGCAGGCAAAAAAGAGAAAAGGTGCCCAAGAAGTGAATTACTTCTGTGTGACATTTCTATCCCAACTTTCTGCCACAATGGAATGCACTGAACTTTTAAATGTTGACTAATGAAAACGGATTTAGATAGGTAGCCATGTTGGTCTGACACAGTCAAAATAAATTTATATATATATATATATATATATATATATATATATATATATATAATTGTCCAGCAGCACCTTAAAGGGACGCGGGTGGCGCTGTGGGTTAAACCACAGAGCCTAGGATTTCAGTGGTTCAAATCCCTGTAACAGGGTGAGCTCCCGTTGCTCGGTCCCTGCTCCTGCCAACCTAGCAGTTTGAAAGCACGTCAAAGTGCAAGTAGATAAATAGGTACCGCTCCAGCGGGAAGGTAAACGGCGTTTCCGTGTGCTGCTCTGGTTCGCCAGAAGCGGCTTAGTCATTCTGGCCACATGACCCGGAAGCTGTACGCCGGCTCCCTCGGCCAGTAAAACGAGATGAGCGCTGCAACCCCAGAGTCGGCCACGACTGGACCTAATGGTCAGGGGTCCCTTTACCCTTTAGCTTTAGCACCTTAAAGACCAACTAAGTTTGTTCTGGGTATAAGCTTTCGTGTGCATGCACACTTCTTCAGACACACTGAAACAGAAGTCACCAATGACTCAGTGCGTATGGTAAACCCATGTACCCATCTCTTACTACCCTTCTGTGAAAAACCCCTCCCCACCCTCCCACTATATATAAGGGTCTGGTGACTTCTCTTTCAGCGTGTCTGAAGAAGTGTGCATGGACCATTTATTTATTTATCATGAAAGCGATAAGCCTCTTGTTAAAAAAGGAGGGGGCACGGAAGCAGAAGGCCCCCCGGGGGGGGGAAGGATCTTCATTACAAAAGGGGGGGGAAAGAAACCCCAAGCACTTATCTCTGTTTGGGACCAGACAATAACTCCCCCCCACCCCATGACATGGATGGGTGGCTTTACTTTTAAAACTGGAACTTATGAATGGGGAACTTGTGCGGGGCGCGGAAGAAGGGAGATGCCCAGGCTTCCTCAGGATAGGGAAGCTCGCCCCCTTTTTCGGTGAGGCAGGAGGCTGCCCTTCCTACGCCAACTGCTTCGCCTCGCCTTCACTTCGCGCTCGCTCTCCCCGCGCGCGCTCCTCCTTCGCTCCCCTGGGCTCGCCAGGGACTGCAGCGCGGGACTCCTCGCGACCAATGAGAAGCGCGTGCAGTCTCCGCAAGCCCGAAGCACCGCTGCAAACGCCACAGGCTGCTCTGCGGCCCGGGCGGGGCGGAGGGCTTCACCCGCTGGCGTGCGCAACGCCTCAGGGGAGCCGAAAAAGCATAAACAATAATAATAAAAAAGAAGGGGAGAGCGTTTCTTTCGGGCTCCCCCCCTGTCATACCTCCCCCCTAACACAAAATTCCTCAGACCCCGATTCCCGCACCCCCTCTAAGCTACCGTCGCTCTAAAACGGATGGCCATTGCACCCCCTCACACGAAGCACCGCAGTCAACGCACACGGCGCGCAGGCAGGCATACCTACCAAGGGGGGGAGGGGGGTGGCTCGTCTCTTCACTGCATCAGAGGCGGACGCCTCCACACGGAAAAAAACTTCCCGGAGGAAGAAGCCTCCCTGCTGTCCCCCTTCGACAGAGCTTCCAGTCAGCCCCCTGCCTCTCCGGCTCCCTGGGCGCCCCCGCCGCTCCTGCCCATTTCTTCGCGAGACCGGAGTCCGCGGCGGTCTTCGCTCCTCCCCGACGCCCCCCCACCCCTCACAGCCGCCCACCCCCTTCGCCGCCGAGCAATCCTCTCAAGGGGCCTTGACAAATCCCGCCGAAGGAGCGTCTTCTTCAGTCAGTCGCCTCCACACGCACACACAAAATCATTCCTCAAGGGGGTTTTACTCAAGAGCAGGACACGCAGTTGAATGGGGCGGGAAACGGCCCTCTTTAACGCCAAGTTCAGCTCTTTCACTGTGAAGAAGCTTAAGGAAATTCCTTCACTTTCTGCTGTCAAGTCTTTGCCCACTTGGAAGATCAATTGCCCCGGCTGAGAGGCAGACGGGTGCATTGCATTTCCTCAGGGAGGAGACTCTCAATTTCCTCTCTCAGGCAACTGAGTCCGAGGCAGGGTATTTTCAGACACAGGAGGCAGCTCACATCCTGAGGGTGGGGACGTGCTGGAGAAAAGTGGCGGTTTTTAAATGGTGTTCATGTTAAGTTTTCAGTCTATGTCACCCTAACTCCACCCTCCATTGTGCCTAAAAGCCCTCCTGGCTACATATCTGAGCTGACCCCTGTGCAGTTTCTAATTCCTTAAGCGCCAGTCAACGCTACCAATCAATCACTGGTGACCCAGTATGAACTACAAGTGGCCATAAAAGCTGGGGAGAGGAGCAGCCAAGTCAGTCCTGAAACACATGGGTGCGTAAAACCAAAAAGATGGGAGGCCTCATCAATTTCCCCTTTCTTCCCAGGCACTCCCTTCATCATCGCACAACAAGGAAGTCAGCAAGAGGATGCCACTGGGTCAGAAATTAACAAGCATATGGCTATTCTGAGAAGGGAAGCATTTCCATATGAATCGCCTAAGCATTCCCTACCATGTAAGCCAAGGAAAGTTAGGTACTTCTGGAAGGAAAAGCATTGCTCCCCAGGAGACAACAAAAAGCAACAATGGCTTGGAACTTCGTGTTTGTCCGCTTCTCATTTCTCTGTGCATTGGCCATGGGTCTTACAGCAAGGTTCAAGATCTCTCGTAATTCAAATTGTATCTGCACATCCCATTACAAGCCTGGATTTATGTGTTAAAACTATACTGCCTAATAATTATACACCTTGGGGTAGAAATATAGGAGCATGCCTCACTGCTTCTTCAGGTCTCTATGAACCTTTGATCCCTTTAACAATTATAGTCAAAAGCGATTAAGTAATTCTCTTTCAAAGCTCAAGTATTAGCCTCACAACCAATTTGTGAAGTCACAAAATCCTCAATTTGTGGGCAGGTGGCATAAGCGGCTTACTGCACGACTCCAGGAACCCAGGTATTTCATTTTAGCCCTGTTTTTGTCCCATTAACTTCGGTAGAACTAAACTCTAGTGTAGCCGAATAGCCTGGTTTAGTTGGGCTGCAGATAGAACTCTGGTGCTTGCTTGTGTTTATTAACACAGATAGCTTACTTGTATTTAATAGGAGCAATCCTATTCCTTGATCAGTGCTGCTGGCAAAGAGTAGGATTCAGTAGTGGCAGGCCCCTTCTGCACCTGCATTCTGAAGCAGCCAGCAGAATGTCTCAAAATGGGACCCTGGGGTGGCAGCAGGGCCAGCGATGGTCCAGGTTCTGTAAACTGACACAGTTTGGGCCTCTGTGCTGTGCCAATCCAGAGCTGCCATAGCAAAATAGGTGCAAACACTATGCTACCACCTTCTGCCTGATCCAGTAGTGAATCTGCCATGCCATGCTCCCTCTGCCCCAGTCTGGATTGCTGCCTTAAACATTACACTGGCCTTTGCTGTATTAAGATACTTAATAGTGCAGTCTTTTGCATGTCTACTCAGAAATACTGAACTTATGAAGTTCAATGGGACTTAAGTGTGTATAGGATTTCAATCTATACTTCAGTGCCTACAACGGGTATGAATAAATGTAGTGTAGGGCATTTGTAAAGACAACAAAGTAAGGAAGGTGGAGGGTTATAGTTCCTGAAAAAGCAGGCATATTAGCCTCCTGCAGCAAATTGTCAAAGGTTTGTATCAGGGGTGAGGAAACTGTGGCCTTCCAAATGTCGCCAGTGATTAATTTGTATTACTGCTGAACAAGCCTCTGCAACATCTGAACCTATAAACTACTGATTGTGAATTGACTGAACTACCTACAATACTGGAGTTTAAACATATGTTATCTAAGAACTTGGGTGCAAAAGCTGTCTAAACAAACATTTCCATTCAGCCGAACAACAGACCTCATTGTAAGCTTCAGTGTAACATTGCACACTTAGCAGTGAAGAGTTTAGTAAAGCTTAACAGCTCAGAAGTAGAATTGGGTTTCCAGTGCCAAGTAACAGGGACACCGGCGAAGAATGTTGGTATTTGAGCACAGATAGCTGAAGGTTAAGTTTGTAAGTGCAACAGCTAGGCAAGACTTGGCCCTGGTCAGACAACAGTATTTATAATTCAGACATGCTTGGCCAACAGCCAGCACTGAATCAACTTGATGAACTTTCAAAACGGGATGAACTAATGACACGGCTGCTCCTTCTTTGTACATTTTAAAGTGGAAACTTTTTTTCCAGCTCTCATTTTAGATATGATTTTTCAGGCTTCAACAGCCTTCAACAACTAGCCTGCCATTCACTCTAGGAACCCTGCAGTATAACTCTACTAGGTATGCCTGAGACATTCAGTCTTTACCACTTCCAGTACAAAAGTGGATCCACAATAATTTGTGCACTGGAACATAGCTGTTTGCCTTATTTTGCGCTTCTCTACACAGTGCAACAATTTTCAGGTCCCCAACTTCGTAACAGTGATTTTTAATTGACACTCTTATGAGATAATATATATTCAAATGCATATGTTTAGATGGTTTTCAGTGCAGTTTTTTTAATAAATTAAATACATACACATGCAGATTTATCCATCCTATACTCAAATAAGATCCAATTTATTTATTTTTCTGTTTAGCCTCTGTTTGTTTGTTGGTCAGAAACCAAAACATTTTCTTGAATTCAGTTAATCTGCATTGTTCTTTAAATGATACCTTGTGTCACATGCAACTTAAAATTGTGCACAGCAAACAAATTATCACTTGGGGGAGAATGAGACAAACAGATCCTGCCAGAGGAGAAGATAACAGAGCTTGCAGGCATATCTCTCTGATGATTAATCACTCCCAATACCTGCATGATGGCAACTATTTAGCCGTATTACTCCCTTAGATCTCCAATTTACTTACATAGAAGAATTATTAGAGAGAGAAAATGTTAACACCTGAAGGTGAATACTTTTTCCAACCACCCATTTCATCTGTAGCTGCAACTTTTCAGTCAAAGATGCAACAGAGTTTTTAAAAAGCATTTTAAAACAAGATATATTTAAACCTAAAAGAATCCCAAACATCTGTTCATGTTTGGTATTCAGGAAGTTTGTGGATAATAGTCTTTGATACATACTATTAAAAAACCCTATTTGGGGTACCAAATTTCTTATAGGGAATATGAAGTGATTTCTCAACTTCAAATTCCCTGTGAGAATGCATTATCAAGAGTATGTAGTGCACAACACATATTACAGCATTATCCGTAAGACAAACACAGCTGCTAACTAATCCCAAATGTGACTGACCACACACATTTACATTATGTGGCTATGTTTTATATACAGGTGAATTTTTTTTTATTCCTCTCAAGGAAGGAGTTTATGTACCTTAAACAAGAATGTATAGTTATTTAAAACAATTCATGTAAAAATCAGGCATAGGCAAACTTGGCCCTCCAGATGTTTTGGGACTACAACTCCCATCATCCCTAGCTAACAGGACCAGTGGTCAGGGATGATGGGAATTGTAGTCTCAAAACATCTGGAGGGCAGTTTGTCTATGCCTGATCTAAATCCACATATGAAACATTATTTGGGTGTGGGGGAAGTCTATGTTAATTAAATGTGATGGTTTTTTGTTGTTTGTTTTTTGTAACAAAGAACACCAAGCTAATTGTAATTAAAAGCAACAGCACAGCTATCCCTCTGGAAATTGTTAAAATGGAAAGATAATGGAAGGAAGATGGACTCAGGGCTGGTCTTATGATTCATTCAGGTGACTGATCCCAGGCAGGACACCATTTTCTTGCTTCCAGTCATTAATTTAAAAAGTGACAGCAGGGAGTCAGAAGGGAATGTTTTGTTTGAGGTATATTAAAAAATGGCTAGTATGTACAAGGAATTGGGGGCTGCTTAAATCTATTCCATGTGCAATGGCACTACAATTTTACAGCCTGCTATTTTGGGTGGGATGAAGAAGTCTGCGGAAACTTCCTACAAGATTCAAAATTTGAATGAGGCAAATTTATCCACAGGATGCTAAGAGGAGTTAATCATGTCTCAAATGCATTGTTATTGCCAAGGGTGAATCCATTCTTTTTGGGTTTGTTTTGTTTTTCTCCATTCTTAAAAGGAAAAGGTTGTGCGTCACAAGGTCCATCAAGGCTCAGGCTTATTTCAGTGGGGAAGTTTAGCTGTCCCAGAGTTGGCAGCTCAGCAGAATGAATTCTGTTTTAACAAGCTCCACCCATTCCTCCTCCCCAATCCTTGGAGCCTTCATCAATAAAGATAAAACAGTTTGCCTCATAAATTATCCAAGAAGAGTATCATGAAGTAAACTACTGGTAGATGACATTTGTCAGGCAGAACAGATTTAAGAGCACACAGAAAGACTGTTGTTGTTACAAGCAACATTAAGCCAAATTCCATGCAGCTTGGCAAGCGTTCCCCTCTTACAAAATTAATTGCTGCTTATGCTATATTACACCTGTTTATAAAATCTGATCTATATGAAGCTCATTTCTACGTAGAATCCCCACCTCAAGGTCTCTCTTAGCAATTGTGATTCCAGCGTGATAACACTGGGGCAGAACCCAACCCCTATAATGTCCTGTTTGTTGCTATTATTGCCAGGTTCCAAGTAAAGTAGGGGGCTATACAGGAGTTTGTGGCACAGTAGCAAATACACCATATTGCAGCCCACACTCGTCTTGTTTGAATTATTTGGAACAAGTTGCTGGTGGAAGAGCTCTCCCACATTTGCGGCAAAAAGAGTAGTCGGCTAATTGAGCTCAAGAACCTGGGGGGGGGGGGAAGCGAAGCATTTTGATCAGACAGGGAACATTTCTTCCTTGTGGGTAAGCTTCTGGGTGCATCATCCCAGGAGACAAACGCAAAGCACAGTTGGAGAAGCAGATGTTACTCTTACTTTGCACATTAATCTACATTCCACCCATGCAAATGTCAGAGGGTTTCTGCTTAGAAAATGTGTCCGTCCTCCACCCAGGTAAGCAAAAAAAAAAAAAAGAATTGCCACACCACAGTTCAGGGGCACCATCATCTAGATAGGTAAAAGCAGTCGAGGGTTTGGAGTGCAGGAAGCAGCCTGCGAAGAGTTCCCAAGGGCCAAGCAGAGATGCCTCTATTCCACAGGTTCCTCATGTAGATATCATCACCTGGAATTGTGGCAAAATAGAGGCAATGTTCTAGGAGAAAAATTGCGCACTAGGACTCTTAAAAGGGACTTCCAAGTTTTTTGTTGTTCTTAAAGAGTGTTGGAAAGAAACATGAGCAGCTCCAACTGGAAAAGCATTTTCTCACCCAGAAAACATGACAAAATCCGGTTCATTGGTATGGTTTTGCTCCCAGAAGTATCGCTATACATTAAGTTCCCTTGAAACATCAACAGTGATGTCCATGCCTCTTTAGAGAAAGATAATACAGTCGCACCTTGGTTTTCAAACAGCTTAGTTCTCGAAGGTTTTGACTCCTGAATGCCGCAACCCCGGAAGTGAGTGTTCCGGTTTGCGAACTATTTTTGGCAGCCGAACATCCGACACGGCTTCCATGGCTTTCGATTGGCTGCAGGAGCTTCCTGCAGCCTTCCTTCGAAAGCGTTTGCTGACCCCTGTACTGTATCATCTTTCTTCCCTTTAGATTGAAAGCTCCTCCTGTTTTGTGTGCATAGCTGTCAAATTTCCCCTTTTTTAAAGGGAAATTTCCTTATTCCGAATAGGATTCCTCGCAAGAAAAGGGAAAAGTTGACAGCTATGGTTTGGGGGTTGATTTTTATTTTATTTATTTTTTTACTTCCCTTACTCTGTTAAGTGCCATGTACATTGATGGTGCTTTAATACATTAAATTGATGCCTTGCTGCTCACCACAATTCTCTTTCTATCTTACATTAGAAGGATGATTTAATCATGTTTCAGCTAATGATTTAATGGGACGCCATTCCTCTCTAGTTTGTGCAGCACTATGAAGGAACAGCTAGCATCTTTGCCACTGAGGGCAAGAATTCCTCTTTCGTCTTTCTTTGCATTGTTAATTTTAAAATGACAATGGAATGAGAGTTTATACATACATGCATTGTGTTTTTATATATGTTGGAATCCACCCAGAGTGGCTGGGGTAACCCAGTCAGAAGGGCAGGGTACAAAAAAAAAATGACTACTACTACTAGTACCACTGCTGCTGCTACTACTACTACTAGTAGTAGTCATCGTCATAGTTGTATTAATGTTACTTTTGGTTCTGGCTGCTGAAGCACATCCAGGTCACAAGGAGACTCTCTTGTCTCTCAGTACATGGCAGAAACTTGGAATAAGCATTGTATAAACATCCTTATCTAGACTAATCACTCCGCTATTAGACATATACCTTCAGGCTAGAGGATCTCTCTCTTGATAGCAATCAGCCTACATCACTGATGACCAGTTTAAACATCACATACACATTATCCAGGTGCAAATTGTGTATTGCAGGTCACTTCCTAAGGGATGACTGGACACCCTGGGGTGAAATAGCTACACTTGTAAACAAGTTTTAGCATTGCTGTTTTGTTTTAAAACTTCCGTTTTCAATGACAATGGAAATGCTTTGATTGTGGGACATGTCACATGTTGCTGCTAACCTTAAAATGTTCTTCTGAAAAGGATGGTGAAGTTGTTGCCTCAGTGGGTTATCATAGGAAAAGATGTTTTGGATTGGCATTCCAAAGTGCTGTGAAACAAATCTGCATATGCAGGGAGTACAGAACACTAGACAGCAAAAATCAAAAGTTCTGGCCCAAATTCTCATTCAGTTCTAGTAATCCGCATAAAGTAACTACTAACTTTTGTTTAGGCTTGTTTTTCCACACTGCTTTTTGTATCGATTCTGACCTGAAGCAAAGTACTGTAGTGTACTACCAAATTCTTCTGGCACAAATTTCTCAAAATTAAGCGCAGGAAATAAAGTTGGAAGATGGCAATGTATTACATGGGTTTTAGGTCCAGTGAAGTGTAAACCAAATTAACAAGCTGAAAACTGTAAAGATAAACAGAATGCACCATAAACATTATAAATGTTAATACAATATGTAAATACTTGCGGAATGAAACCTGAATAGTCACTTTGAACAAATATTTCTAAAATATATTTATTTTCAATCTTCACACTTCTACCCTTTTATAATAAAGGGAAAGAACTACCATAGACAAATTATTTCTTCTTCTTGGGGGATTTTATTTGCCTTCCAGTATTCAGCAAACATCAGCTAAAAAGGCCACAGGATATATATTCCCATTCTTTTTACAGCAACTTTTCTGTGTATGTACACAAACAGGAGACGATACAACTTTAGCTGTGGTCCTATAAACCCATTTATTCCTCTCCTCCCAACAGTTTGCTCTAGGACACATCATTAAACAAAGAAAGTTCCTACATCTGGTCCACATCTGCAACATACAGAATTGTAGTTTCCATCATCACATGTAATCGCTTAGCAGTAATATACTTCCTGGTAATTAATTTAATAATTCCCTTTAACTCAGTGCATTGCAAGGGTGTGTGTGTGTGTGTGTGTGTGTGTGTGTGTGTACACTGTATTTCCAGATATTGACAAAATATTGACTTGTGACCTTGTTCTTTGAATTTAATCCAAATTCATAAGCTGATTTGCAGGGAGCCCTTAAGACACAGTTTCCCATTTCAGATGTCATGGGAAACTGTGGTTTAAGAAAACAAAAACCACCTCACTAAAAGCTGAGCATAAAAAGGGGAGAAAAGGGTCTCTGTATTTCCCTTCAGCTTGTGCCCTGTGCTCAGTGTCAAGGGAGATAAATAAAAACAATGATCTGTTATAAATAGTGGTCTATGGAATTTTTCTACATGGAAAAAATTGAACCCAGACATCAAGGTGATTAAAAGTCACTGCCATTTAAGTTTCTTTTTAAAATGGCTCAGTACATTCTGCTCTTTTCAGGCTGGACGGGACCTGTCTACTACCAATCTCGGACTAGGTACGTATTATATTTACACTCTGCCTGTTTGAAATCTTAACTCACATATTTGTTAAAGAGGCAGTTCTAAATGCAAACTTTGAACATAGAGATATTATGCCAGAGTACTCACATACATGCTATTCATAGGACTTGGCTGAAATACCTTCAGTCTGTTTCTTAATCAGGTTAGTTGAACATAGGAAGCTGCCATTTTCTGGCCCATCTAGCACAATGCTGTCTACAACAACGGACGAGTCTATCTCAGCCCTACCTGGAGCTGCCAGGGACTGTTTCCATGCAAAGCAAGCATGTGTTCTCCCCATGGAACTACAACCCTTCAAGGTGAAGAATAAATTCCATTCAGAAAACATGCTCTGCGCAGCTGATCAATGGAAGCCTCTTGCGGCCACTTCTTGTCGATGATGTGCTGCCACTGCCCTCTTGCTGCTTTTCACTAGTCTCACCTTGAAGCTTTGCTGGTGCTACTTCAAATACCTTGTTGCTGCCCACTCACTTCTCCCTACTCTTTTCACAGCGCAACACACACACACCAGATTGGCAGGTGGGTGTGTGGGAAGTGGTTGGAAGAGCGCTAGCAACACTTTCAACTGGTTGCCAAATTCCCTTTGGACTCTCAGCTGCTGTTAAAGTTATTATTATAGGAGAGGAAGCAGGAAGCGCCCTTCCCACAATGGAACAGCTGGTGGTGCTGGGTTTTTTGGCCCCCTGGGGCAGGACCCACTGAAACTGCAGGTCTGTTTATGGCTGGTTGAGTGCTAACAACACTCACTCCCTACCAGCAAACTCAGATCAAACCGAGACACACATAGAATCACTGAATTGTAGAGTGGGGAGGGACCCCAGCGGTCATCTGGTCCAGCTCCCTGCAATCCAGGTATCTTTTGCCTGATATGGGGCTTGAAGCCATGAACCTGAGATTAAGAGTCTCATGCTTTACTGACTGAGCTATTCCAGCTCATTAAAAAAACAACAACTTATTGGACTGAACCACTAGTAAGGTTCACTCACAATAATTAATTTAAACTCTGGTGATATTCGGCCCAAACACAACAATATATTGTATTGCAGAGAGAATAGATAAGAGGTGTCAGTTATACCTAGATAACAGTTATAAGCCATCTTGGCCCCATGCTGAGCAGAAATTTCCAAAATGCATCACACACAAAACACTTTTCCTTGAACTTTTCATACATGACTGCCAGTAGCTAAGTAACTATATTATGTTTAAGATGAGTTTCACGGGTATCACAGGTAAAAGGTTGTGAAGAAATCCAAGAAAGAGTCTACCAACAGAAAAATCTGAAAGCTAAACTTGAGTTCCACCTTAACAGGGGGATGACCAACTTTCTGCTTGTCAATTTAGCTTACATAGCTGTCTGGATCCTGTTATGAGTAAAGAACAGTTATTCACTCACATCTTTCCTGGGGGGTTTCTTTCCTTGAAGTTTCCATAACAGGAGGAGGTCATTTGTCGGGAACTGCAGGAAAAAGTCTGAACTCAAACCTTTATTTCCAAAACATTCATGCTGTCTGTTGCTGGGACGTGTTTTACTACTGTAGTTCAAAAAGAGTCTGAACTGAAGGCTACAGGATTAAGTGCACTTATATTCTGCCTTCCTTCTATCATGGAGCTTGAGGCAGCATACATGGGAGTTCCCAAGCAGTCTCCCACCCAGGCCCTAACCACACCCATACATGTGTGTAAGGGAGCTGCAACACAACCATGCCCTGGTAAGTAAAGCACGGGCTTTGAGCCAATTGGGTTTTTCCAAAATTCAAGGCAAGCAAAACACAATTGCTAAGAACAGAACTGCCATCTATCCAGAGCCGAATTCTAAGAAATACGCAATTGTGCCGACAAGCTGACATTTATTCTATCATGAGCTAAAGGTAAAGGGACCCCTGACCATTAGGTCCAGTCGTGGCCGACTCTGGGGTTGTGGCGCTCATCTCGCTTTACTGGCCGAGGGAGCTTCGGGGTCTTGTGGCTAGCATGACTAAGCCGCTTCTGGCAAACCAGAGCAGTGCACGGAAACACTGTTTACCTTCCCGCCAGAGCGGTACCTATTTATCTACTTGCACTTTGATGTGCTTTCAAACTGCTAGATTGGCAGAAGCAGGGACCGAGCAACAGGAGCTCACCCTGTCATGGGGATTCGAACCGCTGACCTTCTGATCGGCAAGCCCTAGGCTCCATGGTTTAACCCACAGTGCCACCTGCGTCCCTAGTACATGAGCTACTCAGTGGTAAATCTATAACACTCTTCCTAGTTAGTTCCATCTTCTTTTCCCTCACTAATCAGCAAGAGAGCTTCCTCCATGCTTACTTGGTCAGATGTGAGAGTTATTGAAGGTGGTAGCCAACCAAGATGTACTTCAAGTAGACTAAATGTAATTAATGGACCTAAAGTAGTCGTGAGCAGGGAAAACTCTGGGTACAACTCCAGAAACTTATATTCTTGTATTACCACTTCACCTCATATTTATGCTGAATAAACAACAGGCTGGATGCAGACTAACAGTGCAAAACAACCCTACGCAAAAGTAAGCCCCAAGTTCAATGAGTCATACTCCCAGGTAAGGGAGTATAAGGTTGCAGCAGAACACAAGTTCCATTAAAATCCATGTGACAGGTTAGCCATGTTTTCATTTTCTCAATCAGACTAAGTTAGTCTGGATCCGGGGAGTCCAGGTTCACATGGGTGTCAATGAATAAGACTCCACATGATAAGAAAGATGCAGGGGGGCAATTGTAACAGCTCCTACACCACTATCTGCTCTCCCACCCACTCCAAAAGTGACTAGCAACTTCTTGGATGCAAAAGCAGCAGAGATGAACAAGGAAGTTGTTGTTCGGTGCACAATATTACTAGCACAGAAGCATCAAAGCCTGGTTGAAATTCTGTTATCTTAGTCTCTTCTCCAAACCAGACAGACTATATTCAGTGTTACTCAAGGTCAGATGGCCTATTCTTGGATGTCAATTTCTGTTACCTCCTACAGAGAGACCTTTAATCCACTGTTGTGTAGGTTGCAGTGACGCTATTGTTGGTTGTGCACCAGTCAAAAAACATTAATCATTCGTTTTCCTTAATCTTTCAAAACAATCTTTGGATTGAAACCCTAGTTTTTTAGTATTTGTACAAGGATAGCTATGATCCTGAGCACACTCTTATGTGGTTTTAACAATATTAACTTCCAAATAAATGCTAAAGGTATCTCAGTATTCCATTTGATACGAGCAGACAGGAACACTGCACTCACTCTTTGTAAAATATATAGTAGCTGATGGAGCTATAAGGACCAAAGGTATGACTCAGTATAAGACAACTTTCTATGTTCCCATCCACAACCATTTCAAAATCTGAGAAACATTTTTCTTACCTGTACAAAAGTGATGCAGTAGTCACGACCGATACTAGAATTGATCCCTAGATTCAACAAGCACATTCTGACTTCTCACACATTTACCTATTGTATATTGGGGGTGGGATATGTTCCCCTGCTTCCATGCACAGAAGCAGTTTGCTGTTTTCAAAGACTGACGCTCTTTCCAAAAAAACAAGAATAAATGAGTGCTGATACAGTAGTTTAATTCTACTAAACTGCTTCCAGGCACAGACCATATTTCTTCCCATATTATATACTTATAGTTCAGTATAATTAAATTAATGCATCATTCTCATTTTGAGCCACTTCCAAATTTTTTTAAGCAACATGTTTTTCAATTTCCTCAAAGCTAGTCATTCCAAAGGCACCCAGCCCCTAATCTGAAATTTTATATATTTCTTAAGTCCTCCCAATTATCCTCTATCAGAACAACGCCCTTTTGAGTAAGTTGAAACAAGATTCAAATTATTAGCTCAGGGAACATTTCCCAAGGCTACACTGGAATGTGTTAAGATGAGGGGGGGGAAAGGAGTTCTGTCATATGCAGTGACAGCCGTCTCAAAGGCAGGGCACTCCTGGATAAATTGGCATGCATAGCTTAGGGTTCATCTCCTCCTCTAAGCTTAATCTTGAAAGGGTGACTGGAAAAGATAAAGAAAATAACCTGAAGCAACAGACATAGAAGCTCTCACCAGTACAGAGAACCGCTGCCTTATACCAGGCCAAAACAGTTGTCCTCTTAATTCTAAGCCCAGTGTTGTCCACTCTTGATTGACAGTGGCTCCCCAGAGCCTCTGGCAGGTCTTTACCCATCATCCACTAACTGATTTAACTGGAAATATGTCATGGATTGAATCTGGGGCATTATAAATGAAAAGCATGTGCTCTACACACCAAGCTACGGTCCTTGGCCAAGAAACTGAGGCTTCTGTTCCAATAGAAAACCGATGGGGTGTGGCGGAATTACAAGAGGTCTGCAGCCAATAATTGCTTGGGAAACTCCAGCCAATATGTTCCATTTAGTCCCCCACCATAATGTAATCTACTTCTTTGGGCTCCCTGGTCCCAAATCCTTCCTCCTCCAAAATCTCCCTGTTGTGCCCACTCTAATGGCACAAAACCTCTCCTGCACCAAGACTGCGTGGAGAAGTTCTTCACTTCATTTCCAGCTCCTTCCAGGTCCTCCACAGACACACACCTGAGATTCCTCCTCCTTAGGAAGGAAGCAACTGCTGTCATGGTAGACAAGGGAGAGCAGGGAGGAGCCTTGAAATGTTGCTGCTGAAAGAATGGAGCTTCTTGCTTCAAGAACTCTTGATTAGGGAGAATGAGAACCGACATGCGTGTGTTGGAATCGCCAATATGTTCCACCGCCGAATAGCTGAGCATCCTGCTGACACTCCTGGTTAGGGATGTCTAACCAGTCGAAGCGATCTATCGGTCGATCACCAGGTGTCTGTGGTCGATCATGGGATCCTGACTGATTGCCCCAAATGAACAACCAAAAAGGGGGGGCAATCCAATGGGTAGATCACTGCCAGTTTATTTGTAGTGGGAGTAGATCACTGTCTTTCGGAAGCTGGACGTGCCTGAGCTATACCATTATAGAGGATGCTAAGCCATTCCTCTCTCAATGGCAGCTACCTCCGCTAAGGATGATAGGAGGAGAGATGGACGCAACCCCTCCAGATATCCCTTGTAACTGAGCATTCATCATGATTTGTGGTCACACTTTCAACACCATTGGCTCCTTCCATGGTTTCAGGTTTGTTTGCAATAGGCACATGTCGTGGAGTAGTTTCCTGCTAAAATCCTGTAACTTTTCATACTACAAATGTTCCATAGGTTATGTTTGTTTGTGTGGGTTTGGTCAGACTTTCATGGTGCTATAGTTCAAGGGTGCCTCTCCAGATGGCAATTATGTGGCAAACTGGGGAAGCTTAGCAGAACTGTTGCTAAAGCTTCCCCAGTTTGCCACATAATTGCTGTCTGGAGAGGCACAATTGAACTATAATAATGACTAATGTGTGGATGCTCCAGGATAAAACAACTCAGGACTGCAACATCTCAAAGAACCACCTCTCCCCATATGAACAGACCTTGCAATCATCACCATGAGAGGTCCAGAGGGAGGCAGCATAAGGAGGAGCATTTGGCACAGGAAAAATGCATCCCTAGGAGAGGGATTGCAGACCTGTGGGCCCTCCAGATATTGCTGGACTACAACTCTCAACATTTCCTACCATTGACCATCCTGGTTAGGACTGATCAGGGCTTGAGAGCCAACAACATTTGGAGGATCAAAGACTCCCCCATCCCTCTCCTGGGACAAAGGGACCCTCCTCCAGAAAGCCTATCTACTCTCACTGAGATTTGCACTAACCTTGCACTATCAAGACAGGATTGAGGCAAGAAGCGTTTCCATTGTCCTACTTGCTCTGAACAAACTCCAAGGATCATAAGGAAGTGGCAGATCCCAAAAGATGTATATTGTGTTATCTGCATCCCAGCAGAGGTGAAAGAAAGACACTTATTTGGCAACCAGACTAAACTTTTAAATGCTGAACACACCAAACAATAAAAGTTTAGGCATTTTTATCACATCACTTGCCGCTTATCTGAAGAATTCTTCCCAGTTAGTTCAAAGGGTCAATTTCACACCAGGATACCAGTATTTATCAGCCTACTCTCCACCAGGGGCCTCATAATCGTAAAGAGAAGTGTTGCCTTCAACTGCTATGACAATGGCACAATCAAACAGGCACTTCAAAAGATATAGTGTTGAATTGACCACAGTCTTCATGTTAAATTCCAAGAGGCTTTCTTCATGAAGAAATCTGAACACACCCTTCAGGACTATATATAGAAGAATGTGAAAAGTCAAAGTCACAAAGCTGTGTCAAATTGGACACAAGGAACCTATCTATATATACACCCTGCCATTGGTATATAGAGTATAGACATAGTCTTGGTAGTGAAATGCAAAATGAGTATTAGCATCTAAAAATGATAGTGATTAACAGTCAATAGGTCCACTGTTTTGCACATTAAAAGTCCATTGTCTTACTACTAGTAAACACCTCTGGGAACGGCAGCAGGTAGAAAGAAAAAAAAAAATGAAGCTCCCAGCCAGATCTTGCCCACCTGCACAAGTAAACTTTTAGTTATGTAGAAATAGCCCAAATAAAACTTTTAGTTATGCAAAAATAGTAGAAGACACACAGAGCCACCCACCAGCTATAACCAAGCTCACCCAACCTTGTCACCCCATCAGCAACTCTCAGGATGTGATCACAGTAACGAAATCACCCACACATCTTAAATAAACTTAAATAAACAAACTTTAAATATGCAGCATCTCAGCATGTGAACAGATCTCAGCATGTGAACAGATCCAGTCACACTAACAGGCAATGCAGGTAAACTGCCCTCAGGTGTTCATAAAAGGATGCTTTGCTGCTGCTTTATAGATCAGGACCATGCCCTCTCCACCCTCCCCTAAAAAAATCAAATCATGACACTCCCTTCCCCATTGTAACTGCTGCAGTAAACATCCCTTGATCTCTCCAGAGTAGAAAACTTAACAGTGATACAGAGCATCTATAAAAAGTAAGTGCCAGAGCTTGGGTATTTCACTGCCTGTTTACTTGCTTTGTTTGGACAGGAGGCTCCTGTTTGTTTGCTTCAGAGCCTAAGCGCCAGGAAGAATGCCACTCTGCTCCCTTTTTCTTAACCACTCCCTGATTTTCCAACTTTAGCTCAAACACTAACAGACAAATAGCATTATGCACATGACATATTCCTTCTCCCAGAAACATGAATTAGGAAACCCACAATGGGTAGATTGGCTCTTAAAATTCTTCTCACCTCAGTTGAAATTTTCACCTCAGAAAATTTCATTATCGTCATAATCACATTTGTATTGAGTTTTGTTTTGTTTAATTATAATCTGGCCTGGAATTTGGTAAATTTATATACAGTAATAAAGCTTGCCAGTGCTCTATTCTTAAGTACTTTACTTTTGGCCTTTTTAGGGTTTTGGAACTGAAACAGAAGGAGGCTGGAAAACATATGCCCTGTATTATGACAAATAGTTTTACATCTGGACAAAGCACTTTACACCTGCAGCATCAAAGTTAAAGCATCTATAAGGTACTATTGAACATAAATTGTTTGGGTTGAGATCTGGTAGCAGAGACCACACCCCAAAAATAGAGGCATATAATCTAAACTCTCTTCAGCCACAGTCAGCCAATGATACATGGTAGTGAGGGTTGTCGTTTGAACAGCATCTGAGGAGACACCGGTTTCCCATTGTCAATGTTCACCTTGATCTCCATGGAGGAAAGGTGAAATATAAGTTTGCTCAGTGATTCAAGTATAGGTCACTCAATGCAGGTAGCAGTGTTCCAAGATTTTAGGACTATATAACAGATCATACCAGCTGTTTGGGCAGAGGAAGGGTAGGCATTGTTTAGTCATAATAAACCATCCTTTCTGTCTAATGACTGTCTAGCCCTTTCTGGACATTCTTGTGGGGAATGGGAACGCTGCTTTTCTGATGTGTAGCCAAGAAAAAGGTAGACAACCCATTTGTTTCACTTGGTCTCAACTGGGAGCAAGAACCATCCAAGCCGATTTGTATAGTACCTTAAGCAGAGCAATTCATTCTGAAAATCTTAGGTTCCCACATGGAACACATTTACCATGTGGATGTTGGAATAAATGGCAGTAGAAACAAAAAAACTTAATGAAAATGATCTTTTGGCATTAAAATATTCAAGGTTTTACTTGTAATTAAAGTGTTCCACAGGAAACGTTTGCCACTAATTGCCCAGTTAAACCTGTTTTTGTACACTTACAGGCAGTCCAGTAGAAGAACGCTGCAGATGGCAGAGGTTTAAAACTGGCAACTGGTAATATTTTACATACACAACTCAAAATTACTATGGTTAGGTCCCTTGTAAGGGTAAGTGGTGAGTGAGAAAAGTTAATTTGTATGTCAGATATAGACTTGCCTTATTTCCTCAAAATGAGAAAATGAGTTGGACAATATTCAAAGGTGGGGTCTGGGCCAACTTATTCACCATTACAGAGGTAAAAGTAAAGGACCCCTGGATGGTTAATTCCAGTCAAAGGTCAATATGGGGGCGCTCATCTTGCTTTGTGTTTGTCCACAGACAGCTTTCCGGGTCATGTGGCCAGCATGACTAAACCGCTTCTGGCGCAACAGAACACCGTGACAGAAACCAGAGTGCACAGAAACACAGTTTACCTTCCCGCCGCAGCGGTACCTTTTCCTCTACTTGCACTGGCTTGCTTTCGAACTGCTAGGTTGGCAGGAGCTGGGGCAGAGCAAAGGGAGCTCACCCCGTCTCAGGGATTCGAACTGTCGACCTTCTGATTGGCAAGCCCTTAGAGGCTCAGTGGTTTAGACCACAACGCCACCCACGTCCCTACAGAGGAGCTGTGTATGGTTACATAACACACTGTCCTGGTGTGGCAAGAAAAATCCCAGAGAGATAAGATGGAGAACCTACAACCTGCATTGTAGATTCATGGTGGCCAAAAAACAGTAGATTTCGAACATGTAGTTTAGACACGTACATTTAGTTTTGTTTGTGGGGCTTTTAAACAGAGACTGCCGGGAAGCGGGCAAAGGGAAGACTCGATCAGGATTGCAGCAAATAGGAAGGTGGGATTTGACTCTTCTTCCCACACTGTGGTCCTGACGAAAAGTCAGCCCCACCCTGCAATATTTAGCATAGAAGGAGAGCAGCTGTTGGTCCAGAGGAGAGCTTCGCTTCCATTTCCAATAGGGAAGGGGAATTCTTTTAGGAAACATGGTATGGTAAGAAGGAGAAAACTCCTTCCATTGCACCACAGCCCCCATTCCTAGTGCTCCCTCCCAACAGCCACCATTTAAAGGTTTTAACAAATAAACGTGCACAGCTGAACTTTGTGTAGCAGCCCTGAGCAAGTGACATGGTCTCTGCTTCCCATCTGTCTAGCAGGATCAACAAAAGGTAAAAACTACGAAGCGTTTTGCAATTAGAATAGGATGGCTGCTAAGCAGTAAGTGCCATTTTCTGTTCAGCATCAGGAACGGTAAGTTACCCAGCTGAGTGGAAGGCATTAACTGCACAATGATGCAGAAATAGAAGGAAAATGGGAGTTCCTGGCAGGAAATAAAACCTGGAGTTTCACGAGGACAGGTCCACAAAGCACAGTGGTAGGACATCATTTGCATGCAGAAGGCCCCAGGTAGGGCTGGGGGGGGGGCTCCTAACTGAAGCTCTGAAAATTGTGGCCAATCAGTGTAGACAATACTGAGCAAGACGGAGCAATGGTCTGCCTTGGTATAAGGCAGATTTCTATGTTTCATGAAGAATTCTTCTCAAGAGTCTTCTAGGAACAGGAAATAGTGAGCCCTGTTGTGCTTCTCACAGCCCTATTCTTGACACCGGTACAATATTGCACTTTATGTCAAGTCTTCCTATAATTGTAGCATTCACACAAATACACACAAGCCAACCGAACTGCACAATTTAATGGAGCCAGTGTGGATGGCAACCCACCCAGCTGACTGCCAGTCTGCAGCGCTGGAGCAGCAGAACAACCGAGTCTGAAGTAAAATGGTTAATTGCAACCATTTACTTTCATTCAGAATTAATAGAACCCATCTGTTTAATGATAAGCAAGCTCTGTAATTACTTCTATTGCTAGAGGGAGAGAATGCAAAATAGCACCAGGGAGGAAACATGACAGACAAAAAAACGAAACCCACCCCTAAATCAATAGCATTCATTAATCTTAAAGGGCTGTTTTGATTTCTTATCAGCTGCCTTTGAGTTTTTTGTCCAAATTTATCAAACACTATTCTTGATAATGTATGCCTTCACACCCTTCAATTTTATAGTTATATTATGTTTAGAAACTATAATTGCAGAGACATAACACACTGAATATATTTAAAGCCCTTCTTTTCAGAGACGTATGTCACTCTCTGCGTAAATTATCAGCAATCCTAAACCAAATATCCATGTTTGGCATAAATTCTCCTTTTTGAGAAAGAAAAGAATCACAAACATTTCCAACTCACCCTTCTCTTTGAACTAGGACTCTCTCTAGACTCTTAGCTAAACTAACATTCAGGACTTCTAAGCAGATGTGAAGGGGTCAGAGAAAAATAAGCAGGTTTTTAGCTCTTTGTAGGTTCTCAGCAGTGAGAAACATCTATTATCCTGATGGCTGTCAATATTGACCCTCCTGTAAGCTTTAAAGATGAGGCATAGACACAAAGATGCAAAATATGGTTCAGGCATAAAGCTAAAGGGTAAAGGGACCCCTTACCATTAGGTCCAGTCGTGGCAGACTCTGGGGTTGCGGCACTCATCTCACTTTATTGGCCGAGGGAGCCGGCGTACAGCTTCCGGGTCATGTGGCCAGCATGACTAAGCCGCTTCTGGCGAACCAGAGCAGTGTGCGGAAACGCTGTTTACCTTCCCGCCAGAGAGGTACCTATTTATCTACTTGCACTTTGACGTGCTTTCGAACTGCTAGGTTGGCAGGAGCAGGGACCGAGCAACGGGAGCTCACCCCGTCGCAGGGATTTGAACTGCCGACCTTCTGATTGGCAAGTCCTAGGCTCTGTGGTTTAACCCACAGTGCCACCCACGTCCCTTTGGTTCAGGCATACCTGTAGCTAATTTTGTAGAAGCGCAAGAAAGGCATACTTTGTGCCAGAAACACCCAGAATAGACAGGTAACAACCAAGGTAAACACCCACCAACTTCTTGTCATTTGTTTGCTATAGTCCAAATTAGTTAACATTATTTTAGCTAGAGCACTTGCATTAAGGTTTCCTATGGTTCACAACAGGTTGCTATTAATATCTTCTCAAAGCCCGTACTTGACAAAGAAGTAAAAACAGAAACAGGACTGAACAGTGTCAAAAGCAGCTATTACGGCTAATCTGGGCTAACAGGGTACCTTCAGATGTTACCTTTTGTCATGCAACAGAGGCTGCAGAATGTGCTACTTCTCCAGTTTTGCTCTAGCTAACAGCAGCAGATCTATATCATACAGCAAAGTATGAACTCATGAGATTTACTCTCGCTGAACAGGTCATGTGGCCCCCAGTTAAAGAATATTTTGAGGTTAAATTACATGTTTGACATTTGTTCATTGAATATTGAGTCCATCCATATACAGAATTCAACCATACTTGGCAGCCACTCAACTTCCAACTTGTTGCACATTTAATGAATTTTAATATATACACCAGAAAACCAGCACCAAGGCAAATGTCACTGAGCCAATCAAGGCCAAACAAGGTTATGTTAAATACTTTGTGTGCAAGCTATTCCCATGAAACCATTGATCACTTCCTAGAGAATGTTCTTGCAATTCCTGCCTCCTGTAGACACTTGACCCTTCCTATCGAGTGTCTATCAGTTTGAAGATGCGTGGAATGGTCCATGCAAGCAGCTGCCCTGTGTCTTCTCAGAGTACAGGGTTTCACCTCAGAACTGAAATAGGAGAATGGTTTAGTATGGCATCAGTCAGTACAGCTACCCACCACATTCTCTGTGAGGAGGTGAATTGGAATACATCTTAAACTCTAGATTGCATTACACATAACACAAATAGAACAAACAGCTTTCGCACATTATGAAGTCATATGAAGAATTGGAGTAGCTAATTAAAACACAGCAGCTCATACTTTCATGAATGAACTCTGGGAGGGGGAAAAAAAGCACGTTGATAATGCCCTTGAAAACTTCTCAGTTTCCCCAAAGTGATGAAATCTCAACAGCCCCAGCTGGTATGACCAAAGACATCAAGGTAGGTTTCTAGCACAAGAGCAGGGAGAAGAGAGGGAGGTCTAGGGCAGAGTCTGAAGCTAGGAGTAGCGTGAGCAAATGGCAGACACCGGTTCAGCCTCCCATTGGCTCAGAGCAACAATATATGATTGGCCACACCAGATGCTCCTAATGCGCAGCAGCCAATTCATGCCTCTTTGCAATTTGTATCCACAGTTGATACCATTGCTGAAATTGGGAAAGACTTACACCATAATCTGACAACGGTTTTCTATATTTCTATCCAAAACCCCATCCAGGTGCACCAACTCTATGGGGCAGAGGTGTCTCCAGCCCCCCAGTTTGTCTTGGGATGGGGCTGAGCCCCTCCCCATGGTCGGACTCCTACTCATGGCGGCAAAAGGATGGTGGTTAAGAGCAGTAGACTCGTAATCTGGGGAACCGGGTTCGCATCTCCGCTCCTCCACATGCAGCTGCTGGGTGACCTTGGGCTAGTCACACTTCTCTGAAGTCTCTCAGCCTCACTCACCTCACAGAGTGTTTGTTGTGGGGGAGGAAGGGAAAGGAGAATGTTAGCCACTCTGAGACTCCTTCGGGTAGTGATAAAGCGGGATATCAAATCCAAACTCTAAAGCTGCTGCGCTGTCTCCCAACTAGTCGTCACCTCTGCCGCGCCTCCTGGGCCAGAATCCATGGTGTGCAGGGGCTACCTTTCCCACCATGCCTTAGACCCTTCCACCAAGCTCACTTTGTCTGCAGGGCCAGCCATGGCAAGGCCAGTGAGCCAGGAGCCGAGAGCAACTTGGCACCTCTTCCCCCACCCTGTCATATGCCTAGCCCCAACCAGAAGATCATATGAAGAAACGCTTATGTGTGTTCTCCATCTTTTTAAATTATTTTTTAAATATAACTTTATTGAATAGTACAAAAATGTCAGTTCACATTTCCAAACATATCTACATAAACACAATTATTTACGTATTTGCCAAACAGAAACTGTAAAAAAAGATAAGAAAAGAAGAAACAAAAAAAGAAAGAAAGAAAAAGAAAAGAAAAAAGAAAGTTGCTTTCCATAAACAATACCAAATTTATACTTACACACATTGTAAAAAACAAATCTTAGTTAAAATATTTTAAAAGACTCCTACCACCTAAACCACACGTCTTTTGTTATCTAGTTCACCTTTACCTCTGTTCTTCACTTCCATCCCTTAAGATCTTCCGTAATCCATTAAACTCTTTATATTCTTTATAATCCGCACAAGGTTAGTCTAAACACAACCAAATTTTCATAGCTGAGCCCTGTTTATGTAAATATTCATTTAAACAATCCTACTGTTTCTATACCATGGTTTTGGGTTTTCGTCTTATTAAGTCCGTCAGTTTAGCTAACTCCAGGTATGTTCTTCATCTTTTTATTAACCTTGCTCCAGAGATTTCTTAGCAGCTCAAACACAGGTTATCACCCAAATGCTTTTCCTGTCAAGTACTTTGCAATCCAATATGAGAATACACACTTATTTGCTTGTTGGGTGACTGGACTTTTCTTCTTAAATGTGCCTAATAGGTATCCTTACTAAACCTTTGGGGATGTATTGTGTTCAAGAATCCAAAAAGGATATGGTCTGAGGCTGAATGTTGGATTTTCCCATATTGACCAAACCTTTTGTTACCTATTAAGCAATACAATTCTAAGGATTGCAGCCACAAATCTTTGATTCAAGGACAGTTGCTTGGAAGGAAGTTTAATCATGATTTGAAACCCTCCCCTCGGTAAAAATGTTTCGGTTTGGAAGGGTAATAAACTAGGAGGGAGGGAGAGAACCTACCTATGAGTAAAAAGCTTTAAGAGAATATTCTTAAGGAAATGTGAAGGTCAAATCATAAATTCAATAGGCTCAAATACAGTCAATGGAGTCTTTGTAACCAGAAAGTTATGTAGCAAAAAAGTATTTTATGCACACTTTGCTTACAATTAGTTTATGCTCACATGACACCTTAGCTTAATAAAAACAAACCTGCTTAATAATTCCTCTTTATCCATTATGCTGCTTTAAAATGAAAAAAAAAAAAAACAACCTAAGAGCATGGTAATAACTTATTTAAGAAATGCAAATTTAATTAAGTATAAAAGGTACAATGTTTCCCTTAAGATTTACTACCCTTTTTTCCTGAAGACTAGGCTTTCTGTAAAACTCCAGATGCTAAAATTGCCTCAGGAAAATTCCAGTAGCATTTTCTCTTGTGCAAACTGCAGCATTTGACTATTTCTAAACAGAACCTTTATTTGCCTGGTTATTCTGTTGATTTACATTGCAGAGCTATTGACTGACTTTATCAGCCACTTCTGCCATAACAACTTTTTGGGGAAGTGTCTTGTGTCATGGAAATGCTACAACACATTCGCTACTCACCTGCAGAACTCCCAATACAAGGAGCACCTTTACATGTGCATATGAGCTTTCAAATGTGAATGGAGCATTGCCACACCAATCTCAAGTCTGCTCTTAACCAACGGCCACTTGCCTTCCTCCTTATTTACAGTCAGTCCAGAGGATGGCACCAGCCATCAGCTTTTTCGGCTTTTGCCTGTGTTGCCTTGGTAGAATTTAGCAGAGAGGAGGATGGGGATAAAATCAGAATTAGCTGGGTCCACCAGTCATGGTCCACGGTTGCCACCCAGTCTTCTGCCCCACCAGTCCCAATGGACACCATCCGCCACTGGGACAGGACTACCATTTATATCTCTATGCACACAGGAAAGAGAAGACAGTGACCTGGGGAAAAAATGGAAGTGTGGAAATACTGGAAATCATTTGGAGAGGGAGGAGAAAGTATTTGAACCAGACAGAATGACAACTGCTTTGGGGCTATGATTCTAGGTAATAAAAAGCTCATACTTAAGTTGCAAACTAATGTGTTTAATTGTCCTCGCAAGCAATTAACATGAAGACTTCTTCAGGAAACGGGAACTTTTAGTTTGAATTGCTATTTTTTATTGGCAATTTCGAAGGAGCCATCATCTAAACAAACCACTAAAACTCACACAAGTAAGTTCACACGGATCTGTTAGCTGCAACGCAGATGTCTCACACTTTGGTCTTTCCTGCATGTAGCTAGGGGTTGCGTACACTTAGCAGGTTTGAACACAAGCATGAATGAGTCATGCTAATACACCCTCAGGAGTTCTAGAAATGTATTTGCGTGGACAGTACAACACCCATTATCGAATTCTGCCACGAAGTCTTCGGCTACCACAAAACATTTATCATACTAATATATCTCATAGCTCTGCCCTACTGATGTTAAGATCGGATCACATCTTTGTTTAATTTAAGAACATAAATCCACCTTCCAAGTGTCCAGACTCCAGATCACAAGCTTCCTGTACCAAGAGCCAATTCACATGGTTCATTCCAACCTATACACCCATGTTAATAGTGGCTTTGGAAGAAAAAGCTACGCCTGATGTCATGCATTAAGTATGATGCGAACCTTTATTCTGACAAAAGAACAGGTGTAAAACTGAGGTCAGCATTCCAATATTGAGAGGTCTTTCTACCTGGAGTTTTCCTGAAGCTTCTAAATGTGGTTATGAACCTAAGTCCTCAGAGAGTGGACTAAAAATGGCAAAGCTGAAATAGCTCCAAGTCTTTTATTGTTATCAGTTGAACAAAACAGGTGCAGAAGCAGCCTTCATCTCCATCTTTTGCTATCCAAATACGTTGGACTAAAACTCCCATAACCCTTGGCCATTGGCAGTGCGGGTCGGGAAGGATGCAAGTTTCTGTCACTAAATATTCCTAACACAAACCCAGCAGTAGTAAATTTAGCATATTATGATTTATGTACAAGAGCATGAAAGGTAAAGGTAAAGGGACCCCTGACTACTAAGTCCAGTCGTGGCCGACTCCGGGGTTGTGGCGCTCATCTTGCTTTACTGGCCGAGGGAGCCGGCGTACAGCTTCCGGGTCGTGTGGCCAGCATGACTAAGCCGCTTCTGGCGAACCAGAGCAGCGCATGGAAACGCTGTTTACCTTTCCGCCGGAGTGGTACCTATTTATCTACTTGCACTTTGATGTGTTTTCGAACTGCTAGGTTGGCAGGAGCAGGGACCGAGCAACGGGAGCTCACCCCGTTACAGGGATTCGAACCGCCGACCTTCTGAACGGCAAGTCCTAGGCTCTGTGGTTTAACCCACAGAGCCACCCGCATCCCTACAAGAGCATTAGGAGGTCAATAAAAAAATGCTTTCTGAAAGGGGTGTCTGATGTTCCTGGAGAGGAAAATCCAAGAGCTGTAGAACCACTATTGAAAAGGCGCTTTCTCCTAGTTACTGCACCAACCAACCAGATATCCGCTAAAGATGGCCCAAAGAGTAGGCTTTTTGTTGCCATTTGAAAGGTTCAGACAAGTTCATTAGGATGAAGGCTGCCCTTCAAATAATTCTGACTTCAAGGGCTTCAAAAGTTAGTATCGGCACTTTAAAAATGAGCCCAAAAACTAATTGGCATGAAATACAATTTACAGAAGTTAGCTTTGGTTGGAGAATTCTCTCTCAACACCTTAACCTGCTGTATTTTGTTGTGTGTATTTTATCCTTTCCCCCCAATACATGTGGAATGCTTCCAGTTCAAAGAAAATTGCAGGATAAAAGCAATGAAAGCTAAAATTTAAAATCCCACTAACTTCTTGCAAACACGTCAAACAGCCACACTTGAGCTCTGCCTGGAATCTTTTGAATGAGCATGTGAATCAAAATCCATTACGGTTCTTGAAAGGTTCAATAAACATATTGGTTAACTGTGTGCATGTGTTCTCAAACGATATGTCACACAAGACATGTGTTCACAAAGGAATGTGTCATATAATGGCATTTACAGAGATGTGAAACTGCTACATAGGTATAAGTATTTGGAAAGCTTGCAATGTCCCTCAAGGCATGTCATACTGCCAGAGAAAATTAGGTTGAGAAGTTGGGTAGGGAAGGGGGGCGGCTTCTTGAATACATAAAAAGGTTAATGTAAAAGGAGGATTTTAAGGTCTATACCATATCAAATGACACTCTCCAAATCCATAGCTTTAACAGCATTTTAAACCAACTACTGTAGTTTTCTACACATATGGTTGTCTAAAGAATGTGCAGCCTGGTTCTCAAATGCCTTGGTACTCAAACAACTTGGAACCCAAACACTGCAAACCTGGAAGTAAGTGTTCCGGTTTGCAAACTTTTTTTGGAAGCCGACCGTGCTCCATTTTGAGTGTTACACGGAGGTCTGTCTGTTTTGTTATTTATTTTGTGTTTTTGTGGCCCTTTTTGTTTTTGTGACTGTGTGGAACCCAGTCCAGCTACTGATCGATTGTGTGACTGCAGTACATTGTTTTTTGCTTTCATTTTATGGATCAATGGTCTCGTTAGATAGTAAAATTCATGTCAAATTGCTGTTTTAGGGGTTGTTTTTAAAAGTCTGGAAAGGATTAATCCATTTTGCATTACGTTCTATGGGAAAGCGCCCCTTGGTTTTGGAACGCACTTCCGGAACAGATTAAGTTTGAGAACCAAGGTACCACTGTACCTGGAATATAAAGAAAGATACGGAATTGGCAAATGGAAATGGTTCTCAGACTTAATCTGTTCCGGAAGTCCCAAAAGGACAAAAGAAGCACAAAAGGAACAGGTTATTTGGATTTATATTGGAGATCCCATAGCTGTAGTTTTTTAAAAAAGAAAAACGTGATAATGCTTTTAACTTAAAGTAGCCCCTCTGATTTCAAGAAGAAATACTCAGCGCAGATCTACATCAGACATTTAAAGCACATGTTCAAAGCACAAGACCTTCCACAAAGGATCCTGGCAAATACAGTTTCATCCCGCAGAGGCACAGTGTTCCCAGGACTTTTTACATACTAGTTTGCAGGATTCTTTTGAGGCAAGCCGTGTGCTTTGAATGCATTATGGATGTGCTCTGCTCCCCAGCCCACCCCAAACTCTGCAGCGCTCCAAAGTGCTTAAGATTGGGTAGTTTGTACCAGACTTATTTTATGAAGCTTATGCAAAAGCATTTCTTTGGTTGTTACCTCCAAAAATGTTCAATAAACTGTACATTTGCTTGAAATGAGGGTCATTTTTATTTCTCCCAATTCTATCTTGAGAACAAGCTTATTATAGGTCGGGCTGCTTCTCATACGTATTGCCAAAACTTTAAGCAGCAATTCCATCTAAAAGCACCGTCTCTCTAGATATACTTCCTGCAGCTGAAATTACATACAGGTTAAATTTAAAAATGACAGTGATTTCATGGGACACACACACGTGTGTGTCTCTATTTTATCTGACTCATCTATCCTTTGCTTCTGCTATGAACTTAGAAATAGTGTTAATGTTTCTTGTAACTAACTATTCAGAGAACTGGTGCTATCCTTTTACAGAACATATGTGACTGCATGTGCCCTCATAGCTTGTGCACATACAACAAAGCAAATGTTTTCATATACATTGGCAAATCTGGATTGAATTTAAGGCGTTCCAACTCTTAAAATTTTAATTGCCAGCATGCAGGAAGTATTTTAAGAGGAAGAGGGCCTCTCTGGACTAAGACCACCTCTACAGAAGCTTTTCATGCTCACCACATTAAAAACAAACAAACTGCAGAATCTGTACAATGATGTTCCATAAGTATCTCCAATTGTTCCAAGGGAAACAAGTATGGTTTACTACTCTCCTTACAGAGCAAGTGTTAAAGGTTGTTTTTGACATGACCATGAAGCAAGGAGATAGGAAACATGCGGCTCTTCTGCTTCTTGTTCCCCTGCATCTCTATAAAAAAATATATTCCTTTCTCCACTAAGTCATCACCATCCAATATCCTGCACTGCTTATAGCAGAGGAGGGGAGCATGCGTTCCTCCAAAATGCTGCTAGACTCCAACTCCCATCATCCTTAGCTATAATGGCTTGGGCTGATGGGAGTTAGAGTCCAACAGCAGCTGGAGGGATATCTCCAATATAAACCATTAAAAATGTGCTTAAATTTTTCCTCTCAAGATATTTCAGGTCAAATACTTGTAGCATATTGGAACAAAATATCAACACTGTGTACAGTGGTACCTCGGGTTACATACGCTTCAGGTTACATACGCTTCAGGTTACACACTCCGCTAACACAGAAATAGTGCTTCAGGTTAAGAACTTTGCTTCAGCATGAGAACAGAAATCGTGCTCCGGCAGTGCAGTGGCAGCAGCAGGCCCCATTAGCTAAAGTGGTGCTTCAGGTTAAGAACAGTTTCAGGTTAAGAACGGACCTCCGGAATGAATTAAGTACTTAACCTGAGGTACCACTGTACATTTTTAACACTCTTTGGGTAACGTAACTTTTGGGTCGTGAACATGGCAGAAGTGCTCTATCACGCCATGCGCTTGCACAGAAGCGGTGCCTCTTCTTACGACATTTTCAGGGTGCAAACGGATCCCTGGAATGAATTAAATTCGTATCCAGAGGGTCCACTGTACTAAGAGTTGGCTCGCTCCCCAGGGCATTAGAAAAATTTCCAATCAAAGTGCAAATTTCCCAGTGAAAATAACTGTACACAAATTTGCCTAATTTGCATAGGTGTTTTTTTTAAACCCAGCTTTTGCAGGAAGGAAAGCACCCTGTTTTAATAAACAAATTCAGTGGTTGAATTTCGCCTTGTTTGCGCCATTTTTTTTTCCTATGCTAAGGGCTGCTTTATAGCAGAAAGAAGACTCAAGAGAATCTAAACCAGTGGATAGCGAACTTTTTCAGCAGGGGGCTGGTCCACTGCCCCTCAGACCTAGTGGGGGGCCGGACTATATTTGGGGGGTGGGAGTGGGGAATGAACGAATTCCTATGCCCCACAAATAACCCAGAGATGCATTTTAAATAAAAGGACACATTCTACTCATGTAAAAACACACTGATTCCTTGACCGTCTGCGATTAGGCCAAATCCAGACCCTGGGCCTTAGTTTGCCTACCCATGATCTAAACTCACCCACTGAATTTCAAGCAGACCTTACTTCTAAACAACTGGCATTCAGCATGAGATCTGAGGCTATGCATATGGTGGTAATCCGTCTGCAAGTAGAGGAATCCTATGTAAGGTCTCTGGGACATATAAGAAATTATATTCCAAGAACATTGGCTTTGCAATGAGAATGCCTTCGAGTAGGATGAAATTTAAAGGTTTAGGAAACATTTTCCTATATCCATTTAAGCAAAATGAAGGAGCCACCAAAGAAGGGAATAAGTAGGGGGAGGGTGGGCAGGGGGGACTTACAGTAAGTGCTGGGGAACTATGAAAGGCAACAAAAGTCAAAAAACAGACACACACTTTTATTATGTTATTCAGTTTTGGCAAAGGATGCATCAGTGAGCTTTTACATCTGGAAAAGTAATGATTCAAGTAATTTAATTATGCCCCCACCAATGCAAGCCTTACAGCTGTCAACAATTTAACTATACAGTAACCAAAATTAAAAATAAAAGAATACAGAGGGAGAGAACTCACTTCAATTAGATGCAAGTTTTAGTTCCATTTGTTTGCAATAAACATTCCCTTGTTCACACATGGAAGTCGCTAAATTTCAAAGTATTAATTGACTGTTGTTTAACTCGGTATTTGTTGTTGTTGTCATTTAGTCGTGTCCGACTCTTCGTGACCCCATGGACCAGAGCACGCCAGGCACTCCTGTCTTCCACTGCCTCCCACAGTTTAGTCAAACTCATGCTGGTAGCTTCGAGAACACTATCCAACCATCTTGTCCTCTGTCGTCCCCTTTTCCTTGTGCCCTCAATATTTCCCAACATCAGGGTCTTTTCCAGGAAGTCTTCTCTTCTCATGAGGTGGCCAAAGTATTGGAGCCTCAGCTTCACAATCTGTCCTTCCAGTGAGCACTCAGGGCTGATTTCCTTCAGAATGGATAGGTTTGATCTTCTTGCAGTCCATGGGACTCTCAAGAGTCTCCTCCAGCACCATAATTCAAAAGCATCAATTCTTCGGCAATCAGCCTTCTTTATGGTCCAGCTCTCACTTCCATACATCACTACTGGGAAAACCATAGCTTTTACTATACGGACCTTTGTTGGCAAGGTGATGTCTCTACTTTTTAAGATGCTGTCTAGGTTTGTCATTGCTTTTCTCCCAAGAAGCAGGTGTCTTTTAATTTTGTGACTGCTGTCACCATCTGCAGTGATCATGGAACCCAAGAAAGTAAAATCTCTCACTGCCTCCATTTCTTCCCCTTCTATTTGCCAGGAGGTGATGGGCCCAGTGGCCATGATCTTCGTTTTTTGTTGTTGAGCTTCAGACCATATTTTGTGCTCTCCTCTTTCACCCTCATTAAAAAGTTCTTTAATTCCTCCTCACTTTCTGCCGTCATAAACATTTAGGATCAAGCTAAATCAATTACTGATTTCAGGACAGAACAGGAGATGAATGCTAGGACAACCCAAGGTCAGTATGTGAACCTTTGAGAAGAACAATGACATCTTATTTAATAAAAGAGGCAGATATGATGGGAAGGGGGATGGAATCTAGAACAGGTAGGCAGAGGAAGATGACATTCCAGGACTCTGCCCACAGCCATATTGTGCTGACTTCAAATTCCAGAAATGAAGGCACCGTTAAAACCAAGTTAAGCAGATTGAGCTGGTTTCCCTCATAGCTGGGTTCGGAAATACCCTTGGGCAGTGGCAGATGAAGTCATAGGCAATAATTTCCATCTGTATGTTACCAAGACACACCCTCCTGCCATGCATTCTGCTATAAACAGAAAATTGTTTTAATTTGGAGAAAAGCAAAAGGGGGGGCACTGAAAGTATTATCCTCTTTATTAGCTCATTACCTTCTTTTACTGAGAAAAACTGTGTTAAATAAGAAACGCTCCACGTTTGGAGCAAGAGGGAAGATAGCGGCAAGACTGTGCAGTAGGCACAGCTACCATGAACCAAGTTCAGCTCTCAAGGAGGAATCAGCTACAGGATGGGTGGGTCACGATTTGATGCCAACATGGCACGAGCTCCAAGTCTTGTGCGGTACACGCAATGTTGTTCTCTTCGTAAAAATGTGCTTGGGAGGCCAGCTCTACTTGAGAAGCTCACTCACCCTTGTTGGTTCAGTAGGTGGTAAGCAGCACAAAACAGAGCTGTGAAACCCTGGGCAGCCATTCATCTTGCAGGTAGCCATGGGAGTGTCTGAACCCATTCTTCTGGGCTCCCAGAAATCTTTCTGGGAAGGCATATGCCCACAGCTGAAAGACTGAATGCTATCTGTATAGGTGCTGATGCAATCATAAAGAAATAACAAACAAACAAATACAGTGGTACCTCGGGTTAAGTACTTAATTCGTTCCAGAGGTCCGTTCTTAACGTGAAACTGTTCTTAACCTAAAGCACCACTTTAGCTAATGGGGCCTCCCGCTGCCGCCACGCAGCTGGAGCATGATTTCTGTTCTCATCCTGAAGCAAAGTTCTTAACCTGAGGTACTATTTCTGGGTTAGCGGAGTCTGTAACCTGAAGCATATGTAACCGGAAGCATATGTAACCCGAGGTACCACTGTACCAACAATACCAACAACATATTGTTTATACCCCACCCATCTGGCTGGGTTTCCCCAGCCACCCTGGGTGACTTCCAACAAAATATTAAAAATACAATAAAACATCAAACATTAAAAACTTCCCTAAACAGGGCTGCCTTCAGATGCCTTCTAAAAGTCAGATAGTTGTTTATTTCCTTGACATCTGATGGGATGGCATTCCAGAGGGCAGGCGCGTCTGTTTTGCAAGGATGTCCTACAGTTTCTGTTTGTAGAGTTGCTTGTTGTATTATGGATCTATTAAAGTTTTTAATAAAATCATTTCACACAGACAACCCACTTTGTCCAACTGGAGACTATATGCAGCAAGCGTTATTGCTGTCAACATATTTGGCACCAAGGAACGTGGGCTGAAATGCACCCTGTGCAATATATTTTGTTTTATCAAAAACTTTTAAGGAATCTGCTTTTGATTATTTCTTCACTGCATTTTCACATCCCTCACCTTTAAAACTATGCCATAATATTATTAGCACTGGACATGGGAGAACAAGGGCTTTGATTATTATCCGATCTGAAACTGCTTCCCTAAGGTACAAGAACCCTGAATTGAGCTTTTTAATTTTTAGAGTTTTCTTCCTAGTTCAAGTAGATAGGGAGAAAAAACACACATACCAGGAGCCATCATTATTGCTTCATGTTTTAAGAGTGCCATCTAGCGACTCCCTTTCCTCCCTTCCTTAAGGAAAACTTTGATAAAATTATACATGCGTTTTCTTCAGCCTCAAAAGCACCCCTTGACTTTATTTTTCTAAACCAAACAGTAACAGCCCTTTGCCAAAGATCTCACCAGTAGCCTTAGTCGCAGTGGCAGTTAAGTAGCATAACTACTGGATAGTTGTGCAACCACGAGGACGGTAAAAAGAAACCCAACACACTTGTAACCGCTAATCTACAAAGCTTAAAATTAATTATCCCCTGCAATTAAGCAAAGCTCTCAAAGCAAAGAACATCATAGCCAGCTCTCACTATGACCTCATCTCAAGTGTTAAAATGGGGGAGGGAATTAAACTTGATCATCCAAGATTCGCAAAATTCCAAAACAGTCATTAGATGAGGCCTACACTCTCAGAAGAAAACTTATTTCTGGACCAAACCTTCAACCCCAATCCAGTGCTGCAGCGCACATGTGAGTGCATATGTATATTTGTTAAAAAAAAAAAAGAAGATTGCCCCAGCATGGATCCAAATGTATTCTTGGAAGCTTGTAAGGAGCCTTCTTTAACCAGGTGTCCTCCAGATATTTGAGACAACTTCCATCAGATCCAGCTAGCATAGCCTGTGGTCGGGGGTGATAGCAGATGTGAATCACAACATCTGGAGGGCCACAGTTTAGCCACACAAATGTGTCTCTGAGAAAGAAGCCCAAGTGCAGTGACTTGCAGAAATCATGGCATACAGATACTATGACACTCCCAGCCCTGAAGCCCTTCCATTATCAGTGTTTAGCTTGGGTGGGGGTGGGGAAACTGCTCTAGACAATTAACATTTGGGAAGGGCTCCTCTGAGTCAAGCCAACCAGATTTTTTGAGTCAATTCTTCAGATGTTTTGTTTGTTTAAATAAAAAGAAGTATTGTAACCAACTGTTCAAACGGCTCCAGTTCTTTGCTGTTCTGATTTTGAAAAACTTAACCTTAGTTTCAACGGCAACCATAATACTTTTTTGGGGTGTGTGCGTGCCAATTTGTATGTTTGCCTAACAAAGGAGGCTGACTTATACAGAGTCACCAATGGGTCCAGCCAGTTTGGTCCACACCAGTGTTTCCCAGCCTTGAGTCTCCAGCTGCTTTTGGACTACAACTCCTATCATCCCTGGCTAGCAGGACCAGTGCTCAGGGATCATGGGAATCGTAGTCCAAAAGCAACTGGAACCACTGGCAGCAGGCCCAGAACATTTCAAACATCAGTCTGTGACAGGCCTATCTGGAGATGCCAGCGATTGGACCTAGGCCCTTCAGCATGCAAAGTAGATGCTCTACCAATGAGCTATGCTTACTTTTAAAACAGATTCTCATCCACACATGAGCAATGCCAAATCACCAGCAAAACTGGCCCTGGCCCAATCACAAAGTGAGTGTCTTCCATCTGTTTTCTTGCTACATCTGGCTTTTCCCCATTACTGATCTCGATTGGGTTTTCACACTGACGATTAAATGTGGTTTTTAAACATAAAAACACTTCCCACAGATCATTCCATTTGTAAGGTTTCTTGGTTCAAGCTTGCTTGCTTTGGGGCAACCATCACTTTTGTGTTGGCTGGAAATTAAAATTGGATTCAGCGTTGTTATTATGCTTTTTCCTACAGTACTCTGATGCCACAGAGACAACAGGTCGCTAATTAATTTGTTAAGATCTGCATGCTTGCAAAAGGCATCAGTTTCATGTCAGGTAAAATGAATGTGGGAATGTACGGTAATCATCTTATTGGCAGGCTGTTCCCCTTTCAAGTTATTTACTTACACATCCTGTCCAAGAAGCAAAAGATCAAAGTAGTAGGCCACCTTTTTTACATTATGTGAATTTTTTTAAAAGGTCACCCCTGCGCAACAAGCCAGTTTTCTTTGTCAACAGGCATTTTTTTTCATATAAGCATCTCAAACAGATTTCTGCTAGCTACAGTTAAGAGCTTTAGCATGTTCTTATGCTCACTGGGTTATTCTCCCGACCCCCACTTCCCTCTGCACCGAACAACATCACTCTGTGTTTCCACTTCTATACATCCAGTTTGCCTAACAGATGCAATTTCTGCATAAATGCTCAGCATCAATGGCTACATTTTTGACTCGCAGCTGTCCATGGAGGTGCCGGCTGTGTAGCAGCTCCATCTGGTATGCAAGCTGAGACCCTACCTGCCCACGGACTGTCTCGCCAGAGTGGTGCATGCTCTGGTTATCTCCCACTTGGACTACTGCAATGTGCTCTACATGGGGCTACCTTTGAAGGTAACTCGGAAACTACAACTAACCCAGAATGCAGCAGCTAGACTGGTGACTGGGAGTGGCCAAGACCATGTAACACTAGTCCTAAAGGATATTCACTGGCTCCTAATACGTTTCTGAGCACAATTCAAAGTGTTGGTGCTGACCTTTAAAGCCCTGAACGGCCTCGGCCCAGTATACCTGAAGAAGCGTCCGTACCCTCATCGTTCAGTCTGGACACTGAGGTCCAGCTCTGAGGGCCTTCTGGCAGTTCCCTCACTGTGAGAAGCGAAGTTACAGGGAACCAGGCAGAGGGCCTTCTCGGTAGTGGCACCCGCCCTATGGAACGCCCTCCCATCAGATGTCAAGGAAATGAACAACTATCTGACTTTTAGAAGACATATTTTTAGAAGACATCTGAAGGCAGCCCCGTATTGGGAAATTTCTAATGTAAGCCACCCAGAGTGGATGGGAAAGCCCAGCCAGATGGGCAGGGTATAAATAATAAAATAATAAAAATAAAAATAATACATTAGAGCATAGGGCAAATATATTTCCAGGAAATATCAGCTTTAAAAATGTTTAGAGTAAAGCCCCCTTCAGGAGCACAGAGGTGGTTATTTGGCACCCAGGACACCCAAAACCCCATCCGTAGCATTATTATTAAAACAGTGCTGCATATTCAACAGTAGTTCTTAACTCATAAGTGCATAAGGAGATCCCTGCTAGACCAGGTCAAAGGCCTATCTAACTCAGCATCTTGTTCTCACAATGGACAACTAAATGCCTCTAGCAAGTCCCACAAAAAGGAACCAAAGGCAACACCATTCTCTCCACTTGCGATTCACAGCAACTGGTATCCAGAGACAATCTGCCACCCCAACAGTAGGAGAACCTAGTTCTATCCTCCAAAACATTTCAATCTTCTTAAATGTCAAAGATAACCAGAAACACAATTTCACAGGGTTCCAATGCCACGAAGAAAGCAAAACAAATGTGGAAGGGTGAAAGATTTAGGCAGAAGTTGTTACATCATTAGAGAGCGCATATATATATTAACTCCCAACAGTTTCCTTTGTTGCAAGCACAGAGCAGAGGTGTTCCATTTAAAAATTAAGATAGGACAGTTATTCCCAACCTGATGCCCTCCAGATGTTTAAGGCTACATCTGGAGAGAGACACGTTGTGGAAGGCAAAAACTGGCTATTCCTGAGATTAACAGCATAATCTTATGAATGTTTACCCAGGAGTCAGTCCTGCTAAATTCACTGGGCTTGCTCTCAAGAGTGCATATTCCGTTGCCAACACTGCTTGCTATAATGGTGTACAAAGGCACCAGGCAACAGAAACAGCTATGTATAGTGGCAAAAACACCAGGGAGAAGCAGTGTAACAGACCAAAATCACAGCGTTACACTGATTTCAGGGAGCATAGCAATTTTTAAACACAGCAAGACACTTCCTTACGTTTGTCTTTTCAAATATGTATCTGCAAACAGAGGGCAATCCAAGGTTTTAACTTTAAAAAGTTAAACTGACACTTTTATGATCTTCCTTCACAGTGCGAGCCCAAAAAATGTGGCAGGCAGCGTATGTGTGCAGAATATACTCTTCCCTTTGGAAAATGAACCCAGGGCTACTCCACAGCAAACTAGTAAGCTATTATAATAAAACAAAAGGAAATTGTAAGAGGCAAACAAAGCTTTCATGTGCCTTTAGGAGTTCGGCTCTATCAATTAGGGTTTTTCCCCCCTCAAACTAGATTCTGTCAGCATTTTTACCTTTTAAAAAAATGAGCCACATGTAGAGATTGCTGTAAGTACTTCCTCATGAATAAACATTTCCAAGGGCAGCCTAACAGTGATGGGAGAGGACAAACCAAACACCAAGGCAAGTTTATGGTGGGATTGGTGCTCTTGCAAATACATGTCATTGCTGTCATTGAAATGCCAGCCCCGTTTTTGCCATATAATCCAAATTTACCCTTTCCATAGAAATCTGATGAGTTCATACAAAAATAAACCCTACTGCCAATGACCCATTTGCAATTATGCTATTGACTGATATACAGTATTAAACTTCAGCACAAGGCAAAGTTAGTTCCCTTTTGCAAAGCTTGAAATTTCCCCTCACTAGCCTGGTTTGCATGATACAGTAAGCCAAACCTTGGCTTATCTAAAATGGGAGTAAAAAAAGACTGGGGGAAAGCAAAGTGGATCAGTTTCTCTCAGAGATGCTTCTGCGGTTCTGCTAAGCTATAGTTTATGGTGTCACATGAAGCAAGCCACTGCCTACAAACAACTTCTAGATCTATTTCTGAACCATGTGCTTTTTCTCAACACAATAAGTTTCAGAGTGTGAGAACACATTGCATTGGCAAAAACTGAGCTTTCTAGAGATCAAGCAGCAACAGGTCTAATCTCTTGGAACTGAACGAGTAAGGCTTTTATTTTTATTTTAAAAATCTACAAATAAGGGAAATAATAGTTTATAATATAGAATCAGAAAATATCAAGAAATAATTGCCTGGAATATGGTATGTAATTCAGTACTCTCTCTCTGAATACCAGTATACCTGAAGGAGCGTCTCCACCCCCATCATTCTGCCCGGACTCTGAGGTCCAGTGCAAAGGCCCTTCTGGCGGTTCCCTCACTGCAAGAAGCCAAGTTACAGGGAACCAGGCAGAGGGCCTTCTCGATAGTGGCACCCGCCCTGTGGAATGCCCTCCCACCAGATGTCAAAGAGAAAAACAACTACCAGACTTTTAGAAGACATCTGAAGGCAGCCCTGTTTAGGGAAGCTTTTAATGTTTAATAGACTATTGTATTTGAATATTTTGTTGGAAGCCACCCAGAGTGGCTGGGGAAACCCAGCCAGATGGGCAGGGTATAAATAATAAATAAATTATTTATTTAATTATTTATTTTATTATTATTATTATTATTATTATTATTATTATTATTTTGTTGAGAATCACAAGTGGAGAGGTTGCTGCTGCATTCAGATTTTGCTTGCAATCTTCCCATGGGCATCTGATTGGCCACTGTTAAGTACAGCGTAATCCAGTTTATTTCAAGTAACTGAGAGAAATCTTTCTATGTATCCTTTTTTTGTCCCAGATTCAGATTAGCCAATTGAGCGAAGTTATTTTTTGAACTGTTCAACTAAGAAAAAATTTCAGTTGGGAATCCTGTTTAGGGGTGGTTGTTTTTCAAACTCCACTAGCTAGCGGTGAAGAGCTTGCTCCTGATGAATAAGGGGACTGTTTGGGGGTGGGAAAACAAACTCAGACCTAGTGTGGATATTTCTTTACAGCATTGCTGTATAATCAGAGTCAGTGATTTGAGCACAGATGCCAATTAAGTACCTCCATATATTGCCAAGAAGTACACATGTACCAGTATCCAAGCAAGACTTGTAGCAATACTGAGGTTTTTATGTAGCTGTTCAGCAGACACTTCCCCGGGATTAACTATTCAGAGAGAGTCTGAAAAAAAGAAAAAAGAACAAGTTTTCCATTTATGGAAAAACTTGTGGCTAGAAAGGGCAGGCGGCGGACGGTATGGAGACAGCAAATTGAGACAGGTTTTCCCCCCCTGGAAGATTAATTCTTCATCACCATTAGTTGAACTTCCTTTAAAGAGCCAGGCCTACAAACAAAATGACATTTTAAAAAGTTACAAAGTAGTACTCACATACTGTTAATGTAAAATCCCCAAACTGGAGCTTGAAAGTTCATGCAAACTATGAGCCCAGAATTTTCTAGATACAGTGTAAAGAGTTAGAATTGCATACGCAGCCAAGTCAATACAGTATAGACACTGAATACATAATTATATGGATACATTTGTAGTTTCAAGAGTGTGTGATTTGTAATGTAAATACAAAAATGTAACACTTTTAGGGCTTTTTAAATTTATTTTAAGGATGCACCCAGTCTCATTGGTATAGCTCAGGGTTTCCCAAACTTGGGCTTCCTGCTGTTTTTGGACTCCAGTTCCCATCATCCCTGACCTCTGCTCCTGCTAGCGAGGGATGATGGGAGTTGTAGTCCAAAAAACAGGAGGAGACCAAAGACTGGGGAAACCCTGGTATAGCTGAACTATGAGAAACCCATCTCGTGGAGCTTATCTAGTAACCCGATGATGTGCAATGGTAAAGGAAAGCAGAAAATAATGAGTAAAAAAGAACATTGTTAGGCAAATAAACTGCTTTGTGTTGGCCTTGCTCCTGCATTAACTATTTTATGTGTGCATCATGGCAGTCTAATTCACATAGCCACCTCTCTCCAAGACTAAATGATCTTACTCCTTATCCATATCCCTGGATTCTACATGTCTTACTTTGAGGCCAACTACTGTATCTTGAGTGTTAGCATTCATTGTCAATTTCTTAACTGGTTTTAAGGTAAGTCACTTTCAGTGACCTCTGTAAGAAAAGCAGCTAACAAATACTGTACAATGAATAATGGTTCTTTCTTTTTTCAACAGCTTATGTCATAGCAGTTATCTGTCTTGAGTTATTCAAGGCCCAGCTTGGTAGTGACCAGTTAGCAGATTTCCACAAGTTGGAGGTCAACCATATTTCCAGTGGTGCAGGGCAGGAATGGAAACTTCTGTATACAACTCTTTGAGAGAGACAGATATTGGCACTCAAGCACTTCCTTATAAAGGCTTACAACATCTTGAGTTGGGTTGCAACATCTATGCTGTGGAAGTACAATTTGATCAAGGATCCCTTGTGTAGCTATCATTTGCAGGACTGTGGTTTAACAAAGAAAATCTTCCAAGCAAGCATAAAGAGGTAACCAAGAAGCTTCCTTCCACAAGCTTTGAGAGCCTGCACAGCTAACCATTTGTAGTCAGTGCATGCTGAAAAGTGGGGAGTTCAGCTCCCCACTATCACCGTTTACTGCAAGCACAAACTTAGCCCTCCAGATGTTTTGGGACTACAAATCCCATCATCCCTAGCTAACAGGACCAGGGGTCAGGGATGGTGGGAATTGTAGTCTCAAAACATCTGGAGGGCTGAGTTTGCCTATGCCTGGTTTACTGCAACATTATTAGCTGGGCCCAGATAAAGAAAGCATTTAAATTCAAGGGTTGGGATTTCAAAATGCCTCTGAAAAGTCCTAACTGCTCCTAGTTACATCAAGGAGCATCAGACGATAAGCACTGCTAATTCTAAAAGACTGACTCCACAATTTAGATAATCAGCTCTTACATTACTCATTACCAACTGAATCCATAAGGAGACCATAAATACAATAATGCCAAGAACAATTACAGTGCTGACAAAACCTCAGTCCCAAATGGTAACACAACATGTCAAAGGGATTCCAAATTAATGCAAGTCCACAGTGTAATAGAGTCCATTTTGTGTGTGTGTGTCTGTTAAATATATTATTACATTTTATTGTTATGGGGGGAGGAAGATTACAATGCTGGCTAAATCTAGAAAAGGTTACCTGTGCTTAGCCTCACTATTCATCAACAAGATGTGTCTTTAGCAGTATTTAGATGGCTTCAACCAAAAGCTCTGCTTTCATCTAAAGAGGGTGGAGGTGGAAAGACTGACCAAAAATGATCCAATGTTATAAACCACTGAAATGGCAGCACACCATGCATTTCAAGGGCATTACTTCCCCAAAAGAATTCTGGGAATTGTAGTTTTTACCCCCTCACAGAGCTACAATGCCTAACCTTAAAAAGGGAGAGGCTGGAAGTGTTTGGGAGAAGTCTTTCTCCTCCAGGAGTATGCCTGCCCATTTCCCCCCAGTTGTCAGTAGTGTGATCCAGGGATGTTGGCAGCAATTTCTATATTGTAGTTGTTAGAGCCAGCTTGGAGACGTGATTGTATGGGAGTGCTTTCTCAACAACCTACCACAAAGCATTAGAACAGTGTGTCAATCAATGATATGGCAACATTATTTGATCTTCAACAGTATTCGCCACCCCAATAAATCAGGAGCTCAGAACAAGCCTTTTGAAAGCACAAGGGAAGCCTATTGAGATCTGGACTTCTTAGCCGTTAAGACTTTACTCTTCCGAGCAAAGCAGCTTCTGGTTTAACCTCTTTTGTAAATAAAGAATTTATTTCCAGCATAGGCGGCCAGTTGTCTTGTTCTTTCAAGCACACTGGGCAGTGAGCAAGGACGTTTTGTTGGCTTTTAGCCCACCAAGCTGTCTAGACTTACAGAAAGAGCACAAAGGAATTTATAGGATTACATTTTACTAAAACAAACAAATGTACAATATTATATTATTCCTTTCTTCCACACGCACAAGAAACAAAGATCTAAATCACTTCAGTGATCAGCCATAAATGAAAACTATATTTATCACTTCAGAGCCTCTCTTTGTGCCTTGAACACAGGCAGAAAGATCTCACAATGAAGTTCTCCATAAGATAATCATGATAAACAAAAGGAACAGAAAGCCTTCCAAAATTCTTACGTTTTATTACACAATCCACACATTTCAGGAAACATCTGCGAAAACACAAGACAGGGTTTCATGCCAAACTTAATTCCATTTAGAAATGAGTATGTATATTATAAGTCGACACAGACACATTAATTATTTCTTCGAGGGCATGTAATATAAGCAAGAGGAGGACCCATTTGGATGTGTGTGGGCTACTTTGGTTGTTTTTTTAAAAAACAATTGTTTCCCTGTGGTCCACCAAGTGTTTCAAATTTTACAAAGCAAGAGATCCCAAGTATCTACTCTTAACAGGCAAGGCATAACTAATCAGCGTTAAGGGATCCCAGGCATGCACTCTTGCTTCTGAGCATAATAAGTATCTTGCCTCTTAAGAGGCTCCACTTAATCCAACACTCCTTACAGAAATCTTAGGAACCAGCAGGTACTAACTGGGCCGACCATCAGAACATCAGTGGACCATAATCAATCTTACGAATGTCCCGATTTAAACAAAACGAAAATGTTCTAGACATGCAGGTCATCGAAACCACCAATAAGCCATACTAAGCATTTTTGGCTGAAACAAAGAGAAGCTAAGCTCTCGAACAGATGAAGGGCTGGCATTGGCTAGAGCTAACTGGATTGGCTGGATACTTCTGCTGCAGATCACAGGTGCTGAGCAAGGGCCTGTCTCTCGTTTCTATTCTTGGACTTCAGATATTTATCCTCCAAAGCCCATCAAAGTCTCAGAAGGCAAGAAGCTTGGCTTGTTGGAAGGATTGGCCGCTATTCCAGTTAGCACTGCAATCCAGCACATACTTAACTTTCCAGAAGACTCACTGAACCTATGAGGTCTGCTATCTTAGCATAACTACAGATCTGGTTAAAAAGTCCATGGCAATAGGAATAGAAGGCCAGGACAAACTCTAGAGTCTACATGCCTGCCATGCTATGTTTCCACACTTTTGTCTCTTCCTTCCATCCCTAGAGTTATACCTATTATCAACTATAGTTCTTCGGGGCACAGGTAATTAAATAGAATATAAAAGATACATCAAAACTAACAGAGTTAAAATTACAATTCAGTACTACAAGACAATAATTAAACTTTCATTCTGAAAAGGTTCTGCTAAATTAAAAAGTCTTAATTATGCATCTAAATGAGCTGTGTTGCCCCTCTTTTCCAGTAGTTATGAACTCCACATTGAAGAGGCCACTGAAAGTACTACTGGTGGAATCAAGGTGAATTGTCTAGGTGCAGAGGCTGTTAGCAGGTGGAACAGGAGCCATAACAGTTTCTCAATTGAGATGTAATGCCAAACCATGGTTTGCAAACACATCTCAACTTACAGTACCCAGTTCTGCTTTGTTGATAGATCACAACCATGGTCTGCTGTAAATCAGACTTCACATCAAGCTTCCTTAACCATGGCTTGGATTGCTGCCTAAATTCAGTATGAGAATGACACTGCAGTTTTGCAGCAGTCAATGAATACCTTCCAGAACTTTTATTTACACACAAACCTCACTTATCTCATATGGGTATATCCCAGTCTCTTGTTTAGGAAAAAAAAGCATCAAATACTTTAGACTAATATAACTTTTAAGTCCTATCCTCTGCTTGAAAAATCACTTTTACAGCAGGTGTTTAAAGACATGGGTTTCCCTCTATTACCGGTAGATCTGTCCTTAGTTTCAACAAGTCTTACAGCAAATGGGCATCGTGGGGCCATTTTCTGTAAGATTTAAAAAGCAATGGGTGATATCTAACACTATGTCAGATTCATTAATGGACCCACAGAAAGCAATGGGCTTTAAGTTGGATGTTGCCCATTGGAGCTATTGGGAAAGTTGCTTACCAAAAAAAGAAGGAAGTAACAGGAAACCAAGAATCCTATTTAAATTAAATACAATCACAATTGCATTCTCTGAAGGTTGTTAGAGAAGCTATCTTTTTTTAAATACACAGCTGCTTCAGGCTGCCAATATTGTGCATAATTGGCAGTAGTTCAAAACAAGAGTTGTTACTGAAGGCAAAGACCACAACTGTAAAGTGAGAGATCTGCAGCTCATGTTCTTTCTTTCTTTTTCTTTTTTTAAGGCACAGCTGAATGCAATATAAGCATGCTAATGTCTTCATAGATTTGCTTGCATTCCTGGGCATATCCCAGACATTCTGGCTTACAGACCAAGAGAAGGGCAGTAAAGTGAGGTAGAACAGAGCAGAGCAGCTCAAAAAGCTTCCATACCTTTGATGGCAAGATTTAATGCATGTATTTCAAGCAGACATAGCCAACTGACAGGTAATGGACTTCATCTTGCCTCTGGCCTGACCTGCATTAAGTTAGAAGCCTGCACCAGAAGACATTCCATCTAACATCAGAAGAAAGATCATTCCAGAAGCTTCTGAAAGTCTTCAAATTAGGTGTTGGGAGAGTCATTACCAGCTTAGAAGAAAAGCACAGGTATTTCATGTGTGGGGTTTTTTTGTCTGGGCAGGGAATACAGTTGTACCTTAGATCCCAAACGCCTTGGCACTTGGACATTTTGGCTCCCGAATATCAAAAACCCAGGAGTGAGTGTTCCGGTTTGCGAACGTTCTTTGGAACTCGAATGTCTAACGGGGCTTCCCATTGGCCGCAGGAACTGCCTGCAGCCAATCAGAAGCTATGCCTTGGTTTCTGAACGTTTGGAAGTTGAACGGACTTCCAGAACAGATTCCGTTCAATTTCCAAGGTATGACTGTAATCTGCAAGTGCCATCCCAGAATAAGAAGTGGCAAGGAAACCTGTGGGGCATCTCCTTTTATTTTGACAAAGTAACCTGCCAATAGCTGCATTGTCAACTGTTCACAGTGCTTTATATGGATTATCCAATTTACAACAACCCTGCAAAGTAAGTAAAAATAGTATTATTTCTATACTGCCAATACGAGACTGAGGGTACCTTGTCAAAGGCCATCTAGTGAGTATATGGCAGAGGCAAAATCCAAACCAGGGATTTCCTTATTTGCAGCTAAGTCTCTTAACCACTACAGCACATAAACTCTTCACTGCTGCTTGCAGTGTCAGCATGGAGAGGGGCTTCTGGGTAGATAACTCCAGCCTCTAAACAGCTTGGTCAGCAAAAGAGAAGTGTTCTAAGAAAATAATTTTTAAGAACCAGCAAAGTTTGTTGGGAAATATCCTGCAGGTTAACTTTATGGTATTATCGTGCCTTTGGTCATCAGTAATTCAAATTATGGCCACAATCCAACAGTTAGTTGCACTTGAGCCAGACATTTAAATGTGTTCAAGTACATTTAAGTCTGTGAGGACTTGTAGTCAATGTTGCGTCTCCCCAAAAAAGCGAGAAGGGGGAAAGTGGGAAGAGAAAGTGGTAAATGACAGCACCTTTGTAGCATTTTATTATTATTATTATTAAAGACAGCTTTAAGTGTTTGAATGGGCTGATGCATCTTAATTACTGTGCATATTGTGGGAAATCTGTCTGCAGATAAAAAAAAGCTGTAATGAATACACACTGCATGGTCATACCATGTTCCTGGAGTCTTCCTAAGATAATTAATTCAGTTAGAACAAAGTCTAAACATGAATATAATAGAAAAACAAAGTTAAGAGTTATTACAGGGCCCTTGAGAAATTTATCTCAAGAACTGGAAATACCCTTTGACAATGGACCAAGAATGAAGGAAACCGCATCTGGAAAGACTGTCATTTTGGCAAGGAGGAAAATGATCTGATTAGTCTGAGTACTGCTGCCAGAAATGTCATGACATCAGTGTGCTATAAGTTGTAAAACATGTTGCTTCTCACCATTCTTCAGCTTGATGAAGAAAAGAAACTCCCTCCCTCCAGTTCCTGTTATGGCAAACCCATACGCAAGTGGGGGAAGGTAACTCACCTGTATACCTAGAAGACTGATGCCCCAAACAGGTAACTTCAGGTTACCTTTTCCATTAAACCGAACAATTAAAGCTGGCCGAGTTAACAAACTTGGCCTTACATAAAAGCCTTACACAAATTGTTTCACATGGTTAAATTCTGTTCAGATTTAGAGAACACATATCCAACAGCTATCCCACAATATTTGCTACTGAAAGTTTGTTTGGAAACAATGACAAATTATACATGAACGAGCCTCTAGGGTCCATCGTCAAAGCAACTGCTAACATTAGCCTTATTGTTCAAAACTTAATCTTAAAATGATGCCACAAGTACATCTCATAACACTAGTGCCTTAATAGTGTTGTAGTGTCACAGAACATCTGTGAATATTCCAACTTCTGAGAAGGAAGAGGTAATAATCACTGTGAGGGGAATGATAAGTCGGTCTGGCTAAGATAAAAAGTAAACAAAGACGGTAGATAGCAAAGACAATAAAAGGTGAGAAAAGGGCAAGCACACACACATATACCCTGATATGTTATCTAGAAATTGGAATGGCTGTATGTCACTAGCGTTAAGGGGCCCTGAAAATGTGATGTGAAGCAACTAGCCAAGTATTTGGTTGCATTCAGACAAGCACAGTTCTGCTTATTAAACTGAGACATGGACAAGCCTTTCCACTACACATGTGTTTAAACCAGGAAACCTCTGACCATAGCTATGGTCAACTGCTTCAGAGTAACACTGAAATCTAAACCACAGTCTACAGCTGGTTTAGGAATCTGGATGGTTCCAAACCTGGTAGGCAAAGTTACTTGGTTCAGACAAAATGGAGAGCAGGCAAAAGGCTCATTCATATCAAGGCACAATAAGACCAAAAATTAATAATAATCACAAGCTACAGTTTAGTTTTAGGATTACAATCATTTTGGTCAAATGGTGAGACTAGATATGCTCACCAAAACACAGAACATTCCTTATACCAAGTCAGACCACTGGTTCTTCTAGCTCAGTATTGCCTACAATGAATGGTAGCAGCTCTCTGGGTAGGCTTGGGAAATCTTTGGCCCTCTAGATCTTGCTAAACTACAACTCCCATCATACCTAGCCATTGGCTATGCTTACTAGGGCTGATGGGAGCTGTAGTTCAGTAACTTATGGAGGGCTAAAGGTCCCCCACTTCTCTAAGATTGCAGACAACCTAACCAGAAAAAGCTATATACTGCCTTTTGCATCCAAAGTTTACCTCCTTTTCCCTTGCCACAGCCATTAGTCAGGTACAAATTGTTATGTTTGTTCACAGGCATAATGTGAAATAGCAAACCCAACTTCTGGCTGGGGAGCAGCATGGTCGAATGAACTAGAGAGGCCACCACTACACCCAAAGCTCTGTTGCTCACACTGGTCAAGGCAGAGGATAGTAGGTATTCCCCTCCATTTTGGAGTGGCTATGCCAGAACTGGGCCCATCACCAGTAGCTAGACTGACTTAGGATTCAGGAGATCCTTGGCTGGTTCAGCTCTACCTCTTCCCCAAGAACACCTCATTTCAGGGGTTTGAGCTGGCATTAGTTCTGCCTGCCCATACTTTCAGTGGGCACAGTGGGGCTTTTCGCTGTGGCAGAGGCCCTCAAGCAGCAGGGATGTCTCCACAACATCCAAAGCCCCTCCAGGATGTCAGGTTGGGGTTTGAATTTCTCTGTTGCTGACTCCCATACCACTATTGGAAAATGTCGACCCTACTGCAGAGGGTGGCAGGTCTACGTGTGGCATAGGCCTTTGAGTCACTTTCAGTACCTTAGTTTTCTACTGAAGGCAGAGTATGTGTTAGCCCAATTCCTTTTTTTTTTATTTTTCATGTGAAGCTGCTGATGCAAATGAAGTCATTCCTACTGCATATGGCAGGGGTAGCAAACATGGTGCCCTACAGATGTTGCGGGATGACAACTTCCATCACCCTTTGCCATTGGCCATGCAGGTTGCGGCTGATGGGAGTTGGAATCCCACAACACATGAAAGACGCCCTGTTGGTTACCCATGACATTTGGTGACTGTTGCTCAGTCAAGCACATGTGTACAGCAATGAGCTGAGGTTCATGCACAATTACCACAAGGCCCTCTTTCCCCCAGAGTTAAAACTCCCCAGAGTCCCCATGCCAGTTATGAGCAAATAAGAGATTCCAATGTACTTAAGATACACTAAACCCATGGATTTTCTCAGACGATAGGGGGAGACAGACCAAACAGTTAACAACCAAGGGAGAAGCATTTGTTTCGCCAAAGTACGCCTCAGTTATCCAACCAGCAAGAAACAAAATATTTCAACATCTCTGACAAGTATAATGTTCTCGATTAAACATTTTATTATCAATACTCTCTAATAACATTTTCTACTCACGTGGATGTAACAATTCTACATCCTATTTTTCCATAGTGGCAAACTTTGTCATTTAAACAAGAAAATTCTGGGATTACTTTCATTTCTGTGCAAAATCTTCACATACTGCATGATTTTAAAATCTCATCTTCACCTAATTCTCAGTTTACCACTGAATTAAAGCATTTTGGGGTTCCATTTAGCTTTTCTTTTTTAAAGTCCTAAATAGAAACAGTGTGGATTAAAGAAAAAAAACCTTTAAAATACAATTACCTTTTCAGTTATACTACAGGATATTAGGGAAATCCAGACTCCCCTGTTGCTTTTAGCCACATCTGACTTCAATCTTAATAGCTCAGCTATTAACCCTGTAAGGTTTCCTCCACCACCCAGCTGATGTTAAAGTTTGCCTAGGTAACTAAGGCTGACCCAACTACAATATCTGTGAATACAAAGAGAAAATAGCCATGTAGCTCCCAAATTAAAAAATCTACAACTTGCATTGTGATCCTAAGCAAAGTTAACTTGGAAGTTTATGTCTTACAGAGTTTGATGGGACTCATTCCCAACTAAAGACGCCCAGGATTACAGCTTTAGGCTTACACAGTCATGAGGCCCCCTTTAGTGCAGTGGAACTTTTTCCAAGTAAACATTCACAGGATCAAGCTGTAATTGTTTTTAACTTTCTACCAGCTTTTGCTAGGAAAAAAAACAGGGGGGGAAATCCATGTCTGTTGCTGGAGTATTTACTTTTAAAACTTAAGCATCAATAAAGACTAAACAATTCCTTGAGTGAGCAACTGAAAACAGAACCTTCTACATGAACTGAAATACTTGGGAAATGGCAGAGCCAAATGAATCTTAAAAACCTAGATTCCGCTAAATTTGCTGCAGGCAAAGTGGGTGGGGAAACAGCTAGCTAAAGGTCAGTGTTCTCAATCACACCTCAAGCTATAGAAAAAGGCATGATAGCCATTTATTTTTGTCACCTTTTTGTTTTAGTATGTGGGAAATACACAGGGCGAGCCTTTAAATCTTCTGCATCAAGATTGCGCTGGGAGTTGTAAAATCTTCCCCACTGTGCTTCAAGCTTCCCAGTTGATGGCATTTAAAAACACTAAAGCTAGTACAAAAAAGAGCTTTATTTTGTTTTCCTTAACCCCCAGCTGTGGGAACAGTGACAGATTTCTGAGCTAGGCCCAAACATAGCCACATATACACCTTAAGATGAGTGCCCCCCCCCCAGCCAAGTCAGCCAAAATAAATGGTTACTGCTTTAAGTTTTAGATTTCCAAGCTAAGGCTCAATGTTGTCTGGAAAGGGGAGGGGAGATTAATGTTCGTTGCACTTTCTAAGTAAAGTAGCGAAGGCTAACGCTGTACCTTAAAAACTGAATTTTAGATGGTTTTCACCTTCAAGAGTTAAAAATGTTCCTCCCATCCCTTTACAACTTTAAAGAACCAAGACCCAGACATATTGTTAGGGATCGCCAAACGAACTCCCGCGGGGCTGCCCTGTATATACAAAATAATAGGAGGGAGTTGAAACATTGACACTTGACTGAGGATAATGGAGAAAGCAAAGCCTTGCTTGTATTGGGGGGGGGGGAGCCAGTTGTCACCCAAGTGACAGACAACAGCTGAGCTCACACATCTGGAGCCTGATTCAGGCAGACTCCCTGAAACTCACACCCATCTATAGCCATGGCCCGCTGCTAGAAAGACAGATGGGAGCTTTCCTTGCATGGACTGTATAAATAAATATATAAAGTGGCAGATATTCCGTAGCAACTGCCACACTGGCTGCGTGCTCTTTAAACGCATCCTTTTGATCGCAGCAAAACAGCTTATTGCTATGGGCATAAGAGATAAATATAGCTTCTTTTTTTTAAATAAAAAAGTGCAAAGAGATTTAATTACACACATACCCTGACCTTGATATAATAAACAGTTTCACTAGTTCCTAATGCTATGTTCCATTCCTGATACTTATATTTCTTCGTGGTGGTTGGGGGGGGCATGAAGAAGGCATAGCCATGCAAAGTTAAAAATTAAAAGCTGCTTGAGAAAGTTACAGCAAAAAGTTGCACCAACCCCATTCTGGACATGATTCTTCTGCAAGCAAAACCCTCCAAATTCTGGGTTTGCACACCCACACACCAATGCATGCATACTGTAGCCCTTTCTTCTTGCAGATCCAAGTCTATGGGTGCTTACTCAAAAGTAGGCTCCACCGAGTTCAAAGGGGCTTACTCCCTGCAAAAGTGGACTGTCTGCGGCGTTAGGGGGTTCAACCCTAAAGCACTCACCTTTTTCCAAAGATAAGCAACGGCGGGTTGAACTGAATACTGTATCCCTTACACCGAGAAAGGAGAGCACTCTCTCGCTATTCTACCCCAATGAGAGTTAACTAGTACTCCGTTTCTCGGTTCCGTAATTCACCTTGACAAGCCCGAATCAAAATGCACGTATATAAAAGAGGCGAAGTAACATTCCACGCAAGACGCAGTCCACAGTGGGGTTTACCCCACCTCTCTTCTCCCCCAAACTTAAACTATATACAACATTAACGTCTCACATCGAAGATAACCGATCTGTAGAAAGGACTTTATGACCTGAAAACAGAGACGATGGCACTTTTGTCACCCAAGAAAATCTTCAATTAAAACATTTTTTAAACAAACAGTGGGATTTACTCTTAAGTAAATTGGGGGGGGGTTAAAGCCCCTCAGCCTAAAACTTACCACTGAGAAATCTGAAAAGATGATGATCACTGGTAGAAGTTAAAGGTCTGTGGAGGGGGCGAGTTGCTTGTTTTAGCTACATTTCCTATTCCAGTAACCAGTTTCTGGGGACTTTTCTTGGAGAGTGGCAGGAGATGCTAAGAGGGCGGGGGGGGGCGATCCTGCGACCTCCTTTGAGGGATTCTGCATAAAGCGCCCCACACCACAGAAAGCAATTCCGTTTTTTTCCCCCTCTCTCTGTCTCTGCTGCAGCACAGACTCACCCTCGACGAGAAGGACTCCGGCCACGAAGCTGCCCAGGTGCTCTCGTCGGACGGCGATCCCCACATTGGAGGCAGCAGCAGCGCCTGCCTGGTTCCTCGCTCGGCGGCTCTACCCCTCGCGGGAAATCAGCGCACGCCGAAGCCGCGCATGTCGAGCGGAAACGCGGCGGCGGCGAAGAAGAAGGAGGGCGCCTCCGGGGACGGCGAGCGAGCGAGCCTCCGCGCCAGCAGAGAGCGAGCAGCGACCCCCTCGGCGGCCGACCCTCTTCCCCTACTGGAACTCCGGCGCCCGGCACCCGCTTGCCATGAGGAAAGCCTTCCCCGCAGCCCATTGGCTGCAACTGCCCGCGCTAGCCAATCGCCGAAGGGCCTCGTCCCGTCGGCACTCCGGAAAACCCGGTTGGGTGGATCGCGTCAGTGGAGACGGGAGGGCTGCGCACGCGACGCTTCCCCTTTGGTGTCGCAGGGAAAGGTTTTTGGGGTAGGCGCTGCCCGTCCCCCAAAACAGGAGAGGGGTGGGGGGAAGCGGGGAGGAAGAGAAGGAGGAGGGGCCCTGCAAGACTGCTGCGAACCGCTATAAAAGGACGACTTCCCATAGAAGCATGGAAGGGAACCTGCCGGGTCATCTAGTCCACCCTCATTCAATGCAAGAATAACAACAACAACAACAATTTTTTATTTATACCCCACCCTCCCCAGCCAAGACCGGGCTCAGGGCGGCTAACAAATTCAGGAACGTCCCATAATAGGAATCGAACCTGCATCCTTTGGCGTTCTTAGCACCACGCTCTAACCAACTGTGTCGTTTGGTGATTAGCGTTTTGCTCTACATTTGAAGTTCGCCCAGGCATGGCAAAAGTTTTAAAGCGCTTCCCTTGATGGATATGCGTCTAGGAAAGGGGCGGAAGAGCTGGCGTCGCCAATTTCCTCCGGTGAAATTGACAATTAGCTTCCCCCACCCCACACACCACTGCTACTAATCTTGGGAGAGGGAGGCAGTTGGTCGCTCCGTTCGGTTTCTATATTTGCCCCAGGCATCTCTCCGCAGATGTGCCCAAGGTTTTTGGGATTCTGCCATAATATGCATACAAGTATATATCGGACCCACCCGCTGGCATACAGAAAAAGTCGCCGAGATACCGTAATATTTGATTTCACCGTTTGATGTGCTGCCAGTTGTATCCCTATGAACCGCGAAGCATATGGCTCGTAACGCCATTTACTTGGAAGCAAATCCTACGGAAGGCAATGGAATTTGCATTCAGGGAAGTGGAGTAAAGACAACCTCTCTCCCCCGCCCCCCAATGTTAATAAATAAATATGCTAAAGCAAAATTATTGTCAAATGTTGCAAGCTATGCTCAAGATTTTTCAGTCAACTGCTAAATTGGTTTAATGGTCAACATTCACCAATGTTGTACATATGGAAATTGATGGGTTAATTGAGCAATATGCACATTAGCTATATATACTGAGCTTTTCAGGCATATATTGCTGCAACGTTGGGGCAGGGAATGATATATTTTCTGAATGAGCAGTGTACAAGTCTGGCTTCTTAATAAGCTGACACAGTTTTCAGCTATGAGTCAGTATGTAAGCCAGTTGCATGTATTCTTCCCTCAGACTTCACTTTCTACATCATGTATGTAACACAGAAGGAAGCTGCCTTATGAGTTAGGGCTTTAATATGTATAAATTGCAGGGGGTTGGACTAGATGATCCTCAGGGACTCTACAATTCTACAAAAATATTCCGACCACAGTAATCGTAATGATGTCAAGTAGATTCTTCCAGGGTTTCTGACTCTGGCCATTTTCACAAGGGACATTGAAATATAATACCTACATTGGCTAGAATTGACATTCACTGTTAAGATAGATTTTCCCCCCCTTGTTAATCTACATGGATAACAAATGAATCACCCCATATTAAAACTGCAATTCAATACACCCGTACTCATAAGTAAGTCCCACCAAGTTCAGTTAGTATAGGAATGCAGCTTAAATGAGTTTCTTAGCATCGTTTGTAGACTGCTTTTCCTTGACAAAAATAGGCCAGACATGATTTGAGGGGAAATGGATAACATTTCTCTCACAAGTATAGTTGCATGTGGTTTGCCACAACAAAAAGTATGTGTAATCATTTAAAATAATAGTCTAATAACCTTCCTGTATATTAAATGCAGAAAATGAATGCACTAATTAAAACAATCAGGCACAGCTTTGCTTCAGCAGAAGAGTATGCTTTGTTTCCCAGTGTTTTAATGCAGGATCTGGGTCATCAAAATAGAGCAGAGTACTTTTATCAATCACAGGGTAAACCTGGGCAGATCTCGCCTCCATTGATATTTTCTAATTGAAGAGGTGGTGTATACTTCATTTGAAATTCAGCGAGATCAATAACATCCATAACTGTGATCTAGAATTAGCATTTTAGAGGGGGGGGACTGAAAGATTATGAAAGTTTCAGCTAATATCTTGAAACATCATACCCTAGATGAAAATGGTTCAAGGATTACCTAGTAAGGGAAATAGATAGTAGGTGGAGTGGAGGAAGACTGCAGAAAACCTTATCAGAACTGTTATGCTCTGTTTGCTCCTAATTTATGCCATGTAGATTCTGCTCTGTTCTTTTGTGCTGTCTGTTCAAGCATTTCTGAAACTCTTATCACAGTAATATCTAGGCACCTTCAGATCTACACTGCTGTATTATTTCCATCACTTGTTTTGTCCCATATTGATCTTGGCTAATATAGGAAATTAGATGCTTATGTTTTTTTAAAAAAACAAGAACAGGTTCTTTGTTGTGTTTCCAGTCATATTAAGAGATTTATCTCTGGGGTGTTTGATTATCTTGCTCTTAAAATAGTTCTTTGCTACTGTTTTTATGTTCTACATTTCTTTATCTAAAACTCATTTTAAATGCATTTCATTATGATGAAAAACCTTCAGCTTCCATTTAACCCCGCAGCATACTAAAAATGTTGTGAATAGTGGAGGCTTCCAGATCGTTGAGATTCAAGGCACTGGCAAAATACACGATATCCTAAATGCATAGGAGACCCCCATTTATCATTATATTTCAAGTGTTTGTTAGCTGTTTGCTTGAGATTTAGAGGATCCTATACTCGCATTCACAAAAATAAAGAAATGTGTGATGTGAATTTTAATGGTATGATGGCACTGAAAATGAGATTTGGCTGTTTCGTTGCAGGGGGTGTTTGCCTGCTTTTCTATGTGGTCATTCAGGGTTGGGGGTGTACAGGCAACAACCAATTTACGCACATCCAATTGACGTGTGATTGTGCACATGCGCATCATAGTGACCTGGAAGTGGCTGGAAAAGGGGGTGTAATGGGGTGGGGGCATAATGGGGCAGAGCAGGCTTATGCATGCCCTGCTGTTGTGCATGATGACCCAGAATGCAATTCCCACACATATTGGGGGTTGCCTGTATATTGTCTGCTTTTTAAAAAATGTGGTTATTTGTTTGGTGTGGGGCTGGAAACCCCTTTTCTAGAGGATAAATGCAATATACTCCCACAATATCATATATATATATGTAGTTTTCTACATGGAAACATACCTTCCGTATTTTTTACTGGAAGCAATATATGGGAAACATAGTAAGATACCCATTTACCCGAGAGAGCTCCATTGACTCGGTGGAATTTACCTTTGGGTAGGGACGCGGGTGGCGCTGTGGGTTAAACCGCAGAGCCTAGGGCTTGCCAATCAGAAGGTCGGTGGTTGGAATCCCCATGACGGGGTGAGCTCCCGTTGTTCGGTCCCAGCTCCTGCCCACCTAGCAGTTCAAAAGCACGCCAGTGCAGGTAGATAAATAGGTACCGCTCCAGCGGGAAGGTAAACGGCATTTCCGTGTGCTGCTCTGGTTCGCCAGAAGTGGCTTAGTCATGCTGGCCACATGACCCAGAAGCTGTATGCTGGCTCCCTCGGCCAATAAAGTAAGATAAGCGCTGCAACCCCAGAGTCGGTCACAACTGGACCTAATGATCATGGGTCCCTTTACCTTTACATTAGACTGCACTCCACACAGGATTAACTAATTCAGATACGTAGTCCCATGAATTTTGTAGCTCTCAAGAAAAAGATGACATTGCGTTCTATCTCAGCTGATAGTACGGCCACTTTTTTTGTACCACGCCTCTAGTTAGTCATACTCTTTGATGCTTCCAGTTATGCTGCACTATGGAAGAAAAGGATTAAGGTGACTTGGAAGCCATTTAGGATTGCTGTCAAAGAGGTTACACAGGATCAGAGCACTGCATCAGCTCAGCAGCCGGTGCTCATGGTGGAAAGGGCAACGGCAATCTTCGAGACAGAAGCAAATGTTAAAGCATTAAAGATCCACAGTGAAAGGTTACACATATGTATTCAGAAATAATAAACCATTGGATTCAGTGGGACTTATTTCCAGGCAATGGGAAATAAGGCTTACAGCCTCAGGAACTTCCAGACTGTTGTCGTTTTCAGGTGGGATTCCATCACATACCGGCAAATTCCAGTTGCACAATTATTGTTGATTGGGAAACCCACATTCCCCGAAGACTGAACTTTTTGCGATAACAAAAGCGATGAGGAAGTGGCCTGGAAAGTGTGGGATAACCCTTGCTTTGAAGCAAGGTCATCTAAGCTCCCTGCAAACAAATCCAAATGATTCCCAAACAAATAGGTTGTCCAGTATCCTCTCATTCCGAGGCGAGGAGAAAAACGATTGCTCCACATTAGGGGTAGGCAACCTAAGGCCCAGGCCCAGTGGACGGTCTGGGAATCAGCGTGTTTTTACATGAATAGAATGTGTCCTTTTATTTAAAATGCATCTCTGGGTTATTTGTGGGACCTGCCTGGTGTTTTTACATGAGTAGGATGTGTGCTTTTATTTAAAATGCAGCTCTGGGTTATTTGTGGGGCATAGGAATTCGTTCTCTCCCCCCCCCCCAATATAGTCCGGCCCACCACATGGTCTGAGGGATGGTGGACCGGCCCACGGCTGAAAAAGGTTGCTGACCCCTGCTGTAGGCTATACATACCGTACATATGAAGTATGTTTGGCTTCCTTTTCCAAGAGGCTCTTCTGCCTCCAATGGCCACATGGCAAGCAAAAGCTGCAGAGAATCTTCTCCCCCTCTGCATGAGTCTTCAGGAAGGAGGAAAGAACCCGTACAGAATTTCACCCTGCCCCACAGCTGTAGATTAAGGAACATTTCATTGTGGGGAGGCAAGGGAAGGAGGAAAAGCCCACCAAGTGTAAGATGACA